AATTAAAGTAAATATTATTAATAGTATTAACTTTTAAATAAAAGCTATATAATATTAAGATATAAGCTTAAGAAGTAAATTAAAATAAATAGAATAAAGTAGTTAATATTAAGACTAGCTATAAGATCTTTATTTTATTAATTTAAACTAAAATAAGCTATTATAAGTAAGCTTAGTAAATAAAATATAGCTTAAAGAGCTTAAATCTAGATTAAGCTATATATTAAAGGTATCTTTATAAAGTTATATAGTTCTTTATATAATTTAAAAGAACTTAACTTATTAAGCCTTACTTTTTTAAATTAAGTAAGTATTAGCTAGTAGATTTCTTTAAGTAACTTATTTCTTACGCTAATACTATAATAAATTATTTAACTTATTATTAAATTAAAAACCTTTAAGATTTTTTATTAAAGTTACTTTAATTATTATTTATCTTTAAATAACTATAGTAATATATTTTAATAGATTTTTAATTTTTTTTTAAAAGATAAGTATAGTTATAATATAATATTTACTATAGTTAATTATTTTAATAAGTATTTTATTTTAATTCCTTATTATAATATAGCTATAGTATAAACTATAGCTAAAATCTTTTTTAAGTATATATATTATTATAAAAATACTTTTAATATAATAGTTTTTAATTAAAAACTATAATTTATTTTAAACTTCTAGAATAAATTCTATTTATTATTAAAGGTTAAGTTAAAGCTTTCTTTAACTATATACTCTTAAATAAATAAATAAATAAAGGTTTTAAACTAATATATAGCTTAAAGACTTTAGCCTTATATTAATTATTATTAAGATAATTAATTAAATTATCTCTTAATAGTTAATTTTATAATAACTATATTAATTTAAAAATTTATAGAAATATCTTTATTTATAGTTAAATATAAATATAAGCCTTATATTTTATTTAAGTAGCGCCTAGTATTATAATTTATTTTAATATTTAAAAAGACTAATTAAACTAAAGCTTAATAATAAATATATAGACTTTAATAAATTTAGAAGATAATAAAAGTCTTTATTAAAAAGGCCTAAGAATAATAAAAGAAATAAGCTAATAAATACTATTAAGAAATAAATTTTAATATTAATAATAAGGTTTTTATTAAACCTATAAATTAAATATTTAATTAATCTTTATAAAAGCTTAATAATTAAATAAAGAGCCTCTTTAAAATTCTTAAGAAGATAAAGAATACTTAAAAGCTAAAACTCTTTAATATTATAAAAATCTACTTAATATTCTCTTTAAATTACCTTTAATAAATATTAAATAATTTTATCTTATATTAAGTCTATAAAGAGCCTCTATTAATTAAGATTTAAAATAAATTAAAATAAGAAGTAAATAAAATTTTAGCTATTTAAATTAAATATAAATATCTTTAATATAAGGCTACTTAAAAGAAATATAATAAAGATTTAATATAATATTTTACTAAAAATTTTAAAAATTTATTATTAAAGCTTTAAAAGTTTTATAATATATTCTTTAATAAACTTAAGCTATTAGCTAATTTAAACTATTAGATTAATTATATTAATAAAGATATTAATTTAAAGAAATAAAAGAATAATAATTATCTTATTAATTTAAGAATAAATTAATTTAAATAAAGAAGTAATATTATAATATTATTATAGTATTAATTTAATAAGAAGATAAAATCAGAGATTTACTAGTAAAACTCTTAACTATTTATATTATTTAAAAGTAATTAAGAAATAAAGAATCTTATAAATAAAAGAATTAAGATTCTTTCTCTAAATTCTTTTTTTCTCTCTTTTTAGCTTAAAATTCTCTATTATACTGCCTTATTAAATTAAAGCTTTAATAAATTTAATTTAATCTACTTAAGCGTAATAAATACTTATAAAAAAAGATATAATAAAAATTATTTATATAAGCTTTTATATATTTCTTATATTTTAAAATATATTACTTTTATTTTAAATTTTAAAACTTAAATAAATATTTTTTAAATAACTTTTATAAAAAGTTTTATTTATATATATATTAAATATATTATCTTATTTTATAAGAATAATATAATTTATAAAATATTATATATTATATATAATTTTATTAAGAAAAGTTTAATTAAAAAAATTAAGTTTTATTTATTTAAAGCTATTTATATTATAATTTTTTTAAACTAGCTAACTTTTAATTAATTTTATTTAATAAATTTATATATAAAGTTATTTTATTATTAAATATAGAAAAAATATAAGATAAAATCTTTAATTTTTATATATAAAATTCTTTTTAAAATTCTTATATTTATATAATAATTAAGAGTTAAAATATATATATAATTATACTTTTTTTTTAATAATTAACTCTAAACTTATTTAATATAATAATACTTTAAGAAGGGTTCTATTTAATTTGTCGTAATTAGTAAGGCTAGAAAACACCTAGATTTTTAGTGGGGCGAGAAAAAGTGTCGAAAACTTTTGAATGCGACCGTAGTCAGCTGCAAGGCGGCCAAGAGCGGCAGAAGCAAGGCGGCGATCAGATACTATGATGCTCGGTTTCTATTATGCATCCCCATTACCAGAGCGCCAACCTCAAAAGCCGACAAATATACTGTCAAATGTCAGAACACATTTAATACACACCAATCGCGCTGCACTATAGCGCTCGCTATGGAAACGTCGTTCACTCGCCTGCCGGATGAGATATTGCATACAATTCTCTGCTATAGCCCTCCATCTGCGGCTGCTGCTCTCGAACGCACCGCTCGCAGGTTCAGGAGCATTGCAAACGAACCTCTGCTATGGCGATATTACTGTTTGACTCACTTCAGCTTCTGGGAACATCGGCATGATTTTAAGAATAAACTAGCGGACCCTGTCTCTTCTGTGGATTGGAAGGGGCTGTACGCCAGCAGATGTCTAACTGACTCTACTGTTTCTAGCGCCCTAGAAAGCATCCTCACAAGCCAAACAGGGCGACTAGAAAAGTTTCGCGTCATCATTAGCTTTGGATACGATGCTAAGGACACACTGATACGGAACGCGCTTACAGGGCCTGAAAGAGAGGATCATTTGGCACGAAGGTTCGCTCTCCGTTCTATCTTTCTGTATCGCTAACAATCCTTTGACACGGCAACTTATTGGCACGAAAAGATATTATAGCCACGCTGTTCTGACTAGCTTACATCGGCATATCGCTATTCGGGAGTGGATCAAACTGAGGCAAGGGGAATCTATACCCCTCGAGCGCGCACTTGGAGCTTTCGACCTTTTCGTTCCAGAGAGTAATGTTGGAGACTTATTTGATGTATGTCAAGAGCTGCATAGGCCGATTTATTGGCGTATGAAACTGACTTGTCCGCATAGGTCACCAACACGCTTGATAGGATCATAGCTGATCTCACGCATGAGGAGCCCGACATTCGAGCCTCGACGCCGCGTTCTCGGGCTCTAGCTATCGCATCATATCTGAGAAGGAGAAAGCTTACGGGGATTGAAGAAGACCGCGATTATCACAGTCTCGAACATAACTTTTTAGGGATAGCATTGGCTGACCCGGGCCATAATTCACTACCCTTAATATCTGCTGCTATCTACTGCTATGTTGCACAGGGCCTGGGCCTGAATGCCCGTCCCTGTGGGTTTCCTTTCCACGTTCATGTCATTATCATCCCACCACGTGGCCTGGACATGGATGGACGCATACTTGCTGACGGCGCTCAGGGAGAGCCCATGTACATGGACCCGTTCCGGTCCACTGGAGAAACACCAGTATCCAGTCTGCGTAGTCAACTCAACTTCCTGGGGGCTTCAAATCTTGAGCAGTCGGTCTTCCTTGGGGAATCGGAGACATCCGAGATTGTGCTGCGCTGCGGAAAGAATATCCTGCGCTCCATCCAACACATGTCCTTACAACCAGCTTTGGCTATACCGTCCATCGATATCGGGAGCGCAAAATATGCTGGCTTATGGTCTTCCATGATCTTTGCGGGCCCATCAAGACCAATAGAACTTCGACAGCACCTACCTTGGCTTATGGAGTTGTTTGCTACGGATTTCCCTTCAGACCTCTACTTGATCGAAGAATGCCTGGTACCTCTCTTCCAGGGACTTCCAGAATATGAACATCTTCGGGAGAGTTTGCATGTAATGAAGGCTGTCGACGAAATACCCAGGCAAATACGGCGGCGTACTTCTGCACACCAGAATGTCAAATATCGCGTAGGCCAGGTGTTTCGCCATCGTCGCTATGATTACACAGCTATCATAACAGGCTGGGATGCCGAATGTGGTGCAGGGGAGCAGTGGATGAGGCAAATGGGCATTGATGATCTGCAAGCTGGTCGACATCAGAGTTTCTACCATGTTCTGTATGCTCATATCCTGAACTTCTCTATTGGAACAGATACTAACAGAACTAGTGTTGAGGATAGGAGCAGTCGATATGTCGCCGAAGAAAATATTGAGATTATAAAACCTGATATTTCCGAGCTACCTCCTGTTTTCTCGACTATTGCTGGTAAGCATTTTAAGAGATGGGATGAACATAGCCGGACGTATATAAGTAACATTAGAGATGAATATCCCGACGATTGATGTGTTTACTTTGGATCTGTATATATATAAAGATAAGAAAAAGATATTTATGATTTATATTATATCCATTTGGGTGTAGTATAATGATATACAAATGGAGAAGAGTATACATTGGTTTTGTGGCAATTGTAATCTTCTTGAGATACGCCTATGAAATGGTGTACTTCATGTACAAACTATTCTCAGTAACACTATTTACTGACAAAGGCGCCAACAACATCTCTGAAAAGGACGCTGACAGGAGACAACAAGTAAGGAGGTGCAGAACCGAAGATATCCCCCAAATCATTAGAACCCGATCTTGCACCTTCATTGGGCAGTGAATCTGGCGCGGGAGCGTTCTTTGGTGCCTGCCAGCCAAATAGTCCATCCAGTTCTGTCTTCATATAAGACGATAGCTCGTTGGATGAGACTGCAGGTTCAGCACCCGTACTGGAACATCCGATTCGCTGCACATATGCTGACGTATCTATAACGATGTAGTCGCCTGTCGCTGAATCAGGGAGCAATGCAAGCGGGTGGCATCGCAACACTGATTGAAATACGGGTCTCGAAGACCGAAGATTGTATATATCAATGTAGAATCTTGTCTTATGTCGTCGCTTGCTCGACTGGTTGGCACTAGCCGTACCAAAGCGACCTGTAATAATCGCAAAGCTGTTAGTCTTGCGATTGACAGAAAGCAGGATTGGAGATCCTAGAGTGGCTGAGTCGGCGGTTCCAGAACCGCCCAGCTCGATGGCTTTGGTCACATCATTGACAGTATCCCAGACCGACAGTGACTGTTCTGAGGCAACAATAAGGTGCTGTCCTAGAAATCTAACACCACATGGATTGCCGGAGAACAATCCTTCTCGGCTCTGGCGTATTTCACATACATCAGCATCGATCAAGTGAACAGAGCCGGTGCTGACGGATGACTGCGACGGTAAGCAAACAGCGAGAACCGAACCATCTTCTGAAAAGCCCATAGAAGCTACTTGGAAGGAGAGGCTGCCATCTGTCCTACTCTTCAAATTCACAGAGCGTCGGCATCTCCATGTCTCCTGTGGCTGAGCGGCATCTGTCCGTGGCTTTATGTGACTTTGATGCCTCGGCACTGCATCCCAAAATCGTAGAATGCCATCAGCGCCCAGAGTCACAAACTCATGGGCATTGGGCCGTGATGCTAAGCTAAGGACCGACATCGCGCCCCCTTGTAATCGGCTATGGGGCTCGTTGATGCGAGTGACCAATTCCCACAGCTTAGTTGAATCATTCCACATCCAGAACTTCAAAAATGTCTCCCTAGAATAGCCAACGCTTGGCCCCTTACCCTCATGGCAAGGATCGAATGCCGTGGCATCTTGGGGAGATGGCAGCCAGTCGTCCACGGTAGCCAACCATTGCCCATCATGGGTGATTTCCACAAATTTGACGTCAGGGGGTGAGATCTTTGTGCCTTCTGGTCCCGTGTTCAGCACAGTAACATTAGTGCGAGCGAGAGCTTGTCGGGAGAGATGAGAGCCGGTGCGGATATCCACTGTCTGCAAAAAACACAAGTCGGTTGTCTTGTCCTTTCCCTCACCAGCAGTTTGAGAAGCAGGGACAGCAACAAGAAGATGGTCAGGATTTCGTGGGTGGAGGACGGCAGGAATCGCATCGAGGATCCGTGTTGAACTGCCGGCAGACTTTGCGGGGTTCGTTGTCTGGGCTGTCCTCGAAGACGGAAGCTGCAGACCAATTATAGCAGAAGATGGCTGTAACTCTGTGGCTGACAAGACAATGACGGTATTATCAGCCAGTTTAACTGCGTACGAATTTCCGGTCGGAGAGATGATAATGTTAGAGATGGGCGCGGACAGATGTGGCAGGAACTGCTTTCGGCCAGTATCCAATTGCCAGAGAACCATGACAGACTCTGAGCCTCCAGAAATAAGGTAGTTTCCTGCATATATGGTTAGCACAGTGTAACCAAATTCCAGAGACAACTGTCGAGCATACCATCTCGAGACCAGCGGACAGCAGTAACTGCGCCTCTATGCCAATGTAATTTTCTGAAGACCAAAGAGCGGACCTCGCTTTCTTGCGCATTTTCTCTCTGAGAGAGGGAGTTCACAATGTCATGATAGATCAAAATGGATCCGGAAGAGTCACCCAGCACAAGATCTACTGCAGGCGAAGCTTGTCTAGCCTTTGACAACGCAATCTTCGATCCTTCTGCAGGCAAACTCTCACGGATATCGAAGCAAGTCGCAGTCACGGGCAAACTAAGCTCCCTCCAGGTGTAATGGAAGCTTTCTGGGGATGCCAGGTCTGCGGCCTTTCTACTGCCGACAAAGATATGTTGACCATCAGAGATGATGACGGCATGGCCCTGGTTAGAGAGTGTAATGTGCTTGACTGGTCTGCTCGTCTCAAGAGCCACGAAACCAGCAGGTTCCACGTCCGCATCCCCATCCTTCAAGATATTTATTGCCAACTCCCGTCGCCCGTCCTTGCGCTGGCGCAAGGAATAGAATGCGTCGTGAACTTCTGTGCCAATATGGGTGGAACATATCCTGGCGCAAAAGGTCTTGCATGATGTTTCCCACGAAGAGATCTGCCTTGAAGAAGTCCAATCCCATTTTCTCACAGAGCCAGATGACGTGAAGACATAGAGATGCTCGTCATTAGTAGGCGAGAGCTGATATCCGACAATCTTTGCTGATGCTTCTAATTGCAAAGTTCGAAATAAACGGGACGTAGAGGTAGAGAAGATGTGAATGGCTTTTTCCAAAGCTAGGAATATAAACCTATCCGGAGTCAGTCAAACGGCCCAGTTGTTGTCCCGATCTTCAATGATTAAACACTCACTTCTCGTCAACGCTGAAAACTGGGTCCAGGTCGGAATAACGACCACCGACAACCTGCGACAGCGACCACGGTGTCCGAGAATTTCTGGCTGCTTTCTCAAATTCCCCCCCCGATTGAGTAACTTCAACAGCGGTCGAGGCGCGGCCATTCGCGGAAGGATCTTCGCGAGACTCAGGGATAACAGGGCGCGAAGCACGGCCATTCTCGCGGGAGAGACGGCGCTTCTTCGATCTCTCGCGCTCCATAGGACTCAAATCCTTCTGAGAGTATTCAGACGCGCGGGACCTTTTGACGGCGTCACTTGATTGTCTCACGACCTCGGTCATGTTGCGGGCAGGGAATGAAGACCCAGAAGCGGCCTAATATAAGCAAAAGCGAAGATTCCCTTCTAGATGATAAAGACCATCTCTCGCGATCAGTGTAGATCTGCAAAAAAGAAAGAAGATTTGGCCTGATAAACGATTCTTCCTACTTATGTCGAGGACTTTTTTTTTTCTTTTTTCGGAGAAGCGTAACCTAGACCCCCGAAGATTGGTGGGACCGGCTAGTCCATAAAAGCACTAGCGCGAAAGTCCTCTTCTAATCTTTCAAGATACGCGTGAACCTGTCATCGAAAAAACGAAGGGAATCATTATTTCTTTAGTTGTACCACGGACCTTTCGACTCTCGACTCTCGACTCTCAGGCACCTGGTATACTCAAATTTTGCATTGTCCTTGTTCAATAATCTTTATCAGCCGCCAGTTGAATCACAATGATCATTCCAGTGCGCTGCTTTTCTTGTGGCAAGGTGAGTACGACTCAACCGGATCGAAGGGATCCCAGCTTATCAGGTGCGACAGGTGGTTGGTGACCTCTGGGAAAGCTACTTGCGGTTGCTCGATGAAGGCGTTCCAGATGGGTAAGCATAGTATCGATCGTGTGCTGTTTTCGGGAAACTAACGATTCTTCAGAGACGCCATGGACCAGTTGGGCTGCAAGAGATACTGCTGTCGCCGTATGATAATGACGCACGTTGATTTGATCGAAAAGCTTCTCAGGTACTTATGATTCCAATACTGAGAGATGTGTATGTGAACCGCAGCTTACGCCTTGCCACAGATATAACCCCGCTGAGAGAGACCGTGCGAAGTCGCAGCTGTAATTTCTGAAGAGGGTCACTCAGAGTGTCTTAAAATCTTCATTAGCGGGAAAAAAAGCAAAATGCATTCAACGGTTTGAGGGAAAATATACACTATATGCGTTCTTGGACATTTTCGACTGTCGCCGACGCGTATTCGACAACTTCATGTCTGCGTGACCATCACGCGGAGAATAACATTCGATGGCTCGCCAAAGTGCCAGGTTATTGGATGAGACTGGAAAGTCACTCTGCTGGCGGGCACGTTATCAAGTAAAACATGAAGCGACGGAGATCGCTCAAGTCAACGCACTGTAGCAGTGTGTACTAGTTCAAGCTTCGTCCATGCCTCACTGCCTTATTTACAAAGTTGATTCTGGGAGTTTGGCTCATACCATGGGAATTCGGTCATGCAAGCGGTTGTTTCATTGGGGTCCCCATCCGAGAACTATTTTGGGTGTCAAGGAAAGGCCGTCCTGCTTTTCTTGTGTGTGCATTATGTCTCTCTTTTCCGTTCTCAAGGCTTCAGTCTGAGACAAGTTACTTCTTTGTGCTAACTGGAATCGGAAGTTGGTCCTCTGGTGGCTGGGGCGAGTTGATAAGAGGATGCGCAAGAGTGAATTGGGTACAAGAGGCGAGAAGCGAAGGACGGCCCTGCTATATCTGGGACTCGTAATTCCTACTACCAGTTTCTAGGAATGGCGCCCACCTAATACCATTCAGACTGGCGGCTTGTGTCCATGAAGCAGTTTTCTTTTTGAATCGGCTCTGTTACCACTGTCTTCCACGTGTAACTATATCGATGGTAACTCGATGCTTGCAAGCATTTCTTACTGAGGGTGACGTGGGACATGAAAATAAGAATACAAGAACATGATCCAGACATACCTTAAGAAGATTTATATTTTGTTGAAGGTCTCGGCCCCTAATATCCTCGTCTCACGTAGCAACAAGACCGTAAGCCAGATGCATCGACACCAGACACACGACGAGGCCTTCAGATCTCCTTCAAGTCAATCTGGACTAGACTGTCTAAATAAGCTCATGCTGAGAATCGTCTATGACATATGTCCTGTGATATATGAATCTTTTACTGTTTTTGCTAGGCTAACGGGAGGGAGTTGAGCTTCATTCTACGTGCGAACCAGGTAACGAAGGTAACGAGAATAAAAGGACATAATTGCCAGCATACTTACACAGTGCATGCAGAATATATTATAGGATATATAGTTGTTTTATATATATTTTATGAACATAGTGCCTATATTAAATTAAAATTATCTAACACGGAAGCAAAATAATATATCCTAAACCTTTTGCGGGCCACGCTAATTGCCTGCTTAACTTGTCGGCGCCCAACTGCTTTATCGGAGACGAGCTGCAAAACACCACTATTACCCTATACAAAGGGTATAGAACAAGTAACATTAAGCCATCTATTTAGGATCAAAGCAGACACGCTAGAGATAGGAAATGCGTAGATATAGTAGCAGAGGCAGTGTTTCAGACAGCAATCAGTTAGGATGGTCCTAGTGGCTCAAGCAATCGGGATTATATTCCTATACCACGTGCTTTTCTTCCTATTTTACTTCTGTGATTCTATACTATACTACACTATTAGTATATAATAGTAGTTTGACGACAAGAATTACCCTGACAATTACTAGGAACATGAACAAGCGAAGTATCTCTTGCACATGTTATAGGCCAGGGGAAAAAGGTACCTATACTACAAGAGAAAGAGAGATAGAGAGAGAATAAAGAGATCAGACAAACTCTACAGTAGGCAAGTACTTTTATTTATAAACCAGCAATATAAAATAGTTACTGCCAATCTTAAAAGTGTCAGCGCATCAAGGCCGTCTCTGGTCATCTGTTAGTTATACCAACTGTTTTCATCAGGTTCTTGCTACAATAGAGCTTGTTAGATCTTTCAAACGGATATAGATTCTCCACGTGTAACTGGGAGATAAATATGGGCTCTACCTCCCCTAGATCTAGAGTCAAGCAAGCAATCTAGCCGTATCGGCAACCGGCTAAGCAGCTAAGAGGTTCAAGTCATACGCTTGCTTCCATGCTACTTAGGATCCGACACAAATTCTCTCTGGTTTTTATGCAAAATCCGGTCCTCGTCCTAATAGGTTACGGACACAGAACAACAACTAACGAGAGACTAGATAACTAGAGAGGCTTACGGCCTGTCACAAAAAAGCCACTCAAATAGATTTCTTATCTATTCACCTACCGAAGATCTGCATAAAGATAAATTCACATGTTATCATTGTACTTTATCTCTAGATAATGGATCTGCTCATACCACATAAGTGTCTATAGCTACTCTCTCAGCATTTTAGAGCAAGTATAGCAAGACCAGTGCAGGTCATTCAATTATTCCTGGACCCTCTCTTGTTGATCTCATGCGTGCTGCCGTTCAAGAGCTATAAATACGTCGAGGGTAGTGGTATGTAGTACATAGGAGATAGTAGATACTGTACTTCCAGACCGACTTGGAGGATCGGAGTTATGTGTCTTGCTACTGTTGTACGGAGTAACTAGCTTGATAGTCGGCGACGGTACTATCATTGGAGGAGGCCTATCAGTTAGTGACCAGTTTCGCGGGACGACAGCGAGTCATAGTATGAAACAGAGTCACGGTCAAAGAGACATGCATAGTTAGCTACGAAAAATGCAGGATTATGCCAACGAGATTATTAGTTCCCTCCAGCAAGATTCTATAGTACAAGCACTTGCATTAGTAGTACTACAGTGAGGACGTTGGTGGATGTTTCCAAATAGGTATTCGGTTCGGTTCGTCTTCCATCTTATCATTATCATTATTATTGGGCTTCCAATCATTAACTAGCTGCCCGAAACTCTGCTTGCATATCAGGTAGTCTGCGCATACTACTATAAAAATAATATCCCGGAACAAACAGTTGCGGTGTAGCTTCAGATTTAATACCGGTGCCAAAACGGGTAAACGCGAGGCTATCAGAGTAACACCCCGGTGTAAGGACGGAGTAACTACGTACGTACTTCCAGCCAGAATATGCAAAGAGCCGTTTTTAGCCGATGAACAACTTTTTTTTTGAACCGTTATTAGCGATAAGTTCGGATCGGGACTCTCATTTACCAGCTAACGATCGGAGAGGGTTCGGTCTTTTTCGGCCCTTATTTTGCGAGATGATCATCCTCGGGTGACAAACTAGTTACTCGCATGGTGGTGTGAAACGTAAGCGGAGACGGAAAAAGATAAAAGAAAAAAAGTCTACCGGCGTAGCAGCGCAGAGTCATCATTAATGATTCGATACTACTACTAATGGGAGAATTCTCTTTGGTGGGAGTGTTTTCTGGACGGAGGAAGCCGATATCACCTAAAGAAATTTTATCGTGTGGATCCCGTTTGAAGCAAGGACGATCGATTACTATAGAGTCTAAAGGCTACGGTCCCAAAGCAAGGCACTCTGTTAACTTTCCTTTTTGATTTTTCTTTTTCTTTTTCGTTTTCTTTACATATAGAAGATCCAGCTATGTCGTAGGAGGCTGATGGGAAAAAGTCAATCGCAAAACATGTGAAAAAGGCTATAAAATAATAAATCAACCCTTAGACCAACAACATCTCGCTGGCTCAGTTCGACTACTCGTCTATAGTAAGTACAGCACCAGTGGCAAAGTTCAGACAGTTCGTATAATCTGATCCGATGCTTTGCCATCTCCCTCTGTAATAATTTCCGCAATGGCACTGAGCGACCGCCAAGGAAAACAAGCAAGATTCGAGATACCACGCCAAGCTTGTGGATTTCTTGTGATTTTTGGTGGTTGAAGGAGGACGTGCTGACATAAGAGAAACCCCAGACCCATAACTAACTAAAATCCCACAACGACGCCGTCGCCGGGGGGCGGAAATAATTCGCGAGGCTGATTTAGCCAGATTTAGAGAGGTGGTTATACCCGTCTAATACCCTACTGGTAGGTGCAGACGTTGCGACATGTCCAACTCTGACGGACTAACTAGCTCGATGTTTGGCGGCGGCGGGAAAATCCGACCGCACACGGGATCGAGCCCGAAGCAGCCCGAAGGCAGGAGCGAAAGAGGCATGGATTGTCATCGCACGCACCTGCTGGTTTCGGCGAGAGTTTTAACGGTCCCGGACCACGGGAGTTGGCCCGAAACGGCATCAAGGCGTCCCGAAGGGGGAAAGCCGAGGATGCATTATTATGATTATTATTATTATTATTATTATTATCATTAACTACCAGTAGGACAGAATAATAATAATACAGAACCCAACGCTGCGCAGCAAACATATCAGCGTGGGTAACACAGTATGTATGTACGACACCAAGAGAAGAGAGACTGGAGAAGGACGTCAAAAAGGGCCTCAACTTCTCTTTTCCTGCGGTTATCATTTATGGGACAAGGTGCACGAGTTGCAATACTACTCTATCTACTCCGTACTCTACTTTACTACTCTCTGCCGATGGCGACTACTGGGCCGGCAAAGCCCACCGGGAAGCTCGTGCGCCGCTGCCGGCTGCTGATCTACACTTGGCGGGTAAATACTATAAGTAAGAATAATAATGGAAAACAGAAATAAGGCTTTCAGTCGCCCGATGCATGCAGCGGCAAAAGAAAACGAAAACAGCGTCGCAATCGCTGGCATACCTTGATGTCAGTGTGCGCCTCGTGAGACACGCGGGGTGGGATCGAAAGCCTGAGTGCAGCCTTTTATATGGATGTTGGCGGTTGCATGCGTCGGTGGCGCGAGATGGCGGCGCCCGAACCGAGTCAGCTCTTATCCGTGACTAGCTCACCCACTCCCTTCGGTCGTGGGTGAGCCCTCCCGTATTTGCACTTCCTACCGATTTTCACTTTTTAGCCTTAGGTACCTTTTGTATGGGAACACCATACAAAAGGTACATAAGGCCAAAAACAGCGTATATCTAATTATCTCAACATTTTATTAAGGAACCCCTTTATTTTAATTGATAATATTATAATCTTATTATTAAATAATTTGTATTTTAATTTTTAAAAAGCTCTAATTAAAAGTAAGAGATATATTAGTATTTAAAGATTTCTCACCAAAAGTTTTTTATATGGGGAAAATTAAAAAAGCAAACGCTTACTTTAATAATTAAGATTTTAATTTCAAATTAATAATATAGGTTATTATATTATATTATTTTAGTCTTATTAATTAAAATAAAGGGGTTCCTTAATAAAATACTGAGATAATTAGATATACGCTGTTTTTGGCCTTATGTACCTTTTGTATGGTGTTCCCATACAAAAGGTACCTAAGGCTAAAAAGTGAAAATCGGTAGGAAGTGCAAATACGGGAGGGCTCACCCACGACGGCAGGAGTGGGTGAGCTAACAGTCACGGATATACGAGAGGTGTGCCTGCGACGCCCTACGTCCTTACTATACTAGTAAGTGGTAACTAGCGGACAAGGCAGACGGTTGTGGCTGCTGGCCAATGCTCGTTCACTTTCATCTTTTGCGGCGTCGCCTTCCTTTCCGTATGCGGGATGCTTGGACCCCTTCATCCCCATCTCCATCTCCATCCCCTATTGCCAAACTGTTATCACTGCGCCGCAATTCGCATCCTCGTCAACGCGCGATCTGGAGATGGCGACGCCAGCTTTTCGCGGGGAAGACGTTTGGACCAGTTGACAAGACCGCCACAATGTGTAGACGCATAATAATAATCATAATACCCCGTAGTAACTAGGACCTCTTTTCTTTTTACCCCAAGACCGACTCAAACCCATTTCGGATCCCCCCCGACGCTAGATCGTGTAGACAACGTTTGTATGGGCTGTTGGAGACGGAAAACTTTGACCCATGATGAAGCCCATCGGGATACTCTAATCCGCATAGTATAACCCTGGCACACTTGTCGTCATCGTACTGGGCTCTTTGCTAAACGATACTCGATGCCAATTGCCTGTGATTCTTCTTCATTATTGTGTGCCTGCGGGGGCATTCTGCACAGTAGTCTCTGGCTGCAGTCGGCCCGTCGGTGTCTGGACATGCCAACATTGTCTTGCTTGGACGGGTTGCCGCCGGTGACGGTTAGCGGTCCTGCCGTCCTCTCGTGATCGGGAGAGAAGACGGGTTCTCGCACAGCATCTCGGCAGACAGAGTCACATAACTTAGATAGCAGTTAGTTAATTTCCAAGAATCTGAATCTGGCCTGTCAGTCGTCGCATTCCTGATCGGGGAGGGCCGTAAAATGGCCGATTCGCGCGACGTCTGCAGCGCATGCGACTGCTGGCATGTACTTGATAGCCGCCGCAAGCGAATCAGAGGCCGGCTCGCCTCCACCACGCGAGACGCTCGGTTGTCCCTGAATCGATCGGGACGTGGCCTGTGTGGATGAAGTTATTATGAACATAATTGAACACACACACACACACACCTGCAATCAGAAGTACCATGGGAAAGTTCCACCCTCTCCAGACCCCACCATCCCCAAGACGGCGCTACTACTGTACTCCGTACTTTCGACACCTTTCGGGCAAGTCTGTCGAGATGAGATCCACCGCGGCCCAGACTGGCCAATCGACGCGAGTCCCCCGCCCCGGACAGACCCCAACTGGCCCCAACACCCCCCAAACTTCAACAAAGCCGCTAAGCCCTTGGCCCTCGCAGCGGCTCGCCCCACTTGCCTTTAGCGCTACCCCGCTGACGTCAGGGCGTGCGCTGTGGTAGCGCGAGCCTTGGCGCTAACCACCCGTGGGACGGGCCCTAGTTACCACTTACGGTCTGGCGATCAGCTGTATATAAGAGCCGCTCCAGGTGTCAAACCCCAGACTGTCCTCTCGAGCCCTTTTCTTTTTTCCTTTGCCGTGTCGCTTGTCCTCTTCCTTTCAAGTACAAGTCAGTACCTACAGGATAGGCGCAGCAAAGGTCCCTCAAGATGTGGACGACTACTTCCGGCTTGCGGGGCAAGAAGCTCCATCTGGCCATCACTTTCACCTCTGTCATAGGTTTCTCGCTCTTCGGTTATGATCAGGGTCTGATGTCCGGTATCATCTCTGGTGACCAGTTCACCCAGGAGTTCCCGCCTCTAGCCATTCCCGCCGGCTCTTCAGCAGCCTACTCTCAGCATGTCTCTGTCCTCCGTGGTGCGGTTACCGCTTGTTACGAACTGGGCTGTTTCTTCGGTGCCATCTTCACCCTCATGTACGGTGAACGCATCGGCCGCACGCCTCTGCTGGTGGCTGGTGGTATCCTGATGATTATCGGTACGGTCATTTCCACTGCTGCTTTCGGTCCCCACTGGGGTCTGGGCCAGTTCGTTGTCGGTCGTGTCGTTTCCGGTCTTGGAAACGGCATGGACACGGCCACGATTCCCGTCTGGCAGTCCGAATGTTCTCGCGCTCACAACCGTGGCTTCCTCGTCTGCTTCGAAGGTGCCATCATCGCCGTCGGCACTTTCGTCGCCTATTGGATTGATTTCGGTCTCTCGTACGTCAACAGCTCGGTCCAGTGGCGGTTCCCCGTCGCATTCCAGATTCTCTTCGCCGTCCTCGTCAGCGCTGGCGCGCTCATGCTGCCCGAGTCTCCTAGATGGTTTGTCATGAGAGGACATGACAAGGAGGCATGCGAGGTGCTGGCCTGCCTCAACGACAGCCAGCCCGATGCGGAGGATGTGCTCATCGATTTCAACCTCATGAAGGCCGATCTCAATGCCTCCAAGGGCCAGAAGGCCAACTGGAGGACTCTCTTCACCTTCGGCAAGACCCAGGAGTTCCAGCGTATGATGATCGGCTGCTCCGGTCAATTCTTCCAGCAGTTCACCGGTTGCAATGCCGCCATCTACTACTCCACGCTGCTGTTCGAGACCAACTTGCACATGGACCACCGTCTCTCTTTGGTTTTGGGAGGTGTCTTCGCCACGGTCTACGCCCTCGCTACTATCCCCTCCTTCTTCATGATTGAGAAGGTTGGTCGTCGCAAGCTGTTCTTGATTGGTTTCTTGGGTCAGGGTCTCAGTTTCATCATCACCATGGGCTGTCTGATCAAGGGAGATGCTGAGGCCTCCAAGGGTGCCGTTGTCGGTATCTTCCTCTTCATCTGCTTCTTCGCCTTCACGACTCTGCCGCTGCCCTGGATCTACCCGCCCGAGATCAACCCTCTCCGGACCCGTACCATGGCGGCTTCTGCCTCGACTTGCACCAACTGGCTGTCCAACTTTGCTGTCGTCATGTTCACTCCCGTCTTCTCCGACGCCAGTGGCTGGGGTATCTATCTCTTCTTCGCCCTGGTCAACTTCATCGGTGTGCCTTTCGCCTGGTTCTTCTACCCCGAAACCGCCGGCCGTGATCTGGAGGAGATTGACATTATCTTCGCCAAGGCCCACGTCGAGAGGAAGTGGCCCTACCAGATCGCAGAGACGATGCCCAAGCTCACTCCTGAGCAGATTGGACAGATGCAGATTGAAATGGGTCTGGATGTGCCCAGTCACCACATCTCAGCGGAGGCGGAGAAGGCGGAGATGGCCGTGAGCAGCGGCGAGAGCGAGGGAAAGGGCGAGGGAAAGCACATTGATTAAACCGAAAAAATCATGTTACTACAGGTATTATGACGACGGCATATATTTGCCTGTATTGAAATGCGAAGTCAATGGAACATGAGCAAAGAAGATCTTATGTTCACTATGACTTGGAACGCACATTTTATGCCCACTTTTGCTTTATGTCGCAACCAGATACCTATTGCTCATTATGTTATGTATGCTAGATTTCTCATGTGAATTTTCTTATTTGATATAAGAAAATAGAACCACTCTCGTGGGTTTACGACCCTTTGAAACTGTTCTTGTTGATCATCCACCGTAGATGGATCCTGCTGTAGAGTGAAGCATTAGACTAGATCGCTTTGACCCTGACCATTGCCGCGTAAGTGTCGGTCAGCAAGGATACACAAGCAGCTACCACATGCACGGAGTACTCCGTATGTCTAGAAAAGAGAAAAAGAAAAACCCTCAAAGCTGACCCACGAAGTCTCTCCCCCCGTAACTTCCCCGTGGATCGGGGTGTCGGTGCTGCTCTCCCAATCCGGCAAGAGTGGAGTCGATCCTCCACCGGGACCCCACTCTCGCCTGAACTCTCTCCGCGCATCACACTTTTAAGTTTTTCGCGCGAAGCGAACCCAGTGGACCCCTGGCCAGGATGCGCACGGCGATTCTCTTTGGCGCGTCGATCCCCGCCCTCCCCCACACAAGGTGGATCCGGTGGAGTCAACTGCTGTGACCGCCTGCGGAAGAGATTTTGCCCAAATGCGGTCATGCTTTAGCTTAGTAGAGTCCACTAACTAATTGGGATCGGGAAAATGGATAATATTATTTAACTATTACTCGAGAGCAGTGTAATAATAATAATCATATGAATCCATATTGCTAGTTTAACTATGGAGCAATTTCACCATTGATTAAATTACCTAACAGTTAAAACCAACTACTAACTACTCCAGCCGGTTATTATTTGGTCCAGGGGACTTTAGTGCATTGAACATGTTAATCCTAATATCATCTACCTAGGTAGTTGAGACTTTGAGTAGGTCGTCTAAGTTACTCTATATGTAAACGTTGCCGTTGAGTAACTAAACTACTAGTTAGTTAAGTCGGACGAATGTAAGTTAGTTAGTCGATCGTGTACTGTACCTGTCTATCAATTTCTCTACTCCGTTCGTCTATTTCTTTATTCGCGTTGCGTACGGAGTACTGATTCTGTGGATCTCGATCTCGACTGCACTTCTGCTGCATGTGTGAGACATAAATGCGAACGGGGATGGGAATTTGAACGTGTATAGCTATACGGAGTAGGTATCTAGTGTATACTCTACAAGTCAAGTACATACATACGAATTAGGCTAAAGACTCATCATCGCCAAGGGCTTTACATACCTTATGCACCAAGGGAATTATCGCCAAGTTCTTGTCGCTACTTGGCAGTTACGAATTACTTAACTTCACTCCACCGTTATTATCGCGTAGCTAGATATCTAGTGACTCATAACTCTCGGGTCAATAGTTAGTTATAGCCATCTTCCCACGTATGTATACCCATCCAGCTATAGACATGAGCCTTTAACGTATAATCAACGACTCATCATCTCCGCCTTTTTTTTCTTCGTCATTTTCCACATATCAAATCGGTACAGACACCGAAACCTGACATGTACCCACAGAGGGGTATGCGTGTGGCATGCCATACCATATGCCATGTGGTATCGGAGATTCGGAGCTTTCTTTGCTCTCGTTCATTCAATGACGTTTGTATGACTTACTAGTTAACTAAAACATAACAATAACCACAACCCCGCGTCCACGAGTTCAGGTAACTTAATTAACTTACCGCTAATAAAGTAACTAAACTACCTACGTATCTATCTACGAAATCGGTATGTAATATGTAAGATGTAAGTAATAGTAGCTCGGAATTCAGTTGCGGATCTAAATAGGTATGGTAGGGTAGGGCCATGGAAATATGGTAGGCGAGTATTAATCGAAGGTCTCGTCGTTATGCGGGTGCTCACATCATTATCATTATTATTATTATTATATGCCTCCGGCATTCTCCCGGATAGTCACCTAGCTGACCACTGTGCTGCTGACTCCTATCATGGTTTCAACTGGCGCCGGCTGGGACATTTGCCTCTATCTACCTGCTTTCCTTGTGCTGATTCTAATTCCTCTTTCTTAACCCATCTATCTTAGTAGAATGATAAAATATCCCATCATGATTTAGCCCAGTGAGATCTCAGATCTTCAAGCACCATGCTACGTAGTAGGATTATGCCAAAAGTCAAACCTCGCCTACCATAGTTAACTAGCGTCATGATGCCTACGTTATGTCATCCTGCGCTGATTTAACAATCAGGCAGCATACAGCGCAACCAAAGTAAAATAACATGGATGAAGAAAGGCCATGTTCAGATTAACTATTCGCATAAGCTATTAGGAAGTTTAATCGGAAAGAATCCCCATTGGTGGTGACGCTAGATTTCCGTGATGGTCAATGAAGGACTCGAAATAACCTAGGTACTAGGTAGGTAGATTACTCGGTGAGAATATACTGGGTCTACAAGTCTACAAGTCTACGGACGCATCGATCACAAAGGATAATCCAAGAATCAGAATCAAGTCCATTGAATCGCGTACCCATCAGTAGAGATCCCATCCCAGCCACGCAATTTAGATAACTCCCGGACACCTTCGCTAATTCCAAACATCCATAATGGATTTAGAAAGATCGATAGCAGGTGGTTGAAGCTCGCAACGTCCGCGCGAGTTCGATATCACAATCAATACATTTCATCGCATCGGGTCCAAGTAGAGCAGGAAAGACGCTTTTCTCCCGTGGACATGCGAGAGATAAGCGTCCAGTTCATGATCTTCATCAATCTGAAAGGAGACGTCGTTTCCGTTCTCGTCCGTGTCGACGCCCTCGATCCTGGTGACTATAGCACCAGGGAACCTGTTAGCGGAGAGCTGTCGCAGTTCGGACACGGTGCGTGACCCCAGTTTCTCACCCCACGTCTTCGATGCGGCGTGAATCTGGCTCTGTGGGCTGACGCGGAGATAGATTGGGATATGCAGAACCGGAGGCTCGAGCATCGGGTCCACGTATCCAAACGGGGGTCCCTCGTGATGCTGCGAACCAGCTGCAAAGGAAGGATCGTTAGCAGCTTGGAGCAAGGACGGGTCGATCTGCATGTCGCCCATCTCGCTAGCAACCATAGGTGCACTGGCAAGGGCTTGTGATGCCAACGTGCTTATGCCATTGCTGATATCACTGCTGAACGGATTGTCTGCAGTGGCAGTAGTATCATTCTTCGGGACAGGGCTCTGCTGCACACCATTCCCCTGATGGGAGGTAGATCGCTTGCGAGAAGGATCTCGTTTCGTTTGATCATCACGCAGTCGCTTCATGACATCGCGGCAAAGCACTTCCATAGCCCTCAGTTTGGTGGCGTGCTTGGGATCCGTAGGTCCTGGGGCAAGTATGCGCTGAAGCAGTTCTGATTCCCGAATCCATTGTTCCTTTAACTCCTTCCAATGCTCATCGCCAGCTTCTAGCTTACTGGTGAAGTGGTCGGCCTTCAAAGTGTTATAGAACGCATTCCGAATCTGGCGACTCTCCTCTGGGTTTATCCCAAGAGCGTTCTTAGCTTCCGCAATCGTCATCCGACGTTCCAGCGTCCTCATACGTTTGGTCACGTCGGTACAGACGACATCAAGTGCCAATGCCTTTGCATCAAGCTGGTTCGGGTCTTCCCAGAAGACGCTCTGTAGGTGCGGTGATTCCCGAATCAGACGGTCTTTTGCCTCCTGCCATCGCTCGGGACCGGCCACCGTCTTCTTGATGAAACCAGCCTCTTCGCAGATCCTCTGGAAGTGATCACGAATCCGTCGATACATAGCATTGTCCAAATTGAGATACTGCTTGCTCTCGTCGATGGTCGTCTCGGATGGGAAACGCGGCGGACCTGGCGGATCAGCAGGCAGACCTGCCCAGCCTCGAGTCCGACGACGTCTCTTCCGAGTAGCCCATCGTTCTGCGCTCTCTGCTTGTAACCGTTCCAACCGTTCTTTACGTTTCATGAGAACCTCAGGCGACAAGCCCGGTGATGGTGGTCTCTGCGGGGCTGGTCGGGGAGGTAGAGCTTGGTTTCCATCAAAGGCCGCGTCGTTCTCATAGATCTCCTGCTGCAATGCAAGCAACCCCTCGTCCTCCGTTGGTGAAGTCTGCGGCTGAACGGTAGAATGAGATTTCATCCCGTTGGGAACACGAAGGAGCCAGCGATTTTTGGCGCGCACGCGCATAAGTTCTCTTTCCTTGATGCTGAAGCCTTCCTCATTCAGGATCCGGAGCATATCCCGCTGACTCGTGTTGCATTCCCAGAGCTCCTTGACGCGCGCCACGAGACTGGCATTTTTATGAGCCGGATTCTGTTTCGAGGGAAATCCCCATCGTTTGAACTGCGTTTGGAAGGCGCGCTTACTAGTGAGGTTAAGTAAAAGTGTAAGCATCCTGAAATAGTTCTTGTAGTAATCAAAAAAAACGAACATATGCTATACGACATGGACGTGGGCAAACAAGTAGGAGATCTTCCGTCATTGGACTGGGACTCGTATACGATAGCTCCATCAGAAAACAAAGACGCAAGCAGTGGAGCTTACCTCGGAGCAAACTGGTGGTTTGTTTTCATATACTCCATGATCTCCTCCAGCGCCTTCTTGTCCTTGATATACATTTGGTAACATATGTCGCGTTTCCCCTCCCAGTCGTAAACCATGACGGGCACGCAGTCTGCGGGGGAGCACCCACCGCTCCTCGTGGACAAGCTGCTGGTATAGTTATCGGAAGAGTCGCGTTTAGAGCGGGAGGAGAGCGATGTCCGTGTGGACCGCCGTAGAGAGTCGAGTCACTTCCTGTCGCTCCTGTACGCCGTAGAGTTGGGAGGCGATCATCAGCAGTGAAGGCGGAGAGTCAAAGTGTGTAGTCACGTGGAGGCATCACGTGATATGCCCTGGTCTCTACTGGTAATTATGAACGATATTATTATTATTATTCCAGGCATCGCTGGCGGATCAACAGCATTCTAGTCTATCTAGAACAGATCTACAAAAGGATCCATGACCAGACCAACAATAGACTGATAGCTAAAATTAATCTCTAGATGCAACTGTATTTCCTGAAACTTGAAATCTGTATAGTATACAAGGAAACTGACCCAAATAGATGGGATTGTCCACCGAAGACAATATTTCGCTGGAGCAAACATCGCAGTACAGGAGCGGCATAGTTATAATCCAAGCCACCAGCTAAACACAGAGGACCGGGGCTCTCAAGGGGCAACACTCGGTCTGGCATGAGCTAGGAAAGATGATACCAGCAATGCATGCGCAACATTGTCCTGGAGTCCTGCCTGGACATCAATCAAAAAAAGAAAAATAACACGCAACAAAAGATGGCTTCCTGCCCAGATTATCATATATACAATATAACACATGTCTCACGGTCATCGGGATCGGCGTAGTTTCCGGGTGACTTTGAAAACTCGCGTCCGTAACCAGGTCAAGAAGAGCACCCACGTATTCCGCGTTTTGGTCTTCCACGGATGCGATCTGCTCTTCCCTGTAAGTGATGCGGCCATCCCGGGCCGGCCTTGCTCACCAGACGGGTCTCGAAGACTTGCGTTCGATGCCGGGCCTTCGTCTTCGCTGGTCTTCTCGGACACTGGCTCTTCAGGACCGGTGGCATCTTCCAGGTTGTCCACATCAACATCCCGGTACCTCTGCCACAGCTGCTTCTGCTTGCGCCGTTGTTCTTTCTCTTGCGCTTTCAGCTGTTGCTTTTCGTATTTACGGTTCTTGGCCGCCTCTTTCTCCTCGAAAGCCTGACGGGCAGCCTGGACCGTGGCCGCGCGAGAAATTGGATCCGGGTCAGTGCTGGTGCGCGTCTTCCGAAACCCGAAATCCAACGAGGATCGGGATATCGGTGAGATCGGTTCCAGAGCGCCCGTGCTGTCTCGGTTGTGGCCGAATGAACGCCTTCCAATGAACGTCGTCTGAGACGACTCCGAAAACCTGGGGAGAGAGCTGTCCCGAGTCAACTTTGGACGGTGGAACGACGTGCCTGTGGAAGTGACGGACTCCCGGATCAAGTCCAGACTCGAGTGACGGGGAAAGATCGTGTCAGAAGACGACTCGTCCGTATCCGCAGAAGGCTCGCTTTCACCATTGTAGTTCTGAAATGACTGGCCCAACGGAGGGGTATAACAGGACGGCGTCTTTCGCATCGGATGCACGTGCTGAGACGCTGATCTAGTCGTACTTGATGTGGTTGACGAGAATTGTGAAGCCCCGCTGACCGACCGATGATGAAAACCCGACGTGCTTCGGCGGATAGGGATACTGGTGATGGAATCACCGTCTTCAGTGTCCTGTTGGAAATCCGTCCGAATCCCGAGACCTTCAGGCATGGCTACTGATCGGGGGATCTCAATCGGGGGCGGGTGGCCGTCGTCAGATGTCCTTCTGATAGGCCTGAACTGCGTGTTCTTGGTCTTGCTCGTCCTGGCAAATCGCGGTTTTGGTGGTGTGAGAATGGCTGCTGTCGAGTCATTCTGCTGGTCCAATGGCTGTTGTAGGCCGAAACGCTGATGCAGATCTGAGATCCAGGTCTCCTCCGCTGAAGACAGATCTGGGTCAGGGGTAATGCCGAAGGAAACAGACGGTCGACGTTTCACTTCCGGAATGGACACCCCAGAGCCCGTCAGGGTCGTCGAACCGATTGAGCCCTTGGAGCCTGTGAATCTGGATGAAGAGCCGGATGACCGTTGAGAACTGTGAGGATGAGATCGGGGGAAGGTGGTTGTGGTTGGGCCGGCCATCTTCTCGAAGAGGGCGGAATCAATGTCCTGTTCGCTATGCAGAAACGGATCGGCTGCGTCCTTTTCAGAGATGAGTGTTTCTGCCGCCACTACCCCTCGAATGATCTGGGTATCAGGACAAGCCATCAGAAACGATGATATCGGCTGGGGGGGGGGGGGTAACACCCTCCTCTTCCTGGCGCTATAGGTAGTTAAGAGTCGATAAGGCTGGTTGAGATCTCGAGATGCATGTCGCCAGCGACTTGAACCGGACACAGGCAGCAAAGGTCAGGGAAATGCAACAATGCTGCAAGTAGCTGCGGCCGCGTCTCGAGAACTCGCGTCGATGAAAGTCCAGGACAGGACAATCCGGGGACTGATCATCGATGAGGAAGAGGTGCAGGCGGTGAGGCGGAGCAGACTGCGTGATCATCCCTGTCCGTCGCCCGCACAGACCAGTTGACCCGTTTCCAGAACGTACTGGCGTCAAGACTCGATAATCATTAATTAATTAATTAAGTTAATGATATCTAGTGAGACTTAATTCTTCCGCCGTCCCCGGTCTCAGGGATGAATCAGTTCATCAGTTGCAGATGCTGTGATAGTGGCAGACTGACTGTGGACAGACCAGAGCTGCAACAGATACAGCTTTGCTCACATATCCCCCGTACGTTGGACTCGAGTCGCGTGGTGATGGCCATTATTATTATTATTATTGCTGTGCCGCATGAACGCTGCCGGAGTAGCCGCGCACCAAACGGGACCGCTAGATATCAGCTAACGTATATGGTACATAGTTACGGATAGCAAGAATCTAACTTAGTCCGCTTCGTTGACTGCAGTCGGGTAACCGGTGCCGGCAAACCAACACACAATCTATGCGAATCAAGAAGTCGGGATGAAGATGATATTCCTATTCCTCATGGGCGGTGGATCAGGCCTGCATGCCGATAGATAGATATGGAGAAGATCCACGTCAGAACGAAGGATCTTCAGCTTCCAGAAGCATCGGATCTTGGCCTGGAAGGGCGCAGCCCTAGTGGGCATTCTGAGATGAGTTTCTTGAGGGGTTATTATTATTATTATCTACGGGATCTTGTGATCATCTGGATCATTGAGCCAGAGATGGATATTATTATCATGATTATTGTCAAGAGCATGGAGTAGCATGTTATTCGTACGATCTTTAACCGGAATCGCTTGGTGAGAATTACTAATGACAACATTGCGATCGTGATTGCATCTTTCGACACCGCAAGACTTAGCCCACGGCATGAGGAAGTGGCATCCCCTTTTATTTAGCCAGCTGGCTGAACAGTTTCATTTTTTCTTCCCCGTAGCCTGAATCGCGGGCTGATGCTGTGGGGCCGGGGCTGGATCTTCGAGTAGAGGAGAAGTATTTCCGTGGAATCCGTGGGGAATGGAGATACAGTAACTAGGGGTTGGTGACCCTCCAGGGATATTATAAGTTATTTATAGATCCGTGGTTAGATTCATGTGGGATAAGATAACAATACATAATAATAATACAATAATAATGATAATAATAGTCAAAATATAGACCAGGAAGAAAAATAGTTAAGGGATCATACTTACGGAAGATCTTAAACTGGTGAGCTTAGTGACTGAATCCCCATCTCCAAGACCAATGTTTCTCTCTTTCTCTTTGGTTAAGCAAGCCACAGTCAAGATCTGGACTGCGATAATGACCCTATATATAAAAGCCTCTTCATCTGCATTCTGCAATAATAAATAATACCGTCAAGACGGTTAAGTGAAGAGGCTGAGTTGATGGCCTCCCGGTTAAAGTCATGTTGACGGCGATGCTCTCTCACCGACGGTTAAATCAACCAGCGTCCCCCACCAACCGGCCTGGGCCCTTTTTGCCCCGCGTTGGTTTGTGGTATGATGTGTTGTTAACTGTATTATTATTGCCAGACTGACACCCCAGTTATTATTATTATTTATTAGTACTACTATACGATTTTTCTCAGGCTCAATTCCGGCAGTGCGTACTTGGGAAGGTTATATTATTGTCTTTTCGCACCTTTTAACTGTATACTCTGCGTCACGCAGCTTGAGACCGCTTTCCGCCACATAGCTAGCAATAAGGCAGTTGGCATTGCGCACTTCAGACAAGAAATATTCCATACATTATGTCGAACCTGAGTGAAACGGGAGAGGTGAGTTTAGCAGCTTACATATCCGAATGATAAATTAATCCAATCATCCATCCTACTAGAATCTCTCTTTCGTCCTCGAGGGCATCCACAAGGTCAAATTCGAGCCTCGTCCGGTCCCCGAGCTCAAGGACCCTCACGATGTGTTGGTCAATGTCAGATATACCGGTATCTGTGGAAGTGATGTACGTCTTCCAATGCTAGCTCCAAACTTGCATCATTAGAGTATACTATGTACAATACTCTGTTGCTCTTCGCACACAAGGTACTTACGTCTCTTGTCTACTTGCATAGGTCCACTACTGGGAACACGGTTCGATTGGCCAATTCGTCGTCAAGGACCCCATGGTCCTTGGTCATGAATCCTCCGGCGTCATCGTCAAGGTTGGCTCTGCCGTCAAGAGCGTCAAGCCCGGAGACCAGGTCGCTCTGGAGCCCGGCGTCCCCTGTCGCAGATGCGAGCCCTGCAAGTCGGGCAAATACAACCTCTGTTACAACATGGCCTTCGCCGCCACTCCTCCCTACGACGGTACTCTGGCAGAGTTCTACGTCCTGCCCGAGGACTTTTGCTACAAGCTCCCTTCGTCGATGACTCTCCAGGAGGGAGCGGCCATTGAGCCTCTCGGAGTTGCCGTGCATATCGTGAAGCAGGCGGACGTGCGACCGGGAACTTCCGTTGTCGTCTTCGGAGCTGGTCCTGTTGGATTGCTGTGCTGTGCGGTCGCCAGGGCGTTCGGAGCCAGCAAGGTCATCGCCGTTGATATCCAGCCGACTAGACTGCAGTTCGCGAAGAAGTACGCCGCGACCTCCGTCTTTGCTCCGGAGAAGGTGCCCGCCGTACAGAACGCGGCCCGCATGAAGGAGGAGAATGATCTCGGCCCCGGTGCAGATATCGCCATCGATGCGTCTGGCGCAGAGCCCTCCGTGCACACTGGTATTCACGTCCTGCGGACCGGAGGTACCTACGTCCAGGGAGGAATGGGCAAGGACGAGATCACATTCCCTATCATGGCCGCATGCTCTAAGGAACTGAACATCAAGGGCAGTTTCCGTTACAGCAGCGGCGATTACAAGCTGGCTGTTGACCTGGTTGCCTCAGGCAAGGTCAATGTGAAGGAGCTGATTACGGGCACGGTCAAGTTCCAGGATGCGGAGCAAGCATTCATGGACGTCAAGGCTGGAAAGGGAATCAAGACACTCATTGCTGGTGTGCGCGCTTGAATCCCTTTTTCCTCCTGGATGATGAGCATGAACCGCATTACGTTAGGTGTTTGGTGTTGTATAACGAAGCTAGCAATTTCCACTGGGGAGTGGGGAAAATCAGCGCTACTCATCATTTGAGCATATCTAAGTTGTTTGGTTCACGGCGGAGAGTTGTATCGTGTCCTGTGGGGTGGCAGGAGATTCAATGCAGTTGAAGCAAAATTATAGTTATGAAATTCTCTTATTGCGTCAGATCTAAGAGACTAGTTAATGTCCAAGAAATGGAAAACGACCGTTCTATATACGAAGAGACAAAAAGTTTCAAAAGCATGTCGTAAGGTTCGTAAATCAAAGGATCGAGTGGGTATCATGAAAAGAGAGCACAGGTGATGAAACTTTCTGAGGCGCGTGAGAGTCTTGATAGATGGAAAAGCTGACAAGAAGCACATGTACGAGAGCGTTAATAAAGCGAAATAATACCACCGCTTGACCCTCACAGGAAATGGACATTATTCAGATGAGAAGCTTCAGCAACATCCGCTCCGCCTTGGGACTGGTCCGCGGAAGACGCTCTCCCATTCTCTCATTCCTTCCGCAAGATGACTGGCGTTGGATCTGCCCGATCTCCGTTGAGTCGAGTACGGGGCATCGTCTAATGTCATGCCAGTTCTGGTACTGCTGCCGTCGCTGGTGCCAAAGCCCCAGTTCCCTCCATCGCCATACTGGATGCCACTTTGCGGATCGTCAGGATCGATCTCGCCCAGCTCGATCTTGGTGAGGATGATCCGGGCCAGCCGGTTGAATAGCTCATCCACTCCTTCTCCAGATAGAGCCGAGACCTCAACGGACGCAGGAATATTTGACCTTGCCGCCCATTGAGACGCCTCTTGGGGACTGACCTCGCGGCCTTGCGGTGCGATCGACGCCGTCATCCGTGTACCGAAGCCTGCTGTACCATTGGATCGCAGTGAAGCGCCTCCCGACTCAAGTGGGTACGATGACCACTTGCTCGAAGTGCTCGAAGGAGTGGGCGGGGGTCTTTGTTCTTCGTCGATATCACCATGCTCCACCGTGAGGTCTGTCTTGTTCCCGGCTAGTATCACCGTGAGGTGAGGCGATGCCAGAGCGCGCGCATCCATGAGGAAGGTCGGTAGAGAAGTGAATGAGGCATAAGACGCGACATCGTAGACCAGTATCGCACCGGCAGCTCCGCGGTAATATGATCTGGATACCGAGCGGAAACGTTCCGTGCCGGCTGTATCCCAGAGCTGTAACTTGATCCTCTTCTTTCCTGGACCCGTACCTACCTTGACTATCTTGGAGGAGAATTCGACTCCGATAGTCTGCGACGACAGCACTCTCCCTGTATCCATCAGCATTCGATCGTGACATGGAAAACAGCCGTAGGCGCCATACATTCGTTCTTCACAAATCGGTGTAGTAAACATGACCTTCAAGTGCCCCGCGTCAGCTTGAAGCGTGGAATCTCAATTGGGAAGGCCACACTGACTTTCCAACACCACTGGGTCCCAGCAAGATGATCTTTGCGAGATAATCATACATACTCCCGAGTTCCTGCATAGCCGCGCAACAGTCAGCATGTAATCTTTACCCGATCTATTGGGACTTCGAACGAGTGCGCGGAGCCAATGACAAGACTAAAGCGACTTACTTGATTACCCCCTGGGAGGGAGGAAGCCGAAGAGGCATTGGAGATCCTTCTGGGACGCGCCATGGCGTCCTAAAGGTGGGATCGGTTTCCAGAGCGGTGACTAGTTAAACAAGGGACTTATTCAGACGGTGATGTCAGTTAGAACAGTGAGAAATTGACGGCGACTCTTGCGCCTGCTAATACACTGAATCGCCTGGCGAGAGACGAGAGAGACCGGGCTACGAATCTCTCGTGGGTTGGCCCGGTCTTGCGATCAGACTGCCGATAAAGTGATGGTTATCTATCTATTCCGTGGAGGTACCTCATCATGTGACGTGCCGAGAACTTTAGCGGGATGGATGGAGATCTATCTAGATTCCATGTACTGCGATGGGCGGCATTATTGCTTACGGTCCTTTGAGGTGACATTGAGCCTCAAGCCATATTTGACCATTTCCAGGGATTCCCAGGGATTGGAGCTGCGATGTTGAAAAGAGGCTCCTTTCCTACCGGGGCAGCAGCTGTGCGAGCTCTCCGGCCGGGTGCTCCCAAGCTGAGTCGGTTTGCGATCCACCAGAATTCCAATATCGTCAGGCAATTCAGCGCTTCGACTTGTCTTCGCAAAGAGGAAAAGCCATCTTTCAAGGGGCAACTATACGAGAGCACCCATCAACGGTTGTTGCGTGAACGTGCGGAACAAGAGAGATTTGCACAGTACCAGGCACGATCACCGGGTCCCCGTTATGTAGCTCTAACAGTTGGTGAGTCTCGTTTTTTCAATACAACCATGCTAGTATCATGCGCAAACCAAGACAAATAGCTGACAACATTCAGTACTCGTCTTCCTGACCACCGGCAGCTACTTTCTCGGATCCCTCAAACCCGCAGCTCTCCCAACGTCTTCAACATCCTCGCTTGTTGACACCGCTCCCCCACGACATAACACTTCGACCTCGAATCTGCAAGCCGCCTGGGCCGATTTCGTCGAAATTCTAGGAAAGGAGAATGTCTCAACAGATGAGGCTGACCTCGGATTCCACTCCGGTTCAGACTGGTCGTCATATTCCATCAAGGAGAATGAGAAGCCTTTCCTAGTCCTCTACCCCTCGACCACGGAAGAGGTCTCCCGTATAATGAAGGTCTGCCATCAGAGAGTGATACCCGTGACTGCATACTCTGGCGGTACCAGCTTGGAGGGACACTATGCACCAACGCGAGGCGGCGTATGCATTGATTTCAGACGCATGAATCAGATTGTGTCTGTCCACAAGCGTGACATGGATGTCGTTGTACAGCCAGCAGTTGGTTGGGAGGAGTTGAACGAGGAACTCGCCAAGGACGGCCTATTCTTTCCGCCAGACCCTGGTCCAGGAGCTATGATTGGAGGTATGGTAGGGACCGGCTGTTCTGGCACCAATGCATACAGATATGGGACTATGCGGGAATGGGTCCTCTCGCTGACTGTCGTGCTTGCCGATGGAACCGTTATCAAGACGAAGCAGCGTCCGAGAAAGTCAAGTGCTGGATATGACCTTACGAAACTGTTTGTTGGCAGCGAAGGCACCCTAGGACTGGTGACGGAGGCGACTCTGAAGCTCACGGTCAAGCCAAAGAGCGAGAGCGTGGCTATCGTTAGCTTCCCAACAGTCCACGATGCCGCCCAGTGTGTAACGAAAGTGGTCGAGGAGGGTATTCAGGTTGCTGGAGTCGAACTCCTCGACGACGTTCAGATGAAATGCATCAATGCCGGCGGCCAGACGAGCCGGAAATGGAAGGAGGCGCCTACGATATTTTTCAAATTCACAGGGACTCCAAACGGCGTGAAGGAGCAGATTAGCATTGTACAGAAACTCGCAAAGAGTTGTGCCGGGCAGTCGTTCGAATTCGCCCGTGGAGCTGATGAGAACCGCGAACTATGGAGTGCACGCAAGGAAGCTCTATGGAGTGTGATGGCTCTGAAGCGAGGCCCTGGAGACCATGTATGGACGACAGACGTAGCTGTGCCTATGAGCAGATTGCCGGATATTATCGAAGATACGAAGAAGGACATGGTGCAGAGCAATCTCATTGCCGGTATTTGCGGTCATGTTGGCGATGGCAATTTCCACGGTAAGAAATCCTACCAGACTCCCCTATCTCTCTACGTTCCAATCAATACTAACTCAATACAATACAGCCATCATCCTTTTCAACGACAAGGAGCGAGAAGTGGCAGAGGGCGTAGTCCACCGCATGGTCAAGCGCGCCGTCGAGATGGAGGGAACCGTCACCGGCGAACATGGCGTTGGACTCATCAAGCGAGACTACCTTGAACACGAAGTCGGCGAGACAACAGTAGACACCATGAGAAGAGTAAGTCTGATCTCCCCACATCATATCCTACATTGTTGCGGCACCGATGTCGATATCATATCATATCACTATTCATCACTCCAGCTGCACAACATGCATGATTCTAACATGATTCTACAGCTAAAACTGGCCCTTGACCCTCTATGTCTCCTCAACTGCGACAAGGTCGTACGGGTCGAACTGCCAAAGCCGGGTGAGATCAAGGAGTGGTAGCGATTCTTCCCAAGAAGAACAGAAGAGAGATGAGAATCTTTCCTTGTACTCTATTTAACATAAAAAGCAGTCCTGTATTCTATCCATCTACCAGACACGCGCAAACAATGACATGTTCAAGAGAAAACACCCGCAGGTGTGTTCTTGACTTGGTATCCAATATATCTAATATTGAATTCATTACTTCAAGTAATACAAGGCACGGAGTGGGATGGTTTCGAAAATGGTATTCATTCATTTTCGGAATTTATCAAACTAAACTAAATCATCATCGATCCAATTCATCTCTCATTGCTACGTACGGGTCGGTTCCGTCCCGAGCTTTTTCTATCCCACTATCTACCATATGTTTCTTCTGTTCAACGCCACTGAACCTGACCGACAACACCCCCCGTGCATCATCTATCATCTATCATCACATCGGCAACTAAGGTATCAACTGACATGCTAACAAACTAAGAATGAAGGTGACGATTTTTTACTAATCGTCATCCGAACGATGGTGATGATGATGATGGTGATGACCATGACCATGCTCGTGTCTGCGCTCATCGTCTTCATAACGACGTCTGTATTTCTCTCTGTCGCTGTCATCGTCACTGCCGTAGCGACGCTCGTCTACCTCCTCACCACCGTAGCGGTAACCTCTCTGCTCGCGCTCGTAGCCGGAGCTGCCGTCGCCGCCGCCGTAGCTTTCCTCATAGCGTCTGCGGGTGATCTGCGTTAGATAGGGACCAGGTATAATACTAATTAGATAGTGGAGAAAGGGGGAAGATAGATAGACTTACTCGCTAGATTCATACTCGTTTCTACGAGGCGGATAGCTCTCCTGCCTGTATGTTTCGGAGTAGCCACCATCTCCTCTGCGGAAGGATTGCTGCTCATATTCACCGTATTCGCGACGGGGTTCGCCGCCGCCGTAGGACTCCACATAGGTGGAACGTTCCTCACGGCCATAGCTAGGCTGGTCGTATCCTCGTGACTCCTGTTCAACTCGTCCGTACGTCTCGGTACGGCCTCCCTCTCCATACCCGTAGCCGTAGCCTCCTTCTTGCCGGGTGTAGCTCTGTTCTTGACGGCCATATGTATCACCACGACCCTCCTCGCCATAACCGTATCCTTCTTGGCGGCCGTAGCTCTGTTCCTGACGACCGTAGCTCTGTTCCTGACCGTACATCTGTTCCTGACGACCGTACATCTGCTCTTGACGGCCATAGCTCTGTTCTCCATATTGCGACTCTTCAGTTCTGAACTGCGACTCATAGCGGCGCTCCTCACCATAACCCTCAGGGCGACTGTAGCTCTGTTCCTGATACCTATTCTCATACGATTCGTGTTGAGGACGACCCTGTGGTCGGCTGTACGAGACTTCTTCTCTGCGTTCGTAGCTCTGTTTCTCCGAAGTGTCACCACCACCGAGGACGCCACCGAGCAGACCACCCACGATGCCTCCCAGGGCACCGCCGCCCACAGCTTCTTGCGCAAGCTTCTCGATACGATTCGTCTCGGACTGGGCGAAGGAACCAACGCTTGCGTTGGGGCCAGAGCCAGAGCCTAACCCAGAGCTGAGCTTGATCGGCTTGCAGGAGCCGTGTCCGGTATCATGAACTCCTTCCTTATGGTTCTCTCCGTTACGAACACCTTCACGGCTCAACTGTCGACGGAGAGAGTTTCGACTTTCGTCATCCTGCCCACGCCACCAGTCCTCAACCGTCCTGAACATAATATGGCGGATGTCTGCGGCTCCATCGTCGCCTTGTTCGCGAAGGGCGGGGTGGTGGAAAACACCATGGACGATCCTGTTCAGGGTCCGGTTTATATCAATGTCCTCGTTATCCCAGCACGCCATCAACTGCGGAACAGTCCATTTGACGACTTGAGAGGCGACCAGACCGGCGGGCTCGTTCAGGACATTAGAAAAGTGATCCTTCGACAACATGGAGTGGGTGGGATCTGAACAAGTATCATCATTGAAGACAATGTGCTGCTGCTCCAGACTGCTTTGGATGACCTCTGAAGAACCTGTCTGCAGTTCCGTCTTGATCTGCTTAATGATCGGGAGTACGTATGGCGCAATAACCGAGAAGACAAAGACACTGAGCCGATCCTGAATCTGCTCGATGATCTCCGGCAGCACGGGAATCTCCTCAATAGCCTCGTTGATGCACTTCAGTAGGTTATCGTGCCACTCTAAGATTGGATAGATGGATTTCTGAACGTCAGACAGATAGTTAGTCCATTCTTCCGGCTCACGAGGGCTGATGTTCTCATTGTTAATCTTGGCTTCGTCGGATTTCGACTTGAAATCGTTCATCTTGTCCTCGTGGCCACCCCCGATGATACCCTCGGGGATCTTGTCGAGCAGAGCCTGCAAGATACTACCACTCGGTCCTTCGTTCTGTGAGTCTGAGATGGCACCCTCCAGCTCCTGAAGCTCCGACTGAGCTGCCCTGTCGGAGAACTCTCCCATGACGGAATGGAGGAAGTCGACACCACCGAAAGTGCCAGTGACGATAGGGTAGACAGGATGGTGCGCCCCTTGCAACTCAACCTGGGTCCTCCGACCAACATGAGGAAAGACATCGCGCTCTCCGAGTTCGATCAGACTCAATTCCGTGTAGTTGGAATGGGCGGCGTAGTCCTCAAGGCAGTGCAGACCGGTGCCCATCAGGCGAAGAGCCTCGTAGAGATCAGCCTTGTTCCCGGACCTGGCATACCGCCGGCCATGTTCAATGCAACCGCCCAGGACACGCTTCACAAGATGTGCTGACGTATTGATGCCGATGTCTTCAGTCGCGATGTAGTTTTTCAACCCTGTAGCAGAAAAAACCCCCACGGTCAGACATAATTTCTCTCATAGTAATCACACAGCTAGTAAAAAGACCCTACCGGTTCGTGGATCAATTGATAATTCGCGCTCCTCATCAACCGGGCCTCGAAGGCGACGGTCATACTGCCGAGCGTCCTCTCCGTCCGCATAACCGAGGGGGTTGTCAATATGTTCCGTGGGTTGGTAGCAACCCAAGCGCTCTGCGGTAACTTCAAACTCTTCGGTACCGTAGCTGCAGGAAGGCATGTACGTATCAGCAGACGAAGTCTCCAGCATCAAGATACATCCAGAAAGCATCACTCACCCAAAAGTGATAAAGCCCAAAACCCAGAGTAGAATCCGAATAGCTTTAGCACTGACATACTTGACAGTACCGACGTCGACAGCCTGACTGTAATCACGGAGCCAGTTCCCAAAATAAACGCGCTTCACGTCGAGCTTGCTGAATTTCTTCCCACCAGCAACGCGGGCCATGAGCAGCGTCAATAAAGCGTCTTCAACGTCTCCATGACGGAAATTCTGGCCTTCGATCCGCGCTAGAGAAGCGATATTACCAGCTCCAAAGGCATGAGCTGGAGATGCGAGAAGGACGAGAGCCAGGAGGCCTAGGAAGAATACAGACTGAGAGGATAGAGCCATGGTTCTAGTGAGGTTGCAGCCAGTTAGAATCAGATGGCCCAGGGAATTTGCATTCCACTGCAGGAAGAGAGAGTGTGAGAGGCAGCGGAAAGGGCCGGAAAGACTCACGGTTCTATTCAGTGTTAACTATTGAATGCTTGGTCGAGTGATAGTTAGAAAGTAAATAATATCAGGCCCCGAAGCAAAGCGGCGGTATGGTGAGGGGCCGACAAAGGAGCTGGGCCTCATGACGGCCCATTATTCTCCCAGCCATGACGGTCAGCTGGGGCTCTGGGACGATGACCTGCGATCCCTCTAGTGCCGTCTCGTCTCACCATTATTATTCGGTCCATGTGGGATGGGGCTTGTCTTTGCTGTCTTGTCTTTTTTTCATGGCAGCCTTGGCGCCTTGGCAGCGGGGTGCAGCGGCGTTGTTCCGTTCTATGTAGTCTGGTAGAGAATTAATACTTAATATTATTGCTCTAGTTGGTGATCGCTGTCTTCTCTAAGCTGCCAGATATAGAGGTTTGAAGAACACCAGGCTGTGGGTAGGATATAATAGATATAATACGCATCTGGAAATATGATTTTCTATAGAAGGCGGGACGCGGGGTGCTTAGACGACAATTTGAGTGCACGTTTCTTCAGTTTTGCCTGGTGCTATATCACCGTAAAAGAATAATAAATATCAACGAACGGCTGAAGAACTCTTAACGATTGACAAGCCGGATTCAGATGTCCTAGTTCCTCCTGATCAGCCCTCCACAGGGCTGATCGAAATAAATATCTCATTCTCCCTTTACCTCCGACATACCGATTACTGCTACTCCCACAGTCAACTGCGGATGGTGTGTACTTCTTGTTAGCATTGCGACAAATCGCGGGGACCGCTAGCTGAGCTTAGGTTCTCGCAAGATGGGTAGAAGAATGCTGCGACAGCAATAATCACATATGCTGCGATCAGCAGAGCACCCTCGAGATAGTTACTGCGGCCATCCAACATCAGATAATTGACGATGAAGGCCGATCCGAACAGGGAGACTGTCTCAAACAGACTGAAATACAGAGACATATCCGTGTTCAAACACCATCCCAGCAAGACGACCACCGGGGTCACAAACAGGGCGATCTGAATGCTACTGCCGATGGCTACCCCAATGGCCAGATCCATCTTATTCTTGCTTGCGACGGTGACGGCGGTGACATGCTCTGCGGCGTTTCCCACGATGGGGAGGATGATCAGCCCAATAAATGCTTCACTGACTCCCGTGCTCTCTACGAGATAGTCGATCGAGTCGACCAGGAACTCGGCGCAAGCCGCAACCAACCCGGTCGTGACGAGCAGCAGGACGATAGCAGGTGCTCGAGATAGAGCCGGCTTCCCGTCAGAGTCGTCCTTGGTCGCAGTCCGCTTGGGCGGAACCAGGTGTGGAAGCGGTTGAGCCAACGGGACAGCATTCTGGACTGGCAGACCGTGCAGACGGTCGGGAAGAGACGTCGTTCTCCGGAGATCGCGCGTGTCCTTACCATCGACATTAGTATTGACTGGGTGAGGGGTTGGAGCAAAGATGGTCGACGCCAACACGCGAGGCACTGGCGGGCGATAAGAGAGAGAGCGGATGTTGAACGAGGTGAGTGGTGCTTTGGCGCTCGTGATATCAATGGGATCCACTACCGGCTCCGATCCAGGTCGATCGGCGCTGGTCTCGCTCTTGGCATATCTAGACTGCGCTCGCTCGCGCTCTTTGTTCTTTCGCCAAGGGCGACCCTTCCGCTTGGTATCAGCAACAGATACCGTTGGGTGGCCAGGTTTCATCTGCTCCGCCTCAAAATCGCGAGAGCGAAAGTCAGAGAACGAGGGCGGCGCGGCCATGACCGCCGTTTCAGCGTCCGCCTCATCACCGCTGGCCACCGCGTCCGGACCCGGGGTAGCGCGAGCTGGCAGGTTGGCGGGAAACTCACTGGCGGACGAGATCTCTACTGTAGGGGCACTGGAAGAAAACGAGCGGACGAACGATGGCACCGAATGAGTGTCATTCGAGCTAGTGTTGGAACTGCGGCGTCTCTTCTTCCGGAAAGCCCTTCGAAGACGTTTCGCAGTCGTGTGGGAGCCGGAGGTGGCATCGCTGTCTTGGTCGCTACTGGACGAGTCGGTGTGTAGCATCTCCGCTAACACTCCCGGATGAGACTCCTCATCGATCTTGTGTTGGGGTGTACTCTCATAGATATAAGCATGCGATTTCAGCTGAAACAGCAAGTAGAGAAGATACACCAGAAGCAAGACGACACTGGTGCCCCGACTGACTTTGAGCACTACTTGGTCTGCCTTCTGCAGGTTGCTGAAGGAAGCGTGGAAAGCCGTCGGCAAGAGGAGACTCATGACGCTCAGACTGAGTAGACAGGCGCTCATCTGGGTGACCGCGGAATTGTAGAGCTGTTCGCGGAATCGTAAACCGCCAAACAGGAAACACATCCCCATGATGAGGAGCAAGTTGGCCAGGATAGAGCCCAACAGGGACGCTTGCACGATCTGGATCTCATTAGCCACTAGGGCAATGATAAAGATGATCAGCTCGACTGCGTTGCCAAAGGTGACGTTCATCAAGGCTCCGACGGTATCTCCCATCTCGGAAGCCACGCATTCTGTTGCATATCCCAGAATGGATGCCAGAGGGATGATAGCGACCGCATTGATGGCGAATACTACCGTCGGGCTGACAGGACTCTGGTCGCCCATGTTCCGATGGAGCGCTCCGAGGGCAATGCCAGGAGGGACGCACAGGAGCAGCCAGTTAATCCAGCTGGACAGGATGATTGTCTTGCAAGTTGCATAGATACGGAAAAAGACGTTGGGTTTCGACGACTCCCCTACGGGGGGAGCTTTTTCTCCATCGTGCATGTTCGTCTGCTCGGGTCCCAGGGAAGATGAGGACGACGGGCATCTCGTCTGCTCCGTCGTATCCTGGGCCGATGGCTGCTGAGAGGCAGACGCAGACCCGTCGGGCTTGGGCTCGACCGCGGAGTCATGATGCAGGTGCGGTTCATGTTGATGGCCGTTGGAGGAAACAGCAGAACGGTTCTCTATGGGCAGGATCGTCGGATCGTGTCTCTCATGCCGATGACCACCAGCTCCAAAAGGGTTGAGGTTGGAAACATATGCTTTAATCCGGACCCATCCACGGAGACGGTGTAAAGGAGGTTCGTCGGAGGATTCGTTCATCGAGCAATGACCCAGGACGACAGGTTGGCGATGTCAGCAATCAGCACGCTTTCCAGATCGGGAAGATGATGACTGCTTAGGATAGTGGCAAACCGATAACTGGATAGCTGGATAGTTCTCAGATGCTGTTGGATGGACTGCAAGTGAAGAGACGACGAGAACGATGATAGATAGGTCGATCGATAGATAGATAGATAGATAGGAGGGGAGGGTGTCCAAGGGGCACTGAGCCTTTGGAGAACCGCGGGCGAGCGATGGGAAGTGATTTAAATAAGTAGCAATCTGCCTAGAAAGTCAAGTCAGCGAGAAAGCTGTAACTTGGGGGAATGTCTGTCCAGTAGCGTTGAGCGCGCTATCACTGACTGACGTATTATGGGACAGTCCGGATAGCCGCATCGATAGCGTTGGGCAAGCCACAGAGTCAGACAGTCTGGAATAATAGTCAACTAGATACAATCACTGTAGATACTAGAGTAAAGCAGAGCAGAGTAAAGTAATAACTAATTAATTAGCCCAATCTGACAAACAGACAGGTCCCTAGTTTATCCACTTCTGCGGAATGTCCTAGTACGATTAATTCAGAATGTTCTCCATTTAACCATGATAAGATAATAAGATAATAATGATAATCAATAACAACCTTCTCCAAGCACAAAAAAAAATTGAAAATTGAAAATAAATAGCAGAAGCAGCAAGCTAGCTACCAGAACAGACAGACTGCAGTGTAAAGTGATTAATTACTTGTTGCTTTGTATGTATTTGTATTGTACATACTACTTCCAGTTCGTCGACAGCCACGCGGCAGCAGATCCAATGGTTGTCCCGAACTAATCCAGAATTACAGATAGATCATTTTGACGGGCAAGAATCTCGATGCAAGGGAGAGGGGCGATGGACCTGCATGGCTAATATTAATATACACCAACTAGCACCACGCTTGTCTCATCTGTTCTTTTCTTTTCTTTTCTTTGGTTTTTCTCGCCTCTTGACTGCTGTCTTTTCTGTCTTTTCTGCGTATCTCTGATTCTCCCCTGTTCTGTTCTAACTAACTATACAACCAACTCTAAGTACCCCGTTCGGGGGATTTGGACTCCTCAACGAGATATTCAACACTGTCGCTCGTTCAAGGCCACTTCGCTCATGTGGCCAATAGACTGATACAAATAGCAGCACACCATCTCCCATCTCCTGAGGCAGTCATCAGGCTGTGAATCTAGCCGGTTCTTTTCTTTGATCTTCTGTTCGCCAATACTAATTAATGCCTGTCTTGCTTCACTGGATCTCATCGGCCTGGTCCATCTTTTACCCCGCATCAAGCACTTGTTCACTCCTTTAGCTTCAAGCATTCCCTATGCTGTATGCGAGTCGGATTTCGAGCCTGGTACTAGCTTGCTTACTTGCATTTCTGCCTCTGCCCGCTCCCTGTGGCCTGGCAAGCCTCCCAGCCACGGTCCCAGCCTCGCGACACTAAGACGGTCGTCGTACCCGAGACAAAGCGTTGCCAACATCAATCTGTCGAGCGTCGGGATCCTGTCAGGTTTGGCATTTCCGCGTTATGATGCTGGTGGAAGCTCCCCCGCGCCAGCGGAGGCTCTCGTTCTCGCAGCAAGTACATCGGTTCCTGAGTGTCAATCATAAAGATGACGGAGTGAGTTTATTTTCTTTTCTGTGTACCGTTTTCTGAAAATATAATCATGCTAACTTTTCTCCAAGGTAAAGCGCGACCCTTCTCCCATGGCACCAACTCGCGCATCTACACATATGCAGTCTCGACCAGTTTCGGGGTCGGATATCGCCAATGCAGGCAAAGGTCGCAGGCTAAGTTTAAGCAGGAGTCCGTTCTCTAGTCGAAAAGAGAACGGTGACTTGCGGCCAGAGTCACAAAATGGAAAGTCACAGGATGCGCAGCAGAAGCAACAGAATCAGCAGGCTACTCCAGCAGAAAATGACCCAAATTGGCCACTTGGACCTCCAACGCTGAACGACAAGAAGCCGGAGAGGCCAGAACAGCCAGCTGAGACAGCCCGCCGATCTGATACGGACGATATCTGCGTTTCCCCGTCTTGGGATTCCGCAGAGCAGCGCAAGAAGCAACGGAAGGAGAAAAAACGCATGGAGAGGGACCAGAAGCAGCTGGAAAGGGATCAAAAGGTATTCGCAAAACGCCTAAAGCAACTGGAGGAGGCTCAGGAGAGGCGAGAGGGAAGATCTTCGTCTCGTCGCCTAATCAAGAGACAGCCACTGGCGAATTCGAGTCGAGCCTCAAGTGTAAATGCAGGGACATCGCGAGAGTCGTCTGCTGGACCTATATTCCATCGGCGCACAGGCTCTTCCCGTGCCTCTTTTTCGAGCTCTTCTCACAGACCCGGCAGTAATCACGGGAACGAGCCAGTGGTGGATTCGATTGAGGCGACCCTGGCTTCAGAAAATGCAAAGGGGGATCCGTCCTCGATGCCTCCATTGTCAGGAACCTGGGCTGAACGGTTTGGACCGACAATGTCGAAGGACTTGGCTTTCAGCTACCGACGCGCTTTCGCCAGCTCTCGGTCAGAGGAGCCCTCCAAGCGATCTCTTCATGCTACAGCCAAGTATGCGGATTTACGAAGCACTGCGCAGTCATCTCCAGTTGCTGGAGAATCAAGCAGCTCCCCTAATCCAAGCTCTCTTGAACGCCGTCCTCTTTCTAGTGATAGCAATAAGTCCGCCAGGTCCCAGATCAATGGCTCTGATTACAGCGTGTCAAAAGCAGAGACCAGGGGGAAGTCAAAAGATATCGACTGCTCCTCTGCTACTGCTTTGCAAACGAAAGACCGCACCTCCAAGACGGACTCACCCATTATCAAAACGGAACATCTTTCTGGCTCTTCGAAAGATTCTCAATCTGCGGCCAATGCCAGCGTGTCTATGGGAGGAGCAGTCAGACGATCAAATATTTCTCAAGGGGCTAATAACGACGGTGCTCAGTCACAACGTACCAATGCCCAAAGAGTCGATCGTCCTGCCAGTGCCATATTCTCTGGAACGTCAACACGCTCATCTTCAACAAAGGAACAGCCCAAGGCCCCTGCACCTCAAACATCTGCCGCCAATACCAGTCGCCAAAGAAAGCCTGGTTCATCTACATTGGTGGTAACTAACCCAGATAAGCCTGATCCAGGATCCCTTGAAGATCCCAAAACGGCTCCTTCTCAGTCCAACGATGAGAAGCAAAGCACCTCGAACAATTCTCCTGCAGATACAGCACCTACAGATGAGTCTCAGCGGTCAAGGCCAGGTTTCGCTCGTAGACTTTCGCTACGTCTTGGCCTCGGGGACAAGAAGACGGTCGAGGCTCGAAGACGCAGCGACATTGTCCCATCAAGCAGTTCAAAGGATGCTAAAACCGCAGACCCGTCGATACCTGTACTCTCCAAAGAGGCCGTGCTGGCGAGCATACAAAGTTCAAGGTCGAATCCATCCGGAGAGCCAGAAAATAATTCGGCCCGTCCAGCTTCATTTCTCCATCCCAACAGTGCTCTCACTCTGGGACGTTCTGACCGTCATGGCCAATCATCTGGAGCGATGTCAGACACCACCAGCCAGAGATCCGTACACTCTACACAATACGAGTCCATTTCAGAGCTGGAAGAGGACAAACAACCCGATTCCCCGACCCGGAGCGTCTCTTCCAATGACCTAGCCAAACAACCATCACGTCGTTCCTCCGTAGACAGCGTCTCCGACGGCTACAACACCGCACACGAAAACTTCTCGACCGCAGAGTCCCTGGGACGCGCATCCCCTGCCATCGCTGCAAATCACGTCCCATCCGTCCCAACCCGGAATAAGAGCGATGATCATGTTCCCAGCATCACCACAGCCAGCAATCCATCATCATCGTCCCCTAAAGAGCAGTCCAACATTACCCCGTCTCCAACAACAGCCATGATCACCAGCAACGGCACGAGCAGCAGCAACCACAATAACAAGAAAACAACCGCTCTGCAACAATCTCCAAAATCCCTCGCCAAAATCTTCGTTATATGCTGCCACTGCAAATTCTGGCACGACATCCCCTCCAAAATATACGCCACCCTCGCTCTTCCGGACCACTATCACCACCACAGCAACAACAACAACAGCAGCAGACCTTCATCTCAGCGAACCAGCTCCACATCCCCCCTAGTCCCCCTCAACCAGCGCTCGAACTCAATCCCGAACTCAAATTCAAGAAGCGTCAAATGCTGCTGGTGCAATCACAACATGAACAAATCATGCTGTGAAGGATGGACCACAATCGTGTATAAGCACGAGAGGCTTCATTAATTTGGTTTGGTTTGATTTGGTTCACTTCTATTATGCTTGCCGCTTACTTTTTTTTTACTCATTTATCCTATGTTATAGATAGGACGCGGCAAGATATGAGATTTATGATATGGTATGATATGATATGATAATGTGCCATGAAAAAAAAGAAAAATGATATTATATTAGTTATGATATTACCTTTGTTTTTGCTTTTTCTCTATTCGAGCCAATAGACCAACTACCTACCTAACTATCCAACCAGACAACAAAGCAATAGATCAGATGTAACTAACTAGTATGTAGTTCCTTCCTAACCTACGCGTAGGTATGTATATGTGAATGTATATGTCATATACATACTTACCATGCGGGCTATTACGAATCTACAACAAGATAACATTTCGAATTCGAATAGAAATCAAGATATGAAATAAAATTTCAAATCCTTCATAATTTTACACTTGAAGCTTCCAAGAAAGAAAAAATGAAACAAGAAAAAAACGAAAGGAATCAATTTCTCTCCTCGATTTGTTTTAATTATTTTTTTGACCCTCCCCACCAGTTAGTTTTCCGTTTCAGTTTCGCTGCTCCTCAAAGCATCATCCATTAATTAGTAAGCTGATTTGTTCTGATTATTCAGTTCCGTCATCCCTGAATTTTATTAGAAAGGAATCGTCGAAAAAAGGCCGAAAGAACACTTTTCGAGAAATGAAGAAGAAGAAGAAGAAAAAAGAGGACCAAGAGGAAACAGGGGGTTCTCTCAAATATCCAGCAGAATAAGTTCCCCCCCTCATTTAGAAAAAAAAGAAGAAAGAAAAGAAAAGTAATTGCTTTTCCAGCCAGAACCAAACCAGAAAGAAATTACACGAAGCATGAAATCGCATTCATGTCGTGAAGTCAAGCCAAGAGTAAAAAAAAAGAAAGAAAAAAAAAAAGAACTAAAACTAAGCATGAGAACCGGATTTGATCACCCTTGAAAATACACGCAAGCGCAGGATCTGGTAGTACACAGGTATGGTATTGAGAAAACAGCGAGGCTTTCGTATCAGGCTTCAAAAAGGAAAACAATTTGTCGTAAACCATAGGTGGGGTCAAAATTTCTGAGCCAGCCACCCCGTTATCATGCAGGCGTGGGTCATTTCAACTGTCCATATTTTCTTTTCTGTTTTGTATGCAGCCATCTTGTAGTGCAAGGAATTGTTGAGGCAAGCCTCAATGAAGAGAGGTGTGAGGATGATTTTTTGTCATCTGTGACTGGCAGGAGAGACCAGGGTCAACACCGGGTTGACATGTGGAGGAGGTTGGTCGAAAGGATAAAAAACGGCTAGAAACCGGAACGGGATGTATGTTGTTGTGGTCACAGCTTATGGGGCGACCACATCGTAGCGGCGACCTTTTCGCGTTCGATGTCTGTCCGCTTTCTCATACGTTCTGCGTCATTCGCATCGGCACCTGCACGGCTTCCCCATGCAGTCTGCAGTGACAAAGATTCGTTAGCTCAAACAATAAAATGTAGATCAGTTGCTTTAAGCCGGGCAAAACAATGAGGTGGCCTGGGGGTGGGAAAACGGAAAACGAGTTGCCATTGCCATCGGAGAACCTCGTGCCTCAATCATCGGAGGCAACGAAGGCGTCTGAGACAACATAGCAATGTGAAGGTCTCTCTTTTTTGTTTTTCGCCTCTCTTGCGGCAACATCCGATATCCCCAAATAAGGTGAAGAGACAGAGCCAGCAATAATGAAGTATGTAGTATGGCCAAAGATAGCACCGCGCTGCGACCAAACTTCCCGCAGTCCAGACCGGAGCGCCCGAAATGGGAAGAACCACGGGACAACACACGGAAGGTAAATGAAACGAGAGACAGCGGGCTCTTCTGAGTAAGAGAGGCCGCCTAAGAGAGCAACGACAACGGTGGGGGGAAACTGGGGCACGAGGAGAAGAGAATAGGAAGAGGCAAGTGGATAGGGAGGGGGGTTGTGCCTAAGACCCTAAGGTCGGGGGCGAGCGACAACACTGGCGAACCGACAGATGCCAAGTGCTGGGCCTAGGCCACAACTGCTCAGCGCCTAGAGTACACGCTTGGAGTCTCTAGCCGGGGCGCGGAGGGCCTTAAGCTCACAGCTAAGTGTAATTTGCCCGAGAGACCACGGGGACAAGGTTCAAAAGGTCAAGATCTCAGGCTTCACTTACCACCGAGAGAGTTAAGACGGCGTACATCTTGATGCCGCCATGGAAATAGCCGAACAGGATGGAGACGGGCAGCAGGAGGAAATCGATGGGATATCGGGTCCAGTGTCCAAACAGCTTGATGAACTTGCTGGTGAACATCCAAGCCGCCAGCAGCTGCATGGCCAGGAGATGCGATTCGTGGTCCCAGAGCTCGGTGGCTTTATGGCAGAGGAAGACGAGAGCCATGTCACCCAAGAGCGCCGGGGGGGACAGCGTCGTCAGATGGACGGCGTAGGTGCTCCACGGCTGGCGACTGTAACACAGACCCCTAATGTTAGCGTTGCGGCTTATAAGATACTTCTGTTTAGTTCATGTGTCTTGCCAGATTGGGCTATCTCCACTCGGCGATGGCGCTGACCCGCTTGCCGTGACCCGGTCATCGATTGCAAGACCAACACCACCAGTGAGTGAGGACGCAAAGGGCCGATCAGACGAGCAGGCCCAGGAATGGCTCGATGAGCCTGTCATTGGCTCGTGCAGCCAGCTGGGACACGGAAAAACAGGAGATCCAGGCACTATTACTTACTACCAGATATGCTTTTCATCAAACATGCTCGTGAGATTGCTCCTCCAATTGCTCCGTGACCACCGCGCGCATTGTTTCAGGAACTTCGGGTTATCCTCCAGCGTCGTCTGGACCTCAGCCTCCGGGTGGTACTGGATGTACGTCTCCCAGCCGTGAGACACCATCCACCGCGTTATGAAGTTGTCGTCGTCCGCGTTCAGCTGATACTTGCCAAACCACCAGCCCTCATTGGTGAATGCGTGCGTAAAGCCCACGTCCTGGAGGATCTTGCTGCGGTATGCGACGGTTCGTCCGGACAGGCACGGGACACCTCCATCTATATGCGTGGTGGCCGCACAGTCGAAGTTGCGCCGTTCCAGGTAGAGAGCTCCCAGGAAATTCCAGACATATTGAGCGCTCCAAGTAAAGGGAACGCGCCGCAGTCTCTGGCATGTAGCAACCCCTCCATACTTCTCGTCCTTGTCAAACGGCGCCAGGATCCAGCGCAGCAAGTGTGGTGGCCAGCTCACGTCGTCGTCCGCGAAGATGGTGATGGCTGTGCGGACCTCCGGGATGGCTGCTGTCATCTGGCGCCGTTTGTTGGGATGGGTCACAGTAAACAGACGAATTCGAGATTTGGACGCGGGCATCGTCGCCAGCATCCTCTCCGCCTTCTTGCGGTTCGCCTCGATGGTCACCAGAAGCAGTTCGAAAGGCTCGTTTGCCAGGATCGTGCGAATCGTCTCGAACAGCTCATCTCCGCAGCCTTCAAGTGTGGGGATGATGACGGAAACATCTTGGGAGGTTAAGGTCGGGTTCTCTGGCGGTTGGATTGGCTTGAAGGTCCAGAACGCGAACAAATTGACCACGAGTCTGAAGTAACGGTAGAAACTGTAGAGGACATCGATCAGCACCATATGATCAATTCAGTCCCAATGGACCTGGACCAAATTTGACGCAATTGCTGTTTCTAGATTGGTCCAAATGCGGGGGGAAAGAAGAAGTAAGTACTCACAAGAGGGCTATAAAGGCCCGCATAAAAGGGAACCCCATGATGATGGTGATCTGTATCTCTCTTAATCCGTCTGGATGCAATGGTCCAAGGGAAAAGGGAAAGAGCTGCTCCTCCAGAAACTTTCAGAAGTGAGGCAGCTCCAGGTAGAGGGGATGAGCAGAGACCGCAATAAATAGGACCATTGAGGGGAAATGGTCACACAGCCAGCAAGTCCAAAAAAGATTCGCCACCGTACCAGAAGGAGCGGATTGAAACCAGTGAATGAAATCTCCGTTATGAAAGAAAATAGCCAGTGGAACCCGTTTGATCAGAGATCAGAGATCAGAAGAACAAAGCGAATGAATCTCTCCCGGATTCTGGAGGAGATAGATTGAGAGATGTGTGAGAGATAGAGAAAGCCAGCCACGGCTTGATCTCTTTTTGTTGTTTCTTTCTCAAGATGAGAGAATGAGAAAGAAAGAGAGGAAGAGAGAGAGAGAGGGAAGAAAAGAGAAAAGGGAAGAAACCGGGGAATGGAGAGAGAGTGAGAGAGGTTTCTAAAAACTACTACGACGACCAAGACGGGGAGAGTCCGTGAAGCATTGAGTTTTATTTGTAGCCAACTGAAAAAGTACAGGACAAGCTATGGCTAGCTAATCTAGAAAAGCACGAGCCCAAAACGGTGGCCGGGGGGAGGTCAGAGCATGATCCGGAACCAGATAGTCAGTTCAGTATAGTAACTCTAGTACGGCCAAAAGAGCTAACGGGTCCAGTTTTGGAGATTGTCGTTTTGAGAGGCGTGCAGCTGTATTTTTCCCATTCGCGCATCCCGGGCCGATCTAGATGGCGAAGATGTTGACTAGTCCCGGGGCCAGATAGCGTGGAGGGGGTCGAGGGTGGTCGATGCTGCGATTTGGACATGACAAGGATGGGGCCGGGGCCGGGGGGTGTGGATGGTTGGTCTTCTTTCCGTGCTGGGGGAGGGGCAGTACTATTATTTTTTTTTTTTTGGTGATACAACAACCTCAATTAATGAAATTCTAGGCACGGTCCATACAGTGTACATCACCCGGAGCGGGAAAGGGTAAGCCAAGGCGATCGCGTCGAGGTTTGTCGAGTGGAGGCCGTTGCTTACCACCGAACAAGTAATTCATCGGCACCGGTGGAGCTGATGCACTCGACCAGATACGCTGCAGTTACTGGTTTGGTTGTGCTCGTGGGCCATGGGAAATGATAAGAAAGAAAAAAAAAATAAAATAACAGATGATGGGAGAAGGAAGAAAAGGAGAGGAAGGAAGAACATCAATCAAATCAGATCCGGGAATTGTACCGTATTGCTGTTTCTGTTTCTGCCATGTTGTATGTATATACATGTACAATGTAATTTTATGATGAGAGTGGTAATCGGAATTGGATAGAAAGAATAGTTAAAGAAATTGATGGTGAGAAGCTGTCTGTATGTCTCTATACCACCACCACTACTACTACTACTACTACTACTACCATTACTATTACTACTAATTAATTAAATAAATAAATTAATCTACTCTAATAGAGCATGTTGCCTCTTTAGCAAGCCCCATGGCTGAAATTACACACGAGACAAAATACTCCAGTGCACGTGCTCTGTCATTCCTGCAGGAATTGATCACCTCCAAGCGACACAATAATAATAATAATATAATGGCGATGCGATCGATGGCTTTCTTTATTTTTCTGTTCCTATGACGCTTTTGCTCCAACTGGTCGTCCAGGTCGAGCCCCCTTCCCAACTCCTAGTCCATCCCTAGCGCTTGCGTCAAGCGGACAGGGAACAAAAGAGGGTGCGTCTGCCAGCCAAAGAGCAAGCAGTAATACTCTATAGTCTAGCGACACCCCCGGAAGAACCCTGGGCAACCAGCAGCATGTGCGTTCGTTTCTCGAACTAGCGGGGTCTGATCAACATCAGGTCCCGTGTGCCTTGCTGGCGTCATCCGGTGTCTGGATGGATGCTCTCTTCTCTTTTGCTCGATCGAGCTTCCTGTCGCCATTGGGAAGTCGACTGGATACGAATGGCCAGAGGAACAGTTGCCGCAGACAGCCATTGAGTCTGTATGCGATCCTGAAAGGAAATCACAAAGGTTTACTCGCGTCTATTGGGGCTGCATGGCGTCGCGGCAGCTGAGATCGCATATTTCTAAATATATGATATCAGAGTCACAAGATGTCACCCTCGCCGCCATCCTCCAGGACTCAATGGTCAGCAAATACGGCCTTACACGTAATCGTGATTGATCCTCAGGATCCTCTATAGTCTAGTCTCGTCGATGCCCACCAAGACGACTTGCTAGTACCGGGGGGACTTCCGATGAAAGAGGTGCTGTTGATAATAAGAAGGATAATAAGAATAATAAGAACTGCTGGTATATTACTGCTAGCAGTTACGTACTTACTACTACTCAGTACTCCACACATGGAGAAGCAACACGCAATGAAAACAAAAACACCCGCTTACGTTTGGCCAGATGGTCACACTAATTAGAGAGAGTTACACAATAATACGATATAGTACGACGAGCGTACCAGCAGGACAGTGGATCGTGCTACGGATGATCGATAGATAGTCATCGAAGACGCGGATTTGTCAATTCAATTCAAGACTTACCTGACTCGGCCGGCGGCTAGTTCGCGCTCGACTCGACGACAATCTGGTAATTAAATTATTACCATGATAGACGAGGGAGGTAATAACTACTATTTTCTGCTGCTGTCTGGAGAGTAGGTAGTAATCATCAGTTAATGAATTAATTGGTTGGTTCGTTATTAGTTAGTACAATCACTGCCTAGAGGATATCGGAAGAGTGCAAGCCTGCAGTGGGGCCGAGGAGCGGTTAGATTGCGTAGTGGGCTTGTTCGGGGCTTTACCATAACTAACTGGACTGGGCCAGGGGAGAAGAAATTGGAAACGGATGCTGGATCGAGCAAAGATGAGATGGACCCGTTCGTGCTTTACAAATAATAAATTCAAGGTTAGCTGGACGGGCCGTAATTAACGAGAGAAGTGGACAGCAACTCGCTCTGACTGCCAATTTGCGGTTATTTTATTCACCACCAACCGCAGATGATTGTTAGGATGATTGTTATTATTAACTTGGCCCGTGGTTCGTCTGTCAGTGCCGTCCAACGGCTCAGCAGGAGCTTGGATAACCAAGAGGTCCCTGCAGAGCGCCGTCAGACAGGGGGGGCTCTTCGGGATGACAATTAACTAATTAGCTAACTAGGTATCGTCTCTCTGTCTCGTTCTCTCTCAATCTCTCTGTCTCCCTCTCTCTCTAACTGTATTATTCTCAGGTATCCAGTCTCGAAAGCAAAGAAAAAAGACTGATTGACGGCCTGCAGCAGACGGACGGTCGAGATTACGATCTTGCGACGGGGACAGAACCAAACAAGCTGACATGAATGGGCGTCTGCTGAGGATGATCCGGTAAGAAGCCGTGAGACTGGAGAGGATAACATGCTTTGTATGGCGATAATGGCTGCCGAAGTGGGCTGGAGTCGCGCTAACGGCAGAGCCGGAGGATGCGCTCGCAGGTCTGAGCTCCGACCGAACGCAACTTACTCAAGCCACTAATTACTCCGCACAACCTGCAACGCGCGCCAATACGATAAACCGGGCGCTTGAGGAGCTCGTGCTCGTGCTCTTGCGGAGAACCAAGCACGGTAAGTTCACCCTCTTTACCTCCTCCGTCGTTTAGAGTAATAATAATTAATGGATTATTACTCACTAACTGTCGCTGAGCAATTGTCCCTTTGGTCCGTGCAATGGTGTCGTTGCGCTTGGTGAAACTCGAGGAATTCCGAGCTGCACAACGGTCTAGATTTTCAGGGGTAGGATACTACTATCTACTACTATTAACTACTACTACTACTACGGAGTACGGAGTACTACTACTACGACGACGAGAAGATATCCGATGATTATCTCTGTGCTAGCCTCAATATTATTCTAGTCAGAAGGAAACTATCTACGGACCCGAGTCCCCCAGATGGAACATACCGGAGCACGGATCTGATTTAGTCTTACTCTGCACTAACTATTAATTAGATACTCGACTTGACTCTGGAGACAGCTCTCTCCAACCGGAGATTCCGACCACTCAGTCCCTTCTCTGCCGCGGTTTCCACCTTTCTCCTGCTCGAGAGGCGGGGCCTTCCGGGGGATTCTTCCAAACTCAGTCCGTTGAAAGCATCTGCAGGTAATAAAATAATATTATGAAGTGATTAGTACGAAGCGCCTGCTATTGCTCATCCGGTGGTGGATGGAGCTGGCGGAGGGCCACTAGTCTCGAATCAACTGGGTGCACCGGCAATGAGCTGCTGCTTGTTCGGTCGTGGTGCAGGCTGTGAGGTACAACAGCGGAACAGCCCTTGGCCTTAGCGTGTCGCGTCCTCGGCAATCGTTTGGATGCAGCGCTGTCAGGTCAGCCAGTCGCCAATGTCCCAGTGAGCGTGACGTTCGAGAGCTCTCCTGTTTCCAACCGGGCTGTCTGTCCACTCGATTCGATTATTTAGTGATGCTAGCCAACACGTACCTAGGGTGTCTCCCTTTTCTTGCATGTGGTCCACGAAGTACCCTCGGCTGTCCATCCCGACTTGTAATTTGATTAACTAGTTACTCCGTCTCTCCTGGATTGATATTCACCCCCAGCAAAGAAACTATTGCTTTGTCGGGGAGTATCGCCTAGTAGATCATTGTGTCCAATATCGATCCCAGCTGCAGCTCTCCTCGTGGAGGGATACCGTTCAGAGCAACGGCCTTGGGGCTATAGTTATACACACGTCTTGCGACGAGCTCTCGACCACCTTGCATCACTCGACATGAAACTAAAACCAAATAGTGTCTGCACGATGGTGACCTGACAGCGGGCCGTAGCTGCCGCTGTCAATCGATTTGAGTCTGGCCTGGATGTGGGTTGCTTCCTACTGGATGCGGGTCCAGATCGTAGTCAACATGGTGAGGGAAAAGAAAAGAAAAAAAAAAAGCAAAGATGGAAATGTTAAATGACAATTTATCTCGTCTTTTCTCCCCCCCTTTAAATGATACGATATATCGTCATTGTCGATCTCTGACGAGTCAAAGGGCCTCTCCCTACGTGGCAGAGCCATTGTCCAACGGTGGAATTCTATACCTGCCCAGCAATATGCGGGAGGCTCTTGTGTGTGGTTGCTTAATTAGAATCATAACTGCCGCTCGACTACTAGTCCAACAGTCTATATCTAGTCTTGCATAAGCAGGCCCTGAGGCGCCCTGTGCAAAGAGGTTCGTCCAACGCCCAACGGCTTGCTCGCATCTTGTGCTAGAGTACAAATGGCCGGCCATCTAACCGAACGCCTTCTCGTTGCATAATTTCCACCAGATCCCTGCTAGCCCTGCTGTGTCGCCTCTACTTACTCCGCTAAAAATCTCTTAAGCGATGCAGCTAGCCCGTACTCATTTTTATGCAAATCCACAGTGATGATCCAACAGGGCCACCCCCAGGTTCCCTTTTACCTATCTAGTAGTAAGTACAGACACTAAACGCCGGTACCCCTCCATCCTCAGATCTCCAGGGATTGATCAGGAGAGAGAAAAGTTCTTTTTTTTTTTTTCTTCCTGCTTATGCACGATTCAGTTGCTGCAGGATTACAAAAGTTCCGAAAGTTTCTGAATCTGAATCTGGCAACGATCAGGATCGAAACGGGTCCAGACACACGGCTTAGATGCACGTCGTATCCTTTCTTTCCTTCGGTGAAAGATGAAGAGAAACTTAAATTTTGGACGGGAGTCTAGTTGCTTGTAGTTCTTTGTTTAATGATAATTATAGATCTATACGATTATATTGTAACTACATGTACATACATACATGAAATTTCTACCCAGTATATATACACACGTAGTTTGCGCGTTTGCGCTTTCCAATATATACTGTATATACATATGTCTAGTTTACTGCATCGATTATCTTTCTGTACGGTCTCGAACCAGGGGTAATTATCCTTGCAATCAATCAGTCACACATTCTTGAAGCTACTCGAGAATGTAGAATGTACGCATAGACGACGATATGCGTATCTTGCAAGTCTCATAAATGTGGCGGGGTCATAACTAGAGTGCATAAACAGGGACTTTCGGTTTTATTGAAGGTAAGTAATAGGTAATATCTTTTGGTACCACTTATTCTGTAATATTAATCGCATTAACTGTAGTTTCTATATTCTTGAAACTATCATGGTAAAAAAGAGTTTATGTAGATAGGCGCAGAATAACTCTTTTTTTTTGTCCGCAGTAAAATCGAAGAGTTTCTTTTTTTGTTGTACAGTAAGAGATCATCGAATCAGAGTACTCCGTTTCGAGCCACGAGAATAGTCACCCCCTAGGAATATACCCTAGGATAGCACTCAGTGTCGTTCAAAGCGAGAGAATAGACCAGATAGAGGATTTAGATCTTCCGTTGTTTATCTTCTCTATAAACCGCTTAACTTACTTAGCTTGCTGCGTAAGTAAAAGATTATTTTATTCTCCTTGAACTCACTCCCTGATTCTAAATTCAGGTATGATTCAGTTTCGGTTTCACGACCTCTCCTTTGCTCCTCCTCGTACGTGCCATAGCGTTAATCACTTGGCTATGCCGCCCAGTAGGTGATGGCTGAGAAATAAGAACGAGAGAGACGGGAATAAAACACTATTCGCCCAGTATAAAGAGAATATAGTTCATTCTATTATACTTTAGAAGGTATGGTATTTCTGTATTTGGATCAGAAAGGTGAGTAACTGCCTATAATTAGTGAATGGATCTAAGCAGAGAATCCTTCCCCCGAGAGGGTAACTGAGTCCTAGTTGCAGCTATAGTTATTTATTTACATTCAGAATGCGGATATAAATACCTTTATCTAGCGCGGCTATATCACCATTGAGTCCCGGGAAGCACCGAATGTATATATGGGAATTCGCGTAACAAAATAGTTAATAGTCCCCGTGCTATTCATTTAAATTGCCAGTCTGTTCGGTATTATAAATTCTCGACTCTCGAGAGCGACTAGATCTAAATATATCTGACTAGTCTAGATACTTCCTTAGTGAAAGCATCGAGAAAAGCCCACACTTTGAGTCGAACAAGGGATCTTTTCATGATCCTATAAAGCGCTCACGAGCGAGATATTCTAGCCACTGGGGCCATACGGGCTTTTGTATAGTAAGCTTACCTTTGATTTGGATCTGTAATGTCAAGGATGCGTGATAGTCATGCGGCACGTGACTTCGTAAGTACATAGTAGGGAATTCTAAAATGCCAAGTATTGGCGTCATCTAATATTTATATTTATCGAGCATAAAATCAAAGACAAGCCTGACAGATAGAATCATCACCTCTCTACTGGGCCTTCTTTTGTGGGATAGTAGAAATAATATTATGTTGACTTAGCATTCTGTGCTGCATCCAGCGAGTAATTGCAAAGCTCAAGTAGAGCCACCGCGGTGGTCTGTGTGCTTGGCGGCAAACTACGTACTCGAGCTCCGGCCAAGGAACGAACATCTTTAATCAATACAACATCGTCAATCTGGGCCGACGACACGCCCGCCAACGAAATACGTCCTCACAAATCTCTACTCCCTGATTATTGCATTTTTGGACACTACTAAGGCCTGCATTGGCCGTTGAGAAGCCCGCCATGAAAGAACTCGCCAGAGCCTCCTCGTTGCTCCGTCCATCGCGAATCTACTTCACACCTCGAAGCTCATGCCGTTACTTCCATTCTTCGCCGTCAAGATTCGCTGTCGCACACCCCATCACAGCACATGGACCTCCTCCCAAAGCCCCAGAACCCGCGGCAGACTTAGCAGAGCAAGCAGAAAGGCGGAAACAGAAGGATGCAGAGACGGTAGGCACGGAAAAAGTGGAACAGCCACAGCCCTCGAAGGCGTCTAGTGCTCTGAAGAAACGTTTTTGGAAGGACGTGAACGTTAGAAAGATCGAAGGTATGTTTTGTGGCCAGCGTTAGAATTTTCCATGGATTTCTAGAGAGTCGCGGGTCTAATCCTATACTAGATGGTTACCAGGTTCTCCTCGATACCCGCCCTGTACGAACGCCGGCAAAGACAACTTTGACCGTTCCTTTTACGAAGCCTCACTTGGCGCATGCGATTGCGTTGGAATGGGATCTATTGACCTCGGCCCAGCAGGCCCTCAAACAGCACTTGATACCGATCACGTCGTTGGTTGCTCGGGCAGAAGATATCGTCAGAGAGGATAGAGAGGGCCAGCGAACTACGAGAGAAGACGTGCTGAGGACGGTCATGCGTTATCTTGATACGGATACAATTCTGTGCTGGGTGCCCAAGAAGGATGGCCCGGAGGCGGCTCTAGAGCAAGAGGAGGGCAAGGAGACGCTTCGACAGATGCAGGAGAGAGTCGCGCAGGAAATCATCGGCTTCCTCAGTGCCAAGCTCTGGCCGGGGATCGATATCAAGCCCAACGTGGATGCTGACAGCATCCTGCCGACATCTCAACCTCAGGTAACAAAGGATGTGATCCGGGCATGGATCGCAAACCTGCATGCCTATGACTTGGCTGCTCTGGAAAGAGCTGTTCTGGCGGGCAAGAGTTTACTGGTTGCTGTCCGACTGGTAGTGGAATGGAGCGAAAACTTCCGCCACCTACAACGGTCCGGACAGAAACGGTTTGGCATCGAGGAGGCAGCCGAAGCATCCAGCCTCGAGGTAAGATGGCAAACGGACATGTGGGGAGAGGTCGAAGATACGCACGACGTGGAAAAGGAAGATCTGAAGAGGCAGCTGGGCAGCGTTGTGCTCCTGGTCAGCGGGGAGAGTCGCTGAAATGGTTTCGGGAGCGTGCTCTTCAACGCTGGCAGCGCTGGTGGGCCCGGAACTGATAAACTGTATATTATTCTTGTTATCTATCCGATTTTCTTCAGCGTACCATATATATAGCACGTATAGAGTTAGATCTCGGAATGTCCGGTACCTCGTCGAAGCGATGACGAAATTCCACCGTATGGAGAAGAACGAACTGCTGTTGTATACTCCTTACTAGTATTATTATTGCGAACAAACCCATTATCCGCCATTTGGCCGCTGTGACGTCTTGCGGCCCGCGGGGGATCGTCATCAGAAAGATGAATTCTCGTTGCCACTCTGGATACTCACATTGCTCTCGCTGATCCCCGCCCGTGCCTCATGCCCCTTTGCTCTGGTTCGTCTAGGAGAGCACAGACGCCACGCGGTTCTCCTCAATGGACGGCTCAGTCTGCTCAAGCTCGCGAAAGCCTCAATTACCGTCGAGAGTTGACGAACGGTGTTCGCTGAATAGACGCTCGGCCCAGGAGAAGCTGAGCCACTGAGCTAGAGTACTAACTATTCCCCCCCAACTTCCCGTGGGCATTCGCGATTGGCATTTGAGGAGCGCAAAGCGGACGATGTCTTCATTTCTTGTCTTGTGATTCTCCTCCCTTCTTTGGAACTTATTCTCCTCCTTCTCCTGCAAGGCAATCGATCCGTCTCCTCTCTGTGACCGGTCTGCCCCGTGCTGAGCCGAGATGACGGAAAAGAGCGCGAGGTGAGTGCTTCGTTTTGCCCCTGAAGCCCGGGTCGTTGCTGCCTTGGTACCGTGGATGCGCTGGAAGCTAGGACAGACGACGCTGGTGTCCATCCTTTGCCAGAGACAACAATAGCTGCCCGAGTGCAGTCAACTATCAACCATCTCGAGTTTCGCGTGTCACTGTCAGACGGCGGGGTTTCAAGCGCCTGCACGGCCCAAGCTGTTAGCGGCCGGGATTCTTGAGACGCTCTTGCGAGGAGTCGCATGCGTGCTAACGTTACCCCTCTGATATTATTATAGTCACAAGCGCAGCAAGAGTGCTCTGGCACTCTCGATTCTCCATCGCGACAAGTCCAAGACGGAGGACGTGATGGACGAGAGCCCCGGCGGCGGCAACAGCTCTCCACAGTCCCTTTCGTCTTCTCCGAGCGGCCACGCTCTCACTCACTCTCTCTCTCGGACTAGCGGTCGAGGTTTCGGTCGCCAAAAGTCACTGCGGGACAGTTCACCTACCAAGATATCGCCAGCAAATACACTGGAGAGCGTGCCCTCCGAGGAGGCCGCCGGCGGTGCCAAACCAGAAATAAACGGAAACCCAGAACCGAAGAGCATGTCGATCAATCAGTCCGTGAAGACTTTCCGTCTCTTCGAAGTGCTCCGAAGCGGGGATACGGGTGCTATATCGAAGGCCATCAAGGAGGCCAAGGAAACCGAAGGAATCAATGCCTGCGCCCCGGGGACAACCATCCTGCACCTGGCAATCCAATGCGCCGAGCCTCAGGTCGTGGAATACGTCCTATCTACGGGGGATGACCTGGATATCAACGCTCGCGACCGTGAGGGCAACACTCCTTTGCATCTTGCTGCCCAGCTCGGTCGGGCTACCGTAGTGCGGGAGTTGTTGGACAGGCCGGTCATCAATGATACGATCCTCAACTACCGTGGCCAAACAGCCCTTGATGTCGCGCGCACGCCGGAGATCTTCCAGCAGCTTCAACTTGCGCGGTCGTTGTTCCTCGACACCAGAACTAAGGAGATACAAGAGCTCATCAGACAAGGGGCTTATGAGAAGCTTGAAAGGCTCCTCGAACAACCCCGTGTTCAGGGCTGTGTTGATGTGAATGGTTTGGAGCTCGTGACGGATAGCGAGACGATACAAACAGGAGGAACTCTGTTACATGAAGGGGCTCGGAAAAAGGATACACAACTTCTCCAGATTCTTCTCATGCGCGGAGCGGATCCCTTCCGCCGTGACAAGAAGGGCAGGCTGCCGCAGGATGTGACCAAGGATGACAAGACGCGGGCAATTCTGAAGAAATCCCCGGCTGCCGTGATAGCGCAGCGTGGAATCCAAGAGAAGGCCATTCTCGGTAATGCTGCTGCCCAGGGCAGCCCGGAGACGGTACTCGCGGGCAAGGATGCGCGCGAGATGAGAGGCTATCTGAAGAAATGGACCAACTACACGAGTGGTTACAAACTGCGTTGGTTTGTGCTCGAGGATGGTGTTCTGAGCTACTACAAACACCAAGGTGAGTTCCCTAAGCCCATTCACCTCGTGCCCGTGCCCGGCCTTAGACTAATTCCTATCTAGATGATGCCGGGTCCGCTTGTCGCGGAGCTATTAATATGCGAATCGCCAAGCTCCACATGGATTCCCAGGACAAGACACGATTTGAAATCCTTGGCAAGTCTTCTGTGAAATATCACTTGAAGGCAAATCATGTTGTCGAAGCGAAACGATGGTTCTGGTCTCTGAACAATGCTATACAATGGGCCAAGGACGAGGCAAAGGAGGAGGAGCGAAGACGAACGAGGACCGCAGAGGCCTTTCGGCAAGCTAAGATGGAGCAGGTCGATGGCCAGCCATCAGACTGCGTGACAGACACCCCGAGTATCGCCAGCAGCAAGGCAAACAGGAAGGGTCTCGCTCCCTCGTCCTTGGGTGTTCCAACTAGCAATGGCTCCAGGCTGAGCACGCAGCCATCCCGCACGACAGTGGACAGCACTACTGTAGATGAAGATGCTTCCATCTATGCTCCGTCTTATGACCCCAGTGTTACGCAGAACGAGATGAACATCCGGCGGATGTCCAGCCAGGTGACCACAATTCCCGATGATGTGGACGACGACTATGTCGATGACGCCTCAAGCCGGGATATTCAGCCAGTCGACAAGGACGCTTTTAATATCACCGCCCAGTCCGCGAAGCTACAACTTGAGCTCCTTGCCAGCGTCTCAGCCTCGCTTCAGAACCAGAAGTCTGAGAACCCTCAAATGCTCATATCAGATCCCGCAGTCGAACAGGCGCTCGTCACTTACCAGGCTGCCGTTAGCAGTCTCAATGGCCTTATACAAGATCTTCTGAAGATATCCCGCGACCGGGACGCTTACTGGCAGTACAGGCTAGATAAGGAGGAAGATACCCGCAAGATGTGGGAGGAGAGCATGGCCCGTGTCGCGCAGGAGCATGAAGAACTGCAATCTAGGATTGGCGAATCGGAGGACAAGCGGAGACGCACGAAGAAGGCGCTCAGAGAGGCTCTAGGAAATGCCTCTGCGGCTACCAGCCGCCCAGTCAGTCGTGGACGAACTGAAGCACAGCTTCCTGACGTTCCGGAGACGGAGCATGACACGGTGGACGAGTCTCTTCGACAAGAGGTTCAGGAACCGGCGGCAGTTGATGGCGAGACTGTTGAAACAGCGGAGCTTCTGGAGAAGCCTGTACCTTCTAAGGCACCCACCCCCGTGCAGATTCCTGACCTCAGCGATTCCGAGGACGAGGAGGACGAGTTTTTTGATGCTGTTGATGCCGGAGAGATTGAAGCCGAACCTCTAGCAGAGTCCGAGGTCAAGGTAGAAAAGCCAGTTCCGGAGGGAGAGGGCGCCAATCTTCGTGTCATGAAGCAAGCCGAGATCAGCCCGTCGTTCAGAGGCTACGAGGATCCAATAAGGGAGAAGTTGAAGATGGAGGCAGATAACCGACCTAAGATCTCGCTATGGGTATGTTCTTGTGTAATTTTCATGACGCTTCACTTTTCTCACACATCACAGGGTATCCTCAAGTCCATGATCGGAAAGGACATGACGAAGATGACGCTTCCAGTCTCCTTCAACGAGCCCACTTCTCTGCTTCAGCGAGTAGCGGAGGACATGGAATATGCCGATCTTCTGGATGTCGCTGCGGACCGTGCTGACTCTATGGAGCGTATGCTCTATGTAGCTGCCTTTGCAGCTAGTGAGTATGCCTCGACGATTGGCAGAGTCGCGAAGCCGTTCAACCCACTACTGGGTGAGACTTACGAGTATGTCAGACCTGACAAAGGATACCGCTTCTTCATCGAACAGGTCAGCCACCATCCGCCGATCGGTGCGGCGTGGGCGGAGTCTCCCAAATGGGACTACTATGTAAGCAGATATATATACTGGCTCTGTTCTTTCTATGGCAACCCTGACATTGTAAATTCTAGGGCGAGTCTGCTGTTAAGTCAAAGTTCTATGGCAAGTCGTTCGACATCAACCCCTTGGGTACGTGGTTCTTGAAGCTGCGGCCTATCACTGGCGGTGAAGAGCTCTACACGTGGAAGAAGGTCACCTCTTCCGTGGTTGGCATCATCACTGGAAACCCGACAGTTGACAATTACGGGCCGATGGAGATCAAGAACTGGACCACCGGTGAAGTTTGCACGTTGGACTTCAAGCCTAGAGGCTGGAAAGCGTCGTCCGCGTACCAGGTTACTGGAAAGGTGATGGACAAGGACGGACAGACGAAATGGAGCATTGGTGGCCGCTGGAATGACAAGATCTATGCCCGCCACACTCCTGGCTTCCATGCTGAGGTGTCGGAGCGAGACCCCGAATCCGCGAAGACGTTCCTTGTCTGGAAGAGCAACCCTCGGCCCAGCGGCATCCCGTTCAACTTGACACCGTTTGTGGTGACGCTCAATGCTCTCCCTGACCGTCTGAAGGAGAACCTGCCCCCCACGGATACTCGACTCCGTCCCGACCAGCGGGCGATGGAGGAAGGCGAGTATGACTTTGCCGCGACGGAGAAGAACCGTGTGGAGGAGAAGCAGCGGGCCAAGAGGAGGGAGAGAGAGATGAAGGGTGAAGAGTATTCTCCCAAGTGGTTTACCAGGGGTAAGTGTCCTGTCAGTGGCGAGGAGTTCTGGGTCTACACCGGCAAGTATTGGAAATGCCGGGAGCAGCATGACTGGAGTGCTAGCGAGGATATCTTTTGATGTGCCATATGCACATGTATGAAGCGTGTGTACTTTTAATTGCGCCGTCGTTTGCATTGGATGGATCGACACAAGCAAGATTCCCTCTTGACGTGTTCGGTCCGGGGAAGTGTTCGGGAGTTTGACCTATACCAACATATCATGTAGACACCCTAATAGACTCACTTGATCCTATGGAAACAAGGAATATGCCTGTGTTGATGACATTGTATACTTGGCCTTGTTTGATAATATAAGACCTTCTAACTATCAAATATAAGATCTTCTATCAGTAAAGTAATAACTAGTTAATAATAATGAATTAGTTAATCGTTGCTCTAGTTGACCCCGGTCACGTGTTACCGTCTCGTCCCGCAGCCAAAACGAAAAGCTTCACGATCTCCGAGATCCATTCGCCCTGACCTCGAACAGCAGTTTGCATGATGCGGGCCGGCTTCACCTGTGACCGCTGCCTCCAGAGCCTGCGGCTCAATGTTCGAGCCCGGGTCTCCAATGTGCGTCCTGGGTATCTTCCGGGCCCCAGGCGGAAACATCACCTGGCGTCTCCGATTGCTGGAGGGTTAGACTCACGACAAAAGAGCCGCTTACAGCCGAAGGAAGCGCAGGAGTCTGGCAAGCGATTGACTTCTTCAGCTGCTGCACGACCGCGTGTCCCAGCCGGTGCTACTGGACCGTCTCAGCATCTCAACGAAACCCGGACGCTGCTCAAGCCGAATAACCTATTCCATCCTTTTTCCAAGTCGCCCTCTCCCGCAATTCGACAGCGCGCGGAATTTATCAAGCAGAATGCCTTCTGCCCTCATCCAAGCCACCAGCAGACTCGCCTGCCGGATTCACCGCATGACCCGGAAGCGAGAAAGGATCCGCACGGCGCGCTGCCGCCGGCTCACTCTCACTTCGAGTGCCCGGACTGTGGAGTGCCGATATACTGCTCGGAGGAACACTGGATGGACGATTTCGAGGCTCATCTAGAAGTGTGCGACACCATCAGACAGATCAATGAGGATGACCATGACCTGCATTCGGGACGATTCTTCCCAGAATTCAGCTATCCGGGACCGCAGGATGATAACTTTGTCATCAACATGACCAACTGGGATACGTTCTTGTATACACGGGAGTTCCTGGCTATCAATGATGACAGGAGCATGCGGCAGGTTACCAGAATGCTCACTTACCCGATTACTGTCGGTAGTGTGCTGCATGAACTCAGTCCTTACAACATTAAGAAGGGCGGAAGACTTACAGTCGAGGGTCTGAAGAGCATGGCTGGTGGGTTCCGTGGATATTTACTGCTGCTTGGAAAGACCTTTCTTAAGTGAAACTAATGAATGTGGCATTTGTAGCTCTCCGATACACTCTACATCCTCCCAGGACAGGTGAAGGAATGGACATCGCAGGTCTGCGTCTGAAGGCGCCACCGGTGCGGATTTTCTGTCTGGGAGCTCGCGCTGAATCTTCTCTTCCGCGTGAAGTTTGGCTGCAGCTGACGCACATGTTCCCGCGAGCCATCATCCAGTTGATTTTCATCGGACCAGAAGCCATGGCGAATCGCGATGCCGAGTTCCCTCTTCCTGAACGGACTCCGGCCAACCCGTTCGGCGGAATCGTGGAGGACCGTCTCGGCCCCCAGATGAAGATCACCACATATGTCGACTACTTCCACACGATGCACCAAGCCCAGTACTTCCATCCTTACGACCCGTACTTTGACTGCTTCATGCTCTTCCATCCTGGTCTCGGCCACCCAGCCAGCTCATTCGAATGGGCAGAGACGCTACCGCAGCTGCTCGAAACCAAAGTCCCGATCATCTGCACAGGATACACGCAGTGGGACATGGACCGGGATATCAAATGGGTTCACGAGAAATGCGCCGGCGAATTCGACATTCTGCTAGAACCAGGCGAGAATATCTTCCGCAGTCTCCGATGGGATCTGAACGATCTCGACCCGCACGACGTCTCCTGCGGAAACTGGGGCATCTGGGCCTTCCGAGGAAAGAGGTATGGCTTCATCCCATTCATCGATCACTAACCCAACAATCTCGTCTTTGGTACTAACATATACCAAAAATAGATACGAAGCTACCTACAAGAATGAATAATGCGAAGGGGAATACGTGATTTGATGTGATCTCTCTTCTCTTCACTTGTATTTTGTATTCATTTAATATCTTCCAATACCAACCTCGACTCGGTTAAAGCATGTTCTGTACAATATTTCCGAATCCTATCAATCTCCACAGCGGAAGGAATCATTCATTAGCTTCTAGCTTCTAGCCTTTAGAAATGAAAATGGGATGAAATATCAGCGTAACCACCCAGTGCCTGTAGATCGATAGATAGAATAGATCCAAAAGAATCACAGATAATTAAACAAGAAAAAGTAATCACAGAACCCGAACTATCACCAGACTAGACAACGCAAAACAACTAAATTATATCCTGAGATTCCTATGCACTCACTATCTCATTCAAAAGTTGATTATACACTAATCTTTGCATGTATATATATATATATTAATACTATATCTGGAGCGAAAGCTCGCTGAGCTTCAATTCTCTAGCAACTAACTAGCTCAGTCCACTTATCTCTATAGGTAGAGCTAGAAAGGCGTGGGAGGAACCCGACAGGTCTGTTGTAGGTAGGTAGGCTCCGACACCATATATATATATACTGTATAGTATAACTAGTATACATAGTTACTCTACTCTGCCCCTACCTCCAAGAGGAAGATAATACTAACTGCGACTTCCACTCCTCTGATAATATAAATTTAACTACAACCACAATGGAAACCGAAACCACGATCTGAATTAAGAATAAAAATCAGAATTGGAATTGGAATCATTCTCGACCGTAAGATGATCATAAAACAAAAAAAGGTTATCGAGAGATAAAAAATTATATATACAAAAAAAAAAAAAAAGAAAAAAAGGAAACCATACTGTCGTTAGGTAGGTAGGGTTCAGGCCATGCCCCGAGGGAACAGGTTAAAATAAGATATAGAAAAAAAAAAAGCACACAAAAAAGGAGAAAGCACGCCTGCTCTTGCTCTTGGAGAAAGAATAGAGGGATATAAAATAGAATATAAACATACACGCACACGGGGGTTGAAGTAGAGTAAAAAAAGGGTATAATGTGTGGGCGTGATGATAATGGCGTAAGATAGAAGTTTCGGATGAAGGTCCGGAATAAAAAAAAAAAAAAAGCAAGAATTTCATTCCATTTCCATTCCATGTCCTGATTTGGTTTTGGTTTTTCTGCTGCCTCAGGGTTCCATATGGTTTCCTCTCCTCTCCTCTCCTCTCCACGTCTCCTAATAACTTCTTCATCTGATGGGGGTATAACGACACGCCAAACTTCCTCTGCTCTCGACAATTCCTTCCTAATTCCCTAGAGAGAATTCCGAATGGGATTCAAATCCAGTCCAATCCCAATAAAATGCGCTTTCTGTCCGGTTTTACTTTTTCACTTGAAAGTTTACAGCATAACAAGACCCGCGACGGCAACGACACCAGCCATCATGGCGGCACCGGCGACATCGTGGCCGGCAGCAGCGCCAGTAGCAGCAGGCGAGGAAGCGCCGGAGGCTGGTCCAGAAGCAGCGGACGAAGCGGGCTCGCTGGGGGCCTTGACGGGGTTGCTCGGGATAGGGAGGGTCGAGTTCCAGCGGCCCGCGGAAGGAGTAAAGCGGGCACCAGTGCCAGTAGAGGCGATGAACTTGTGCACAGGAGTCGACGACGGAGAGGGAGAGGGAGTAGGAGTAGGAGTGGGAGTCGGCGTGCTGCTGTGAGCGTTGACAACCGTGAGGGTCACAGTAGACGCGGGCTCAGCGAGCGCGAAGGGAGAAACAGCTGCGCAGAGCAGAAGGATAGCCTTGTTGAAGATCATCTTGGGTAGGTCGCGAGATTTGATGTCTTGTTGGTGACTGGTTTGTTTTGCGCGTTGATATATAGTTTTCTCGGTGATGCTTTCCAACGGCCGGAGAACGTGATCGTTTGATTAAGAAAATTGATACCCGTTCAGGTGAATGATGCGACGATATGCGATTGTTTGTATATATTGACCTCGAGTGTTTCGATTGAATTGAATGAGCGATCGAATGAGTGACGTTGTTTAGGCAGAATTGCTAAAGTAAAAGAGTGACACAAGCTGGAAGCTTGGAAAATAGTAAACGAGTGACGATGGAATTGAGATCACAGTCTCAAGAACCAAGAAGAAACAACGGTGCTCAAACGAAGCATAGGAAAGGGGGGAGAAGAGAGGGAGGGAGGGGGGAACGTTGAAGGGAAATACCGGCGGCGCCAGGGGTTGAAGCGCCGGGGAACCCCAGCCAAGCTACAACTCGCGCAGTATCCCAATTGCCATCTTGATCTCGCGCTTCATCTTCCTATCAAGCAAGGGTGACGAATCAGAAGGTTCGACCGGCGAACTGGTCGCGACAAGGTAACTGGGGAGATTCCAACGCCGTGAACTTTCTTGTCGGTGCCATGATGAACGATGCCAGTAAGTTTATCTTGGCGAGGATGATCATTGGAACATGGCCGGTTAATTCTACCATAAAAGTTAGCATCAAATACCACCTGGGCTCAAAAGGGGGAAGATCGGTACCTGGCTAAAAGTGACGCTTGTTTAGTGACCGGCGCGGCGCGCGTGCGTACCCCGGTCAGAGTAAATAAAAAGGGGGGCTCGCGAACAGAGAGCAATACAAACCAGCAGAGACGAATATTAGCAGTGAGCACTGATCCCAAGTGTCAACGCAAGTAGTCTCATGCTGGACCCGCAACCTAGGCAGAATAGATAAGTCGGACGAAGATGGTCAGCAATAATGGATGGGCACCGGTGTCAATCAAGGATCGCGATCATCGTGTCTCATCACAGACCAGCGATGCGCAAAGATAATAGCAAGGCACATCAGTGCAGCAAGAACGAACGCCGAGTCCAGACCTGGAGATCATCCAAAACCCCTCCAAAGACATGCTCTGCATGCCGCGCTCGTCTACTCCGGAAGGTGTCCTCTAAATCCATCCTCTCGCTATCTACTCTGCGAGACGATTAGGCGCTGTCGTAGAAAGTCATCGAAAAGGGACGACGATCAGGAACGAATGCGAGGAATTCGGGTCGAACCGACCACTGCGAGCAAGAGACAAATCACCGTTAGGGTTTGATTATCCCGGCAGGTACCGACTGAGATCCGAGCAGCAGCATCTCTCATCCCAAAGAGGGAAGTAAAGAGCCTCAAGAGGTGTGAATTAGCTTTGATAGACTCCCAACGGCATAAACTCATTATGATTAAAAACGCGGGAAAGGAGTGGGCCGCGCGGTCACTTCAAAGTTCACGGGGGTGATAATACGGAGGACTCCGAGCTTCGACGGCACAATTCCACTGGCCGATGTTGAAGCATAGATAGTCAGGGTGCGCGCAAGGCACCTTTTGAGAGTTGGGCCTAGCGGTGAGGGTAATTAAGAAAGTATCCGATCGTCGCTCCGTAGTTGGAAAAAAAAAAAAAAAAATGGGGAGACTTCATCTCCGGTGCGAATTGAAGGTCCACTTTGATCCTGATTAGATCGTGGTAAACTAGTAGAAGGACATCCGATCCATGTGAATACCCTTTGGGTTACGATGTCCGTTGGAAGGTGGTCACCAATTCTCGAATATCGCAGAGCTGGACGGTGTACATAGTTCGAGAGCACAGTTCAATTGAGAGGAGACCGCAAAATGTCGGTGTCCAGCACACGCTTTGATCCCTATTCTCAATAATAACCGAAACAAGCGAAGATTGATGGTTTGAGCAAGGCGAAACATCCCGTGCTCGTCGACGGTTCACTCGGATAAGTAGCTGCCCAAAGCTTTCAAGCGATCGCTTAGCACTGCCGGTCCTAGGCTTAGTCCCATTAGTTTTGGATTCTAGAATCGAGTGATAGGACTTGCCAGATAGACCTTGATCATTGATGCCGCTCCGATAATATCAGCTAGTAATGAGATGCCGAGATCAACAAATCTAGCCAGGTGTTGTTACTCCGTGTTGGCTAGATCCAAAACATTGGACTAGAGAGACGCAGAGACGCGATCCGTAAGCAGCCTCAGATGATGTGAAACTTGTGTCAGATCAGGCCATCACGAGTAGCCAGTAAAGCTCTTTGCAATGGTCTGTTTCCAGAACAATACGGAGTACGGAGTACTCTGTGGTCGTTCTATCTTTCCAAAGGTTGTCAGTGCTGCCTCTTGCGCCAAAAAAGAAATAGGACCAATCAGAGATGAGATTCGCACGATTTGATCTCATAAGCTAAGGACATGCAGTTAACAAACACTTATAATAAGGAGCAACGGATATCCGCCAACGGGTTTATATTCATGTGTCATAATTGTTTCGTATAGACCCTCCGCAACGAACATCAATGGTATCAAGTGTTGAGAATCGCCAAAGAGCCACCAGCAAAATTAAAGGGGACTATGACCTCCAAAGCGCCAGTCGTGAGAGGCATCCACCAAAAAAAAGCAAGAGAGCAAGCTCCCGAGTATCCAAATATATACAGTGAAAGCAACATGTCGGGAGGCCCAGAAACAGCCGTTAATCTGAACCTGCAGGATCAGGCGACCCTGAGCTTCCATATTTGCAGCCATCAGAGCATATAAATCATGCCTGTGACAGCAGCAACCATCACCCAGTACCCACTCAATTCCTCGATGCGAGCCGTTGAAGCGGCTGAGGAACCGGAAGCCGCAGTCGTTCCATTGGGCAATGTGCCATTGATAAAGATCTTCTCCGTGTCGTTGACTGTCGCCAGCCGGACAACACTGTTATTCTGAGGCACGGTCCCATTCAGGACCGAGTGAAGAAACGTGCTGTTGTTGTTGTCATCGCATCCGCACTCGGAGTATTGCTGGCAGAGGCATTCAACCGGCATCGACTCATTCCGGTGCGTATGAGGATTGAAGTAGAGATAGGGATGGACGTAGGGATAGCCGTAGACGCCGGATAACCAGAGCGCAGGGAAAAAGGCTACAGCTGCGACAGGAAGCAAAACAGGTGACAGACCGGACGGGGAGCGTCTTCCTGCAGTGTATGGGGTCCTGGCTCCGCCAGCATAGTAGGCGCCACCGCCGTAGCTACGTGCGGCTCCTGAGCCACGAGCTGAGGTGCCTCCAACGTTGCTGTAAGAAATATATCAACTTCATGACGCGGAGAAGAGACTCAAGATCAATTATTACCTGGACCGTGACGACCCCGAGGACCCTTTCGGGCTGCTGCTGCTGCTGCTACCGCCAGTTTTACCGCCAGATCCTCCACTAGAACCACCGCTTGATCCTCCTCCTTTTCCTCCTCCGCCGCCTTTGCGCTTTTCAAGGTCCGGGGCCTCATAGAGCTCAGCGGGCGGCGTCGATGCTAGATGCACATCGCGCAAGGCGAGATCTAACCGCGGAAGCGAAAGAGGTGTGACGTAGGAGGGGAGCAACAGTAGCAGGGTGCTGAATAGTGTGATTTTCATGATGACGGATGTCTTTTGCGGATGTCGCAAGGTTACTAGGTGGAAGCCAGTCGTAGGTGAGGATCGAACAATGAAAGCATTCAGGGTGTTTGGACTGAAGACGTAAAACAGCCAGGGCCTCTTGCAAGTCAGCGATCCTACTCGAATCAGTAGAGCCTAGCGGCCGTGGCGACCTGAAGTATTGAGGATGAGATCAACGCGCGGGGGTATGATGGTGGTCGTCGCAATATATATATGTAACCTTCCGTCGATGGTGGAAGACTGAGCAAGGAGAGATCTTCAAACCCTCAATAAGGTTGTGACCGATCCCATGAGGAATTGGATGCTTTCAGAGAGATCCATGGCGACGATAGGTCGTGCCATGGCTAGTTAGTAGAGCAGATCTCCTGAGCTGCAGCCAGAATCTGCCTTGCTCACATTTCACCGCCACATCAACTGTGGCGGTGTGATGCGGCTTACTTACCATATGGTACAGCAGGCGACTCAATCAGCAACGCCTGGAGAGCTCTCTTCGAGGCTTTTAAACAATTGTATTAAGGCATTAACTACGGAGTAAGCATTATAGATACTAGAATGTCTAATTAGACTCTCCAGAGTCCAGACACAAGCAAAGAATATCTACAGGGCAGACAGCAACAAGAGAATCTCGATCTTGTCGGAGAAAGGGCATCAGCCACAGGCGGGGTTCGACACGTTTTGGATCTGTAATAACTTGTGGAGGTGAGGGCTCCTGTGTGGAATGTTCGATTAACTTTCTCACAAAAAAATCATCTGAGGCCGAAGCCTGTGGTTACTTGTATTGGCTAGGGTATATCAGCATGCTCAGAGTATACTACAGTCAATGCGCAATTATGTGTCATATACAGACACCATAGATGGTGCATTATCACGAGCAGCCCTGGTAGTTATCCACGGATCGAGGGCAGCAGCCTCAATTGTTCCTCGGTCGTACCAATGGCCGATACTTGGGTTCCCACATCTGGACCCGAATCCACTCTTCCAGATCAGCCTCATCCTGTGGGATGTCTTTTTCCTGCGCTAACCCCTCTGCCACTGCACACTGGATGACAGCCTTGGCAATCTGGACGCTAATTTCTCTCACATGTACAATGTCAGGTAGCAGGGGCTGGTTGGGGTCTCTAAGGGCCGGAGATTGAGCAGCCAATGCCTTGATAGCTGCCACGAGCATCTTGTCTGACAGGAGACGTGCTCGAGAAAGGACGACGCCCAACCCAATGCCCGGGAAACAAGTGGAGTTGTTACACTCCGCTGGAAAATGGAAATGTATCAGCGACTGCGATCGACCCAGGTCCACCGAACCCTCTTCTGTGCGGGAGCCACTTACCGACTTCGTATTTAGTCCCATTGTATTCCACAGGAGGAAATGGGCTGCCCGTGGCTATGAGGGCCCGTCCTTCTGTCCAGTCATTGATATCCTTGGGTTGAGCCTCGTGCAGTCGCGTTGGATTACTCAATGGGAACACAATAGGACGCTCGACGTGTTTGGCCATCTCTCTGATGACCTCCTCCGTAAACGCGCCTGGTTTGGTTGATGTTCCGATCAGGACATGGGGCTTGACAGTTTTGACAACCGACAAGAGATCAAGATTCTCCTTATCCGGCCATTCGGAGTCGTCCCTCGCAAAGGGGACTTGTGCTGGAGTCAATTTGTCTCCGTGAGACTTGAGAAGCAATCCTGGCTTATCCAGACACCTGCAATGGCCGGTTAGCGGACCACCTCGATTTTAGGACAGATTGCATGGGACTGCAAACCATATCTGTTTAGATGCTTCCTCTTTTGATTTCTCGCTTTCCGTGGCGATGGCATCTGCAATTTGCTCCGCGACTCCAGTCCCTGCAGACCCAGAGCCGAACACCACTACTCGCACGTCCTTCAGGTCGACCTTGCTGACATGCAGGCCTGCCATGACAGCGGCCAAGGTGACACACCCGGTTCCTTGGATGTCATCGTTGAAACACGATATATGCGGGCGATATTTATCCAGCAGTCTCCGAGCATTGTGCAGACCAAAATCCTCGCTGTTCTTCTATCAGCCCTCGCAACATATACAAAACCAAACGTGGTAAAGCTTACAAGTGAATATAGGCATTTGGAAATCTCTTCCTCGCAGATTCTACGAATGTGTCGACGAACTGATCGTATTCTTTGCCCCGGACTCGTTGTTGCCGCAGACCCAGGTACAATCCATCATTAAGCAGCTCCTCATTCTTGGTGAGATATCAGCATGAGCTCAGAAAGCGAGCATCGATCGTCTACTTACATCTGTACCACAGTCCAGGACTACGGGGAGCTGTCTGGATGGGTGGATGCCCGCACAAAGTGTAGTAAGGACAAGCTTGGCAATTGAGATCAGAATCGCGCCCACTCCTTGATCACCAATTCCCAGGATCTAGGATCAAAATCGTTAGATGCAATTCCAGATAGTCATGGCTTGTGTATAAGAGAGGAGCATTACCTCTTCCCCATCACTGACGACGATGTAGTCGATATCTCCCTGGAAACGAGATAGGATCTCGTCTACCCGATCCTGGTCGCGGATATTCAAGTAGCAGCCTTCCGGCCGTCTAAATATCCGGGAGAAGTTCTGAATGGCTTCACCTTCTGTCGGCGTATAGATTACACTGAACATCTCCTTGAGATGAGATTGTATGAGCTACACCGACCAACGTTAGCTTGCGGTCCTGATCACAACCAGAAAGCAGCGGACGCGAAGATCCACCAGGAAAACGGAGACAGAGAGAGCCAACCTTGTAATACAGCACTTCACTCTGGATCTTCATGCCAGCCATAAAAGTGTTCTTCGCCAAGTCATCCGGACGACTGCAATACTGCTGGTACGCTCTTTCAACCTGCTCATCGAGCGTCTGCACGTTAGGCGGCAGAAGGCCATGTAGTTTGAATTCTTTGCGTTCCTCCGGTGGAAACGCAGACCCTTTATTAAAATGAGAATTATGCAAGAGCTCCTCACCCTGATCCTGGGTTAGGTTGCATTTCTGTTACGAGTATGCGATCACTCACCTCTAGGGAACACTCAAGCGGCCCCGTCGAAGCGCGGGGGAGGTGACTGAATTTCGATGCCTTGGCTTCTTTAGACATTGAGGCGACAGTGCGAATAATACGGTGCTTAATGCCCAGATTGCTCCGTGGTGGGATGAAGATGTGTGATTGGCGATCTGCTAATCTGACTGCGCAAGGCCGTACAAGTGCCGCGAGACGCATTATTTACAGGGAAACAAAAACAACGGCTCTCATGCTTCGTCGACAAGAAAGATCCCAGATCAATCCTTCGACAATAATGCCCAATATATTCTGGTTTTAGAGGAAGCCACTCGATGCGCAGTCGGCCGAATAATAATATTGAGGGATCCAACGTCATGACGGAATGACGTAAAACAACAGGAAACTGGGCGAGCGCATTCATCGTATGATCTTCATTGCAGGACGCTATCATCCTGTCTATCATAGATATTCGTGGAACATTGAAGACTGGTCAATAATTGGAGTTCTCAATAAAGATGGGTCTGATTGCAAGTAACTGTCTGTTGCACTGAGAGTTCCCTCTCTATCCAGAATAGTTCCTGTCATACAAGCAAATAAACCTCCAAAGCACCGAATCTGTTGCCGTTCTCGATAGATATTATCGGTATCTTCTGCCTTCCAAGATGCATGTACCATAATAACCTACCGATTACAGCATGCGTATCCAGAAGAACCTGACTGGGCAGACCAAAGTTGCCATACTTCTCAGACTTAACGATTCGCTCGTTATTTTCGTTCCGAAGTGAATCACGAGTTAGACCACTTCTGAACCCTGGATAGGTCGTTACTTTATAAGTATTGACTTTCTCCATGGTTCTGTGAGTAGAATAGAGTATGGCTTTCATTGAACCTTCGTTTAGAGCGTTGCCGGACTGATCCATACGTGTATTTCCCAGATAGCATAAATATCGCGCAAATCAGCCCCGATAACATCAACCACCATCCTACAAATGCTATTTCTCTGATCGCTGCAATTCGAACTCAGAATCGGAAATTCTAGGCTTGCTCTTGAATCGACCGTCAATAATAATAATATTAACTATTAGAATAAGTGAGGAGGGGAAGTTGACTTCCTTATCGGGATTCTGCCCAGGGCGGTAAAGAGCGACAACCCGTGATTTGTCAGTGACCGAAACAGCCTAGCTTCTGCCATTATTTTCTTCGTTTCTTCAACTTTTTCTCTTTCAGGTCGAGAATTGAAAACATCCACGTCCTTCAAACAGCATGCTAGAGTCTACGGGCCAGGCATGCGACGCACCACATCCGTTCTATATGCAATGATGAATTTCCATGGAACTAGAGCAAATATACATACAACAACTGACAACTAATCATCTTCAGAGAAGCGTCTTCAGAGATCCGACCCGGATCGCATACGAACTGGAGCAGGTAACATGCAAGCCATTCTCACAACTCACAACTAGGTGCTACAATATGCAGTGTATCTCTACTTGTGATGAACCCAGGACATGTCGCACCCAGAACTAAAGAAGATCGCTCTTCCACAGGAGAAACAGAGTTCGAAACTCCACACACACGCAATCCCCCAATCCAGCTGTCCCTGCCATCTTCCAATATCCAGTTTCTGGATAAAAAGAGGGTTTGACAACTCACGGACCCTTTCTTCGGGAAGGACAGTTGGCCCAATTTCACGTCTTGTGTCTGGGTCGACTGGAGCTGGATTGGGACGGGTCCTCGTCTGCAGTCTCTGCGTTCGAGGCCTGTTTCGCTCAAGGATTGCAAGATCAAGCCTACCATCAGGGCCTTCATAGTTCATGCTCACTGCATCTCTCTCGGGGATTCTTTCCACGAGAGCATGACTCCTTGCGCACCTACATCAATATAGAATAGGAATATGATTCAGTATAGAAGACAATCTACCTTCTTTTTTCTCCAGATTTCTCTAGTAGAATCTCAATCAACCATCAGCACGATAGAAGTAAGTAATAGACAAGTCTATAGTGGCCATTCCTTTTCTGCTAGAATCTCCCTGGCCGTCCCAAAACGACACACGTATGTATATACATACTCCTATCCAAACATCCACCGAGGATTATTCCTTCACAATTTCGACTGCTTTCCACCATCAACAACCTTAACAACCACCTTCCCCCACGTCTCCCGACCACCCAGCGCCTTCAACGCCCTCGGCACACTCTCCAACCCGACGAAACTCTCATCCGTAAACGCCGTCCCTCGAAACTTGCCCTGTTTCACCAAATCAAAAATCCCCTCCCAGACCTTGTCCACCGTCTCCTTCTCATGCTTCGCATACTGTCCCCAATGCAAGCCTACAATACTCACATTCTTCAACAAGACGCGATTCATCGCGACTTTCTCGATCTTCCCGGCCGCAAAGCCAATGACAAGTAGACGGCCGTTCCACGCAACGCATTTGAGACTCTGCTCGATCATCCCCACGGGATCGTACACGATATCCACGCCCGCTTTACCGTTGCCGGAGCGGTGGGCGGAGCAGAGTTTCTTGACTTCCTCAGGCCAGGTAGGTTGTTTGTAGTCGATCACGTAGTCGGCGCCGAACGAACGGGCGATTTCGCGCTTACGGTCTGTTCCGGCGGTCGCGATGACCGTGGCGCCTTTGGCTTTTGCGATTTGGACTGCGGCCAGCCCGACTCCGCCGGCGGCGGCGTGGACGAGAACCCAGTCTCCGGGCTGGACGTTGGCGCGATGGACGAGCCCGCCGTAGGAGGTGGGCGCAGTGACGAAGAGGCCTGCTGCGTCTTCGAAGCTCCAGCCCTTGGGGATGGGGAGGAGGGATACTTCGGGAGCCAGGATGTGCGTTGCGTATGCGCCCTGAGAAGCGCCGAAGACACGATCACCGACTTTGAACTTGGGGGTTGAGGCTCCTGTAGGCGTGGCGAGGACTGTGCCTGCGAACTCGGCGCCGGAGATCCATGGAAGAGGTGGTTGGTTTTGGTATTTGCCTTGGATTTGGAGTAGGTCGAAGAAGTTTGTTCCGGCGGAATGGATCTCGATGAGGTAGTTGTCTGGAGACGGAGAGGGAGTTGGGAGGTCTGTGACTTTGAGGTCGAGGGGACCCTGTGGGTTGTGAGCGAGATATTCTATCTAGATGTGATGTCGATGGTGTTTTTGAAGAATGGGCCAACAGGAACAAGGAATACTAAACAGTTGAAAGAGAAACAACTCAAAGCAGAAACACATAAACACGACTATAAAACTCTTGAAATCATAAAACCCCAAACCCAGACATTATACATACCCTCACATACTGGCTAACCTGAATCGCACGCATTGTTCCTGATCGAATGCAATCAAGAATTGTCCGCACAACAACGCGGTACCAAGCTCTGCAACGTCACACGTAGTCTGCAAATCCCGAGAGGTAATAATAATATCCCTAAGCGATATCAAGGATAGGGACGATCTTTCGGTTATTGTCGCATAAAACAGCTCAAGCCGGACCTTGTATGTAATGCCCTTTTTCGGAACAAGCGCAAAGATCACAATGAAACCCGGCTAAATAACACTGGCAAAGATAAAACGTAATCGTATTTATGCGAGAAATAATAATAATAATTATAATAAAAGGAGACTGGTTCAAGATGCCGGAATGAAAGCCCCAGCCAGTCGGTACTCCTTACAAAAGTACCTTTGGAACCCACCGGCGAAACAAGGACTAACTAATGTAAGCCAGTGTAGATAGTAACTAACTATCCCGTAAGCTGCTTAATATCGCTACCGGGAGATTATTAGTCCCTTGTTCAGGTACTCCACCGGTGAACACTGCCTGACAAGAAGCGGATGAGATGATTTTAATCTGATATAGCATGTTGAAGTCGGGTAAGCAATTCAAGGTTATCAATTACATATCGAGCTTGGATCCGGTCGGGAACTCGGCCGAACCGCCAACCCCGCATTCTCTCAAGGTCCGGTCAACAAGCCGAGGTTCGTCTGACCTTAGTACTAGGTGCGCTACGGCTAGGAGGGGCCGTAGCAAATAATCATTGAGCGTAGTGACCAAGCTGGCTGTTCTGACTAAGCTGGCTGCTGGCGCTGACGCGCTGGCGCGCTGGCAAAGCCTGGCAGATAGGTTGATTGCTTAATCAGGTAATTTATCAGGTTTCTTTAGTGTAATAACGACTGTGGATGATAATTATATTATAAAGAACTATCTAATGGGTTAATAATTGCTAGATAGTATAAGAAGCTAAAGCCTATAGGCAGAATAGGCAGAAGGGGGATAGGTAGGAGGGATTTAACTGATATAGTCGATATTTCAGACAGACCAATAAGAAGCCAGTATTTAAATAGAATAAAATGCTCTAAAAGCGAGCTTTAATAGGCAAAAGAAAGCAGGGGGTAAGGACTGTAAAGGGTGTAAATTAATTAAAACAGACGCAAACCTGTATAGGAGGTTAGGAGGAGTTATTTTAATTACCCAAATAAGAAGGCGGTAACACCCAGCAATTCAAAGTCACATGCGGTCGTTTTTGAATAGACCAATCAGAGAGGTTAGAAAAAAGTGGAGAAAAAACAGAAAACTTTTGAACCCAGTATATTGTAAACATTTCGCTAGCGCTCAATGATTATCATATATTATATTATTATTGTGATGGCCTGCTCAACAACCAACCTGTTGGGTACGGAAAAAGCAATTTAGACGGCTTGAACCCGGTCGTAACCTATTATATTTCGTCCCCAAACAGCTTAAGTAAGGGTCCATGGTTTTATGGAGCAATCCCAGATTGATGGGATCCCAGGATGATAAGCAATGACTTGCGCCACCTCTACAACCAGAAACACTAACAGAGGTGGGATTTCGATGATTCAAATAGATTGCTAGCACGTATCATGATCAAACCCAAGGGCCGTGGATATCATCGACTCGGAAAAAAAAATATCTCCGTAAATGACAGACGAGCCACCGCGGTTCCAACAACTCCAAGAACCTCTTGACCACAGAACCAACGCCCGATTCATTAGTTACCGATAAGACATGAATGCCACCATAGCCAGTACGCCAATGGTCCCACAAGCTCATTTTTGCAGATTTCAGAGACCTCTTAGAAGAGGGAGTTTTCTTTTTTTCAAAAAGCAGATTCTCGCCTCCTGGGCCAGCTGGATGTAAAGAGAGAAGGAGAAAAATATGACCAATAAATGACGTCGTAAACACTGTACACGGCAAATACAACTCCTTCGTGGACAAGGAAGGGTAAAATGTGCGGATGGGTATATAGAAACGACAAAGTCATGCATATAAAGCAAGGCGTCCAAGAGACGACCGGAAAGAAAGGTACACGGGCACCCAGAAACGCGGCGCCTCCAGTCAAAACAGAAAATCGCATATGCGCACCCCATGCGACACAACAGAATTTGCAGTCGCGAATGACCACACGCTTCGAGGTCGCCTGATCGCGATACCCGATAAAAATATCAAGGTCATAATCAGCGAGAGAACTCTGACCAGCGGTATAGTACCTATGGCAAAGTCTCCCCATGGATGGTATATCAGCAGGACACAGCCTCCTCAGACTTGAGTCGGGAATAGCAGTTGCCTGCTGATCTATCAGAACCTATCCGCAGCCAGGCGGTTTGTGCACGAAAGGCTCCTGTCCTGGGTGCGGATACATGTTGGCAGACATCATCGGATGTTGCTCGTGAACCATAAATTGCGGCTGACCGGGCATAGCCATAATACTAGTATCCATCATAGGCATAGGCTTCGGTCGTCTCCTATCCGCCACAGGTCGTCGCTGCCGTCCCTGCCGATCCACTCTAACATGGTTATGCATATTGAACTCTGACGCACGCCTCCATGTCTTTCCTGCGCTGAAGTCGTCCAGCGAAGCAGCCGAGGAAGAGGGCGAGAAAGGCTGCTGTGGAGCAACGATTTGGCTGGAGTCATGCGTCGGTATTGACTGCATCTGGTTCGGGTAGGCCGTCATGGAGGAAATCGGCGCACTCATGTTGTAATATTGGGGCATCGCGTTGGCACTCCAGGCTGTAAGTTCTTCCATGGCAGGATACGACCCACCCACATAACTTTGATCCATCTCAATATGCTGAGACCCATTGGGCCATTGAGCGGAGGAATTGATCCCTACGTCTGACGGACCGCCAGTCTGGGCGGCGGCATACGTATGACCGTTATATGTGGGCGCCATCATCGGCATTGCAGTCACCGCAACAGTATTGCTCGCAGCTGTGACGGGTTGGATCTGGTCATATGGAAGGGTAACAGCGGCGGGTACTGTCGAATACTGCTGTTGCATGACAGGCGTACTCTGGTGGTATTGATTGCTGCCATTCTGTTGGATCACGGCTGGCTGTTGTGGTTTCGGGGAGACCCAGTGGTTATTCATATTCTGTCCACTGAACGGCGCCGGACTCTGAAGAGACGACTGCTCTTGTTTGATGAACCATTCGTTCGGATCATACCATTCGGTATTTGTTGATAGCTGGTTTTGCGATCCTTCTGTTTGTGATGAAATTGAAAGCGGCGGTTGCTGTGCTTGTACTGGTGCTGCCGATGGATGCAGCGCGGGGACCATTGGTGGTTTCGATTCCGTCGAAGACGCAGTCTCTGGTTGGTTATCTTCGCTCTTCGCCTTTACCTCCTGCTTCTGCTCTCGGGGCTTCTTGCGCGTCCGTCGCGAAGGCTTGGTGATCCGCCATTTCTTTAGTCGACTGCGGAGTTGGGTCTCACTGGCAGGGAAAGGTGCATAATCAGTCTGCAATGCCTTTTGAGGCTTTCTGTCAGAAGCGCCCGCCTGAACATTGTGCTCACCTAGGATGGAAGTCTTTGGTGCGGATCTTTTTGATGACTTGTTTCAACGGCCATTCTTCAGTTACGTAGTAGTACACGATGTCCGGCTTGTTCTTCTCCCATACCTCAGGCGGTATTGAGTGCTTCATGGCTCGTGACGTACGGCAGGCCGTTGAGACAAGGGGAAATTTTGGGGAAGGACGGGCAGGTGTCACAGTGCCGACAGACTGGAGCGTCGGGATTCAGTATATGTAAATGCAGCCTCGTGTGAGCCCATGTCCATGGATGTTCTCCTCAGCGGGCTCCGTCGGCCAGAATGTGGCTACCAGGCGCGAACGAGCCAACTGAGCGTTCAAGGCTAATCGGCTCCCCGGGTCGCCGCGTCGATTGGCCTCGCCATGTATCCAGGCCGGCGCGATCCCCGGTGAGGCAGGCCATTGGCACCAGCCAGCCTTAGAGCCATTGCTAGCTGGCAACTTAGTGGGCGGCACCGGTCTGAGACGGTGCAAGGGACGGCTCTGACCAGCAGACACGTATCGTATCTCCCGCTGGGCTTCTTTGAGGGGGATACCGGGGGTTGAACCTCGAGCAGAGGACCATCATCTGGGTCGTCCCAGATGGGCAGGTCAATTCCCTACAAGGGATTGTCCTCACAACTCATTTACATCTCAACCACGTCCTTCTTCTGCCGCTGGGTATCGTATGCATCCTCGACTATTTGCCGCAGCCGTTAACGGGGCAAGAGGCCGTAAGAGTTTCTGCAGGCCCGCTTGAACATGGAGTAAGCTTTACCTGGATGTTCTTGGCAGGATCCGGGTGAAAGGTTGCTTCCGCCATGGCGAACAAACGGATGTGATGTACCTCCAAATCAGGAATGAATAATGATAGAAATCTCGCAGACTTCTGATTGCTGTGGCTTGGACCCTCAGGATGAGGAAGTAGACCCCGATGCAATGGATACGGTGGACAGTCCATCACGTCGCGGGTCGCCGATCCGATCCATCCCCTCGTAGTGGGCTCATGTTCGTTTGTCACGACTCATAGTTAGAGAACTCAGAGTGCTTGTTAAGTCCACCAGGTCGTAACTATCCATCGCTATCCTAGCGCCTCCGCTAATTTTCCCAGGCTCTTGGCGTGCCTCCATCGATCCCAGTGCGATTGCCTATCTGGGTTGTGGTCCCCTCCTTTGACGCGCTGGAGGACGTCGAAGTCGTAGTAGTGCTATACCTGTACCCATAACCGTGGCTCAACGCCCGGTAAACCTGCTCCGTAGCTGTGGTCAAGCTCCGAATGCTTATTTTCTACTCCGTATTGCAGATGATTCCGAGTTTGTGATATTTCTTGTCGGGACTGGAGCAGTGCCGCACAGTCCTCCACTGATAATCTGATCCCTCCTCCCGGGACGAGACAGGCATATATGACAGGTGACGAGCGTGTGAATGACATTCCTCTTTCTCAACTAGCGTATCTGCAGCAGGAGCCTGGAGGAGCCCGGAGGAGGTGAGGGGCCTTCGATACTCCACGTCTTGGTCCCAGAATGGTATTCCCCATGACCTATCTGAAAGGATTGCTTCGTCCGTCAAGTTGACAAACTTGTCCCGTATAGACTACTGGTCTAGTGTTTCCTCCAGAGTACTGCACACTGAATCAAGCAGGTGGGATAGCATCCCTTACTCCCGCGGATGGATAACGACACACGGGTGATGAGATCGATCTCCGGTGCAGACTGCCGATCCAGAGACGCTGGGAGCGGGGTGAGCGGGCCGTCCTGACCGGAAGAAGCAGGATAGAGCCGGAGAGTAGAACTAGATATCTACTAGATAAGACTGAAGGCCAACGAGATGATGGCTGGATGGGACGCTGTTCGAGAAGGGAGCCACCTGAAGTAAACTGGGGATATAGCGGTAAAGACAGCAGCCATCAGATGATCAGAGGCTGTCCTTGAGCAGCGTCTAGATCTGGTGCAAGCGTCTCCATATCCAGCATACAGTAATTCATCCTAACCCGCGATAGCCTGACGAGTACAGAAACATACTCCGTAGCTAGTCTATTCGTGAGTCGGTTCAGCAAGATATCACGGTTGTGCTTCACTAGTTAGCTGGTATATTATTATTATTATCACCTCTGTGATGCTGAGGATCGTTCGACCAGCCTAGTATGGTATAATTGTACTGCAGCTGCGGTGACGGATCGACCCCAGTTACCAGACTATCCACGGATCGTGCACGCGGGTGCTCTCCCGGCCAGCGCCAGAAGAACGCCCCCACCAATCATACGGGACATTAGGGCAAACAGCCTGCGTTTCCGAGAGGAGATGGAGCGATGTTCCCCGGCGCGCTAGAGCGCTAAATCACGCTCCACGCAGAAGATCCAGGCGGATGAATTTGAACTGGTGGCCGAGGCTTGACACTCAAAACTCGCCGAAGCTTCGAGGATTTCTCGGTCAAAAGGTGAATAACTCGGCTCTGGATTACGTATGACTCCCTGTTGACAGTCGAACGGATCCGGACGCTGGCGAAAGTAGTGTTCTCTAATTATCCGGAGTCGAGGGCATCCCTATACTCTAATATCTCGAGTACTATGCCGATTTCTGAGTAGTGTACTACTTGGGCAGTAGTGTCATTATAACCCTGGCACAGCCGCGTCATAATTACGGCCGAAAGCTGACGGCTGTCACATCATGCAGCCGTCGCTCTTTCGACCTTGCATCGCCGTATCCATGACTGCTGGGAGAAGTCCTCCAGGCATCTCAGCAGACAAGGTTTCTCGGTTGCAAGCGTAGCTGGTGCAGTACCCGTGTCATTCGCTGCTTCTTCATGCACCTATGGCCCGTGCAAGCCCGTATGCACTTTCAAAGTCCCATCAATTATGCTTGTCCCTGCACCGCGGGGTGGATAAGGGCAGGGTCATGGACACTAATCCGTATTGCGGCCCTACTCGTCTTCTGGGGTTCCGTCACAGGCGGCTGAAACGATCCAAACGGGTGAGGAGGCAACGGAAGGCGGCAGACACGGCCCTGGTTATTATTACTCTGTACGGAGTCATGTAAAGCGTATCTCGTTGGCACTCTGTCTAGAGCTCTGTGTAGTAAAAGGAAACGAGTTCTCTCCCCTGAACCAACCGTGCACGGACGGCTTCGAGAGCGTTCGAGGCAGATTTGTAGAGTAGTGTACGGAGTACTGAGGCTGTACTCCGTATAGATGTCCCACCCACAAAGGCGACAAAAGCACCGGCTTTGAAGGCGAATCTGATCCATCAAGTGAAGATCAGCAGCCGTTTCTCAGCCGAGGTCACACAAACATCCATGCTGCCTCGTGCGCCTTGCAGATCCAGGGAGGAGGGACCTTGTCACCTTGGTGTGTGTTTGGCAGGCTGAGGCTGGGGCCGAAGCTGGAGATAACTAGGTCTAGCCAGCTAGTAATTGTAATCCGCACCAAACAGGTATAAGTGAAAGTAAACAAACGGGAGCTGGAAAGGCGGATGTCCCAGCTTCTTAGTTCCTGGGTGGGTGATCGCCGGATTTGCGCACTTTGCCCACTCTGTCGGGACTCGATTGCCTTGGGGTTCCGCGGATAGCCTCATGGACTTCCCGTGCTTGGATAAGGAGAACAAGAACATTCCTTCTGTCTTCGATTATCTAGTGATAATGCCAGATCAATCTCATTTGCCACTCCATGTCATGGACGATCGACGGAATGCATGCAGATCAGGAGCAAGGTAACACACAACGGCTGCCAAAAGAGGGCCTTCTATTACCTAAATGAAGTCATCTTGCGTCCCATGTGGCATTTTTTAAGTAGCCCGTTTCATATTCATCTAGTTTTTCTCTTTTTCTCTCTCCAACAAGTCCAATATAATTGCCTGATGGAGTGGTGACGATGATGGGTTCTTCAGCTCCGACAGCTCGTCTTTCGCACAGAAAAACCACATGGACTGACCGGGATCTGTGAGATCTACTCTAAAGTCACCAATGCATGTAGATCATAAACATCCCAACTAATGTATGTTTCACGAATTATACCACGCTGTACACAGGCGTTGTCGTTCTCCTGGAGACGCTGGTGCAGAGAAGTGTCAGCTCGAAACCGTGTTGAGGCAGAGTACTTTTGCCCTTTCGTCAGAATTTGGCAGTACCTCCTACCTTCCTGACCGGCAAAGTCCCGCTGACTGATGCAATGCGGTAATCCTTGATGAGAGTAAGGTCGACTTTAGAAATTAGAAAGGGGCATATCCTAGAAACCAACGCAAACAGGGTATGGAGTATACGGTTTGGTGGACGTCATGGATAACTGGGCTCATTGAGGCGGTCCGGTGTTCACCGCCAGTGTACGAAACGACTCCCCTCATCAGGTGATCATAAAGGTTATCATCAAATCTACTTCGACAGAGAAATATCATCGTCATATTTGGCCCATGAGCGAAGAATATTGGGGAAGCACCCTCGTTATCATTATCAAAAGTGGCATCAATGCATATCTTACAGAACCAAGCTACTGATCCCCTTTCACAACCCGTCCTCGCCAATGGTATCTCGTATCATCGTTGATGAACGAAAGTAGGTAGGAGAACACACATAGACAGCACTTGTAATAGTTTCTGAAGAGGAAAGATCAAGAAATTAGAAGTAGCGTAGATAATACATCGGGGAAAGTGAAAGGAACCAAGGGAATCTAAGACTATAAGAATGTATTGTAGGAAACCCTCGTTTTTGGACAGAAGCACTCCGCTGGAATGATGGTGCACCTTTCCCTCGCTAATATAAAGATCAAAAAGAAACACGTGACGCCATCACACATGACAAGTTCCCGCCCAAGACCCGGACGTGGTTTTGAGAGCCTGGTATATGACCAAAAGAAAGACAAATCCAAAGATGCTACATATGACGTCCATCAACCGTAACCATCCTCTCAGAGACGTTTCTTCTTAATGCGATGCTCTTTGCCCCTCCTATACTTCTTCTGGGTCTTATCTGGCGGAAGCACAAGTGGCTCGTCTCTGAGATTCCACTCCATGAAACGCAACAGGTAATCGTCGATGTGACCGGGCTGCTGTTCGACCTCGGCATCCTCATCGACAGTATGCACCTGTGGCGAGGAAATCGTCTGCGCACCGGGAGTTTCATCCTCCGCAGGGCCTGTCGCTAATGGCGTGCCCATCTGAGCCGGCGTGCTGCGCGATACGCTCCGTTCCTCGAAATCTCCATCATCCGCATGCTCAAGCTCTTTCTGTGCATTCTTGGCTGCATCGATATCTTCCTTGTCTTCTGCTTGCTCGAATGCACGGACGGTGCCACCGACCCTCGTGTTGAGAACACGATCCATGGCTGCGCTTGCTTCATCATTGCTGGCCAACGCGTCGTCACCGATCATCTCTCGTGGGTCAATCTTGGTGAAGTAGTCGGTTGTGAATTCTCCCTCCTGAATGACGACGTCATCGAGCATTCTCTTCTGATTGGCCTTGCGAAGGATATTCGATTCGATCGTGTACTCCGAAACAAAGCGATAGATGTGGACATCGCGAGTCTGACCGATACGGTGGCAACGGTCTTGACACTGCTTGTCCATTGCTGGATTCCAGTCGAGGTCATAGAAGATGACCGTGTCGGCACCTGTAAGGTTGATACCCAACCCACCTGATCGAGTAGACAAGATGAAGGCGAGAATGCGGTTATCATTGTTGAAGCGCTCAGTCAACATCTGTCGCTGCTCCACTTTCGTGGTGCCGTCGAGGCGCAGATACCGATGTCCGTGGATGTTGAGGAATTGTTCCAGGATGTCAAGCATCTTAGTCATCTGCGTGAAAATTAGGGCCCGATGACCGCCCGCCTGAAGGTCCCGAAGCAGCTGGTCTAGTCTCTGCAGTTTACCACAGTCATACTGCAGAAGTCTCTTATCGGGAAACGCTATAGACAAGCGCATCTGAGCTTCGTGGAACGGATCATATGGCGGGAACCTCTGTTCCTTGGAAAGTGACCGGGACTGAATGGGTGTGAGAGCCGCTTCAGTGACACCGGAAGCAATCGCTGCCGGTGTTACACACGCAAACCGCTGAACATATCCTTCCATGTCGTGTGCCCTGTCTTCAATTGATAAAATCATGGAAGCGAGTACGGACGATCGACTGGAGAGCCAGTCTGCCATCGAACGTCCACGGGAAGGATGAGAAGACCAGGCCCTCTGAGCATTATCAGAGGTGAGGAACTCCATTAGGCTCTGCCCGTAGATAGGGGTGAGACCGTGGCGCTTGGATTCAAAGTACATGCATCTTTCGAGCTCCCCCACCCGCTTCTTCCTCAATGCATTCTCCATTGAGATCACGGTGGATTTGACAGAAGAGCCGTCAAACTCCATTTCCCAGTTAGCCCGGTTGTACTGACGTTCACGGAGTGCTTTGAAGGAACCGTAGGCCGTTATCCTTCTTGTATCGTCGGCAATCCTGCGAGAGATCCCTTCCCTTGAGATAGGGGCAAGGTTGAGGAAGTCAAGGTCTAGTTTCGTAAGCGGATCCTCGTATAATAATCGCCTCCGCACGAGCAGTTCCTTGATCTCGTATTCCGTCGCTATCGACCTGGGCATTGCAAAAGAAGTGGAAATAGGTCGAGTTTCAAAGAGATCTGGATGATTGCAGACTTTGCGCAACTGCATCAAACAGTTGATGATTGAGAGGTAATTCCCAGATGCTAAAGTCTCTTTTGTCTGCGCCCTAGACATGAATCCGTCGTAGAGGTACCTCTGGCGCTTCGAAAGTCTGCAATAAACGACGTGCTCGTACTTTGCTGGCATCTGCTTCTCAACATCGGCCTTGAGACGACGCAGAATGTATGGACGTAGAACCGTGTGAAGCTTAGTCACGACTCGCTTTGCTTCTTCATCCATAGTCTCTCTGCCATGTTCCAGGATCTGCTCCACTGGACGTCTAAACCACTCGGAGAAATTCCTGAGGTCTGCAAATCCTTCAGTGCCTGCCTCATCTCCATCCGAAGGCATCAAGAAAAACAGCAGTGACCACAGTTCCGTCAAATTATTCTGAAGAGGCGTGCCAGTGAGGAGAAGTCGGGCTCTTGTCTTAAATGTAAGAAGTGCTTGCCACCTCTGAGAACGGAAGTTTTTGATATTGTGAGCCTCGTCGAGGATCATGTAGTGCCAGTTTCTCCGCTTGAGTACCTGCTGATCCTGTAGGGCCAGTTGATACGAAGTAATCAAGACATCCCAGCTCTTATCGTCCGTCCAGCCTCGACGCTTCGCTTTCCGTTCTTCTTGATTTCCATAATAGGTCATGATTTTGAATCCGGGACACCATTTTTTGAATTCCATTTCCCAGTTAAGTATGACACTTGTCGGTACAACGACTAGATGTGGGCCCCAGACCTCGTGCTCGACAGCCAGGTGAGCCAGAAGAGCTATAGTTTGTATGGTCTTTCCGAGACCCATCTCATCAGCCAGTATACCATTGATATGGTTAGTATACAGACCAGCGAGCCAATCTAGACCAAAGTGCTGATATTCTCTCAGAGTCCCTCGGAGTAAGTGAGGTATTGCTGTCTTCAGGCCCGGTGTAGCCGTAGATCCAACTGTATGAGGACTCCCGGCACGGGCTATAACTGCATCAGAAGTAGCGAGGGGAGCGGTGGAATCAGCTGGCGAACCAGGCTGAACGGCAGTTGCTGGACGGTCTTCTTGCGGAGCTGGTTTCTCTGAGGCAGGTTCGTATGAGGAAATAGATTCGGATTCCGATGGTTTAGTCACGACCGTGCCAGGGGAAGCCTGACTTGATACGTCTCCACTTTGACGAGATCCATGTTGAACGTCAGCCACATCTTCCGGAGAAGATGGAGAGACGTTGGTCTCGTCACCATTAACCTTCTCATCAGGGACCCCAGTCGGGACAAGAGAGACCTCATCTTGGTACCCTGACTCCTCTGCGTCATTTGCAGAAGCGCCATCATCTTCCTCATTATCCCTGAGAGCTGCGGCATCTTTCTTAGAGAAGAACCCTAGCAATCCAGGCGCGCTGTCCCCATCGCTTTCCTCCTCGCTGCCGTCGTCATCGCTATCCATTTCGTCGTCACTATCACCCATATCGTCACTCATATCAGTGGATTCATCACTATCATCCAATAATAATGGATTCACTTCATCCAAAGAAACGTGATCAGGAGTGTATTGCGTAACCAACGCAGAACCGGCGTCATCATCGGGCTCACGAGTATGTTCCAATTCGGGCACATGATTTGCTTGAGATGTTTCGCTGTGCACAGAAGACTCGGTCTGATCAGAAGTGACTGACATCCGTTCGGCGTCAAAATCGTCCGATGGAAGGTTTGCATATTTCAAGCGCAGTTGTTCAGTAGTCAAGTTGGCATCATCGTCAGCACCATCTCCCTCACTCTCGGAATCAGTACTGGACATATTGCTTTCGCCTTCCTCTTCGAGTTCAGATGCGTCGCTTTCTTGGCTATCCTCCTCTGACTCGCCACCATCACTTTCCTGTTCATCTTCATCAGACTCGTCGGCATCAGTCTCAGGCCCCCCTAGAATCTCCAAACGCCTCTTTTCGAAGAGTAGAGTTGACTGTTTGATAGCACGGTCAAGAGCTTGCTGATCTTCGGCCTTTCGTTCTTGTTCCCAGCGAGCTAGACGCATCTTGTCGACCTCTGCTCGGACCAAGTCGAATTGCTTTTGTAGATCTTTCGCTAACTGCTTCCGTCTCAAGCGCATTTCTTCCTCCTGCTCTCTGAGGATATCTTCTGGATCCTTATTGCGCTTCCGCCATGCATCTGCACACCACTGGGCAAACAGTCGAGCCATGTTACGGTGGCGCCTGTGCTCTTGCTCCAACAGCTTTCGGAAATAGAGAGCGTGCGCGACAAGGTGATCCTGATGAGAATATTGCTGTGGTGGCTCCTCCTGCTGTTCTGTGAGATATACAGAGCATATTTCCGGACTGAGTACCCCTCCTGGCTCCCCAGCCTCGAGTATTCTAAGCCTTTTCTCTGCTTCCTCTCGTGCCTGATCCGGACTCACAATGTCACTGTCCCCCTTGATACCTTCGCCACTCTCAATCCAGGCGCGGAACGAGGCGTACTTCCTTGGAGCCAGAACATGGGAGGGGTGCTGAATGGCGAGAGAGGGCTTCTTAACCTTGAACCGTAGCCTCGGAAGCCTCTGAGTACTCTCTGCTTCGTCTTCATTGTATTCCTCCCGAACGGTTCTCGCATAAGCCTTCCTGTCCGTAGCCGCAACAGGCGAGGTAGCCGCCGATAGAGAACTGTTCCGTGCATCACCGTTCGTACCGATACCATTGGTCTCGCCATTCTGATTACGAGACAACGCATTTGGGGTTGCGGAACTCCGCGACCGTGTCCGCGTACTGGCCGGTCTTGCTGCTGGCGACTGGGAAACCTGGTCTTTCCCAGCTGCGGGTTTTGCGCTCGATTTCCTGGGAGATCCAGCGAGAGTTCCATTTGCGGAGCTCCTCCCACCGAGAGACCTTCTCCCATTTGTTTCAGTTTTGACTGCACTTGAGGCCAGCGGCGATGAAGTGCCTTGTGCGCGACCTGTGAGGGACTTGGTCACATATTCCTTCCGAGCTGCTCGCGTGTTTCTCTTGTCTGATTGCGGCTGCAGCTCGAGAGGAATAGCGTTTGTTCTCGAGGATCTGCGCCGGCCATTATCGAAGAAGCTTGTGGGACCCTCTACTCCGATTCTTTTCCAGGGAGGTGAAGGAGGTCTGGAGCGCCGCGAGGTCGAGTCAGTGAGTTTGCGTTTCTTGGACGGCGGACCCTCGTTGGTTTGATTTGCGACCGTGTCTTCATTAGTCCCCAGATTACTCAAACCATTCGTTGCGCTGTCTGCAGGAGTTTCAGGACCAAGTGAGGTACGAGTACTGTTCTCAGGTTCGGGCGTCACGCGTTCGTGCGGGTGTGCAGTGCCATTCAGGTTACCGTTTTGCATGTCTCGTTACCAAGGGCGACAGGGGCCTTTTTCTCAGATGACCCCAGCTTTCCCAACGACGACGAGGTTGGAGCGGGAAATTTTGACATCAACGAATACGGCGAGTTGAGTCGAGATGCCACAAGCAGTTTGGCATAGTTATCGGCAATTTTGCGTGCCTGGTGACGGAAAAAGTCGCGGAGATCGGTGCTTGCGTGGAGAGGTGGTTTTTCGCCCGGTCGACGCAATTTGCTACCGTGACGAGACCGTGTAGAGTATGTAAGCGCGACTCTCCGCCTGAGGCTCTAAGGCGCCAAGGCGCTAAGGCTACTGACTACGGTGCCCGAAATACGCCATCTTGGTCGTCATCCAAACCTCCCGGACCCGTCACTTTCGGTTCACACACCCGCAGGGCTTCGACAACAGCTTCCTTTGACGCCTTTGGAGCACAATTGTCGTGCCCAATCCCATTGAAAATGTTTGTCATATCTGCATTCTTTCTGTCCAGTTGGTTCTGTGCTCACAGTCATGGCTCTACAGATGCTTTCCCGGAGATTGGTCGGCGGGCGTCTGACCCAGGTCACCGCACGCCAGGTCCTCCCCCGCTCTACGTTTTCTCAGATCCGGTCTGCTTCGACAGCTGAGAATGACGATCCAGGCCAGGTACTGCTTTTCGAACGACTGCGCGCTTCTGCACCCTCAATTGACTGATTTCGTCGCAGAACGGCAACTATCCCAACCCCCCGCGCCTGAAGCGGGCATTCAGAGATCCCTACGGCGACTGGTTCGACAAACAGGAGAGACGAAACTTTGGCGAACCTCTTCACGAAGACAACGATATCCTTAACGTCTTCAGTCCTGAGCAGTACACCCATGTCACGTCTGGCAAGGCTATACTATCCATCGGGACCTTCGTCGCAGCCTTCCTCGGCTTCTGTGGCCTAGTCTCCTTCTACTATCCCGACAAGCCATCGGTGCCTCGCACTTTCCCAGATGGTCTCGAGAAGGAACTGGGTGGTCCAGGTGCTGTCCGGGTAAGTTCAAGACGTCCCTACAACGTCGGTTTGTGCAAAAGCTAATCCTCTCCGGTAAAGGCGCGCAAGCATGGTGAGGAGACTTGGTAAAAGAACTCAGAAATCTGTGTAAATATCATAGCTATCTTTTACGGCGTCAATTCAGGTTTTATTAGCAATACGTTTCCAATGGATCGATCAATTCGCCATTATTGGAAAGGAGGATTCTGCGCCGCTTCCGTTCAATCTCCGAAGAAGTATTCTATTGTCTGCAAAATGCGGAACTAACTTGTTTTTGCATTTAGCATTTACCTATGTCCTTTAAATCAGCCCGTTCTGATTAGCAGGACGACTTCTGACAACGTGCATCATTCCCAAGTGTGAGCACAGCAATCATGTATCCCAAGGAGATCTTAGTCTTGACTCTCGAGAGGTTTGTCCCGCCTTTAAATTTTGCGATGGGAGAACGGGGTTCGATTCGCATCTTGAGTCAATTCTTTAATCGGTATTATCTAGCGTAGAAAAGGCCTGAGTAGTCTGACGCTCCCAAGTCAAATATTATTGCCATACGGCGCGGCGGACTTAGAGCGGCGTGTCCCCACATGGCCCCTCCAGTATGTATAAGCAATGTTGACAACATTTCCTCTATAAAGCCTGTAGAAATCACCAATATAGCCATATAGCCTTATTAGTTCAGTTCCTCCTCGCATGTCTCCTTGCGTCGCTCGTCAGCTTTATCTGATGTGGTGTCAAGAGTTGCCGCCCTTCGTGTCTACGTCAGTTTATTTTGAGCCACTAACTAATAGTTACTGTTTCAGGGGAGTCCAACTCTCCCCCTAGATCTTCCCCTCCCCGCCTCAGCTACAGGGATTCGCGCACTGCGTACCCAGATTCAATATCACCGCTCGGCCTTCTTTATCACCTCAGAGCACAGTCGGGGAAAATAAAAATCGTGGACAAGATCATCCTGGGCCGCTGTGGCTTGCACGTCTGAACCCATGCTCTCGCACCCCGTGATTCCCCAAAACCGCTGGAGTCCTGATACAGAAAACATAGCTTCCCATGTCGACATCATCCACTCAATCTTCCAGAGTCAATCGACGCATCAATAGCCTTCAGAATGAGGCCCGACATTCGCGCGTCTTGTCCCTCTCGCGGAGGCGCATCGTCAATACGACTGTCGCTTATTCCTACGCGCTACGAGTTGCCTACCTGTCGTATTTACTCCAGCCTCGAGCCCGCCGTACGCAGAGCGTCCCCGCGCCGCAAACTCACGTTCGCCGGTCTTCCACCTCATTTCAAGATCTTATGAAGGATTTCTCCCTGATCAGGGACTCGAAGAGCACACGGTTTCCGCATGGGTTCATATCAGAGCTGGAGAAGAGGCTGACGGGAGTCCTCATGGGAAAGGAGAGAAATAAGGAATATCAGGATCCTTTGGTGGTGCGGACATTTGCTGTTTTCCTCAACACTTTGAAGGAGCAGTCATTTAAGAAGCGCATGGAAAAGGATCGCCGTGTGGAAGATCTCGTCCTCATATTCTTCTCCAGCGCGACCAAGGAACTCTCGAAGGGCCACAGTCCGGACGAGGACGGCTGGAAGTTGATGGTGGATAGGCATGTGGCACTGTTTGTTCGCTTGATCAGCCTGATATTGAAGGCCGAAGACTGGGCAAAGGAGAGGCCGGAATTGACAAGCCGACTGGCAGTGCTGGAATCCAAGCTGCTTTCCCATGATCAGGACCTCACGGAGGCAAACGGTGCAAGCTCGACCATCGGCGTAGTCGCCCCTCTTAGCTACGACGTGAAGGATATGCCTCTTGTTCAGGTTGTGGCTGGGATATTTGGTATGGATCTAGCTCAGGTGCAATCCGATATCAACAGGAATAAAGCAATCTGGACAGAAAAAGCAGCTCTGCAGGACTTGAAGACGTACCAGGCCCACCTGAACCTCAAGACAGGAAAGACTCTTTCCCAGGACGACTTTGACAATGAGGAAGGATACGAGGCCTGGAAAAAGGCCGAAGGACCCGATCTCTCTCAGATGATGCTTGCCATTGTCCAGTCAAACCCTGAACTGGCCAAGACTACCCCTGGAGGCATCCTGCCGCAGTTCAATTCTCTTGCAAGCGAGCAGTCACCTATCGACTCGCCACGTTCGGAACTGTCACGAACACTGTCCGATAACACTGGTAATACTTCGTATGTGATCGATCAACCGGTAGATCTCAGTTCTCTGTCGCTGGCAGACGACGTCGACACAGTTTCGGAGTCCGATGTGTATACTTTTATACCGTCCGATCCAAGGCCTGTCTACAGGTTCATTTTGGCTCATGCTCTAAGTCATGATCTGAGGGATCAGAAACTCGAGGCTACTCAGGCTACTTCCGAAGTGCCATCGATCAAGCTGCTCTCGAAGCAGTCAAGTGAATTACTCAACGAGATCTGTCTACGCTGGCGTATTCCGGCCTCTAGTCGAGTCGTCCTATTTCTGGACGTCGTTCGGGAGAAGTTTGTTGATAATGAGATTGATCTGGACACTTTAGATACTGCCTTTACGTTTGTGAAGGATGCCCCCGCGCACGAGGGGAGAAAGCGCAGTAGCTTCATTGCTTCGGTTGTCTTCGACCGGAAGAGATGGACGATTCATGATATTCTATTGATGCAACAACTCCTATCCTCACTTCACGAAGCACTACTCCGCGAGCTATACGATTGCATGATGCACTGTTATGAGACCAAGCCCCGGCCCATAGGCCCAGTGATGTACATTCTGGATAATCACATCCAAATGGATCCCAGTTACACTGAAAACCCCCAAGATATTGATCGGTTTAGGTCTTATATCCACGATGGACTTTCTGAAAAGGCAAAAGATAAATACCAGGAAATGCTCCACAAAGCTGTCCCACCCACGCAAGAGCACTGGGAATTGGACCACGTTATTCAGTTTGGGGAGGATATAACGAAGCTTGCTCAGCGGATACAGAAACGGTACAAAAATAACCCGGAGATCATGGGGTATGTGCTCGATCCAACGGTTCCTCCACGAAGATGTGTTGCTAACGATGGTAGTGTAAATCCCCTCAAAATTCTGATCAGCTCTATTTTCCCTATGTATGCGGAAGATGCCAGGGATATGATTACACGGATACTTGAGCACGCGCGAGAACAGGGCACTGAGGTGGGCATCGAAGATGGGTTTGACATGTACAGACAGTTGGTTGCGATACGACGTCTCTACACTGAGAATCTTCCTGGGTATGCTACACTTTCCCTCGACAATGACACACAGATACAGGCTGACGTTATTCTTCCTACAGCCAGTCTTTCCCTTTCCACGTTGAAGATCTACTAGCCGATTTTGTTTGGCGCTGGATTAGATTGACGGATGACAAGATCATGGAATGGGTAGAGCAAGCCGTGAGACGGGATGATTTCACTGTTCGCGTTGAGGAAGGAAACGAAGTGGCAGAGGAGGATCAGCGACATAGCGTTTCTGCCATTGACATCTTCCGCTCCTTCAACCAGGTCATCGAACAGATGGTTCAGCTTGAGTGGGACGATGATTTTCAGTATGCCAAGTTCATGACTGCTCTGTCCAAGTCAATAGGAAAGGGTGTCGCGAGATACTGTGAACTACTCGAGCAGATGTTTATCAAAGAAATGGACAGGCTCACTCCGGAGCAGGAGGCAGCTCTGAACCAGACGAGACAGGAGAAGCTGATGCAGATGGCCAAGGAGGCCTGGAATAACAAGGACAAAGTGGAGCCGTTCCAATTCTTGCCCGAGGTAAATCCCACCGTGCACTTTTTCAAGAGTCAGGATGCTGACACACAAGCTAGTCGCTCGTAAAACTGAACAGTATCGAATATGCCCTTACTCAACTCGACAAGCTCGAACGCGAAATCAATGTTGATGCATGTGCCGAGGTCATTGCAAGGCACAACCCTATCACGCCGCAGAAAATACGGAAGTTGACGACATATGTTTTCACTATCAAGATCGTGGAAGCAGAGGACTTGAAAGCATGCGATATCAACGGTAGTAGTGACCCCTATGTCGTATTGACCGACGAGTATCAAAAGCGCATAGCAAAAACACGCATCATATACAACAACCTCAACCCCAGGTGGGATGACACTGTCGATATCACGACGAAGGGCCCACTGAACATAATTGCAACCCTATGGGACTGGGATGCAGTTGGCGACCATGATTACGTTGGCCGAACGTCTCTCAAATTAGACCCAGCGCATTTTAGCGACTTTATGCCGCGGGAGTACTGGCTCGACTTGGATACTCAAGGAAGGCTTCTTCTGCGTGTGAGCATGGAGGGTGAGAGAGACGACATACAGTTCTATTTCGGGAAAGCATTCAGAACCTTGAAGCGTACAGAAAGGGATATGACTCGCAAGATTACCGAGAAGGTCAGTTGACACTGTACGATCTGACACGGCGCGTTTTGCTAACCACAGCACAGCTTTCTGCATACATCGGACACTGTCTTTCTCGCCGTGCTCTAAAGGCACTGCTGTCCCGAGGACTGAGTATTTCTACCGTATCAAGCTTCCTCAATCGAAACCGCACTCAGTCGACCGTCACGCCTACCCAAGAGGAAGTGGAGAATGCACTGAGCCCGCTGTTCACCTACTTTAATGATAACTTCGCCATCATGAACAAAACATTGACTCCCGAGGCCATGCGAATGGTCATGGCGCGACTGTGGAAGGAAGTCCTCGCTACAATCGAGAGTCTGCTTGTGCCCCCGCTCTCTGATAAACCGTCGCACCAGAGACCGTTGACGATGCAAGAAGTCGATATTGTGTCGCGCTGGTTAGTGCTGCTCCTTGAATTCTTCCATGCCGTTGACGACGAAACTGGCGAAGCGAACGGTGTACCAATGGACATCTTGAAATCACCCAAATACCACGAGATCCAGACTCTCAACTTCTTCTACTTCGAGCCGACTGAGAACCTCATCCGTACTTCGGAGCGTATGGCTTCAGCGACTGTTTCGCGCCAGCACGGAAACAAGAACCGTCAATCTGCACCTCCACAGGTGGGCGGATCGCTCGGTCTGTTTGGCATGCCAAATTCAAGACGCGCCAAGAGTATTCTGCTCTCGCGGAACCTGGGTACAATGAAGAAGGCGAAAGAGGAGAAACGCCGCGAGGCTCAAGCGGAGCCCAACGACGACATGATCCTTCGAATCCTCCGCATGCGCCCAGAAGCAGCCGGTTACCTCCGGGATCGTAGCCGGCAAAAGGAGCGCCTTGCTGCAGCAGCAGCGGCAGACGCTATAGTGAAGCAGAGTTTGATGGCAGGAACTGGTGGGAGAATGACCGGGATGCTCGGACGAAGATGAAGATGAACTTGAGAGATCGTACAAGTACATCTAACATACATCCTCCAACATATCTCGAGAACACCAGCATCTTCGACATTCTACACTCAGACCCATGTCGCTCAACCTGACCCACCACTTAATTTCCATGACATTTCATGAATACATCTCACATCTCTCTCTCTCTCTCTCGCATGTCCCTTTCACGATTCCCTTGTCTGATGTTCCTTTCTGATTCCGCTAGATTGAGCGTTGACGTCGGCAGCACACATACATGCATCATGGTTCGAGTTTGTTTCCTTGTGCTGGTGTCTGGATTTCAGAAGTGTCTCCTACTGCAATATTCCCCTCGCATATGATTCTAGTTTGGTTTACTAATGCGTAAATAACATGCTTTTCTTCACTCTGATACAGAGTATCTCTATGTAAGGAGAACGTATCCACGTAAATAGTCAGGCTAGTCCGTACTGTACTGTATTGTTCTATAATATAATACTGTACATAGTCTTGTAGTCCCTGCAGGCTAAACCCAACGCTTTTGCATGCACAGTATCTTATATACTTAAGTTAGTTCAGCCAAAATAGAATGCAAGTACGTAACAGCAACGAGACGAATCTCTCTCTCGTAGTTTTATTTAACCTATATAACCAACCCAAACAACATATTTTCAATTCATATCAAGATTCTTCATTTCATTCATATTTTATATAAGCATAGTATAGTATAGTTAAAACGGGAGTTCTCCCTCCCTCCCTAACTAACTAACTGACCATTAAGGAGAGGTTTGCTATCCATCTACTGCAGAGCAATAGCCTCAATCTCAACAGGCACACCCTTCGGCAGCTGCGCAACAGCAACACAGCTACGAGCGGGCTTGTGAGTGAAGTACTTTTCGTACGTGGCGTTCATCTCAGCGAAGTTGGCCATATCAGTCAGGAAGACCTGTTTTCCGTTAGAAACAAAACATTATGATCAGCATGAGTCGGGTCGTTCCATCGGGGGTTCACCAAGAAAGGGAGGGAAAGAAATATATATATATATGCAAGAAGGGGTCGCTATGACATACATTAATCTTAACAATCTTCGAAATGCTCGAACCGGCAGCTTCAAGAACGGCAGCGATGTTCTTGCAGCACACCTCGGTCTTCTCGCCGATAGTGCCCTCGACCAGGTTTCCAGAGGCGTCAGCGGGGATCTGGCCAGAGACGAAGACCTGGCCGTTGGCCTTTATGGCCTGGGACTGTTGAGGAGTATTAGTTTGGAGGATCAATGGCGTGTTTTGACGGGGGGTTGATAGGTAGGTATGTATGTGATGTGGGATGTGTCCGTCGGAGATTTCTGGAGTGGGCGGTGATAAGGGAAGGAGATGAATAGGTATAAGGGAAGGTCAATGACGTACGTAAGGTCCCGCAGCTAGATTTGAGAAACGAGACAGTCAGTTAATTGATACTTTGATATAATCATGGCATGGAATAGAGCTGTAGGGGGATGGCAGTAGCTCAGCTAGGCTAGCTAGCTAGCTAGCGATCCATCTACCCCTCACACTCTGACATTCTGATACAGATCCAGATGCAGATCTTGGATCAAGATATAAAAAGAACAGCAGACGAAAGACAATACTCACGAGGGCAGGCATCCTTGGTGAAAACAGGGGTCATTTCAGCAGCCATTGCTTTGGTGGAAGTCGAGAGGGGCGAAGACGCAGATCGGAGAGGTGCAGACAGAGAGCTAAGATGCTGGGAAGTGAGACTCAATCTGGCAGCGCTTCTGAGCATGAGTCAATTGGAAGTGGGTGTTTAGTTTTCAAAAAGAAATCCAAGGGAGAAAAGTGGAGGCCTTTTGGAGTATCTCGTTAGTTGGTGAGTTGAGGGGAAACTGACTGACTGGACTTTCCCGCTTTGGCCCGCGTTCGGAGGCGGAAAACTTGCCCGTCAACCCCGCCGAGGGGTAGAAGAAAGAAGTATTTCAGAGTACTACTGGGATGCTAGGTAAATGATGACAACAGAGGACATGTATCTTGATAGGATACATCACTTGTAAAATAATATAATAGAATGTTAATTAGACAGTCCTATGGTATTGTATACACGCTAAACACGATCGTTCTCTCATGAGGGCATTAAGGTATCATCAAAACAAAGAATTCGCCAGCGAACACGTTCACGACTAGAGAGTTCACACCTCACGTCCCAAGGCTAGCTCATTTCGAGCCACCAGGGTTGCCCAGCTGCTGCATCAACGCAATAGTCTGTTCAGCGGAGTAACCGAAGAAGACTGGGCCATTAAAGACCATCTGCGCCGGAGCCGGAGAGGTTGACCGCATCATGTCTGGAGTGACGGTATGAGGACCGGTGGCCGGGTCTTCAGGAGCCGCAGTCTTCTCATTCAGTGTCGGCTCCTGCAGTCGCGATGCGCCTTCACTGGGTGCGGCCGCGTCTTGCTTGGGGATATGGAATGGACAACGACCCGCGGGCCGCCCTGGCGTTCCATTCGGGGCCGCTGATGCAAAAGAAGGGTTGGCTAGGGTACTTTCGACCTGTCCTTTGGAGCCAAAACCCTTGTCACTGGGTTCTGGAACCGTGGCAGACGGAGACTGAATAGCGCTGGGAGGAGTCGGGTGCGATAGTGGAACAGGAATACCCCAGGGTCTGCTGGGCGATTCACCAACTCTGACCTCGCGGAGTGGTCTTTCGAACCGGCCAGTTCTGTCATCGTCGTCATCCGCACGACTCTCCTCCTCGACAGGGGTGAGGGTAGGAGGCCGTCCTGATTTCGAACTGACATCTTCCGCCCATCGTTCAACGCGCTCCGCCGAGGCCGAGCTGGAGCCCTGCCCGCTGGTTCTGCTTTGACCTGGAAGGAAGACCTGGTGCTTTACTCCAAGGCCCTGAATCATGTTGACCAGGCTACCGTACTTTGCGTCTAATTGTCGTATACTCTGAGAATCCCTCTGATATCGCCGTATGCAGACTGCATGACTTCTGGGTATCTCATGTTTATGGTTTTCGAAATACTGGGCAACCTCCTCGGGGGAGTGTTGGTCAAGGTATCTTATAGGGCATCGAGCCGCAGATGACCTTGCCGACGCAGTTGGGCTGGACACCTTATCCTGACTGCGTTCAAGTTTTATTGGATCTAAGGCTTCATCATTTCCACACACATCACCGTTGGGTCCCTTGGAGGGATTAGATGTTCCAGTAATGGAGACTGGTTTTTCGTTTGGTTTCGCAAACGGACACCGTAGGGTACCCTGGACGCCACTGGTGGTGAAGTCCTTCTCTAAAGCTGAAGATCTCCTTGCTGAGGCAGCAATGAGACATGGATTGGACCGGACGCGCAGGCCACTGTCACTGTCCTCCTGTTGCAGCACCCACTCGAAGCTTTCCCACCCTTGCTTGATGGCTTCGAGGGCACGGTCGTCAACCTTTCCAGATTGTTGCAACGTGTGGACCATGTCCTGGATGGTCTGTGGTCCTTCGGGGGAAGCCGCATCACCATGGACGATCTTGTTAGCGACAGCATTTTCATCTTCACTTGGTCCCCCGGGGAGTCGATTCGCTAGCTTCAGATACTGTACGACCGCGCTGTCAGCGATGCCCGTGGCAAGAATGACACGTGAAAACAAGGAGGTGATAGGAATGTCTCATCGGATAATACATGTTAAACCGTCATCGCCGCAAATGCGACTCCCGATCTAGAGCTAATCGGATTTTCTCGTCATTTGAGACAGGTGGATGGGGACAGGGGGGTAGGTGATGATTCATGAAGGATGTGATGGATGATTAAGGCTTGCAAGGGTTCCTTACCTCTTCGTGGGAATACTTCAGTCGACGCTGGAGCTCCTGCTCCTTGCAGCTGAGAATCTGGACCGTCACCAGGAGAGCATCGAATCCCCTGGCCAAGGTCTGTAAGTGACTGTCCTGGTCCGTATGCTCGATCACACGGCCTGGAGACATGGTTATGGAGAGAGATCCTCTTTCCTATATTAGCCTGACTATCTTGGTTTCTCTGCAAGCGGCTCATCTGCCTGATGCAGAGAGGACGGGTCTAAGACCAAGACCGCGACGGGAAAAAGAAGAGAAGAGAAAAAAGAGAGCTATTTTTCCAGCTTGCTGCCTTTTTCAAGGTCGTCGAAGAGCCGAGTTGATGCTAACTTAAGCGAGATGGCCCGTGCTGACAAACCGAGGAGATTGACCGTCTTATATAAGCACGTCGGATCCAGGAATCTCCGAAGTCGGGATTTGATCACGCCTGCTGCCTATCTATGTATAGTATAGATCAATAGTTTCAATAATACAGATCTCGATTGCGCGAGTTTCTCCACCGTCGAAAGAGGCAGTGGACACGAGGGCGATCCCATGTATATATAGCCGTCCACTGGTCGTGTTTTCACATGGTGGGATAAAGTCCAATTGGGAAATATCGTGAGATACTCCGTATTTTCGTATGCGTATGAAGCACGCAGGTTGCAATATCAAACCGTTCTATTTCCAAGTACTCCTGTTTGGGGATCATCTGCAGGCAACAGGACGGTGGGGATAAGTTAATAATAATCCCGGAAGGGTCGTAAGTTGCCAACTATCTAGTAGGTGGGACGCTTGTTGGCACTCGTTGATCGATGTGGGAGCAGCGGCATACTTACGGCTCAACGGTGCATTACGGACAGGCAATTAATTGCATACTCTAAGCCCGTAGCCACTTTGTGTGTTGAAAGTCGACATGCGATGTGTATCGAAACCTGAGGCACCCATATTCACATGGATAGATATCTCTTCACAGTCAGCTTGTAACAGTTAATTATCCTCATCTAGTAATTAATAGGTGGTACAACGTTCCGATCGAACAGGATGCAGCTCTAGCTCAAAGTCAGTTTGATCCCTGATTGCAGTAACTGCATTCACCTACCTAGTTTCCGTCTGCGCTGGTGCTGATGTATACCACCCCTCTGGCTTAACCATCAGATGTTATTATTGGGCTGCAACGAGTCAGCGACACTAAACTCCTCCATCCGCCTTAGGCATATCGATCGAAGCCACAGGCGGGACTTTGGACACGCTTAAATGACCGGGCCAAAAGTCCTGCGATCCATGCTCCTCGATGCGTTATTCGCACCGTACCCGTAGGCATTGATCCCATTGATACCCCCCGCCATGGCTCCCTACCCCTCCTTCAACACGGCCAGACCGGATCTCTGGCAGAAGCTCGACTGCGCTGGGAAGGATTCTAGACTCGGGGCTAGAGAAATAGATTCCGGCGAGCTGTAGGACGACGGAGTAACAGGGCCGATAAGTTGCTGCCACGGGCCGGCCAACGGTACAGATACCGTCTGATACGCGCACGGAGGCATCCACCAGAGGCAAAGGAGCAGCAAGAAACAGGCTGATTTGTGTATAACGAGAGTGATCGACAAGACCGATGAGCAGTCAGCCACCGGTGCTTCGTCCTGGGTTTCGCCGGGCTGAAGCTGGTGGACATGGCGTGCTTGCGGTGTGATGGTAAGTATGTATGTATGGTATCGTCGGTAACTTATCGAACTTTTTTTCTTCTTCCACCCCTCTTCTCCAACTCCTTCAGCTCTTTTTGACGATTTCCCCCCCTGCAGTCGACTCGTCACGAAACGAAAAGGTCCGTTACAGACGTCGTATCTTTATCGCCTCTCGCTTTACTTTATTTTTATCTCTTCTCCCATCCTCCTCCTCCCTCTCTCTCTCCCTTTTTCTCTTCTTCTTCTTCTTCTTCACCATGTCTGCCACCTCCCAACATCCTCCCCCCGGTAAACCAGATGCCACCACCACCCAGGTCCGACAGTCCCCCACCCATCCCTCCCGCACCGCCGAACTCGCCAGTCTTAAAGTAAGACTGCGCAATGCGCTGCGCCAGTTCCCCGACTTCCCCTCCCCGGGCATCCTGTTCGAGGATATCATGCCCATCTTCGCGGACCCCACCCTGCACGAGGCTCTGACCCGATGCCTGGAGCTGCACATCATCGAGACCTACGGCGAGGACCAGAAACCCGATGTGATTGTCGGTCTTGAGGCAAGAGGCTTCCTCTTCGGCCCCAGCCTGGCCCTGAGAATCGGTGCCGGCTTCGTCCCGGTGCGCAAGCAGGGCAAGCTGCCCGGTCCATGTGAGACGGAGACCTATCAGAAGGAGTATGGCCAGGACCACTTCCAGATGCAGTCGGGTGCTGTGAAGCCGGGCCAGAGAGTGCTGGTGGTGGACGATATCATTGCGACGGGTACGATCAGACCATAACCCCCGCATATCTGGATAGACCAAAGAAAAAGAAACTAAACTAACATTGTTCGTTCTGCAGGTGGATCCGCATATGCCGCCGGAAATCTCGTCAAGAAGATGGGCGCTACCCTCCTAGGCTTTGTGTTCATCATGGAGCTGGACTTCCTCAAGGGAAGGGAGAAGCTCCCGGCACCGGTCTACACCCTTCTCACCGGGCAGGAGAGCAAGGTGTGATTCTTTCGTTTCGACTCCCAATTAATTCGAAAGAACCGGTCTCCTTTGTCTGTGTCCACTCTTCGAACTAGTGGTCCGCAAAATCCCGCCCACCATAGAATCTTTGTTGCCTCGCGGCGTCTGATATTCTTGCTTATTGAAAACACGCTCAAAAAGCAGCAACCTGAACAGAATATTGCTGAGTTGGCTATGCGGCGGTCCAGAAAACTACAGTGGCAGGTTGCCTCTGTGCATGACGATATCCAGGGGACGACCTGCAGAGTACGCCACGGTCTGGCTGATACTATTATCTGACCTTTTTGGATGGGTCAAACAACGACCATCCTTGCTAGATACTCCGTCTCGCTCTGCGGGCATAATGAGTATAATGAATCTATAGAAAACAAAATAAACCCAAAAAGTATACCCAGCGCCTAGCTGCATAGTTATTGCCAATTGATTTGCTCAGTATCAGTGCTGGGGTCCATCCCCACCTACACTACAGTAGACCAGATAATATACACGATTGTAGAATGCAAAATATACCAGCTACTTTATCGAGGACTCCATTGTCTACTATCTAAAGAAAAGGATATGTAATAGATATATATCCTTTTGCATGTACATACAAGAAGCGACAAAACGACTGCCTTGCATTACATGTAGAATTACCTCGGTTGTTTACTGTTAACAAGAGTTTCGATGATAATATGAAATTGGCATTAAATGGATAAATCTTAAGTCTGCATATAGCAGGCGAATGGCCGACAACATAAGTCTAAAGTGGCGTAGATAGTGTGAGGACACGCATTAAAAACAGCAGACAAAGTAACTAATTCTCTCCACCGATCCTCTGCGATCAGATCGCTCTTCAGTACGGCTGAACCTTCCATCTCCAAAAGAAGTACTGTAGATAGAGGGCATTTTGGACCCCACGATGGTATTATTCACGTAGTTAGCTAGCGCAGGTTTGTTTAACTAGTTGCTTACTTACTTTAAGGAAACGATCTTACTAGTTATATCATTGCACGAAGCTAAGCTGAGCCTCTTTCGGCTCAAATATTTTAAATCAAAGACCCTGCCCTCTTGATCTAACATATCCCCTCATCCTTTTATATCTCTTCCCCAAATATGACTCCAAATAACACAACAACAACAACCAAATTCACCGGTGACTCAGACACATACGGCCTCGGCGTCCGTCTCGGAATTTACCTCCAATGGCTTGCAACATTCCTAGCCACAACAATACGAACACGAAGCGCACGAACAATACGCACCTCAAACACCATATTCCTAATTGCCAACTTCGCAGGCTTACTCCTCTTCACATTCCACCGACCCCAAGTATACGCTATAGAACCCCTAATCGTCTTATTCATCGTATTCGGCGCCGCGTGGCCGTTTATTCTACTTGCCATCCAAATAAAAAGCGGTATCAATGAAGCGATTCTTCGAGTGGTTATTTATACCGCTATGATGGGGTATATTATGTGGTATTTCTGGTCGGGGATGGATGTGATGATTCGTCTTCCTCCTGAGTCTGGATCTGGGTCTGGATTCGGTCAAACTGCATTCTTCTTCGCCAAAGTCGATCTATTCGGCTGGTTCCGCACGCTAGGAAAGGTATTTGCGGTTTTGGGCTCAGTTGTGTTTCTGGTAATATGGATATTTCATATTCCGGATCTTCTCTGGGCGAGATATCCTATACTGAATAAAGTATGGAAGAGAAAGAATAAGACGCCTGTGGGTGATGATGATGAGGAGGACGATGGATATCTCAGCAAGGCCATCATGATCAAAGAAACCATCGATACAGCATTTCGAGTTTTATTCGGCGGTATCGGCCTTATAAATTTGATTTTGATGATTGTCGGGGCAGAGATGATGATTGCTTGGAATCAAATCCAAGGTGTCAATCGGTTGGATTCGACAGGACAGCTTATTCCGGCCTTTTTGGGTTTGGTGCTTCTAGTAACGACGGTTTGGGAAACGATAGAAAATACAAAGGAAGCGGGACCAAAGGAGAGGGAAAGGAGACAAAGGAGGAAGGAAGCGATGGAAAAGAAGCGGGAAGCAAGACAAAAGAAGATGGAATCTCTATCTCGTGATAATCATGATTCCAGTCGGGTTGATCTTGAGAATCCCACCTCTAATGTGGCTCCCAAACGTACAGAGGAAGTGCTTTTGGAGATGGGGCCTGTTTCTGTCCGTTTGGAGAGTTGACAATATCTACACGAGGAATATTCAGATTGTAAGAATTCTACAATAACTATACATATACAATCGGTGAACCTGGCGCTCAAGTGATCTAGGAATCAATGAAGTGTTCAGTGGTCTGTATCATCGATTCATTTCACAAGTTCCTTTCTACTTCAACCCAGCACCCACTCCGCAACAGTATATCTAGCAATAGACGTTCTATCACCAACATACGTCGCTTCCATAGGCGCTGCTGAACTATTCTTGAGCGAAACACCATTCAACGCACTCGCTTTAAAGGCTGCGCATGCAGTCACTGCCCGATGCCCAACATACCCTTCATACATCGACCTGGTCAGAAATCTCATTAAGAGTCTCCCGTTTCCCCATAACAGTGAAGACGGGTTATTCGGACACGGGCATGAGGGCGCGCTCAGAATGAGAGCACGCTTGATTCGATGTACGGGAGGAATGTCATGAAATAGTCCATGATAAGCTGGAGTTAACATAAACATGTCGGCTTTGTGTATTTCTGGGCTAAACTAAGCTAAGCTAGGTTTTCTATATATTTATATGTATATAGAAGGAAGGCAGGAGAGTTATAACTCACCGTTCGATTTCCCCTATACGCCAGCCCAGCGAAAGATAATGATGAAGGACATCAGCACCACTGCGAAAAGAAAGGAGAAAAAAAAAAAAGAATCGTCACTTTCTACCCGAAACTGGTAGAGGATAACTAACTGATCTGTAGAGCTTAAAACTCTCTCATGGACACATACTAAAAAAACTCTCAAAAGGTACTCCCCAGCCCATACCTTGAGCCAAACAAAGGATCTTCTCATCAATCTTACGAGTGAGACGCTATCACCACTGAGCCATATGGCCTTTGTGTAGTAAGCTTACGCTTGTTTTTAGTCTATAATAATGTCAGGGGGTGTAAGATGTATATAGTCACGTGACCCCATAATGCATGAGAGATCTCCCTCTATATACAAACCTTCTATAGAATCGCTTCATGTACTGTCGGGGAAAAAACGAGAACGTCGATTCCTTATATATAAGTGCAAACATTGATCATTCAAATAATGTACAGATTGCTGATTGGTATCCCTTGCGAGCGCATATGGTACCTCCTCTTGATACCGATTGCTGCGGCGCTGCGGAGCAGTTCGTAGGTATCGTCTCCACCGCCCACCATGACCATGCTGACGGGTTGCTGACGCGGGGTGCCTCCTGCTGTGACCTGGAACTCGTCGAGATGCGGTCGGCTGAGGTACGGTCCAGCGAGGACCGCAGCCTGCGAAAGAAGAGCAGGCAGCGCGGACTCATCAAATAGAGATGGATCGGAGCGGCTATGACCCATGCCGAAGACATCATCCATCTCGTCGTACGAGACTACAATGACGATCTGGAGCGCAGAGCGACCTGGCCGAAATGCTGGGAGGTTCTTCAGCTTTTGAGAAAAGCTGCAGCCGCCGCGCTTCATGACAATAACCTGGTGGTTGCGCACCACATTGAGTGGAAGCCGCTCGTCACAGGTCTCGTCGGAAAAGTAGATAGTGCTCCATGTGAGGCGCTCCAGAGATGGCTTCCCGGATTGCGAAAACAAGGTTGCCTCCTCAACGTCAGGAAGAGGACCGGAGCCCCGGCCAGCAGAAGTAATTGCTGGAATAGCAAGGCGTACAGTAGAGACCTTTGACTGTGATGGTCCCGACGGAAGAGAGGTCGCAGGATCATCTCGCAGCATGGAGGACACATGATCCATCAACGTCGAAAGAGCAGCCCTCACGCTAGAAGCATGGGCGTACGCACTTCCCAGTTTCTGATCTGAATATGAAGAAAGGGGTTGCTCGCGAGCAAGGGTATCGCGATGCTCCGCCGCGGCATCACTGGTCTGGGCGGCTGTCGATGCATTTCGCCGACGAGATATCTCCGGACTAACATCCACGACAATATCCAGCATGGTCGAGTCGCGAATCCGGGTGAAATTGGGATCAGCTGGGTTTAGAATATCAAACACTATCTCCCGAGACAGATAGACCTTTTCATCCTTACCCAGAGGAAGATTGTTGATCACCTGAATTCGAAAGCTATCCACTGAAGGTGCCATAGTCATGTCTTCCGGTGGCACGTCCTGGATAAGACCCAGACGAAGACCTCCAATAGATTTGATCAAGATTCCATCCCGGATGCGTTCCAGCGACCCGGGACCGAGAACCATACTCGGAAGAGGAGGGAATGAGATATCGAGTGTAGGACGTATTGCCATTGGCGCACTGGTGGCATCATATGGCACCAACTCTGGAGGCAAAGTCCAAGGATAAAGGGTATAATTAGAAGGCGAAGAAAGATCCGACAGCGAGACGCTGGGATGGTCACTCGCATAGTCCAGAATTGCCCCTTCAACCTGGCCCCTCGACGGCATGAGATGTAACCGGGCCAAGCTCGCTGCATGGAACAAGTCGCCGCGTGCTGCGGTCGAGGACCCAGTAAGTGATGGAGGGATAGGCGGCTTCTGACATATACTGACTGTGGTAGACATTTCATCCGGCTGTTGTGCCGGTCTTCGATCCGTTGCGGCCTTTGTAGTTGGGGCTTTCGGGATAATCAGTGGATGCCCTTCTGTAGAGAAGACAAAAGGAGCATCCAAAGTGTTCAATGGATGACTCGGATCGTAGAGTAAGAACATGTACTTGGCAGTCTCTCCAAGGAAAAAGCTCTCCATTCGATCGCTCAGCTCACCGGTTCGGACGTCCTGAAGACCGGCCCAGCCGCATTTCGTCCAGCATCTGCGCTTGATATCGCGGAGAACCATTTCACCCACATGGAGGTACCACGGGTCTTTGGTGGCTCGATATAGATAGTAAGTGGACTCGACGAACTCCGGCCGGCCTCCCCACCAGCTGAGGCCATTTTCGATGTTGCCCGTAGCGACGTTCCACCGCTCCGGAAGGGCTGAAAACCGTGTCCAAAGAGCGGTAGCCAGCAAGTGAACTTTAGAAGCCTCGTCGATCTCACCAGCCAGAGTCAGGAGACCTGGATAATATGCACTCAGACTGTCAATCCAAAATGCTCTGGTTGCACCTGTATATATATCGCCTTGGATGAAATGAGGGTGCTGATACCCTGCTCCTCGATAGAGATGACGCTTGATAGAAGCTTGAGACTCACGCCAGACTTCAAGAAAAGCGTCCGCAGAATGCTCGTGGTCACTGAGAGGCGTGTAGTAACCGTCTAAAATGCTCCAGGGACTGTTGGAATCAAACTCTGGGCGCTGCCCAGAGGAAAGCAATACATATGACTTGAACGCATATTCAAAAAAGCTATCGATGCCGGCTCCGATCTTGGCAAGACGTCAGCTCCGTTAACATAATGACGAGTCCGTAGTACGGATACCCACCCCTGTATATGAATTGACCCATCTCCCTGACTCCGCGTCTATACCAGCGCCAATCAAACCAATGTCACTTCTTCTAGCCCAAACAGCCCAAAAGGCACGTTTGGCAAGTTCCTCGTAGCGGCCATCTCCGGTGAGCCTGCTCAAGACGGTGAATTCGAGGACGAGGCTGCCAGCGCCGGCGCTGCAGGTCTCGGTGATTTCAGGGATCAGCTGCCGGCGGTTCCCACGAGCCTCGTCACGACTATCGGAGAAAGCTGCATGCAGCGGTGAATTGGCATAGAATTGTACTCCATGTCGTAGATTGACGCGAGGATACGGGAGGCCTGTTTGGGTGTAGAACGCCGGCAGAATGCGATTACCTAGATCAACAGCAAGCCGAAGGAGTTGACCGTCATAGACAAACCCGTTGTCCCATTTGATGCCGTGACTGTCTGCGAAGAAAGATCGCTTATCCCACGCTTTCGCGAAAGTCGCTTCTTCCTCTGGAGGAGCGTACCCCCGAATAGGCAGGTCACCAACAGCGAAGAGATGCGCACTGAGCAAGCCACCTGAACCCATCGTCAGCCGTAATCCGTATACATACACCTCGCAACCGCAATTATGAGCCTCCCGCGTACCTAGACCTCTGATGACCGTCTCAAACACCTGCACTTTACTATCGATATCGAACCCGCGACTCCTCTCCCCGCGCCCTGAGGGCCCATCCGAACCGTCTCCATATAGCTTCACGAAATCCCTAACGCCATCCTGAAAGTATAACCATGCTTTCGACCCCGCGCTTTCGCTCGAGGACATGATCGCGAGCGTCGATAGACTGTCGATCAGGGTAAGGGAGTAATTCCCAAGGACATCGTTCAATTCGATATGCGCCGGGTTCAGGCGATCACGCGTCAACGGACGACAGGTAAGAGGCCGCAGTTCATCTTCGGGGAAGGCATGTTTCATATAATTATCAAAGCCATGATAGAACATATGTTCCGTCTCCTTCCTATGTGTCCGTCATATTTTGCGCGTTAGAAAAAGAAACCCCTAGGAAAGAAAGTGCACACGCGACCAGAAGAAAACAACCGAACTCACCTCAAATCCCTAATCTGGCTCTCCCTCATAGCATATGCGACCGACAGCCACGAGGACAGCAGCAGGAAACAAGCCACTATCCATGCTGAGCGGAGGCCGGGTCTCAGCGAGCACCGGCATCGCGAGCCCATCACCGGAAGCTCAGATGCGAAGCACTTATGGGGAGCATGGGAGCGTTGGGAGGTCTGGAGCCAAGTTTTCCCCCGGTTTAGGTAGGTTAGTTATGATAATCCCAGGCCCGCGGTTTTAGTTTAGCCCTTTCAAGCTCCCCCACGACGAGTGCAGATTGGGTGTCAGATACGTTTCGATGCTCCTCGCCTTTTTCATAGGACGAGGATCGCATGTGAGCTAAAGGTGATTAAAAATGGAATGTATTATTAAGTGATGACTGGATGGAGAGAGAAAGAGAGAGAGAGAGAGAGAGATGGCCACATAATCTAATCCGCTTCCGTTTTACATCAGCAAAAGGATATAATTAACTAATTCAGACGAACTATCATCGAGACTATCACATGGAGGCGCCACCCCGAGTTATTTCAAATGGATTGATCGTGATTGACTCGACTCACTTTTTAGAATACTATTCTTGCCATGTGCTTTGTTTAATCGGATTCGTTTAGTGCCATCTTTATGCGTCCAGTTTGCCTGGCTGAATTCGTTCAATGTACAGTATTACTTACCTAGTTAAACGGAACTACCTAGGTAGTTATCCCACAGTTTAGGCGCATTTCTAATCATCCAACGCAAACTTGGAGACTATTTATTCGTCGATTTCATTTGACGGTATCGCTGGGATTAGTATAACCTTGGAACCTCATTTCAAGGTCCTCATAAAGAAACGGGCATTATATTTACATTCCGGACATCTGACTAAGACTATACATATCGGGCATTGCTGACTAGGTAGAGAATCAAAACTGCTAGCTTGGGGGCGCTGTGTTGTTTTGACCTCTAGGTGCAATCGAGCGTGGTTCCGCATTGAGAACATAGTCAACCCCGATGTCAGAGACGTAGCTTGGAGGACGATATGCAGTAGCCGGCCTGCTCTCTCCATTGCCATTGCCACTGCTGTTGCCATTACCGTTGTCGTTGCTATTGTTATTGCTGTTGCCGTTGCTTTCGCTGTTGCTGTTGCCATCCTCCACTTTCGGCACCGCCTCGTCCACCCGTTGCCAATAGAGGAGATTCGGATTGATTCTCTGGGTGAAATAGTTAGATAATTCTCGTATCGCATATGCTCACTAGCGGTGGAACAAACTAACCACACTGCTTCTCCACAGACCATACGCTGGTGGTGGATGAGTGACTTTGTTCCCTGCATTTCTGACATCTTCTCCCAACTCTTCGTCACGGGCTAGGATGACATGTATCGGCCGCGGAGGAGTCGCGTATCCCATCGGCCCTGCCTGGCTTGGTGGTCGGTCTGAAAATTCCGGTGGGCCTCGAAATAATACTATGATAAACCTGATCACGGAATGGAGGAAGAATACCGCAACGATCAATGTCAGCAGGATCAGCATCACACGGAATTCCTCCCCGATGAGAGAATTGGTAAGTGTGAATGCAAGATCTGTAAACATTGTTAACAAAAGAAGTTAGCCACTGATTCTACACGTTAAACTGGATGATATAAACCATACATATAGCCAAAACCAGAGCAAGCACTAGACCCGCTATACTGGTGTTGATCAACTTCCTTCGAGTATACGAGTCTTTTATGGCCTGTTTGAAAGGCAATCTTCCAGACCCTTCGGTCCATGATCGCAGATATCCTCCTCTTGTTCTCCATACTGAAGCCCCGGATGACATAGAAGAGGCTCCGCTGGAGCTCGGTCGACTCCCTGATCGACTCGATGCATTAGACCGTGTCGACGGTCGACTAGGTGTATCTGACCCTGACCGGTCTCTATTCCGGTGCCGTCCCGGCAAAAACAATCTGCGAGGCAGACCTCCATTGTCCTCCCCAGAGGCATACTGGTTCCTAAAAGGTCGCAATCCAAAACGGCGCGGAGCTTCCGTCATAGGAGGTTGTGCCTCCGGTGCATGGATAGGTGATCGTCTGCCAAAGATGCGCAGATTCGCCATACGTGACCTGCTGGGCGCAGGGGTTCCAGTGGTTGCAGGCGTGGGAAGTTCCATACTCGTCTTCGTCACCTCGATGGTGACATCGAGTCAACACCTTTCGCGAGAAATAAGAAGTGGCCGCAATGGTATGGAATTCTCTGTCGACTGCGTCTCCTATGCTCGTCCTAAACCGCCGATCTGCTCTTTCCAGCTGACTGGCAGTATGCAACCAGTTCTAAACAGCGTTTTCGGTCGACGTCGTCTAATCGAAAAATAACGTTCTTCCTCTCCTTCCAAGCAGCGTCCGTACTTCCCGAATAGTGGTCCTATCTATACTCCCTGATTAAAAATCCATAACGAGCGCACGTTTAAAAATGACTTTCAGCGATTCCAACCAGTGGACCGGTTTCTGGCTAGTAGCAGCCAGAAGGGATGTCGGCGGTGAATAGACTTGAAGTAAGTAAGGAATGGATAGCGTCTTCTCCTTCTAGCGGCCAGCCACAAGACGTAATAGAGTGATGCGGAGTAAAGTAAAGTAAAGCAAAAGGAAAAGGAAAGGCGAGAAAGGAACTAAGCACAGCGCTCGCGCCACTTGGAGAAGAAGAAAAGAAAAGATAAACTGCCCAGCAGTCTATTTCTGTATACTGTACACTGTACAGTTGACACCCGCAGCAACAGCAGCAGCAATCGCGCTTGGGAAAAGAACAAGAGAAAAGATCAGAAGGGAGAAAGAGAGAAGGAGCGGAAGACAGGAAACCAAGCCAAACCAGTGGAGAAGGGAGAAGGGAAAAGAAAACAGGAAGACTAGACTAGCAATCCTAAAATTGGACGGAAGAGGGATGGATGAATAGATAGAAGAAGCAAAGCAAGCAGCTAACTAGAGACAGAGACAGATAAACAGGAGGGAGGCACATCCACGTTTTAACTAAACTAAACTAAGAGTAGGGATAATCTAAGACATTGCCCCCCCAAAACTCCGAGGAACTGGCTGCTAAACTACAGTCCGGAGTTACTGTACTAGGAAATATGGGCTGCGTAGGTAGGTGGTCGAATCGGCATTATTATTATTCATTCAAAGTTATTCCAATCATTGTTACTGAAGCAGAGGCTGAGACTAGTTAACTGAACTAGATGTAAGTACGGGATACACCTGGCGGCCTTGCATAGTTAATTATTTACCTACGGAGCATAACCCCTTGAACGTAAGCCTGTCTAGACTAGTAGGGAATTAACAATATTAATGCCTATGTACCTGCCTGCCTCCGGATATCCGGTTTAACTACATCATTACTCTATACTCATCATCATCGGCAAAATGATCCGATAAAAACAAGTTCGCGCACGGAAGATTTCCCACGAGACGAAGGCTGATACTCTCTCTACACGATGCGTTCGTTCATAACTAAGAGAAGAATGATAACGAAGCGAATAATGCGGGATGGCAAGGGTTGACTACGTAGTAACTAATAATATCCGGCACGGTTGATGTTTCAGGGTCCCCTCACCAGTTCCTCGAAACTCGCACGTTGCACCATACTGGGAATAGTTGTAGCGTATTTCACTACCAGGATTGGTTTAGTGGATATGTTAAATGATCCCATTACTTGACTTGCGAGTTCGTCTGAAACTGGATGGTTTTACGACGTGTTGTGGATTTGCAGCGGATGCTGGGCGAAGCTTGTATTTTGTATTCGGAGATGCTGGACCGACCGTAAACTAGGTAGACTACCAACTAGTACTCCAGTGAGTCTGGAAAAAGAACAACGCGCTAATGATACAGAGATACCGAGTACAAAATGCAGTAGATGCTTATCTGGTCCGTGATGAGACCCCGAATCATTGATGCGTCACATCTCCACAGATGCGTGGGTTGTATCCAGACACGCCCTCATGATCGGATTGTTGATCACTCTGCGACAGTGGTCCGACACTGCTCGATCGTGGCAATTTCGCCCGCAACATTCGTCACGATGGACTTGACTGTTCGCTTTTGCTTCAGAAGGCACCACAGCGCCATTGGTGTCAAGGTCCAACCGAACGAAACAGACTTGCTTGCCGATGAACCTTCTTTTCTTTTCTCTGGGGGAGCGGAAGAGCTATAGATAGGGATGGTATCTGATCCATGAACTTGGCGTCTCACTTTCCTAGTTCTCCTAGAAGAAGATTTCGATCGGACGAACAAGAAACAACTGTTGCATAGTTAGTAACTATCAAGCACAAGTGTATAGCGGCGTCGGAGATAAACTCACTAATAGGCTCATCGTTCGGTGAAAACCGGACATCGTTAACCGTGCCCTTATGTCCGGGCAGCTTATACAAGAGTTTCCCAGACTTGACATCCCAGACGACGACACTTCTGTCTCCGCTTCCTGCTGCAATTTTGTCGCCCTTGGGGTCCCAGCTGGCTCGGATGAGGTTTTTCTCGATACCTGCAGGCGCGCCATCATACGTCTTAACGTGGCGATCAGTGGGCGCAAAAGGTCTGATGTCCCACGTGCGAACCGTCGAGTCATGGGAGTTGGAGAGCAGAGTCTGGGAGTCCGGAGACACCTGCAGGGAGGTGATAGTGTCTGTGTGCCCGATCATCGTGTAGACCACCGCCTGCTTCCGAATATCCCACACCTTGATGTCGTTATCGATGCTTCCGCTATATATCTCATTTCCTGCTTCTGACAAGGCAACCGCCGTGATGGGGAAATCCGTGCCCAGGAAGTCGACGGCGTCCTTTTGTCGCGGGTCCCAGATTCCGATATGACTGTCGTCACTCCCGCTGACCAGCAGTTCTTGCCCTCTCTTGCTGATATCCAGACAATTGATGATTTCCTCATGTCCAACATGACGACGAATCCGCTGTCCGGACCCCAAATCCCAGCTGGCTAGTGTCATGTCTGCGGATGCTGAGAATATCACCCGCGAGTCGCGGGACCAATGTAGGTCGAGGACAGCTCCCTTGTGGCCGCTTAGGATTCCGTAATTCTCGCATTTTCCATAGGTATTCCACAACACTAAGAGAGGCTGTCAGCGAAGATCCTATCGAGATGGAGATTTTCGGGAGAGGTCTCGCAACATACTGATGGACCTATCCATGGAACCAGATGCTATATGTTGCGCTGTAGGATCAAACCGGACGGCAAAGACCTCCCCAGAGTGTCCTAGAATGATCAGTTAATGCTGATTATCCCCAATGTAGCCAATTCGACCAACCTGTCAGCTCCATAATCGGAGCGTCGAGCCCACTTGTTCGAGGAACCTGTGCAGCGAGTTAGTGCATCTTTCGCCCACCAGAATTGCAGCCATTGGGATGTAGTCCGGATTTTCCAGCCCGTGCAATCACTTACTGCCTGCACAAGAGTCCCATTCTGACTTGAGCTGGTCACGACCGCGCTGGAAGTGTTGGTCGTCTCGGGCTTCTGGCGCTTGACCAACTGAGTGGTAGAGCCAAAGCCCTCTTGAGCAGGGCGCTTGTCTCCCGACATTGTCGACATCTGTGAGCTGAATCTGTCAAGTGGGAAGAGACTATTGCGTCAGGTATCTCGAGTCGCGTCTTGTCGACTCAGGCCGCCGCGCGAGAGGTCCAGACAGCTCTGGAGACGAACGCCGCGGAGCAAACCTGCTGGTGGAGCTTCTTCCACTGGCGGTGATAAGCGCGGAGGATCGATTGGGCAGTAGACGCGCTAGCCGCGAGTCCGCGGACTTTGGATCTAACTCGAGTGGGAAAGCCCACATAAAGTAGAGCTCGCTCCAGACTCCGTTGATCCACGCATCTTGGGCGGGGGAGTATGCGGACTGCAAGCAATCTCGAAATCGGAGTGTCCATTTCTTTTTTTCCATAGTCGCATCTTTAGATATTTGAAGACAGTTGCGTCAGATAAGGAAGGCGATTCCTTGATCTCCCGCCATGTCGTCCACCACGAAAGCCTCCCGATTAGGGGAAGAGTAAGTTGACCTGCTTGCGCATGATTCCTTATATCTGGGCACAGAGCTGACAGAGATGGGCCTAGGATCTGGAAGTCAGTATCATGCGCATAGATATCCTAATTCCTGCTTGTCCTTCCCCGCTATCGCATTCCCTCCCCCCGAATATCTGCTGACATCAGGAGTAATGCGGTAGGACGAAGGTGGACAAGGTTAATGCCGAACTCGTGACCTTGACCTATGGCACTATTGTTTCCCAGCTGTGCCAGGACTACGATAGTGACTACCAACAAGTCAACAAGCAATTGGAAAAGATGGGCTACAGCATTGGCATGCGGCTGATCGAGGACTTTCTGGCCAAGTCCAACATGGGCCGATGCGCCAACTTCCGCGAGACTGCAGACACGATCGCAAAGGTTGGTTGCCTGTCGTGTTGGTCATTTCGATATCTCCTTCTCCCAGCCCCGCGCATCATGTACAGTCGCTAACCGGACGGATGCCATGCAGGTCGGATTCAAGATCTTCCTCAACATCACGCCCAACGTGACGAATTGGACAAGCGACAACAAGCAGTTCTCCCTCGTATTTGATGAGAATCCGCTGGCGGACTTTGTCGAATTGCCGGACGATGGACGAGCTCAGGACGAGCTCTGGTTCTCGAATATCTTGTGCGGGGTGCTGCGCGGAGCCCTCGAGATGGTGAGTTGCCTGTTGCTCCATATTCTCTCTGTGAAAAAGGGACGATGATGATGCTGAATGCTCCCAGGTCCAAATGCAAGTGGAAGCCCATTTTGTGAGTGATGTGTTGCGAGGGGATGACACGACGGAGATGCGGGTATCGCTGGTGCGCTACATTGAAGACGAGATGCCGCCCGATGATGAGTGATATTGACCGCATGTGCGAAATGAATTGTGGCACCCGGATGATCAAGGCGTTAGGCGTTGTCCATAGGCAGCATTAGATATTCTATCATAACCGTCCCTGCTGTTCTTCGTGTCTTGCATGGAGCTGCTTTCCGTCCCGGATGTATCTAATTCCTCTATACTTCGGGAAGAAGTCGGAAGAGCCGCGATATAAATTATTCTACTGCTTTTGTAGCCGGGGCCGCCGCAGCGGTTACCTTTCCCAGACCCGACGGAACCCGGGCGCAAGTATGCTGGGTAACGATCAGGCCGTGGAGTAATTATTGATCCAATATTATATTGTATGCTAGCTTGACCTCTCTAGACAACTGCTGAGTCCATCTGGCGACTGCGGAGGGGCGCCACGAGGTACGCTATACCCAAACTGCGATCGGACCGGTCGGGCGTGCTGGAGAGTGCGCGGAGGCTGGCAGTCATTGAGTGTCTCTTCGTTCCCCCTCGTTCGCGCATCCGATTTAGACTACGTGAATGCTGGAGTCGAGCCTCATTCTTCTCTCCTTTCTTTCTTTCTTTCTTTTTTACACTTCTTCTTCTTCGTCTTGTCAACTGTCCCGTGTGTTGGCAGGTTCTTGGTTGTGTGTTGGGTTTCTGACTACAGCCATTCCTGCATTTGGGATATACGTATATCGATCCATCTCATCGGTGGACCGTGTGTCCTGGATCTGATAGAGCTAACTAGCCAGCATCTCTATCTACAGCCTTTCCTCAACGGGAACATTCCTCAGATCCCCCTCCTCGCTATCCCTACTCTACGACGACTCCAGCACAGTACCGGTACTCTCTACTTGACGGGATCTCCACGCCAGTCTATCTGCATCACTACAAACATACGTGCATACATACAAGATATTATTACATATTATTACTGCATACTACATACTACATACTACTACATACGTTGAATTACTACTACTACTACTTCTACTACTATTTCGCCAGCCCCCAGCCAGGGCGATCACCCGCGTGCTCAGAAATACTCGCCATCCACGCATCCTCCAGCCTCCCCGTGCAACGCGACGCCAGTTAATCCGATCCGGACCAGCGAACTGCCGCAAGGAGAGAAGCCACTCCTTCACAGCTCGAATTTAATTATCGATTCCCAAGAGAGAGACTGACTGAGAGAGAGAGTGAGAGCGTCCATCGGCTCTGTCCTTGTCTCGCTATCGTCCCTCTCTCTCCCACCAAGTACGCCCGAAAGTCAGATCCTCCACCCTGGACCCTCAACCCGTCTTATCCCTCTTTCCCCCCCAACCCAAAAAGCATCCGACCTCTGTTCTGTCTCTTGGCTGCTCGATCAAGGTACGTCGATTGCCATTTCTCTCTTTCCTGTCTGCGCTGCATTCTTTTCGTCTCGTGTGTCGCTTTCTTTGCCCGTGCGCGCCTTTCCGATACCCTGCACCCGATCGCTCCCCTAAGCGCCCGGTTCCGTATCCGGTCCTGCGTGCGCCTCCCCAACCTCAAGTCTCGCTCCCATCCTCCATGGATCTTGCCGCGCATCTGTCATCCTCAGGCCTGCTCGATCCACGTCTCTGTATTTCATTCTGATCGCTCTGCAGTCGCGTCAGTCCTCCGATCATTTCATCCTGACCGGAGTTTCCTCCCTTCGCGCTTGTGGTCGCCGTGTCTCCTGAGGCCGCCAGGGCGGAACGCATTCGCCGCCCTCCTGGTGTCGCAGTGCCTCCCAAACCTGCTCCTGTATATTCTCAGTAGCGTCGTTCGATCATCAGTCATCACTCTTAGCGACTGTCGACACCCCCATTTTTTTTCCACCAGTTTCACCTCGTCGCGGCTTTCTCGAAGCTGTTTGGTACCACGGGCTCGACGTGTGGTTTACGCCTCCTGCGCGCCTCATTGTTGCACCCGCGGTGAGATCGTTCACCGCAACACGGTGAACGCGCTTTGAGACCGTGGGAAGGAGCTGTTGGGAGGTTGCGATCACAGAGCTGGTCGTCTTCCCCCCCTCTCTGACGACGACACGAACGGGTTAGCGGTGGCCAGGCTGGTTGCCAGTCACGATGAATCAAATGAATGTAGGTGGGATGAATCCCGGGGCTGGTGGCCCTGTGGGTGGAATTCCCATGATAAACAGCGCTTCGACGGCCCCCCGCGATGGTGCGATGCATAACGTCCAGGAGACAATGATCAACCATCTCAACACGTATATCTATGACTACTTTCTCAAGCGGGGTTATCATGACTGCGCCAGGGCGTTGGTGCAAGACGAATCGATTAAACTGAACACGGAAGGACCAACAAAGACGAGTCCTGGTCACCGTCGCGATGGTGACGCGAACGGTGTTGACGGCGACACCATGATGGGAGACAGCAAAGACGGTGAAAAGATCAAAATCCCCGATGATCTACCACGTCCCAACTTGCCAAGCGATAGTCAGCAGTCGTCTTTCCTGCTCGACTGGTTCAGTCTGTTCTGGGACATCTTCTGGGCCCAGCGCAAGCGGGGCAATAGCAATGATGCTAAACAGTATCTCCAACACACCCAGGTATGTATGAACCACCAGCTGGATTCGACTACGCGGGCTGACGTTCGTGCCACCAGAACATGATGCGCCTCAGAGAACAGCAGCAAAGTCATCTATTACGCCAACAGCCGATGATGCCTGGCCAGATGGGTCAGCAGATAATGCGCCGCAATGGCATGGTCCCTAACCTGCAGAAGACGGTTCTGCAGAATAACTCCGCGTTGTACGTGTCCATTATTATTATTTTTTTTCTCTTCCGTCTTATCCCTATCCCCCCAGGTGACACTACTTACACACAGGATGAACAGAACCCAGCAGCAAATAGCGCAATTCCAGAAGCAGCAGATGATGCAGCAGCAGATGCAGCGAGACCAATCCGACATGGATATGAATGGGCACCGCCCGCAGTCCCCGTCCTCGGCTGAGAATGCGCCATCTCCTTCGAAACGGCCTCGTCTGGAAGGCGCCCACATGAACGGCCAGCAGATGCCGCCCAACGGACGCGGACAGGGACAGGGTATGCCCGGTCACCCGAACCCGCAGACTTTGTTGATGCAGAATGGTATCACGCCCGCAAGGATGAATCCGGCACAGTACCAGGCTTTCCAGCAGTCCGGTCCGGCTGCTCAGCAGAAATCTATCCAGGTATATGCTCAGAACTTGGCTCTACATCACTCTCGCTCAGCAATGAATAACCAGGGCATGCCGAACGGCTTGATGAATCCCGGTGTGATGCCGAACCAGGGAGACCTGATGCCAATGCCGGACGGCCAGGGAATGTTGCCAATGGGTGATTTCTACAACGCCAACGGTCAGATGGGTCAGGTCCGCCCTGGAATGCAGACACCAGGCGGTCAAAACGGGAACCACGCTCTCCAGGACTATCAGATGCAGCTGATGCTGTTGGAGCAACAGAACAAGCGGCGTTTGATGATGGCCCGCCAGGAACAAGATAGCATGGCCCGTGCCGACGGCCAGCCTATGCCCGGGCAGCAGGGGTTGCCTCCGGGCACCTCGCCCCAGGGAAGCAGGACCGGCACGTCTCCGAATCCGAACGAAATGAAACGAGGGACGCCCAAGATGCCGCAGACCGGACTCCCGCCCGGTTCGCCCAGCGCTGGTGACGCCCGTGGATCCCCGGCTTCCATGAACTTCAACGGCGGTCAGATGCCCCCCGAGATGGGCGGACCCTTCTTTATGAAGAACATGCAGGAGGGCATGATGGGTCCCAACGGAATGCGTCCTCCTAGCTCGAACCCGGCTTTCAGCGGTCCTCAGATGGGCCAGCCGATCCAGCAGCATGCCGGAGCTGGAAACCGAGTTCCTGGCGGAAACTGGCAGCAACAGCAACAGGCCCAGCAGCAGCAGGCCCAGCAAGGCCCGCAGGGTCAGCCTATGGTACCGCAACAGTCCCCCGTCAACCAGCCCCAGGCCGCTGGTACTCCGCAGGACAGAGCGGGTGCGATGGGACCTCCTCAAGCTCCGGCAGCTGGTGGTGCCAATGCTGGACGAACTCAGCCCTCGTCTCCCCAGACCAGCGGTGCGCCGCCGACGCCGCAGCAGGCGAATAAGCCACCCCCCAAGGGCAAGAAGGATGCCAAGGATAGCAGAAAGGTACCGTATCCCTCATGACACCCACCCTCTTCCCCCATTATGTTATCTGTATTGAGCCCGATCCTAGCGTCCGAAGAAGGGAACGGCTGCCGCGAATGCGAACGCCGCAGCAACTCCTTCATCTGAAGCGGAACCGCCCCCAACCCCCACCCCATCTACGCCAATTACTCCCCAGCATCCTAACTCCTTTAACAAGGCCGGTGGAACGAATGTCACGAATGCTGCTCCCCAGCAACCGACATCCGCCCCGGCGCCGCAGCCTATGGCTCAGCAACAGCCTGACCCCAGCCAGCAGTCGTTTAACGATCTCAATATCCCGGATGTACGTATATCTGATGCACAGATTCATCTGTGCGTCCTTGTTTTATCAGAAGGATAATGACTGACTGGTTTGACAGCCTTCAACATTCAATCTGGACTTTAGCGCTCTGGAGAACCCCGATATCCTGGAGAACTTCGATTTTGATACCTTCCTGAACACGGATGCCGACACCGCCGGTTTTGGGTTCGACCCCAACGTATATCCCACGGATGGTGTCGAAACAGGCGCAGGCGATAGCTTATAGGCGGAGCGGAGCACATAATTCTCTGGAAAAAAAAACCACCGAAATCACATTATACCCAAACTTGTACATTTCTTCTTCCCTTTCTCCTTAGCCTCGATTCCGCCTTTTTCACTCCGCTTCTCCGTTCGTCTTCGCTGCGAGAGGGTTGGATTGATCTTGGGGTTGGCGTTGTGTATCTTTTTCTTTTCGTCTATTCTGCGCGTCAATATCTCCGCCGACATATTATATTCGCTTTGTGAAGAGGGACGGGCATGGAGCGGGGTATCAATAGTTTCTTTGGTCCCCTAACCTTTAATACCCGCGATGTATCTGTGACCTGTTTCCACGTCTTGTCTGTTACTTGTGCTCATTTTCTAAATGGCGCCTATATTTCCGGCATTAGTTATTTGCGCTCCGTCCATGGGTCGCTTGACCGCCTTGCGCTATAATTATTTTTTTTTTCCCCTTGTTCTTCATTGCGCTCTTCCTTAGAAAATTCGTCGTTTCGCGGAAAGCTTTTAAGAATCACGGGCAGGTGGTGTTTTCGAGGACGGCGTCCGTGCGGGGAGCGAGAGAAGGGAGCGATTTATCTCACGATTTGATATTTCGCTTCCTGTTGCAGCATCTGCAGAACGGCATCATCTCGTTGCATTTTACTTTACTTTCCAGTCTCGGTTACGAAGGTCAGCAGAGGGTACCTTGGAAAAAGGGAGACCCGGGGGGGGAGACGCCTCTTGGGGTAATTTCCTTTTGCATTGGCGAAATAATTATTTTGTTAACGTTCTCTCCATCTATCCCTTTTTGAACTGGTAGTTCGAAACGACTCACCCAGGACAAAACCTCTTCTTTATTCTTAACGCTTTTCTCTTCTTTCCCTACACCCACTCCCATGGACATCACATCCTTTTTGGCATCAGTCAGATACCATGTTACGCACTTTTTCCATTTCCACTTTAACCTTTCCTTTCCTCATGTTCTTCTTTTTCTATTTATGTGTTTAATTTTTCCCTCTCATTTCATACTCCTTTAAAATTCTTGTTTTTTCTTATCTGCTTAACCAGCTGAATGGGGAATGCGCCTCGGAATGTGCTTTTTTCGTCTTTCTATCCTATCCCATCCTCTTCCATCGTACCGACCGGCTCTCCAATTGTGCCAATGAATGCTTAAGCTCTCAGCAATTCAATTCCAAACCAATTTCAATCTTCAATCCAGACATAGCATCATATCGTATTATATTATATTATATTATATTGTCTAGTTTAATGCTGGTTTATCTGCTCGCCCCATAATCGGGTCGGATCCTATTCCGCTTAACTCAAATTGGTAAAACCAGTAATCAAGTTAGATACCTATGTTAAAAAAAAAGATTGTTGAAGTCGTAAGTACCTGATTTAGATATCACCTAAACAAAAATCTACATCATAGAGCATTGTAGAACATTAATCGCTCTACATTAAAAGTTGTTAGACAAGGATCCATGCTGGAATCGCAGTCTGCAGACTAAGTTATAATAAACAATTGTTGCTCTAGCGTGATTCTTTTCCTTCGTGGCTTTCTTTTAATCACAATATCGATATTGGGGAAATTGCAGAATCCGAATACCTATAGATGCCTTTAGCATTGTCGAAAAATAGAAAACGGGCCTGAAAGTAGTAGAAACTACCCAAGATCCAATAATAACATCGAGGTAAGATCAGTCCTATTTACTTCTGCCAGGCAATTGACAGCGCATCAAGCATCAAGCCACGACACAGTCGTGGCTTGCGGGCGAAAAGCAAGATATTGCAGACGGCCTTAAGATAGGACCGAGACGATGCAGTTAGTGCATAGCTTGCGCCTATGCAAACAAGAGACGTGTGAGAAAGTTAGGAACCGGAACGCCTTATTTGTGGCTGATCGTGGAGACCTTAAGTGCTTACGGCACTCTCATCCTGTTGTCCAACGGGCTTGGGGGAGGCCGCACACAATCTGAGGTTATTTTCGGCTGCCAAGAGTAGAAAGAAACATCGAGATAGTAAGTATGGCTCCCCAAACAGTAGTTGACCATGGTCTGCTCGCTAAGATTCTTCTTGGCCCGATGGTGTGCATCAACGTTGGGTCCCACCCTCGGTTGCTGGAAGATATTAAAAATCTAAGGACCTGGATTCTCTACTGAACCATAGATGTAGAGAGATGAGATGAGGTATGACATGACTCGTGTAGGGCGTTGCCAGATGGAGTATAATTATCTAAATTAATAGTTTAGGGCAACCTGTCTAAGACTGTAAGTAAAGCGAAAGAAACCACATCCAAGGTTCTAAGTACTTACAAGGTTAGGTTCGCTTCAGCCTCCACCATCCTCTTCTGTCGACTCCCGACTCGCGAACCAGACGTTATCCGAGATCGAACATGGGGATGGTGAGACAGTTTTCCGTCTGAGCCGCCTTGTCAGTCGTCTATTCGTCTCCCTGTGAGGCTGGGTGGGAATGATTCCAGGAACTCCAGACATGCTAGACTGCGTCCGGCAGTGGTTGCGAGGGTCGACGATTCGTCAGATCGTATAAAATCTCCGCGCCAGAAAACTCCATCATCGGCTATGATGCTCCAGAGCCACTCACGATGGCTCGGCTCGGACGTCTCCACGCATCATCTACTCCGTGGCCGAACCCGCAACGGAGTCGGAGTCTCTGATGGGCTCCGATCGTTGTAACTCTGCGCGCGCCGAGATGGTTAAAGCCTGTGCCATTCGCTCTCTCGGTCTCGATAACAAAAGATCAGCTGCTGACCAGTGTGACCCCAGTTGGATCTATTCTAATCTGTCTATGGGATATCCGACGGTGCGGGAAAGTATATAATAATATAACGGTCCTCCACACATTACCGGATCTGTCTTTTCTTTCCCCTGTGGTTTGCAGCCACGCTCCTTGCGCCGGATCTTCTTTTCTATTTGTATCTCATACAATGTCGTTCGCAGAGAAGAAGGCGCTGAGCCTGACCTGCCATGCGCTCATTCCTGGCATTGATCCTCCCTACGGGTATCAACCATCTCTAGCCGCGGGAATTGTTTTCTGCGTGCTTTTTGGGCTGTCGATGCTTGTACATACAGTTCAGGCTCTATGGAAGAGGAATTGGTGGTGTTTCACCTTTGTGGTCGGATGCATCAGTGAGTGAGCGCTTGTTGTACATACATACTTACATACATACATGAATATCTTGAACACGACGGACTGACTCGGTATAATACTTAGCGGAAGTATTGGGATGGGCAGCCAGGACATGGTCCTCTCAATGCCCCTATAACGGCAATGCCTTTTTGATGCAGATATCCACATTGATCATAGGTACGATGCTTCCAAGAAGAAATCAACCAACCAACCCTTCCTTGCCAGTCTCTCTCGTTCGTGACCGGTTCCGCTGACATTCGAATTAGCACCGACATTCTTCACGGCCGGTGTATATGTGCTTCTGGGGCGTTTTATTCAGATCTTCGGACGCAACTCCTCCGTCCTCAGTCCCGCCATGTATCTCTGGATCTTCTGCACCTGCGATGTGGTCTCCCTCGTCGTCCAAGCCATCGGCGGTGGCATTGCTTCGTCCGAATCGAACCAAAACACAAGCACCAAACCGGGAACCGATATAATGGTCGCAGGTATCATCTTCCAACTGGCCTCCATCACCATCTTCGTGGCTTGCGCTGCGGACTTTTTCCGTCGCGTGCTGCGCCATCACCGTCTGAGCTCCATGAGCGGCACCGTCGTCCCCTTAATGGCAGCCATGGCCTTCTCCATCACCTGCATCTATATCCGAAGTATCTACCGAACAATCGAGCTGCTGCAGGGCTGGTCCGGATATCTAATCACCCACGAGCGATTCTTCATCGCTCTCGACGGAGCCATGATGGCGCCCGCCGTTGCTATTTTCAACTTCATCCATCCGGGCTGGTTCATCCCGTCTCAGAAAACCGTCTCCGTCGACGTCGGACAGGAGATGTCTTCCAAATCGAGCGAACAGCCTGTGTTCAACGATGCATAGACCGACCTAATTCATTCCTACGCAACTTATCTCACTCTCTCTTCTTCCCTTCCCTTTTTTTTCTCATTGATATTCGAATTACGAGATTTTGCTGAGGTCTTGCTTTTCCCATAAACAATCTCAGCGCCCCCTTTCCCCTTTTCTTTCTCATTGCATAACTACCTACATATACACCATATAGCTTTCCCTTTTATCGTTATATGATTTTTTTTTTTTCCTTTCTCATGATACCTGACTTAAGTTCAAGTTCTGATTTCTCATTTGCATATACCATGGCGCAACGGAGCCCTTCTTTTTTCTTTCTTTTTTTCTTGTTTTTTTCTCTCATATTATATTACTGACAATATTTACTGAATCGGATAAGATAAAGTTCCGAGTTTTTCACGCCCTGCTATGTTTACAATTATTTCCCGCATTATCTAGAAGATGTTGGAATTATCTTTGAATAATTATTAGTTTCTTTCATATTCTCTTGGGTTTTGTGGTGCTTTGTTAAACTAGTGAGTGAGTGAGTGAGTGCCTGATAACTAGGTATATTGAAGAATTGGGATATGGCAACTGGTTACTTTGATATCTATTTCTTGTCTGGCAAGTACAAGTACGGTACAATACATACATCAATCCTGGATAACATCATCAACAGAAAAGAGAAAAATAAATAAATAAAAGAAAACAAGACAGCATTTTTCTTCCCCAACCCCAGTCCCTGCTGGTCATCCTGGCGCCGTTTCGCTCCTTTCGCCAACGCTATCACCAAATGTAAAACTTTAAGTCACATAGAGCAACGAAGATATAAGAAAAGAAGGCCACAACAAGAATTGAAACTTGAAACACACCGTGCAAGGTTCAGAGGTTTTATATTGATCGAGAGATTGAGTCTCGCACAAGTGGCTCCTTTACCCGGCCTGAAATTTACTGTCGCCTCATCTCTCCTGGGCGAAAATGCTCATACACCGTCCACCCCCTCAATCCATCCAAAGGTCACACCGATAACCACAGTGGCCGTGGCCCAGATCGCACCCCAGCCTGCCGCACCTTCGACATCCACGCCCTTGACCGTGCCTGCAACCTGAACGATCGTGTTCACAAGCACGACGGCTGCCAGGAGTGACGTACGCGACACCAGAATCTTCGTCTTGGGGAAGAATGAACCCCACGTCTTGCGGTACAATTGACTGATGAGGAACTCCCCCTCAACAACGGCATCTGCTTTGGTCGCATCGGGCGCATCTGTCCATCCGGTAGAACTAACGAAGAGGAAATCGCGCGCAGCATAGCCCAGCGGAATTAGAGTCAAGAACAGCACGGGCAGACCGGCAGGGCCAGCGTGGGCGGTGCGAATGTCGGGGATATCCTCAAAGTGCACGACCAGGAAAGCTGGGAGCCATGTCGAGAAGCTGATGTATAAAAACACTGCGTAGATAGCGGACGCCGCAACGGAGGTGTAGATCGCGGTCGGAATGTCCTGAAGGATCGAGCGGTTGTTGACAGCGTGCACCGGGGCATTGGTCAGGTTATGCACCCATCTGGTGCCGCGCAAAAGCATGAAGGGGACCGTGTTCGAGATCAGAGTAATGGCCAAGGAGGCGAGAGTGGTCGTTGGTCGGACGCCGTAGAAGGACGACAGCAATGAGAAAGTCGGCAAATGGGTGATTAGAGTGAAGAAAGCCACGTCCCGGCCTGGCCAGAGATGGTCAGTAAAGCATTGCCAACCCATGTCTCGTCTGCTACATGAACTTACCATCGAATCCCAGCATCCATGCTAATCCCAGCTCAACGGCCCGCCAGGCGATCAATCCTCCCACTTCCCACCATTTCTCTAGATGTTTGCTAACAAATCCCAGATCACCAATGGTGACGATAGAGGTCACCGTGAAGAGAGCCGAACTCAGAATCAGGCTGCTAAGCACCACCAATACAAATCGTGCCGGTGCAGGAATTCCCTTTGCGTGCGACTGCGGGGTGGGTTCATTTTTGCTGGGTTTGCGACTCGTTTTGGTCAGGTTCGAGACGGTGGTCTTGCGGCTCGGCATTGTGGGATCTGGGACGGCGCTATTGCGAAATCTGCTTTCTGGTCTGGTTGGCGATGGCTTGACCTTGCTGATAGCATACGGCGTGATCGGGGGAGGAAGAAGAGAGCTGCGCTGAGCGAGGGGAGCTGCTGTGGCTGTCGCGTGTGTTTTTGTTTCCCGGTCGGCGTTGACCATGTGATGATGTCACCGGCAGTAAGCTGGGCAATCGACGCAACCGGCATTCTTCAACTCATTCTATTGTATTTTGCTTTTAGTTTCACTGTATAAAGCAATTGTTTCTACTGGTTTGGAAACTCGTGAATGATAATAAAGATAAATAAAATAATAACACAGAAACTGCGCTCCTAGGCAGAAATATACCGAGTAAAATAAGAATACATACATCCACCCAACACACATGCCACGCCCATAGCCAACTTTTCTGGGAAAAAAACATTTTCAATCAAGAAGATATCAGAATATGGAAACCACTCGAGTTCACTCGTCACCATCTTTCTCCTCTTTCTCGGCCACGGAGAACTCCACTGTTCCGCTTTCCCTGCCCTTGGTATCGCGAACGACGATTCTGTACTTGCCCTGATCCCACAGGTCTTTAATGGTGAGTTCACGAGTTCTGCCCAAGCTTTCAATAGCGCTGATACGATCAAGGGTGGCCTCGAGGTGCTCCGCAAAACCGGGGCGCGAACAGATTTCTCGAAAGGCATTTTGCATGGGAACGGAGTCAGCCCGCACCATCGCGCGGGAGTCGATGGTGAAGATGTTATCATGGTCGTAGCTTTGAATGAAATCGGCTCTGGTCATAATCTGTCGTGCTTCGTGGAGGGGGATTTCTGGGAGGATATAGCCCCTTTCGGGGTCATATGTTTGCTTCATCTCTTTCTCCCGTTCCACGAGAGCTTGCGCGAGGACCATGGCTGCAGACTGTACAGAGTTAGGGACGACCCTCCAACGATAGCAGAGGGATTACAAACCGAGTATTTCTGCTCATCCATCACATCATCGTCCATTTCCTCTCCCAAGATCCAGCATTTGTTCAGGAACCATGTCTTTTCCGCAGCACAGATGGTGTGACACATTTTGATCATATCATCGGCCTTTGCGACCCGGCTCAGAAAGGAAAGACGACCGCCGACGTGGTCATAGACCTGCTCGAGGATCTCGGACGAGAGATCCTCCCCAAAGTACTTCCGCCGATACTGCTTCAGCGCAGCCATGGCCTGAGTTTTGTTGAGATCTGGCACCGGAATCACCTCCATTCTGGTCGCGTATCGCTTTAGTCGTTCGTATACCCAGTAGTCATCACTGTTCAGAACTGAAGGCAATATTAGCACGCACGATCGTAGTGGAAAAGGAAGAAGCCACTTACCTATCGTCACAAGGTTACTGGCGGCCCATTGCTCAGCCCTCTGTTGGATCATCTCGAGTAAGTCACGACCGTCATCGTCATCTCTCACTAGATGGGTGCTGTTGACGATCAGAACGAGAGGGTTGTGGCCTTTTTCTCTTCGTGCAATAGCGACCTTCTCCAGTTTATTAAAGGCCCGCTCTATATCAAGGAGCGGAGTCGTGTCACGCGGGCCTCGAATGCTGAAAAGACTGCCAATGTAACTGTGAGGGCGGGTCAGCGCTCTGGGCTATCGCAAGGTAGAAGACAAAGACAAAAGACAGACAAAATAAACTCACTCTTCATGGAACTCGAAATCCAGTGCTTTACCCAGACGTATCCGGAAGATCTCCAGATCAGCATGTGCCTCGACCACGGCAATCCCATCCCCGTTGACCTTGCGCATTGCTTCCAGCAGCATGGACGCCTTCCCGGTTCCTTTCTCGCCGATCATGAGATAATAGCGTCCGCCCTCTTTGCCAGAGACAATGCCATCGATCCTGGATTGCTCATCGCGCACGATCCAGTGGTCTGCCTGGTCATCGGGGTCATTGACATCTGAGCCCTCGACTCCTGCCATTGTGAGTGCTGGATCACCCGGTTGGAAAGCTTTATCCATCTTCTTGAGTACGAGATGCTTGTAGTATTTATGATACGAATATCCAGCGAGCCTGCAGAACCGTTAGGACAGTTTCTCCTTCGATGTTGCAGCTAGTTAGGTATATATTGCATACCCCAGAACAGCAATCGACGCAAAGGTCGTAGCGGCCGATTCGAACATTTTCAAGATGGTGGATTTTAGAGTAGGCCCGGAATCGTCTCCCTTTTTATCACCGTCATCGGGCTGGCCGACAAACTGCGAGTCCAATCGCCGCGAAGTATATGGTGTAGGATAACGTCGTGATGCGCCTAGACATCTTCTGACATTGGAAGCCAGAGGCGCTCTTATCATCCGATATGAATACATTATCCACCGTTATACGCTACAATGAGATGAACGGCCCTATTGATATCTTATTATCATCGAGGCAGTGGAAGACTACCTAATCCGGTAGGAGTGGCGCAGTCGCGGTGAGATGCGGAGGGGAGAGTAAGGGGAAAGAAATAAGAATCGACACAATAATACGTTAATAGCGCACTGAGAGAACGAGCGACAGGGGGGGTTCAACGAATGTATCTCAGGCGTCCAAGAGCGCCTTTGGAATTGAGAGAGCCACGGCACTGAGCAGTAACTAAGATCGTACAACAGGCACTTGACGCGTGTTCTCCGCGGCAAAAAAGCCGATAATAATGAGCGACGAGAAAAAAGTAAAAAATAAATGAATAAATGAATAAAGAAGAGAGCTGTAGCAGACGGCGAGTCCAGCTAGCAGAGGGAAGCAGAAAAGAAAAAAAAAAGAAAGGGCGTCAGTGATGATTGCCAACTTGTGGCAGTGCTTCGCCCAAACGAGGTTTCCCATCCGCCAAGCTGGTCAACACGATGCGATGCGTCTTGGCGGCTGCAGAAGCTGAGCTCACTTGGTCTAACTGTTTATTGATTAATTAATTACTTAGACAGCTGGCGATCGATCGGAGCTTTCCAGAGACGCCAAGCATTAAAGTTATTATGTATTACAATATTATGTACTGCGATGATCGATCTTTGTTGGCAGTTTTAACTAAACTATGTATGGACTTGGTTGCGTCGAGGCTAACTAAACCGTGAGCCTAACCAGTAGTAATAATAACCACACCGGTTTGAAGTTTTACACGTCAATAATGTGGATGCTATTATTTGTTGGTTTTTCTGCTGTTCCTAGGGAGTTGGATAATATAGTTTATACGAGGCCTGAAAAGAATACTATTATTGTGTATTGTATTAGGGACTGTGGGAAGAAAGACGAGTTAGTTAGAGGAAGGAAGTGCACCAGTTTTTCCTCTCGTCCACGATTGAGCACAGAAACAGTAATAATAATTAACTGTATATAATTCCTCTAGATGCCCGCGAGATATAACTTATTACAGTCAAAATATCGTATCGTATTTAATTAACAGCTCGAGATAGCCGGCTCGGAGAACAGTCCATTGTGGAGGTTTGCCTTTTCCCCGACCAGTCAGTTTAGCCGCCCCCCGAGGCCTTCCGATGGAATGCCGTATCCGCGAAATTTTCTCTGAGCTGCGACTCGGACTCTCCTGCTTCCCCCAGAACCAGCTTGGATAACTTCCCTTGTCTTTATTTCGTTTTCCCGTCGTCGTTCTTCCTGGGGACCTGGGGTCATTTTCTGTTTCCATTGACCCTCCCTTGATTGTACTATACGCCCTCTCTTCTCTCCCGTTTCCTGCGTGTTGTGTTGTTCTTTAGACATCCATTTTTTGGACACCTGCTCACAACCGCTCAACCAAACCACTATAATGGCACAGACTAATGGCGAGCTGGAGAACTCGAAAGGTATCGGAGACTTGAATTCAGATCCATCAACTATTTCCAATGGATGGCGTGTGCACGCCGCCTACCGGACACCAAAAAAAAAGGTCATGAGCTAACACGCGGCCTCGCACAGAGTCTCCCAACACCCAGCCGGAGGAACAGCTTACCAATGGCAACCACCCCGAGGGTGCTGCGGAGGAGGATCAGAATGCTGGAGGTATATCGATCTGCTTGGACCATGGCTGTGGGTTCGTGGTCATGCTAACCCGGTCGCGCCAGGTCTTTTCCAGATCTCCGTCAAGCTTCCCCACGAGCCTTACAAGATCCAGGTGATGGTGCGTTGACGATTCGCCAAGATCGTCGAGGTCTGTGCTAATCGACTTGTGTCACCAGGTCTCGAGCCAGGAGCAGGTCCAAGATGTCCGGCAATCCATAGTGGAGCTCCCCGGGACGTTCCAATATACCTGTTTCCACTTGGAGTTCAACGGGGAGCGCATCAATGACTTCGTCGAGCTCTCCGAGGTCAAGGACCTCAAGGCGGACTCCGAGATCGTCCTGGTGGAGGACCCATACACCGAAAAGGAGGCCCGCATGCATGTGGTCAGAATGAGAGAGCTGATGGGAGCGTCGGGAGACCGCATCGACAATCTCCACGGTATTAGCGCTGGTCTGTCTCTGCACGACTCTGTTGCCTCTGAGGAGGAGACAAGCGGCAGCGGAGCACAGAAGTCGGGCGACGAACACCCTCTGGCGCGCTACGACCTTGGTGCTGCCAGTTCCCTGCAGACGATCCTACCCAAGTCCGAGAACCCGCCTCCGAAGACTATCAAGTCTATCTCGCTCTCTCCCTGGAACCCACCTCCATACCACCTCCGCCAGAAGGGTCACCTTTTGTACCTCCAGGTTACGACTAACGAAGGGGAACAACACCAGATCACCTCCCACGTGTCGGGATTCTACGTCAACAAATGCTCCAACAGCAAATTCGACCCCTTCCCCCGCCCCGCTCCCAAGAACTGCAGTGCTCATTCTCTGCTCAGCTTGATCGCTCAGCTTTCACCTTCATTCAACACGGCCTTCCAGGCTCTGCAGGAATCTAACAACAAGAAGGACCTCCTCACCACCTTCCCCTTCCAGAACGCTATCCCCAACAACCCCTGGCTTGTCTCTCAGAACGCCGCAGGCGTCAACGCTCACCAGCCCGACATCGCTCGGTCTCAGGAGAACTTCCTCATCTCCGGTGTGGACAACGCTGAGACCCTTCGTGACTGGAACGAAGAGTTCCAGACCACGAGAGAGCTACCTCGTGAAGCAGTCCAGGACAGAGTGTTCCGGGAGCGCCTGACTTCAAAGCTCTTCGCCGATTACAACGACGCTGCTGCCCGTGGCGCCGTCTTGGTGGCCAGGGGAGAGGTTGCACCTCTGAATCCCACGGAAGGAAGAGATGCCCAGATCTTCGTGTACAACAACATCTTCTACTCTTTCGGCGCTGATGGCGTTGGCACGTTTGCTTCCGAAGGTGGCGATGAGGCTGCCCGTGTTGCTGTCGGAAAGGACGTCATGGGAATTAAGGCTGTAAACCAGCTGGATGTCCCCGGATTGTTCACTCCAGGAACCGTTGTCGTTGACTATCTCGGTAAGCGTATGGTCGGTCAGAGTATCGTTCCTGGTATCTTCAAGCAGCGGGAACCCGGCGAGCACCAGATCGACTACGGTGGTGTTGAGGGCAAGGAAGTCGTGGCGGAACACCCTGACTTCGTTCCTGTCTTTGAAAAGCTCTCCAAGGCCCTGAGAGTGAAGAAGCACCCCGTCTGGGATAAGGACGGCAAGCGTCACGAACTCGAAGGTAGCGTTGAGACCAAGGGTCTTCTCGGAACGGATGGCAGGAAGTACGTTCTTGACCTGTATCGCATCGCTCCTCTCGATGTCGCATGGCAGGAAGACGAAGGAAACAGCGAGTACCCCCACCGCATGTCCATTCTTCGCCTTGAACTTGTCGAGTCATACTGGCGGTACAAGATGAGCCAATACGTGAAAGAGGAAGTCGAGCGTCGCCGCAGTGCCAAGAAGGCGACCGAAGAGAAGGCCGTCGAGGGCGAGAAGGCTGAGGGAGAGGCTGCTGCTGAGAAGAGCGAAGAGGCTGTCGATCAGGAGAGAGTAGACATCTCCGGCTTCCAGTTTGCACTGAACCCCGACGTGTTCAGTGGCCAAGTCCCTCAGACCGACGAGGAGAAGGAACAGTGGGCTCGTGATGAGCAGGAGGTCCGCGATGCCTGTGACTATCTGAGATCGAAGGTTCTTCCTGATCTGATCCAAGATCTCCATGACGGCGAGGTTGGCTTCCCGATGGATGGACAGTCCCTGAGTCAGCTTATGCACAAGCGTGGTATCAACATTCGCTACCTTGGCAAGGTTGCTTCACTCTCCAAGGAGAAGGGCTCCCGCCTCCAGGCTCTGACCGTGCTCGCGAACCAGGAGATGATTGTCCGTGCTTTCAAGCATGTTACTAATCGCTACCTGCGTTACCTGCCTGCTCCTTTCGCGCCTTCTTGCATTTCTCACTTGCTAAACTGCCTGCTCGGAACCGACGTCAACCCCCAGCCGCGCGCAGACATTGACGAGTCCCTGCGTGAGATCTACCCGGAAGGCGATTTCGCGTTTGAGAGTGTCACTCCCGAGAGCTTGAGGGCCGAGATTGAAAAGCAGGTTAAGACCAGGTTCCGCTACACTCTGGAGTCTGAATGGTTCAGCTCCTTGAGGCGTTTGCAGGTTCTCCGTGACGTTGCCATCAAACTCGGTCTCCAACTGGGAGCTCGTGAATATGCTTTCACAAAGGCCCAGATCAAGGAGACCGCTCCTATCTCTAACGGCGCCAACGGAGCCGGACACGATGAGGGCAAGAAGAAAAAGAAGAAGGGCGGTGACAGTGCCTCGCCCAGCCCTGCACCGGTTAAGCCCGTTGTTACCTTCGTTCCCGATGACATCCTCAACATCGTGCCTCTCGTCAGGGATGCTGCTCCACGGAGCGCTCTCGCTGAAGAAGCCCTGGAGGCTGGACGCATCTCTATGATGCAGGGTCAGAAGCAGCTGGGCCAGGAACTTATCCTTGAGTCGCTGTCTCTCCATGAACAGATCTACGGAATCCTGCACCCCGAGGTTGCCAAGCTGTACCACCAGCTTTCAATGCTTTACTACCAGAACGACGAGAAGGATGCCGCTGTGGAACTGGCGCGCAAGGCGGTCATCGTCACTGAGCGGACACTAGGCGTTGACTCCGCCGATACCATCCTCAGCTACCTTAATCTGAGTCTGTTTGAACATGCTAACGGCAACACCAAGACCGCCTTGGTGTACGTCAAGCATGCTATGGATCTCTGGAAGATCATCTACGGCTCCAACCACCCCGACTCTATCACGACCATGAATAATGCTGCCGTGATGTTGCAGCACCTTAAGCTCTACTCGGACTCGCGGAAATGGTTCGAGGCCTCACTGGCTGTCTGCGAAGAACTCTTCGGAAGGCAGTCCATCAACACCGCCACGATCCTGTTCCAGCTTGCCCAGGCTCTGGCCCTGGACCAGGACTCCAAGGCCGCTGTCAACAAGATGCGTGATGCCTACAACATCTTCCTCAGCGAACTCGGACCCGAGGACCGAAACACCAAGGAAGCTGAGAGCTGGTTGGAGCAGCTCACTCAGAACGCTGTCTCGATTGCCAAGCATGCTAAGGATATCCAAGCTCGTCGACTGCGCCGCATCAATCTGACTGGCCGCGTTCCGCTTGGTGCCAAGCCGCAGCCTCAGGTCGGCCAGACCGTCGCGGAAGCAGCTGGCGCCACGGACAGGAACGGATCCTCTGTAGACTCCCGTAGCATTGAGGAGCTGCTGAAGTTCATCGAGGGTGGTGAATCGAGTACTCCTCGATCGAAGCAGAAGAAGCGTGCTGCTGCCAGCAACCCTAAGCTCCGTGGTTCCAAGAAGTCCGCTGTGAACGCTTAATTTCATATTACGAAAATGGGCAATGCAGAGCCGAATTTTCATTTCCGATATTAACGTGTTTTAGCAACGACACTATATACATGTCATGGATGAGGTCTTTGGTCCGGTGGCTCGGTGGTTAAAAAGAATTGTATAGTAGGAATCTCTACTCTTGCGCGCTATGAGGGACCTTTTTCCCTTTCTTGTTTCATGCGGGCTCTGCATAGCAACGGTCTTCAGGTTTCCATATCAAGGAATCGCTTTGTATTATGATGCACGAATCTTTTTCTAGAGTACTGTGGTAGTGGAACGGTGAATGTCACGATAACCAGTCACGATCTTACTAGCATTTAATATATACACCAGTACACGATTGGCTACGTGCATTCTACCTAGCTCGTATATCAGTGAAATACGTACATACAACGAAACCTTCATCAACCTCCAACAATAGCGACTGATTTCTTTTGCTCCGCCATCCTGATTCAACGAGGTCGGCTGTTTCCTGCGATTTACCACTTGTGTCTGATAGTATGATGTATTCCGCTGGTGCTATATCGATGCTTGGACTAAATATGACGAAATCGCTTATGTGGCGTTGTGTTGATCAATAAGTTGGAGATTACCATGAAGAGGGATGTGTCTTAGGCCAAGTATGTACATAACTATAGCTAAATGAGGACCATGAAATCCAGGCGCAAGCATCAACGGGATAACTAAGTTACGGAGGATGAGGACCCTGCGAGCTCAGAGTCGGGAGACGATATCTGAACCTAACCGTCTGATATGTTCACAAATTTGCTCTATCCAACGAGGATTCCTCCCTAATCACATCGGCGAATGCCCTTCCCACATCATGCTCTGATAACCATGTTGTATCGGGCCTATCTGATTCTATTCTGAACTCGTTGAACTGCTACGTCGTCAGAATCCGTTATAGTGGGCTTTTTACTGATGTCCTGAAGAAACATCGCTAAGAGTTTCTCCGTATGTTGGACGTCTCGTACGATCATAATGAAACTGTAACTATATATATAGTCGCTATTTATTTCGAGAGACGCTTTCTTTCAGAGAGTATTGGTTGTGAAGCAGTCTGCGGGAAGAAATGATAACAACAAGTGTAAATCTTCAAATAAGCGATAACGTGTTTCTACTAATCAATGGCGCAGAGATAATTGTTCAAGAGACTAGATAACTACTACCAGCTGCGGAATAATAAGAAAATGTCATTGAATAATAGGCCCTAGAAGCCGTAATAGGAATAGCGCGGTTGTAAGTAGGGCTGCCTGGACCGCATCCCGCAACTCATGTTTACATCCGCTTTCCAAGCTTGACTCTCTACCATCATTGCACATCCCACCGGCGTCTGTATTTTAATTTTCGCGCAACAGTTTATTTTCAAGCATCCTAATCATTTGGATATTACGGCACCCTATACATTGGAACAATACTTCTTGTTTAATCGTCTCCCTCAAGAACACTTGCCGGCGGTGGGATGTGCTCTCCGTCGCGCACATAGGGAGAGGAGAGCCATGGATAGCAGTTGAAGACGCAAGATAAGAAGGAGAAAAGGTCTTTTTATTGTATTATAGGTATGGTACACGTCTTGGGGCCTTCTATCTAGAGGATCATGTAGTCTAATGTGTACTCAGTGTAGGGCGTCCTGGTAGTCAGTCGACCGATGCTTAAAGATGGAAGATGTGCGCCCGACAGCAAAATGGGGTTATCGAATGCTGCGCCCTTTGAAGTCTATATATCATCGATTGGAGAAATATCGGCTCGACCAAGCGCCCGTTGATGTGCCGCAGAAACAGAACGAACCGCTCGAGATTAGCTACACGCAAGTGACGGCTCTAAGCAAGAAACCGGACCAAGATGATGGATCTTCTGCTGCCGGAAGCGACAGGGAAGATCCTTCATGGATACCTGGAAAGACTGATAAGCGGCGGATTAGGCATAAATACTCAGCGCGGAGCGAAGGAAGTGGCAGGCGTCGGCTGAGATCAGTGCTGCGAAGCCCTGAGGTTCAGAGAAAATTACCTGGCGCGATCGAGATTGGGACGCCGCTCATTACGGGGCGCCTATCGGACCGGTACTCGAACGATGCTGTAGCCTCTCAGGAATCCGATAACCAGTCTTCTGCACAGACCGAGTCAACGGGCAGGGGGAAGAGATTGAAATCACGGGAATTACACTACCCGGCGCAGAACTCTGTGTGGCACGACGCTCTGGATCGGTCTGGAGATCAAAATCTGAAGCAGATACTTCAGTCGCTTAGTCGCGTCTTTTTTACATTTCTGGCGGGAACCCGTGTCCACAACTCCCAGAAGCGACCAGCTCAAGGCTCGCGTTCGCTGCTATCGATGGCAGCGCGTCAACTACCCGAATTTATCTTTCAGGAACAGAAAAATCAGGATGAATTAGACAAAGATGAAGATGTCGATATGGAGGACGCATATTTTACTGAATTAGAGGCACTGTACGCACCCAACGGTACCGGATGGCAACCCTTGCGGGAAGCCGTCCGCGCTCAGGGCATTCATCTGGTGTCGGACATGATACGGAATAACTGGCTCACTGACTCGGTGACACACCAGCTCTTGCGAGAATGTATCGAGTTGAAAGAATTCGATGCCTTCGAGACATTGTTTTCAAACAGATTAACATATCTGGCTGAACATGGGAACTCTGAGACATCTGTGAACCTTGTCAGATGCCACACTTCACTGAAGCTATTGCAGCGGTACTACGACACCAGTCATAGTCCGTATGTCTTTGACGAGCTAGCAAAGGCGCTGGCGTGGGGTGTCGTTCCTCCGCACGGTCTCATCGGAATGAATTGGGATCAGGCCATGCACGATGCGATTGGATCACTTTCGAAAATGGACTCTAGTTTCGCTGCTGCTACACGTCTAATAGAAGCGGTCATACTCTGGGCCAGCGGTATTGTGGGCGTCCAGGATACCTCAAGGGACTCGACCGGTTCTACCCTCTCGATAATCGCTTCGAAGGAGACGCGCACGTCTGCACTCCACACGGGGAAATCGGTTCAACACTCTTCCGCTCAAGACACGATAAGCAATATGATTTTAAGCCTTGTCACCGCCCTTTGCAGTATGCACATTGTCCGTTCTTATGACTCAGCTGTTGGTAGTACCACTAGAAGCATTATGCGGGATATCCTTTCAAGTCTCGCACTGACAGTGCAACGTGAAGTCGAGCTCCGACCACTGCTGGACAAGGATACAGTCCCAACTTGGCAACTACTCCGGCGTGGCAGTGTTCTCGTTGGAAATTATCTAATACAATGCAGCCATTGCGAATTTCCAGAACCAATAGCGGAAACGGAAACCGCCATGACGAGCCGGTTCGACTCTTTCTTTGGATGTCTGGCTGAGCAGCGAGAAGTTGTGAAAGAGATGTCCTTTCTCACGCAGCAAGTGATCCACTGCTGCGAGCGAGCCATCATCGATCACGGATGCCACACGAAATATGTTGATAATATGTTCTCCTCATTCGCACCGACGAGCTCCCAGAAAGGTCTATCTTCGTTCCTCGGAAAAATCGCCGTCGAAGTAGCCATGGACCTTGCAGAAAGGAGTCAGGATCCTGAGGACCATGCACGGGCTGCAGAACTCCAGGAAAAGCTAGCCTGCTGCCATGCAGACACGCAACTCGGTTCGCAGAGACTGTCAGGTGAGCTGCATACGAGGATACCATATAGATGGGAGGAAAGCATTGGCGAATGGGTGGCAAGTACCCCCTTCCCTAAGGCTAGGAATTCCCAAACTATAGCAGCCTCGAAACCACTTGTTGTCGTCCCCAGTCGAGATCAGTCACCTTCACCGCTCCCAAGTTATGTTGAGTCGTCCTCAAATTCGGAAGATGATATAACCAGTGTTACTTCTTCTCCACCGTCGTCACTAAAGAGGACCCTAGAGGAAGACATCCCAGAAAGGGAAGGGAAGCGGCTTCGGACAATCCCGTTTAGGTCTCGTGAAAGCTCTATAGAATCACGAGAGAACAGCCCAGACGACTTCGTACCCGATACTGAAGACGAAGAGGATCCTATCAGTTTTTGGGAACCGTCGAAATCTGGTAACTATCAGCAGATGGAATCTCCGTCCATTTCACGAGAGATCGAGCAAAGGAGGCCACGACATTATCCAGACACAGGTAAGCAAGAAGATGGCGGCAAGAGCCCAAAAGTCGAAGTTGTCATCGTGCACAAAAAGGCGGATGAGTACAACGTTAGACCAGTTCGAGTCGCGCGTGGCTGCCTCCGTCGTTCAACGGGCAGTTACCTGCCCAGACCATCTGACAACAGAAAGACTCGACGACGGTCATCTTTCGTTCGACGCACGAGTCTGGTCATTCCATGCTCACAAGACGACAGCAGCGAGGATGAACTCAGCTTCTTGTGAGCAGTATCATAATGGCCTATCTCTTTTGGCTGCCGGTATTTTGGACTAGTCGTTGTTAGTGTTCTTGGAGTACCATCTCCTTTGGGAACAATATGCATTTTTCGGTGTTTTTGGTTGGAAGCTGTTGGATTTAGCCCAGTGCATCAGGTTGGTTCCTTATCTGGTACTGCTTATTTTAGGTATTCTTCCTCCTATGGGAACTGGATCATTTCCTATTCTTATTTGGGCTCCCGCGCATTGGGATACGAGACACCGACAATTCAGGACCATCCTTGGATATTCGTCTCTATCAGACATTATGTGTCAAAATGGCTTGTTATTATTATTTCTGTTGTATTAATGTTTGATACCCCTAACCTTACATAGATCAAAGGTTTTGATTTTACTATATAACATTGGATTTACACTCTTTATTGCAATTATTGTCATAACGAATGCATGGGATACCTTAAACACGGTTCTACGTTTTACTTTGGTTTTCAGAGCTTTTGGATGAATCAGAATAACATTGACTATTATTATTCGGGACCAAAAAAGACCGAACGCCAAATTCCTTTTTTGAAACAGATGGCGGTTTTTGGTAAATCCTCCCATTTGCAATTTCTTAACCATATTAGGGTCCTTGTTTTTGGTTCCCTCGAGTAAGCGAGCAGAGAAGAAAGGGATAAAAAAGTTGAAAAGATGAAAGATATCTTCTCTGATTATTAAAAAAAAAAGCGCCAGCGGCTAAGGACTATTCAATAGTCCTTTCCGAAACGAATGTTATGGTACAGTTACCGGCCTAAATTTCATCATGATTAGGGTCAAACAAAAGGTTTCTTTGTTCGGGGAGAATAAAGGGTTAGTTTGTCCGTCCTATTCAATAACTCCTTTAATACCAATCGTTCCCTGCCTCTCCCTTCTTGACACCAGTTGGATTCAAGGAGATGACTCGTTGTCCTGGGACAGTGTCGAACGTGAAGGCAGCCTCGAAGATACCGGATATCGCTCGGTTACCAATGGCAGTGAAAGAGTCATACTCCGGGCCGTAGCCATCGCAGGCAGACCATTCCGGCGACATTGGCGACATTCCGTCTCCTAGGTCACTCCAGCGGGTCACGACGATGGCGTGCCTGAAATGGACGTTTTTAATCTCACTCCGATCTTCGGTGAGTTTGATCTCGATGAGATATTCTGTGGGACACTCCGGACATCGTCTTTTTGGTCTGCATTTCCCACAGCTAGCTGTCATGACTGAAGAGGAAGATCCCCTTGTTGAGGGCGCTGCGAGCATGTCTTTGACCCTATTCTCTACTCCTTGAAGACCTTCCGTGGGTCGGGGAACAGGAATATGAGATAGTGCACATTTGCAGACGCTCATCAGTTCGCCGTCTCTCCAATGGGCACAGGCAGAGAAGAACGGCCAGTAGTCGTCTCGGGAATACAGCAGCATCCGCTGAGCAGCAGGCGTCAGACCCGGATCAGCGAAAGTCTGGGCGGTCACGCGCATAAGGAGGTGGCCGTTATGGATGTGGTACCTCGTAGTGAAGTTCCATCCATCCCTCTTCCAGCGACGACCGAGGGAGTCAGGTGAGAGACCGTATCTTGGTCCCAAACGATGCGCTCGCATCACCAACTGGACAAACGAATAATACAGTACATAATTATGAGTGATGCGATGCCGTGGCTGAGGCCGCAGCGGATTGCGCGCATTGGGACAGTTGAACAGAGGATTCAATACATCGGCTGGCCGAAGACGTTCACGGCCCTCTTGCGTGCGGCGATGAAATTTCGCGCAGGGAAAACATAGCAGATGGTGCGGAAAGTAGCGATCCAGAGAGACCAGAAACTCGATCTTGTATTGATAATTCTCTTCCAGGTTGAGAGCCTGGAACGGTGTGCATCCCAACCTCATATAGAGGGTTCGACTAGCCAGGGCCAAGCTGGCGGCCTCGCGGGGGTTGAGATACTGGACGATGCAACCCCAAAGCTCCGGCGACAGGCTAGCCACGGCGGGCTCTCCGGGTGGCCGATTGTCCTGAACGGCATAATGTGAATCGTCTGCATCGAAGGGCTCATTCAGCCCTAGTTTATGCAGAATCTCCGTATAGTCAAGGTTTTCACCCAGCTGCGTGTTGAGATGGAGTCCTGCTGCGCGCACCCTTTGACGATGCTCCTCCAAAGGTGCCAACTTAGGCACAGCGGGCACCTGCTCGACCCCATCGACCGGCGCCTTTTTGCGCAGAGTCTGGCGGGACTTTTTGGGGCGTAGCACGTTGGAGAAGAACCCCTTGACACCGTGTTTCCGCTCCGAACTCTCTGCGGCAGACATGATTTACTGGCTTGCAAGGGACATTGCAAAAAAGAAACAACACGCAGGACAACTTGGAAACTTCCTCACCTCTGGAGAAAAAAGGAGCACGTCAGTAATGGTTCATTATTGTCCAGCTCCGTTTGAGTCTTTCCCTGCCGTTCCGGCCCTTCCAACGTGAAAACAACCTAAACCGAAGACGGGAACTGTCAGCCACGGTAAGGCCTGTGGCGGTGTTGCTAACGAGCATTCTGCGGGACGAGAGGGGCCGATCAACGGGTATCTCGGTGATTTATGGAGATGGTCAGGGGAGAGATGGTTTTAGAAATGGTGTTTAGGCGTCCCTGATCCGCTGATGGTTAGTTAACAAAGATTGTGGAGGTCAGCCATGCTTCATGTCGGTCATTGTTATAACTACATACTTACCTGGGTACTCTAAAGGCGGACTTCCCTAGCAGACGGCCACAGCCGGCGCCATCAAGCCTAAACTCACTCCCGGCAATTGTGCGTTTTATCCAGCTTCATAACTAGTACACCAATATCCGCTGTCGCTGTGAGATCGATTGGACTAAGGAATTGCATCTGCAACCCCCAAATCTGGGTGATAGAGATTTCTTTCTCGTGTTGAAATTATTACCGCCTGCTTGATATCAGCTTCGATGCTGACGCGGACATCTCAACTTTACAACTAAGTTGGTTCTGGTTAACTTAGTTGTTTAGTTAGTCGCTTGGACATGATTCAGCCAAACATAGGTTTACGTCTCCCCAGACACAGAACTGCTCCAGATTCTTGGCCTGGCTCAGACTTCACAGGGCATGAAGACAGTCATAGTGATAACAACAGGGAGAGGTAGCTCTTATCTGAAACGCCAGAGATGGAGGCGCAGAATCTACCAGCATCATCATCTTTGACATGGCAGAACCAGTCAATCACGGCAAATCGCAAGGCCTCAGGGAATATTAGTATCGTCATGCAATCGAGAGAGACCACCGTCTATAGTTTCTAGAACGAGCCCCGCATCAGAAAAAGGGTTCACTGTGGGAACTTTCTGGCGTAAGATTGATCCCGATCGTTTCACTGTTTCAGCCTTCGGTAGAGAACCCTATGACACGCAGAATCCATTAGTACCTCGGAGATTCTGCGACGGGATGTGGATCGGAATCACGAAATGTTTCTTCTGTCAAGATAGAGTAGACGCTCCCAGCAGTAACGGTGGTATGTGCACTGCAAGTTCACCCGGTGCTCTAAGCCAGGGCGTCCATGTCGCCCAGAAAATCGTCTGACATATTAAATGTACATTTAATCATCACACGACGAGTCGCAACTGGAAGGCGATCATGTGATGATTATGAGTGAGCGATGTCTATCGGAATAAGAAGATCAAAATCACGGTTTGTGTACGAACTACGAAGTGATTTACCCTCACCGACAGCGCTGGACAAGCCAATCGAGGATATTGATTTCCAATTGGTGGAGCAGTAATACATCGAGTAAATCCTCTATTCTAGGTCCAGTTAGCGCAATAATGTTCGTTCAGGAACAGCTGGCGACCAGCAGCGTGGCCACGTCTCGCGGCGTCGTCTACTGGAAAATCAGACAGGACAGACATCCAGCGGAGCCGAGCATCAGTGGACCATCGGGCGATCGCGAGTCTACTCGAGGAAGATTGGCCGGTGGCGATGCTCAAGAGTTGAAACATGGTCGCTTTTCGACGCTGACAGGGCTGCGGTCCGTATGGCTGTCCCGTCGTGGTTTCAGGCTTGGTCCAGTGAGAGAGCAGATTTCACCAGTAGACGACCGACAGTTGATATATCACTCCACATCGGTGCCAGGAACCATCCCGCCATCGTCCCCTTGCGGGAGCAGCGCGATCGATCGATACGTTTAGAACGATGTTTTTCCACCGTTCGCTCGCTCGCTCCACTGCTACGGTTGAAACGTAGCCAAGAGGGTGTGGTTGTGGAGGGTCAAGAAACTTGCATGGGACGGACAGTAGTACGTAGTAGTGGGCTATGAACGGCCAAGTCATTATTTTTTGTTAACTGCTCACTACCCTTTCTTCTCCTCTGGAGATTTCCGATCTTTTCTTCTTTTCTTCAGTAGGTCTTGGAGGCCAAGTGCCAGTGGGGTTTGTTCATTCTTTTGTCCTTGAAGATCCCATTCATTCGTGGGTTTTCTTCATTATTCTTCTCTTCAACTTGTCCCATCGGTGGCTGGTTCATCACCACATTCCTTTCGTTGCCCACACGGCACACAAGCAGATCTGAATCTGATCGATTTTACCACATCGTTCCTGTTTCCCACTAGGCACACTCGATCTTAGATTATCGAGTCTCCCATATCTGCTTCTTCATTTTTCCTCTCGTCGAAGTGCAGGGTCCCCTCGGGTGATTATTCTGTTGTATCGACTACTCTTTCGGGACATATCACTATCCGACCTTCAAATCCAGTATCTGGCATACGACCCTGTGGCTGTGCGATAGGCAGAAAGTTATCTCTCCTTGTTCAGAAATCTTTCGTCATCCTACGCGGTTCTTGTTCACTGAGCTGGTCTCAGACATCTCGAATCTACTTCGAAAACAACGTATGATTTGATTGTTGAAGAAGAAAATTTGCTTTAGACACCATGAAGCATCAATTTGCAGTGTTTATGCTGGCGGGGCTTACTGTCGCAGCTGAGGAGAAGAAAGATGGCGGAGAAGAAAAGGGACCGTCGCCCTATGATATCCTCGACGACAGGATGGCACGCCTCACGATATTAGTTCTGGGATGCATGGCCGCATTTGTCTATATCTGGCAACTGGCAACTCGTTTCTCCAGCCATATTCGACGCCTTGCAAGCCTCAACAATGACAGACAGCGCTTCTTCCTTCCGCCAGACATGAGAATTGCCAGACTGAAGGAACACTTGCTGTACGCTCCGCTATTCAGGACACGGCACAACCGTGAATTTCAGCTCTCTCGAGCCGTTGGCATGGGCACTCTGCCAAGTCGCTTCCATTCGCTCCTCTTGTTTGGGCTCCTGGTCATGAATGTGGTCCTCTGCGTGGTTACGGTTCCCTATCCCAAGCCCCAGAGTACGGTTGCCGGCGTCCTCAGAAACAGAACAGGCACCATCGCCACGATCAACCTGATCCCTCTCTTGATTATGGCTGGGAGGAACAACCCGTTGATTCCTCTCCTTCGAGTCTCCTTCGATACATGGAACCTCCTTCATCGCTGGCTTGCGCGTATTGTTGTCTTGGAGGCCGTCGCCCATATGCTGTTCTGGATGGTCGACAAAGTACAAGAAGAAGGTAAGCAAACGTCATGTCTGTCTTTTGTATATCAGTCTAACAAATTACATAGGAGGCTGGGCAGTTGTTCAAAAGTCAATTGACGGTAGTAGCCTGATAACGACGGGTCTGGTGGCCGTCATTGCTTTCGTCGCCCTCATGCTACATTCGTTTTCCGCTCTGAGACACGCCTTCTATGAGACATTCCTGCATGTCCACATCCTACTCGTGATAGCGGCCATGGGATTCCTGTGGGTTCATCTCAAAGAATTTCCCCAGCAGTCTTATGTGCTCGTTGCACTCATTGCTTGGGGCCTCGAGCGCTTCACCCGGTTTGCTATTCTGTTGTATCGGAACTTGGGCAATGGTGCTACGACAGCTGTTGTTGAGGCTCTGCCAGGCGATTGTATGAGAATTACCTTGAAGATGGCACGCCCGTGGCGTTTCCAGCCAGGCCAACATATGTACCTCTACGTGCCCTCCGTAGGTCTCTGGACATCGCACCCGTTCTCCGTTGCATGGAGCCAGGCGGAGGAGATCTACACCGATGAGAAAGGTTTGGTGCAGACCCGTCAGGATGTGCTTGCACTTCAGAAGGCGACGATATCGCTTTTGGTCCGTCGCAGAACCGGCTTTACTGACAAGTTATATCAACGCGCTGAGCGGAGCGTGGGTGGGAAGGTCGCTCTCAAGGCTTTTGCGGAAGGCCCTTATGGAAGCATTCACACACTTGATTCTTATGGGACGGTCCTGATGTTCGCCGGCGGCGTGGGTATCACTCACCATGTCCCCTTCATCCGCCATCTCGTTGCTGGCCACGCTGATGGTACGGTCGCCGCTCGACGCGTGACTCTCGTTTGGGTCATTCAGTCTCCAGAGCACCTCGAATGGATTCGACCGTGGATGACGAGCATCCTGGGAATGGAACGCCGCCGGGACGTCCTTCGAATTCTGCTCTTTATTACTCGCCCCCGCAACACAAGGGAGATACAAAGCCCGAGCGCGACTGTCCAGATGTATCCCGGCCGACCAAATATCGGTGCTCTGGTCGATATGGAGGTCGAGAGCCAGATTGGCGCTATGGGCGTCATGGTTTGCGGTAGTGGCAGTCTCAGTGACGATGTACGACGCGTGTGCCGCAAGAGACAAACGAGTTCTCACATCGACTACATCGAGGAAAGCTTTTCCTGGTAGTTCCTAGACTCAACAATGGACAGGCTCACGATCTTCTCTTTCTTTTTGTTCGGATGGCCACTCTTGAGGTGTGAGGCATTCTTGTTACCCTTTCATGTACACGATTTTTTTGTGAGTTTCTTTTCTTCTTCTTCATTTTCACTCCTCAGAGCCTTTCTCCCCTGCGTTCATCTTCTTTACCATCTATCCTTGGGATTCCATCCGAGTATGGGTTTCATGAAGGTTACCGTTTATCTTTTTCAAAACACCTCGTTTTCTTCTCTCCATTTATGTTCAGAGTGCGCATCACGGTCGAAAATCCACATGATAGGTAGAGCGCATATATGTAACTGGTTCAGTAGATAGCTCAAGCAACTGTAGACAATAAAATGGCGATGTTCAAGATATCTTTTACCCGGCACCTCCAGCCTACGCATCGACGGGTTTCAAGCGGGAATCTATCGGTCCAACCGTATCTCGGGCTTCTGGCCTTTGAACAGAAAGGTAAGTAAGCGTTCGGGATCTCGAATCGTTGCGGAAATGCGTCATTATAAATCACTGCCCCACCCAAGCTGCCAGAACTAACTATCCGATCCCGATGATATATGGTATAGCTCGCGTATTTATAATAACAGAAGGCGGGGTAAGTCGAGGCGTGTCGGGAGACCAAAAAAAAAGAGTTATCTTCTCTTCCTCTATAAGGATCTCTCCCCATAACCACCTTGGAAGTTTACAAGGTGAATATTCGCATTGGATCATCAATTCTTTCAGCATACGAACTGGTAGCTCTCCAACATGGCAAACCGACCAGACATCACGCTCTACACGGCGCAGACGCCCAATGGAATTAAGATTTCCATCGCGCTGGAGGAGCTGGGGTATGTCTTATTACTGGAACATTGATCATGGTGTTGCTGCATTTTGGTCAAGACAGAAGCTAATACCGAGACTCAGAATCCCATACAAGACGGTGAAGATCGAGCTGTCGAAGAACACGCAGAAAGAAGAGTATGTGGTTCGACTCAGTGGATTTCTGTTTGCAGGTGTACGAGCGATGGCTGACAGTGTCACTTGCTAGCTGGTTCTTGGAAATCAATCCCAATGGACGTATTCCCGCTATCACGGACACGTTCACCGATGGCCAGAAGATTCGTCTCTTCGAGTCCGGAAGCATCCTTCAGTATCTGGCTGAGCAGTACGACAAGGATTACAAGATCTCGTACCCGAAGGGAACGAGGGAGTATTACGAGATGAACAACTGGTTGTGGTTCCAGAATGCGGGCCTGGGACCGATGCAAGGTGCGTATTGGACCCCTTCTTGTTTCAAAACTGGATCACTCAATCTTGTTGACCCTACATATATCATACGTACGAAGAGCTGACCGTTTCTATCCAACAGGCCAAGCGAACCACTTCAACCGCTACGCCCCCGAGCGCATCGAATACGGCGTCAACCGCTACGTCAATGAGACCAGACGTCTCTACGGCGTCTTGGACAAGCAGCTCGAAAAGTCGAAATCTGGCTACCTCGTCGGAGACCACATCTCGATCGCCGATATTTCAACCTGGGGTTGGGTTGCTGCCGCGGGTTGGGCCGGTGTGGACATCAATGAATTCCCGAACCTGAAAGCCTGGGAGGAACGGATGTACGAGAGGCCTGGGGTCGACAAGGGACGGAACGTACCCGATCCTCACTATTTCAAGGAGATTATGAAGGATAAGGAGGCGATTGAGAAGCATGCTGCGGAAACGAGGGAGTGGGTGCAGAAGGGAATGAAGGCTGATAAGAAGAATTGAGTGCACAGGGAACCTGGGTAGGTGGTGTGTATATGAGATAAAAATCACATACATTGTGATCTGTATATGTGAGGTCTGTTTGACATGCTTTAGATGTTTCAGCGCATAAACGACTGGAAGCTTCATAACCTGATAGTATTAGTTACTGTAACTCGTAGGAAGGACGCTGGTGCCTCTGCTGTTGCCGAACGGTGGTTGGTCATCATAACGCAACCATATGAAATAGGTAGAACAACAAAGTATAATTATTCTTACCAGGCTTATTGACCTAATGATCTTTAAGAGCCATGGAAACCGTGTCAGCATGTCTTCAACGACCATGGCTTCCTAATAGTTGGTTAACTGAATTGACTGAAGGAGGGGCGACCGGCTTAGTCACCAAAATCTCACGTGATATCGTTTCAAAATATGGTCGCCACATGCCTGCCCGCATCTCCCTTTGCTCTATTAAAAGCCACCATTCTAACATTTCTTTGCAGTTGGCCTTCTTGACCAGCTACGCGTGTGACACTAACAGTTACAAGATGGCTTGGCGTAATCAGGGAATTACTGGTTCTAACAACATCCCTCTGGGCCGGCGCAGGTTCGGGGGTGATGAAGAAGCTGGCTCGACGCCTGGATCCGCAGTTGCTGACAATGGTGTCAAGCGAGGCAGGAGCCCCGTTCGAGGTACGTATCTAAGATAACCCTGAAATCTATGAAGAATTGATTCTAACTTCTTCACAGCAGATCCTCCCGTTGATGGCGTGAAGAAGCGCAAGAAGCGCAACCGTTGGGGAGATGCCCAGGAAAATAAGGCCGCTGGCCTCATGGGTCTACCCACGATGATTATGGCCAACTTTACCAACGAGCAGCTTGAAGCATACACTCTGCATCTCCGTATTGAGGAGATCAGTCAGAAGCTTCGCATCAACGATGTGGTCCCCGCGGATGGCGATCGGTAAGTGCCTGTCAGCATACCTTTCTGTGAATTCTGCTTGCTAACAAGATACAGGTCTCCGTCGCCACCTCCCCAGTACGATAATTTCGGAAGACGTGTAAACACCAGGGAATATCGATACAGGAAGCGCCTCGAAGATGAGCGCCACAAGCTCGTAGAGAAGGCCATGAAGATGATTCCTAACTATCACCCGCCTTCTGACTACAGGCGCCCAACCAAGACCCAGGAGAAGGTCTATGTTCCAGTGAATGACTATCCAGAGATTAACTTCAGTATGATAACTAACCCTCTAACTCCTAACCGTTTTCTCTCATTTTTTGGTCCCTCCCTCCCTTTTGCTCGAGCCGAGCTTGGAGACGTCATGTCGATGTCTCAGCTTGTTTCTTGCTAACTACGTTTGATGTTTGACATTTTGCTCTATTTGAATTGATACAAAATACTAACACTTAGCTCCTTGCTACTAAAAGTTGGCTTACTTATCGGACCCCGTGGAAACACATTGAAGAAGATGGAGACTGAGTCCGGAGCCAAGATTGCTATTCGAGGCAAAGGCTCCGTCAAGGAAGGAAAGGGTCGATCTGACGCCGCTCACACTAGCAACCAGGAAGAAGACCTTCACTGTTTGATCATGGCAGACACGGAAGAGAAGGTTAACAAGGCCAAGAAGCTGATTCACAACGTTATTGAAACGGTACGTAGCAACTGCCGATCTTGCTCTATTTTCTTCCTAACTAACAATGTGTTAGGCTGCTTCGATTCCGGAAGGCCAGAACGAGCTCAAGCGCAACCAGCTCCGAGAGCTAGCCGCCCTCAACGGTACTCTCCGTGATGACGAGAACCAGGCTTGCCAGAACTGTAAGTGGCGTCTTCCCCTGTCTTTTCTACAAAGCATATTCTAACATTCGATATTTCAGGCGGTCAAATCGGACACCGCAAGTACGACTGTCCCGAACAGCGTAACTTCACCGCCAATATCATCTGTCGTGTCTGCGGTAATGCCGGACATATGGCCAGAGATTGCCCTGATAGACAGCGCGGTACGGACTGGCGCAACAACGGCTATGGACGTGGTCCTCAGCGTGCTATTGGTGGCGGAGATGCAGTTGATCGTGAGATGGAGGTAAGTTTATGCCCATTACACTATCCATGGTCATCGGTTGATACTGACGTTTACACCAGCAACTCATGCAAGAACTCTCTGGCGGTGCTCCATCTGGAAACGGCGAAGCTCCCCGACGGATCGAAGGGGGACCCGGTGGCTACGATCAAGGCTATGGTGATAGTTATGACCGTGATGCGAAGCCGTGGCAACGCGGTCCTCCCGCAAGCGATGTGGCCCCGTGGCAGCAGCGAGGTCGCGGGGACCGTTCTCGCGACGACTATGGATCTCGAGACAACGCTGCTCCCCCGTGGGCGCAGAACCGCGGTGGTGCCGACTATGGATATGGCTCCCATGCCGGTGGCTACGCTGCTCCTGGAGCCGCTCCCTGGCAACAGCAGCCCCCGCCTCCACCCCCCGGTGGACAAGCCGGCTATGGATATGGTGGATATCCTGCATTCCCACCACCAGCTCCCAACATGGGAGCTCCTCCAGGCCTTTCTGCTGTTCCCCCTCCACCACCTGGTATGGGTTCTATGTATTATGGTGCGGGCAGCCCACCGCCTCCACCTCCTGGTGAAGGACCTCCTCCTCCTCCGCCCAGTGACCAGCCTCCCCCACCTCCCCCTCCTGCTTGAACAAGTGTATAACTAGCCGTGGGTGATTCGTACCGCGGAGGCGAAGCTATGCCTTTGATGTGAAATAGACTTAGTTTTTAAGTCTCGTTATACTGCTCTTCGGCATCTTTTGTACGGTCGGGGGGTTATGGTCTTGCTATTCTCGCTAATCCTGATAAAATTGTGTAACTAATATTACAGAAACAACAAAAGTAACCTTTTCGGTGCTGTCGTGCTTTTCCACCGTCGTTTATACTCCGTAGTGTAGAAATCATCCAGTTCTCCGATTATTTTGCGGAGGTGGATCCGGGGTGCCGTTACTCCAATCAGCAATAGCGATTTCAGAAGATTACTCTCACGTGACCGGCCTCCGCTATGATGTTCTCTTTGCGATAGCATCGCGCTCGGAGGAACTAGCAGAAGACACCCAGTCCAGTCCTTAGGACGCATTGCGTTCTTATATCTCCTAATATTAATGACATAATTATTTGCCCTTCTTTTTTTGCAGGACGTTGTCGTGCGATTAAAAGTAATATATAAGATGCAGGCGCAAGATCCTTCGCGCAGCGACTTCGGTCTGCCCTCAAGCCCAAATTTCCACCACAGTTTGCCGGAGTCATCAGAGTCACAGTCGCGGCAGAAATACCGTATGTTTCAGAGCCTCATGTCGTTTCGATCTGATCGATCTCGCGGTTCACACAACAATAATGCAGCAGCGGCATTCCAAGAGTCGGAAGAGACGATCAATCGCGAACGCAGTCGGGCTACCAGCAACGCGACGGCGACGGCGAGGAGCGCGCGATGGTGGAAAGTGCGCCTGTTTCGAGGAATGGTGAATGATATCAAAAGACGAGCGCCATATTATTGGAGCGATTGGAAGGATGCGTGGGATTATCGCGTCATTCCTGCTACTGTGTACATGTATTTTGCGAAGTATGGCCCGACAATGCAATTACTCTCTCTCTCTTGTCCCTCTTCTCCTTATGAACCCAGTATACCATTTTACATTTCAATAATTGTCGCCTATCCCCCTCTAGCCGCAGCCGGAATGCATAATCTTACCACCAGATACATCTTCACATACTATTTCATGATAGTTGTACGATGGAATTGCTTACCATGCATATAGTATCTTGCCGGCCCTGGCTTTCTCTTTGGATATGTTCGAGAAGACCCATCAGAGCTATGGAGTAAATGAGGTTCTTCTAGCGTCCGTACTCGGTGCTGTTGTGTTTGCTCTCTTCGCAGCGCAACCGTTGGTTATCGTCGGTGTGACTGGTACGTCTTGATCTAGTGACCACGAAGTCAAAGACGACACAAGCTAATTGGATCCCAAGGTCCTATTACTGTCTTCAATTACACTGTCTACGATATCATGACTCCCAGAGGCACCAATTATCTGGCCTTTATGTGCTGGATCGGACTGTAAGATAGCCCATTGCTGGTGATATCGGAATTGCACTGACTCCTTCCAAAGCTGGTCTCTTGTGATGCATTGGTTCCTCGCTATTACGAATGCTTGCAACGGCCTAAAATACGTGACACGTTTCCCATGCGATATTTTTGGATTCTACGTCGCATTTATCTATCTCCAGAAAGGCATCCAAGTCCTGACCAGACAATGGGGTTTTGCTGGCGAGACTTCCGCATTCCTTAGCGTCATGGTGGCGCTTCTCGTGCTTATGAGCGGATGGGTCTGCAACGAACTCGGTAACAGTAGCCTCTTCCAGAGATACGTGCGGAAGTTTATCGAGGATTATAGCACTCCTCTGGTCATCGTGTTTTTCACCGGTTTTGTCCACTACGGTCACATGAAGGATGTGCATGTTGAGACTCTTCCTACGAGCAAATCGTTCTTCCCGACTTCTGACCGAGGCTGGTTTATTCATTTCTGGGATATCAATGTCGGCGATGTTTTTTTGGCCATTCCTTTTGCCATCTTACTCACTATTTTGTTTTATTTCGATCACAATGGTACGTTGTGGATTCCCCGAAACTGTATCCAGGACTAACACATCGAGTAGTATCATCACTGATAGCACAAGGCACCGAGTTTCCGCTACGCAAACCAGCAGGGTTCCATTGGGACTTTTGGCTGTTAGGCCTCACTACTGGCGTTGCTGGACTTCTCGGCATCCCGTTCCCCAACGGCCTTATTCCCCAGGCGCCGTTCCATACAGCAGCACTTTGCGTCACCCGCGATATTGCCGACGAGAATGAAACGAACAAGGGCAAGGCTGTGCGTGTCACAGATCATGTCGTCGAACAGCGTTTCAGCAATCTAGCTCAAGGTCTACTCACTCTCGGCACAATGACTGGCCCCCTCCTAATTGTTCTGCATCTGATCCCACAAGGCGTGATGGCCGGACTGTTCTTCATCATGGGCGTCCAGGCTCTGCAAGGCAACGGCATCACGCAGAAACTCATCTTTTTGGCACAAGATAGACAGTTCACCCCCGCTTCTAACCCCTTGAAGAGACTCAAACGCCGAAGCGCAATCTGGGCTTTCGTGATACTCGAACTGATCGGTTTTGGGGGAACTTTTGCCATCACACAAACCATCGCAGCCATCGGGTTCCCTGTGATCATTCTGTTCCTGGTTCCCGTCCGATCATTCCTCCTACCTCGTTATTTCACTCAAGAGGAACTATCCGTCCTCGACGCACCGACCGCAAGTCCCTTCACCATGGAAAGCGTCGGCGGCACTTACGGCATGGATGAAAGTATAACTACCATAAACGAAGAAGAAGAGCCTCCTAAGCACGGCGGTGGTGTTCTAGGAAATAATCCTGGCATTTTCGAACGCAGCAATGACCCCCGCAGCTCTTCAGAGTCATCCGTCGAGGACGGGATGGAAAGAGGCGAGATTTACGAATTACAACCAAATCCTCATTCATCTATAACGAGGATAATAAGTACAAATGCTGCTGAGGAGGGCCATTCTCATCGCGCATAAAGTCCTGCACTCTATATACCCATGCGCTCGGTTATGCTTGATGTATATATCGCGATAAAAACCTTGTAGATAGGACCTGAACATACGAAGTGATTTGTGTTTGATTCTATACTCTATGAATCACTTTTATTCCGAACAATAAAGAGATGAGCTGTGTCTCCGAGGTTCTTTGGACAAATAATAATCTGCAGATGGAAGCAATACAGTTATTACCCGTTTAGGAAAGCAAATGGTTGTATCATCACGTGATCAACTCACCGCTTTCGCCCGCTGCGGTTTTTCTGCCGCAGAATTTCCTCCGATACATCAACTTTATTTTCTAGACGACGAATTTTTGAAGGCCAAATCAAACAAGATGGCGCCATCCAAGGCTCGTGAACCAGCAATGGAAGACGCGGAACTGTCCTCCGCAGAATCTGGGCCAGGTTCAGAATCTGAAACCGAAAATGAAAAGAATGACGAACAGCCGCGGGCAACCAAGCGAAGAAGATTATCAACGTCCTCCGACGATTCATATGTTGCGCCAGCACCGCTTCCTACACTTTCACGAATAAAGAAGAAGGACACAGCGACTGCGGATAAGGCAGCAGAGGCTGAGGCGCCAGTTTCGAGTCGAGATGCTTTGGAGATTGGACTTCAGACGACTACTTCGAGTTTCGAGTCGCTCGAGGTTGCGCCGTGGCTAGTGGGTGCGTTGTCGGCGATGGCGATCAAGAGACCGACTGCGATTCAGAAAGCATGTATACCGGAGATCCTTAAAGGGAGGGACTGTATTGGTGGAAGTAGGACAGGTTCCGGAAAGACAGTTGCCTTTGCGGTTCCAATCTTGCAGAAGTGGGCGCAGGATCCGTTCGGAGTGTTTGCCGTGGTCTTGACGCCGACTAGGTATGCATTGATCCTATCTGGATGATTCATATATGAATATCGAGCTAATAATCATGAAGAGAACTGGCTCTGCAGATTTTCGAGCAGTTCAAGGCTATCTCTGCCCCGCAAAACCTGAAGCCTGTCCTAATCACCGGCGGAACCGATATGCGTCCTCAGGCCATTGCGCTTTCGCAGAGACCTCATGTGATCATTGCAACACCCGGTCGTCTCGCGGACCATATCAATAATTCTGGACAGGATACTATTTGTGGCCTGAACCGTGTGCGCATGGTGGTTCTCGATGAAGCGGATCGACTACTTGCCAGTGGTCCTGGTAGCATGTTGCCTGATGTCGAGACCTGTCTATCGGCCCTGCCTCCTTCTAGTGAACGCCAGACACTCCTGTTCACCGCTACAGTGACACCGGAGGTCAGAGCACTGAAATCTATGCCTCGACCAGCCAATCGCCCACCGATCTTCATGACCGAAATATCTACTGAAAATCAGGGATCTATTCCACCAACCCTGAAACAGACCTACCTTCAAGTCCCCATGACACACCGCGAAGCATTCCTCCACGTCCTTCTATCCACTGAAGGCAATGCTTCGAAACCAGCGATCATCTTCGTTAACCGCACAAAAACAGCGGATCTCCTGGAACGCACCCTCCGACGACTGGGACACAGGGCCGCCTCACTACACAGTCTGCTCCCTCAGTCAGAGCGGACAGCAAACCTCGCTCGTTTCAGAGCAGCAGCTGCTCGTCTTCTGGTAGCCACCGATGTTGCTTCTCGTGGTTTGGATATTCCGTCAGTCAGTCTAGTTATCAATTTCGATGTTCCTCGGAACCCGGACGACTATGTCCATCGTGTCGGTCGTACTGCTCGTGCCGGACGCCACGGTGAAGCAGTCACTCTTGTTGGACAGCGAGATGTGCAACTTGTCCTTGCTATTGAACAGAGAGTCGGCCGCCAAATGGTAGAGTGGGAAGAAGAAGGCGTCAGTATCGAAGGAAGGGTTGTACGTGGTGGTGTTCTGAAAGAGGTGGGAGAGGCCAAGCGAGAGGCAAACGGAGAAATCGAGGAAGGACGCGACGTACTAGGGCGCAAGATAAACAAGTTGAAGAAGGCGCGGTGAATGTGAAGCCGCAGTCTTTTTATTATCAAGCCATTTTTAAGCCTGCAAACGGATCAATCAAAGGAGGTCAGTGCCTCGACATCATCGGCGTCATTCCCACCTATCTCGCTCCCATGAAGTGGGAGCAGCCCTTCCTGCCCTCGCTGGGTATGATCTGCTGGCGTATTCTGCCAAAAACAAAATCCTACGTGCCTTGTACATACATCGTGGAAAGAATGTGTATATTTCAACATTACGACCGAACGATCAAGCGAATATGGAAACAGAAGAAAGAATCCTTGTCTAGTCTAGCGGGGACGACTGACGCGGTACGCGCACTTCATCATCATGCCAGCGGTGGCTACCATGTCTGTGGACGATCTCGATCTCGTCCAATGAAGAACTAAACGAGTATGTATGTATAGTGAGTCTTTAAGGTTTAGTCTTGCTATATAATGAATAAATATGGAAAAGCGCAATCAGTCAGTCGCATCGTACCTCTACTTGATAATATCAATGCTTCATGGTAATCATGAGGAGTCTGCGCGTCTAATTTCATAGGTCATCATTAGAAACTAGTAGAAAGATATCTGAGATAACCAGTGCATTGGGGACGCGTATTCTCAGAAAACATTTATATGCTCTGTCGATGGAAAGCAACCATAGAGGCAGTAGGATAGGATTTTGATTAATTCTGTTCGGTTACTGTATCTATCTTCCACTGGCTGATATCCGACGAGATCTAACTTGGACGGTTTTATGCCGACATGCTTAGTACTATATTTTCCTGCCACGACCTCTCTAACAAGGACTGTGGTTCTCGTAATTGCAAGAGCAGTCTTATATCCCAGGGCCTAAGAGAAGGCCTCGCTCGAAGCATGAATGTCTTACTGTGACACAAAGAAATCTATAACCTTCTGCTATGGATGTAGGAAGAAAATGTTTTAACAAACGTACTTCACAACAAATGCTTACTATTAATGTGCTTCTCAATCAAATGCATTCCCTGGGACGCAACACTCCTGAAATCTTGCAGTGAGTGTGTGAAACAAATTGCAAATCGCCCAAGCCAAATATGAAAACAACAATTATTGTACTCCTCGCTTTACAAAATGACAGAGAGCTGTCTGGAAAAAACACAAAAAACAACGGGGGCCTATGCCCGTGAAAGGGCGGCCCAGCCGTGTAAAGGAAGGGCCCGAGACCCAACTTCGGCGAAGGGGTCAAGGACAAAAAAAAAGAAAAAGAAAAAGAAAAAGAAAAAGAAAAAGAAAAAGAAAAAGAAAAAGAAAAAGAAAAAGAAAAAGAAAAAGAAAAAGAAAAAGAAAAAGAAAAAGAAATAAAAGCACAAAACAAAAACAATGCACCGGATTCCAACAATAGCCTCGAATTATGTTGGCTCTAAGGAGCCACAGAGCCCAGCTGGCTTACGCCAGGGTCTCTGCGAACTCCCCGAGGCTACGGGTGAAGGCGCCGTAGCCTTCCTCCACCTCCTCTTCGTCCCAGAGCTGGGCAAGAAGTCGACCAGCTTCCGGGTCGACGCCCAAGCTCTCGACCAGAGCTCCCTGCTTCGGCCAAGAGAGTTGGTTGAGGTCCCCAGACGGGCAGTTAGAAAGAAGCCACTGCGCATCACGAGCGAAGTCGTCATCTCCAGCAGAAATTTCACCCAAAGGTGAAGCGCCCATTGGGCTGGCATAACGACTCGCGGTACGAAGCCCCGAGGGGGTCTTTGGCTTGTACTTTTCAGCCTGGGAACGGGCCTTTGCGAGGGCATGATTGTCGACTGCCGGTTCGGTCGTCGACGGGAGTGCAGCATGTGCCGGAGTCGGGCGAGGTGGTGGAGGTTGAGTCCACGCCGGGGGGCGTGACCTGATATTACAGTTAGCGGTACGTTCACGAATACGGTCTTTCGTGGATGAGGTGGTAACATACTCTTCTGTCTCCTCTCGAGACGCAGGCGGCTGGGCTTGTGGCGTCAAGGGCGCGGGGGTGGGTTCTCCACCCGACTCACTGTCGCTGGAAAACGCGTCGTAGTCAAGGCGGAACGTCCCAGACTGGTTCGGGATGAAGCCTGGGGAGCGCTGGGTGGGTTGTTCAACGGTAGTTTGACTGACAGGAACTGTAGCAGCCGTCGTTGCGGTGTCTGGATGAGGAACAGCAGCTTGACGAGTGGCGTTGTCTCGAGGAGCAAAGAGGTCAGGAACGCCCACAAACTGTTGACCGGTGTAGGAATCCGTGGCACGAAGACGAAGCTTGGAAGGAGTATTCTCTGGACTAGTATCGAAGCGGACACGCTTGGGTGGCGGTCGCTGAGGCCGAAGAATGCTACGAACCGGGCGCGTATCAGGAATAGTCGTCGTGCGCTGGGCTTCTTCGCTCTCCTCTTCGCTTTCGCTGCCGTAGGTAAAATAGTCTAAGTCCAGTCCATAGCTGGTCCCGGGAGGGTTAGGGATCACGTCAGGAGAGGTGGAAGGACGCTTGCGCTTCTTTCCGCCATCCTTAGCATCTGCATCTGCATCTGGTTCCTTTTGGGCTGGCTCGGGAGTGGTTGAAGCTCCGGATTGCTCAACCACGAGTTTCTTTCCGTCACTCAGCTTCCTCCGCTTTGTATCGACCCGTGAGTCGGAGCGCACTGGTAGATATCGGCTTCTATCGATCGGGGCCGGGAACAAAGAATACGAGAGATCGTGAGGGCTTGACTCCTTCGGCTTTTTATTAGCTGTTGCCGTTTTACCCGTGACGCCGAAGGATAGGGCTGAGACGGGGCTAGTAGCTGCCGTACGACTGATGCGTTCCGAAGCAGGCGCTGTAGTACCTGCGATGATTTAGTTGAAGACACACTTACAGGGGTGGGGAACGTACCAGAAGATTCAGGCCGCTCCGGAGAAAGGCCCAATGTAGGAAGGATCCTTGAGAAAGAGCGAGGTACAGAGCTGAAGAGTCCACTAAGGCCCCAACCTCTCCGGGGGTTCTCGGGAGTTGAAGGCTGTTGGCTATCAGGTTCAGACCCTTGGTTCTCCTTGTTTGCGTCAACGTGTCTAACCAGCGGAGACAGTTCGCATGGAGCAATTTCGGGCTCATTCGAGGCCTGACGATCAGATTCAGCTTGAGAAATAAGCTGGGGAAGGCGGAAGAGGGTCTTGTCGATGCGCCCTTGTTGCTCGAGCAGTCGACGCCGGCGTTGTTCGGAGAACGGGATAGCCCTGTTGATAAGTCGGCTAGAGAGAGGTGTAGACCGTCGCGCGAAAGGGGTGCTCCCGGGAGGCCCCGTGTTGCGGCGCTTATTCGAAGGGGTGATGATATCGGACGCTTCATCATCGGACGAATTATCGCGGGTACGTTTCCTAATGGGTGCTACTCGCTTTGTTAGCGCTTTGTTGCGGGAAGATCCAGGGTCTCGAGACTGGGAATTTCCAGGCGGGTGTCCATTAGGGCATCGCAGGGTTGCGCCACAACAATGACACTGGTTAAGATATCCATGATGGGTATATTGGGTTTGATGACGACGGAGCAAACCAGGGGTAGTCTGGGTAGCAGAAGTTTGATGACTCCCGAGTGTGCTTAGCGGCACAGGCGATAGGTTCTCAGGAGGGGAAGAAAGAGGGGATGAAGACGAAAAAGAGAATGCTGCGGGAGAAACACTATATCCAGACGCTCTCGAGACAATGGGTGTGCGTAACGGGGTGTGCGGTGAACTCGGTGGGAAGGTATCTGCCCTATGATCCAGACGAGAGACTGGTCTAGCCAAGGCGGCAGCCCTCATCGGTGTAAAAGGAGAGTCAACAGCAGGGCAACTTGACAGAAAGACATCCTCTCTATGACCCAGACGAGAGACTGGTCTAGCCAGAGCTCTCACTGGGGTGAATGGCAAATCAACAGCGGGAGATGAGACGGAAGAACGGTAATCCTGAGCCTCGGAGATTGCAGACCGCAAGGTGACGTGCGGACTCCGTGAAGCAGCTGGACTCGACTCTTGCTCTTCTAGAATAGGGGAAAGAAAAGTGGGATGCCAGAACCGAGAACGACGTTCCAAAGACGGGGCATCGGACATTTCGGTGTCAACAGGAGAAGTGTTTTGAGCCAATTCAGTGGCGACATGCGCAGGCAGGGATGGTGAAGCCAAAACAGAAGAGTCATGGTGATCAGTCCGTGTAGCAGTTGGGGTACGCTGTTCAGAAAAGGGGGCAAGAGAGACGTCTGGAGATAGTCCTGCGGTTGGAGAGGCAACTGTTGTAGACACATGTGTAGTAGGAGTAACCTGGGTATCTGCAAGTCTTGATTCAAAAGGCGACGCAGCATAGATAGCTGCATGGGCAGCGGCATACAAAGCAGCTCCAGCAGAAGGCGTGTCGATAGAAGAAGCACTAGGAGGTTCCAGGATAGAAGTGTGATTTCCTTCGGGGCCAGTATAACGGACAGGAGTGGAAGGGGTTTCCTGACTGGGTCTGTCTGCCTCAAGTAGAGGTCGCTGTGGGCTAGATTCCTGGGTCTCTTGGGTTCCCTGGGTGGTAGAAGGGTGACAAGAAGAAAAAGGGTGCTCACTCTCTGTATTCTGTGTATTCTCTGTATTCTGTGTATTCTCTGTATTCTGTGTATTCTCTGTATTCTCTGTAGTCTCAGTTGTCGGCTGCTGGACGATAACTGACACCTGAGTTTCTGTCTGTGTTTCCTCTTCATTTGTGCTCTGGGGTTCTTCAGAACTAGTTGGTTCGGCCTTCTTTGAAGTTTTCTTCTGCGATGCAGTTGTTTTCCGGGTTCGCTTGGTAGTAGTCGTCTTCTTCGTCTGCTGTTTCGGGGCGCTCTTCTCGGCCTTTGTGGTGCTCGACGCAGTAGTTGTAGTCGTCCTCTTACGACGAGGAGCGCGAGCCGTATCGAGTGACACAAAGCCACCGGGCGATACGGGCTGTGAGCGAGTACGCATTTTCTCGAGTCAGCTACGTGCCAGTAGCCGTGCTGCGTTCACCTGCAGGCGAAGGAGAAAACTGAGCTCGCTGCTATTGACCAGGTTATGAAAGAAGTAGACAATCAGGAGTATCCCAGAAGATAAGGTTCTCTGTGACCACGCAGTCCGTAGATGAGAAGACGTTGAGTCCGAACTTAACAGATGACAGAAGAGACCAGGGGACGTTGCTAAGGAAAGGATTGAACCTTGTTGAGGGGTTGAAGACGAGAGACGCGTATCAGTGCGTTCGAGACAAGATCAGGTATTCAGAACCTTGGAAGCTCAATAGACGCCAGAAATAGCTAACGAGACGTGTCTATCGGAAATTTGACGAAGAAGAAGTTGCGATTGCAAAGGAAGAGTGTGGTAGAAACGGAGGAAGGATGGTCGTAACAGGAAAAGGGAGGAGGAGGGTTGTGGTGATGTTTTGTTTTGAAAGAGACGTGTCCCTACGGGGAAGAGACAGGAGTCATAACAACAACCGGTTGGGGTTGCTGTGTCGTTGTGTTGTTCGACCGAATTGTTTCGCGGAAGACTGGAGGAGTTGAAAATGATGGTGACGTCCCGGCAGAATGCGTCTTGCCCTTGAAAGGCGGTGAGCCCGCCACGCTGGCTGGCCCCCCGCGGTTGTCGCCTTGCCGCTGCGAATACGATGGCAATCCTGGCAATTATCGAGGGACGAGTCAAGACGGAACGGCTGAGTGCTGCCATAGATCATTGGCTGCCCTTCATCTATGGTGAAACTTTGCAGCTGGACAGTGACCGTGTCGTAAGGGATCCAAGCCAGGGAGGCAGGCAAATCTATCACCAAAGAGCAACCAATTGAGAATAGCTAAGGCCCCGAGCAGCGGGCAGTTGTTCAGATGGACAGACGAATTTGGGGGCGTTCGGAGGAGATTCAAGGTATGAAGGCGTGTCTCGAATGGAATCATCTCTGGCTCTCAATATCTACTACCTAGGATCACATCTTGGGTAATTGATTCACGACTTAAAATGATAAAGAGGTGGATTTCGCTGATGCTTGTTGTACATTCGAGGGCGTAACTAAGATATTTATACAAAAGGCTACCCATAGGGATATCAGGCTCTCTTGAAAGCAAAGAAACTCGGGGCGAGAAATGGCAGACGCTCGACCCATTGGAGCAGACAATGAAATCATAAACGTCAGGGGCCAGTTAGATACGACAGCGCAGATGCACGAGTATCTAACTCAAAGTACGAAGTAATGCCTCCTAGATGCTGATCTCTCCCTTCCAGGCAGCATCGGAGAGCCCCAAACTCTCGATGAGGTTCTGCCATCTCGGTCCACCTCTCTCCTTCTTGCGCAGGTACCGAAGAAGCTTCTGCCTCTTGTGAACCAGAAGTCTCAGGTTCCTCTTGTTGTGCTTGTCTTTGTTCGTACCCTGGAGGTGACGGGAGAGGTTCAGAATCTTAGTGGTGAGGATGGCGACCTGTACCTCCGGCGAGCCAGTGTCTGGGCCAGCACGGGGTGCCTTCTGTGGGTGGTTCGGCGCGGATTCGTGTGTAATAGCCGCCGGTTTTGGCGGGAGACTCTGATCGGTCTTGTGTCGTCCAAAAGTCTCGATGCATTTCTGGATGTTGACTCGAGTACGGTCTTTGGTGTTACCGTTTGCTAGATTGACGATCCGGCTAATAGCTTCTTGGGCATTTCGATGTTCCTGCAGGTGCCGCTCTGCCGCTTCTTTCTCGAGTTGAGGGTCTGCAGTATCACGGTCCGGGTTCTCCAGAGGAGATGTGAGGGTCTTCGAATACTCAAGCGCTTGGTTGAGCTCGTCGGTCTTCAGGAAATAATTGAGTGCATCAGCAGACTTGGGATCAATGGTGGCATCCGGTTTCTGAAGGCTCTGGAGAGATTCGATGAAAGCCGTGGGTTTGCTCTCGACAGGGTTGCCCAGGGCCGCTTCTCGCTCTTCACGCAGGGCTTTCTGGCGAGACAGGTTGGCAGCTTTACGCTGGCGGGATTGGGCCATGAGGAACGGGTCATGCCTTCTCCGCTCCCTGGCTTCGATCGAGCCGGCTCTGATAGAGGTCTTGCATGGTCTCAAGGACAACGCCGTGATTGGGTTCTGTACACAGGACGAACCTGCAACATAAGGTGAGTACGAGCACGAATAGAATAGGGGGGTTTCCGGGCTATCAGCACATACCAGCGAACGCCTTCAAAGGCGACTGAAAGAGAATACGGGGCGGCATCTTGGGAAACGAGGGCGTCTACCTCGAACAGCCTCCGCAACGACAGTTCACGATGCTTTGTCGCAACTCCGAAATCTCGAAATCGGGCCGGAGGTGCGCTAACCCCGATCGGCACTGGCGCTGTCTGTCCCTGCACGTGATCATACAGCAACATGAAAGTCTTGGCACGTGTTTTGCCCTAACCCACAACCCGAAGCGAAAAAAACTAACTAGTATATCCAGCGCCGAAGCGTCAAAAGTTCCCTTTGGATTCTCCGCGTCTCCTTCCCACTCCTCTCACCATCGCGACAAGCGCCAGACGATTGATATTCTCAATTCCATATCTACCACAGATATCAGTCGCCCACCATGGCCCCCTCCCAGCTCCCCCCGATCTTCAATGCCACCAGCCAGGACATTGAGATGCTGCTCGCAGCTCAGTGCCACCTCGGCTCGAAGAACCTCCAGGTGCACATGGAGCCTTACCTCTGGAAGACTCGTCCCGATGGCATCAATGTCATCAACATTGGCAAGACCTGGTAGGATAATTTGGATTGGAATGACAATTGCAGGCGAAGCATCTAACGGCGTGTTCAGGGAGAAGATTGTCCTGGCCGCCCGTATCATCGCGTCCATTGACAACCCCGCCGACATCTGTGTGATCTCCGCTCGTCCCTACGGTCAGCGTGCTGTCCTGAAGTTCGCCGCTCACACCGGAGCCACTGCTATCGCTGGTCGCTTCACCCCCGGTAACTTCACCAACTACATCACTCGCTCTTTCAAGGAGCCGCGCCTGATCGTCGTTACCGACCCCCGCACCGATGCCCAGGCCATCAAGGAGGCCAGCTACGTCAACATCCCCGTCATTGCTCTCTGCGACACTGACTCCCCCACCGACTTCGTCGACGTTGCCATTCCCACCAACAACAAGGGTCGTCACTCCATCGGTCTGGTCTGGTGGCTGCTCGCCCGTGAGGTCCTCCGCCTCCGTGGTACCCTTGCCTCCCGCGAGGCTGAGTGGGACGTTGCCGTTGACCTGTACTTCTACCGTGACCCTGAGGCCGAGGAGAACAAGGAGATCGTCGACGAGACCAAGGTTGCTTCCGCTGAGGAGGTTGGCCCCGCTGCCATTGAGTCCGGATTCGCCGGTGAGAGCTGGGATGCTGCTGGTGCTGGTGCTTCTGCCCCTGGTACTGCCTTTGCCGCTGCTAGCGCTGTTGGCCCTGCTGGCACCAGCTGGGAGGCTGACGGTGGTGACTGGGCTGCTGGCTCTGCTGCCGCCGCTGCTGCTCCTGGCGAGAGCTGGGCTGAGGCTCAGCCCACCGAGACCAAGTGGTAGATTGTCGCTGATGAGGAGTGCCGTTGAGGAGAAAAGTAACCAAAAATATGGAACCCTGGAAAGTCATTTCTGCAGCTTCGCGCAAAATGCTCTCGGAGCCGTCTTGAACAAAAAATTTTAAACAACATACATCTCCCAGCCAACTCTTTGACATGTTCTTTCTACCCTAGCCACCTCGTCTGGAAGAAATTTATCAGACAAGCTATGTCTGAGAAAAAGTACTGATGAGCACTGGTCACTTGCATGGTAGTGATTCCGGTTAGATGTTCGCTTTTTGCGTTTGATTGCGGGTGGGGGAAATTCAGCAAGGCCAAAAAATTGACTGGCACTTATGAGGGAAAGATATCCAGTTGCTCAAAACCCGTTGAGTTTCTGGGGGAAAGCCCTGTGCTGTCAATCTTAGGGGTGGACTTAATCGTTACCCCGGTTTCTCCCTGTGTCTGTTCTAGCCGTAATCAAGAAATACCTGCTACTCCTACTTGTTTCGATTTCACATCCGAGTTTCGTAGGATAAGTATGTAGTGGGTTAACGAGCAGTGTGCCGTAGCGTTTTATTGGATGGCTTAGTTCCGTCTATAGAGTAGTAGTCTGGCCATGGTTGAAGCTCCCTAAATACGGTAGACTCTAAAGGGTGGGGTTCGCAATATATTTATAGCCCTGTGTATGTTCGTCCCACGAGAATAATAATACCGCCGGTTAGGCTGTATCCGTGACTGTTAGCTCACCCACTCCTGCCGTCGTGGGTGAGCCCTGGCGTAGTTGAAGAAACCACCGTAGTTTAAAAGTACCTTTTGTATGGCGTCATCATACAAAAGGTACATACAATAATTCATCAATATCTCAAAAGTTTCTAAAGGGACACCTATATTTTAATGGATAATATTAAAATAGATACATTAAATAGCTTATATTAAAAATTCCAATAAGTTCTAATAAGAAACTAAAAAGATATTAATATGTGAAATTTCCCCTTATAACTTTAATTATAAGGCAAAAATATAAAATAAGATTTTACCTTTAATAAGTATAATCTCATTTTAAAATTTTAAGAGTAGATTACTTATCTTGCATATAATAATATTATCTATTAAAATAAAGGCGTCCTCTTAGGAAATTTAGAGATATTAATAAATTATTATATATATCGCTATATAAAAGGTGTTAAGGTGCGGGCTCAGGAAGCGGGTCAGAACAAATAGAATAAGGTAGTTAATACTAGGACTAGCTATAGGATCTCTATCTAGCTAATTCAGACTAGAACAGGTTATTGCAGGCAGGCTTAGTAAATAAGATATAGCTTAAGGAGCTTAAATTTAGATTAAGCTATATGCTAAAGATATCTTTATAAGATTATATAATATCTTATATAAGTATTAGCCGATAGATCTCTATTTCTTATACTAGCACTGTAATAGTATTCCCCTCCTTAAAGTTAAGCTTTATTAAGATTATTCTCTAGCTTTAGCTTATTTAAGTAGCGGCAGTAGAAATTAGCAATAATCTTTTAGGCATATTATAGGTAATATGCAGGTTTTTTAATTAAGTTATTATAACTTAATTATTTAATAATATATTATAATTAGAGGCCTTTATACCTATAATATTCTTATTAGGAGTCTAGGATATCTTTAATAATTTATTTTTTAAGGCTATTAACTTTAATGGGCAGTAATAAAGATTATCTTTATCTAGATATAAGATCCTTAATAATAAGGCAAAGCAGGCTAATATTAAATATAAGATAGATATATATTAAGGTAAATAGGTTAAGTTAATAGGCATATAGGCTAATAATCTTAATAATATAGAATAGGCTAAGATTCTTCTAATTAAGTTTCTTTTAAGGGCGCTAGATATAAATATTTTAAGCATTTAATTAGATAAACTATCTTATATAATAGCGGCGGGCTAAGATTTAATAATAATTAGTCTACTCTTTATAATAAGCTTAGGCAATATAGATTTAAGTATAGATATATTTTATAATATTTTATATTTTTTTAGTAAAGGCTTTAGCATTTTTAGCGGCAGGCTAGTTTATAGGCTAAATAGGCTTAAATCCTATATATAGATAAAACCTATAATTAGCAAAAAAAGGTAATATTTTAATAGTCTTAAAATAGTAGGAGTTTAATATAAACTTAGCTAAAGATAGCTAGTTAACCTAATTATTTTATAAGTAGCTAATATAGGTGCGCAGGTATTATTTTAAAATAATATTTATTTTTTTAATTTAATTATTAATCTTAGAATAGTAAGTAGTAAATAGTAAGTTTATAATATCTAAATATTAGGTTAGATATTTCTAAAAAGTAGTAATAAACTAGGGGCTTTAGTTAAATATTATAGTCTTTAGTAGCCTATAAAACTTCTATATATAATAAATATATAATTATGCTATTCTTTTAATATTATAAATAGCCTAGCAGAGAATAAAATGCCTTATTTTTATAAGTCGGTCTATAATAATTAATATAATATTATAGCCTTAGTAAGATATAAGTTTAATAATAAAATCTATTAAGATATCTTATTAAAAGTATTTAAGAATAGAGAGCTAGTATAAAACTTTTTAGCAGCCTTTATTTAAGAGTATAATATAATAGCAGGTATAGTAATTCTAGATCTAATAATTTATATATTAATATATATTTAGCCAGTAATATTCTTATAAGATTAAGTTATAAAGCTTATATTTTTTAAGATATCTAAATATATATTTATTATAGTATTCTTATAATAGATAGGCTCTTAGCTTATTATAGTTAGGAATATATAGGCGGTTTTTATAATATAAGTATCTTCCTTTTTATTAATAGTTAGCTAGCATAATCTTAAGATAATAATTAGCTTTATAGTCTAAGGCTTATAAAATAGACTATATTAGGTTATTAAATAAATAAGTTATATTTAGCAAGTTTTTAATACTAGATAGGCATTTTAATTTATTAGATATAATAGAAGAACTTAATTAATCTTATTTAATAGGCTAGGCTATTTTTTTAATAGGCTAAATAGTTTCTTTAATAGACTAGATTATCTCCTTAATAAGTTAAATAATCTTAATAAATTAATTAGGCAGTAGGATAGACTAGATAGGTTCTTTAGGCTAAATAGATTAATTTCTTAGAGCAAGTTAGGCAGGTATTTCTATAGGTTTAGCAGGATTTCTAGCCTTTTAAGCTATTAGATTAATAAAATAAATACGCCTTATTATTTAACTTTTAATAATAGCTTTTAGTTTTAGAGATCTTTAGATCTATAAGTTAAGGTTCTCCTTTTTTAAGATTATCTGGCTTTAATACTATAACTATTTATCCCCCTTTTTAAGAAAATTTTCTAACCTCCTAGTTAGAGTATTAGGCTTTATTTTTTATTTTTTAGATTAATATATAATTTAGAAGTTAAACTAGAATAGGAACTTAGACTAATAGGCTTATTACTAGTTTAATAGCTTAATTAATATAAAGTATTCTAGATTATAATAGTTTATAATAACTTTAATTGGCAATAATATATTTTTAAACTTAAGGTACTACTTCTTAAAGTAGTAGATAATTATTAGTAGTTCTTTATTATAAATCTTATAATTATATTTTATAGCAGAGAGCTTCTTTAAGAAAAATATAATAAGATATAGGATTCCTTTATTATTATACTAAGATATAACTCTAGCTAATATATAGTTAGATAAATTAGTTTTAATTATAACCTCGCAGGTTTAATTAAATAGCTTTAAGATTAGGGCTTAAATAAATGCTTCTTTTAAGGCTTTAAAACTAGACTAATAGGCAGGTATTTAATTAAAGAGAACTCCCTTTTAGGTTAAGCTTATAAGCGGTATAATTATCTTAGAAAAGTTATAAATAAACTAATAATAAAAGTTGCTAAATCTAATAAAGGCTTATATATTAATTATATAGGTTAGGGTCTTCTATTTAGTAATTATTTTTACCTTATTTAGATTTATCTTAATATAGTCCCGGCTAATAATAATACCTAAGAACTTAGTCTTAAAAATAATAAACTCACACTTCTAGATCTTTATATATAAGCCTATTTTATATAGCTTCTATAGAATAATATAGATATATTAGATATATTTAGAATAGGTTATATTATATACTAAGATATTATTAAGATATACAGTATAAAAGATATTAAGGTAATCTTATAGGGTATTATTAATAAATCTTTAAAATATTACTAATACTTCTATTAAGCTAAATAGTATTATTAATAATTTAAATAGGCTAAGTTAAGTATAGAAGGCAGTTAGATATTCTTATCCCTTCTTAATATAAAGATTATTAAATATAGAAATAATATTAATCTTTATAAAATACTTTATTTCTTTTAAATTATTTAGGGTCTTCTTAATTAGAGGTAAGAAGTATTAGTCTTTAATAGTTATTATATTTAAGGCTCGGTAATCTATATAGATTTATATCTCTCTACCGGGCTTCTTAATAAACAGAATTAGGGATATAATAGGCAATAAGCTTAGGTAAATAAATCTCTTTTTTAGGTTTTTTTTAATCTATTCCTTTAAGACCTTTAATTTATCTTAGAATATAGTATATAAGGATTTAAAGGGAAGCGACTTCCCCTCTAGTAGCTTAATATTATAGTTATAAGAATAATATAATAATAGGCGCTTAGCCTCCTTAAGAGAAAAGATATTAATATAATCTTTAAATTCCTTAAGCAGCAGGCGGGTAGGGTCTTTTTCTTAGACTTATTTAATCTTTAAAATAGTATCTAGGTCCTTTAAGATAATTATAAATATTTAAGTATTTTTTTAAATATAGGCAGAATAGGCGGCTAGAGAAATAAAGGCTATATTTCTCTCTTCTAGTCCTCTAGGTCTTAAGGGCAAGTATTAGGATAAAACTTTTAGGGGAATATTATATAGGGCAGGTATCTTAATTAGCTTTAAGGGTATATTATAATTCTTTTAATAATAATTACTATTAAAAACAATATTATAGGCAGTAAATTATAAGTATAGATTATAGCGCTTTAATTAAGGGAATTCTAAGATAATAAAATAGTGCGCCAGTTAGATAATATAAAACTTAGTATCTTTCTTAAAGTAGTCTTTAATTCTTATATCTATTTAGATATAGTATATAATCTTCTTATCTTCTAATTCTCTTTTATTAAATATATATAAAATAATTAGGCTCTTTAAGGGGATAGGCTCTAATTTTTAATTTTTAGCCTATTCTTAGTCTATAAATTCTTATCCTTTAACTCTAATATTAAGCAGGGTATAAATTAGTAAGTAAATCTTCTTCTTCTTCTTTTTTAATATTATAGGTAATATTATTAATTTTAATTATTATAGATATTCCTTAAGGTTAATTTTATAAATAATAGCAGCGGAGATTTAGATAATATATAATTCTTAAGCCTGGCTATAATTTATTCTAAGCTTACTTTTTTTATTAAAGACTAGCTAAGGGATAGACTATATAAGTCTAGGAATTAGATTGCCTAGGAAGTCTAGAGACAGGGTTTATATATAGCTATAGTCTAGATCTTCTAGCGGTTATTTAGATATAGGTAATCTCTAATATAATATTTTAGAGAGCTATATTAGAAATAAGTGCTAATTTTATAGTATAATAAGCTATATTCTCTCCTGCTTAGGCATTTAGAAATACTTAAATCTATTAGATTATATAGCTATGCTAGGGTTAATTTACTCTTTTATATAGGGCTTCTCTAAGGCTAATTATTATATTTTATAGCTAAGGTAGGACTTAGAGTAAGTAAAGGGGATTAAGTATATTAAATAGGTTTTAAAACAGCAGTATAAGTCTTTATAATAAGGGGTTAGTTTATAATATACTAGCAGCAATAGTTCTTAAGGTTTTATAAAAATTTAATAAATTAATAATATTTATAACTCAGGGGCTAATTATATAATAATATTTCTTAGAGTTCTTAACTAATAGCTTACTTAAGCAGGATAAATAATATTCTTTTAGGCATTTCTTCTTCTAGCGCTAAGTACTAGAACTTAATAAAAAAGATTCTAAATTTCTTATTAATTTAATAAAGATTAAATAATTTATTATATATATTATTTATATAATTAGGGTTATTAAATATATATTTTAAAATATCTAAAATCTCTTAGTAGTTATTAAGAATATAAGTCTTATCTCTAATATATAGTAATACTTAGGTATAGAGCGTATCTTTTAAACAGTTAATTATATAGGCTATATAGCTTTAGAGAATTGGGAATTAGTTTTAATTAATTATTATCTTCTTTTAAATTTAAGCTATAAAGCGCTAAAGATTCTTTTAATTACCTTTAAACTTATCTAGATTAAGGAATCTTTCTAAAAATCTAGGGGTAGAGGAAAATATAATAATAGGCGCCTTAAATACTCCTATTAGAGTAGCTGTAGGTCTCTTAATATTAGGCTTAAGTTTAGGTATAAATAGAGGTATATTTATAGTAAGTATAACTATATAATAGGCTTAATCCCTTTTAAGAATAGCTTAGATATATTATTATTCTTTTTTTTAGAGCTAGATCTTTTAATATTATTAGATAGCCTTAAGTTTAGTAATTTCTTATTTAAGTCTTTATTAAATAGCAGCAAATTCTTATTAAAGCTCTTAAAAATATATCTTAGCCTAATAATTTATTTTATTTATAGCAGTTTTAGCTTTACTAATATATTTATATACTAGGCAATAGTAATTATATTATTCTAGCCTATAGCTAGTAATAATATACTTAATAAACTTTTCTAGAATTATTAGTAGGAATAGAGAAATTAAGATAAGTATTATTAATAGTATTAACTCCTAGGTAAGAGCTATATAATGTTAAGGTACGGGCTTAAGAAGCGGGTTAGAATAAATAGAATAAGATAGTTAATATTAAGACTAGCTATAGGATCTCTATTTAGCTAATTTAGACTAGAATAGGCTGTTATAGGTAAGCTCAGTAAATAAGATATAGCTTAAGGAGCTTGAATTTAGATTAAGCTGTGCGCTGAAGATATCTTCGCGAGGTCACATGATACCTTATGTAAGCATCAGCCGGTGGATCTCTGTCTCCTATGCTGGCACCGTGACAAAAGGTACTTTTAAACTATGGTGGTTTCTTCAACTACGCCAGGGCTCACCCACGACGGCAGGAGTGGGTGAGCTAACAGTCACGGATAAGTAGTGAAGTGTACGATGGACAATCTATCCAATACCTTACCCTCACCAAGTCATTGCGAAAACCAGCAATAAAGTAGCTACATTATAGTAAGATGTATACCATATTTCCTCTTATCAGCCAGCTCATCGTTGCCCACTCGCACACTTGCATAATTTGAACTCGAAGTGGCGTATATTCCAGCCTAGGCGATAAAACAAAAAATTAAGTATAACCCCTACAGACACGATAGTAAGAGCGACCGCCTCATTCTCTCTGATATGCAATCATTCTAAATCATTCACTGGAACACTGTGTCCTACCGGAGCCGCATTGGTATCTCGAGATAAGCAAATTTCCTTTTGCTGGTTACCCTTCTGAGTGACCAGCAAAGCTGTGCGACCTACTACGTTCCATCTAAGCGACTCGAAAAGGAGTTTCTGTTGCATTTGTGGGAATCGCGCCTCATCTTCCTAGGATCAAATAGTAGGAATCTGGAACGAATCGATGAGAGACTACTTGCGCCTGCGACGATTCCCTTCGATGGCTATGGCAAAATGGGGCACAATCGCGTTGGTATATAATTATCCTTGTCATAGCCTGTCTACTAGGATAGGTTTGAATTAAGTAAGATCCATGATTGGTAAACGGGCAGATGTTCATCAAGCGCTTGTCCAACCTCAGAGGAGGAGACATTGAGGATAGTTGTTAAAGATCCGATGCCATCTGTCATACCTGTTTATGATGTCAGGTATAAGTATCTGACCATTTTAGACGTGCTTGTCTATCTCTGGAGCTCGTGGCTCTGGAAAAAGGAGGCTGGCGTGGAACGAACTCACGATCTAGTTGAAGACATCGATATCTACGCGTTCCACCGGAAGAATATTCGCATCAGTTCATTTCAATATTACTATTACCACTGGGGATGAAAAAAAGAGTGACTGTCATTATTTGGGCATCGATTATGCTCAGCCTATCTCTGAAATTGAACCGTACATGCGCCTCCCTGGACATTCGACCCTCCCGAGTAGCAACATCGGATATATGTTTTAAACCACCTTTACACGAAATATCAAGGTCTGTGTCACGGTTATTAGGAATCTTGAAACGTATGAACTGATCTATTACGGGTTTACGCACCTTGATTTGACGATCTTTGTGCATACCGTATCCTCCATCAACTCTTCTCCGCTCTTTTTTGTTGCCAGCTGTTCCAGTCTCTTATACCTCCATTCATATTGCGCAAGTTGCTTCTTCTCAGCCGCTGACATGCTCTTTCCATTTTCTGCGAGCTCTTTTTCGGCTTGCTTGAGCGTTTCCCAGCGTTTCAGGATTCGAGCTTGATGTTCAGATATCGATGCTAGATTGGAGTCTTTGGTGGCCATACGTTCATCGATGGTGGAATGATAAGAAAGCTTAGCGTGGAAAAGTGCCATCTCGGACTCATCGTACGTGATGCCATGGGCTTTTGGCAGAGAGCCATCATTGGTAGGTTTGGGGGCCATCTCAGCGAAGGCCCAGGTTTAAGGAGTTAAGGAAAAGTCGTTCGTTCGTATATGGAGGATTTCAACTAGATTTATAAGACCGGTAAGTCAAAAGTCACCAAGCATTCAGTGCGGTGATGGGCGAGCTTGCCTTTGTGTTCTTTATCACCCACTATCAAAGGACCTGGCTGGCTGGCTGGCTCGTTGCACGATTCGGATTCTAAGTTCAGATGAAGGTGTCCTGAATAATGCCTCAGAAACGCTCTCTATTTATGGATAAATGAAGTGATAACATCAAGTGAATAGAAATAGAAGAAATTTCCGCCCATCCAAGGCCTCTGTGAATCTATCTGCTCGACATATGCCCTCAACAGGACAGGGCGATAGAGAAGTATAGCACGGAGGCAACACTGCCTCATTTCGATGGTGGCAATCAGAGCAAGGCATGATGGTAACGCAGTGAGGAGTTTTGAGAATGAGGCATATCCGTCAAGATGGAACGCGAGAGATAGACACCCTTCCTTAATGGAGAGGAAGTGAAAGATATTCTGATTTCGGATCACATGGATAAGCCCCATCGAGCGCGCTATCTGAAAAGAAGGATCCCTCGAAATAAGCTCTAGATCTACTGATAATGCCTAGTGGTGATGCACAAAAATCAGCAGTGTCCTGTAACATTATGTACGATGCAACCAATGGCCTCTGTGGGGAGCACAAACTTGACGTTGTACCTGCGGTTTTGGCGGAGCTTTTATGGCGAATCGTCATAGTTGGTCGATTTGATTTGTTTCTAGCAGAATCACTCCTGAGAGACTTGTCTGTCAGAATGTTACATGCTACTGGAGCAATGTTCTGCAGGGCAAGAAAGTCAGCACAATTCTCCCATCTCTGAACAGAAACCCCTATAGAGGAGGTGTTGCTGTCCAGTAATAGACACAATAATATCAGAAATAAGAATCACCCACCGTACGCTTGCCCACAAGGCTCGATACAGAATTCCTCACCAAGGCGAGATGAGAGTACCCCCATCTCTAATTCCGAACACCAATGTTATGCATCACACCCAGTATCTCAAACATGAATATCCGCGCGTCGAAGGGCGCAACCGGTCTCATACCACCTAATTCCATATATGCAATCGTCAACCTCTCCAGGTCCACGACTGCTTGGCCCGTAAGCCTCTCGATGTGGAATTGTCCCCAGTTATCAAAACACGCGAGGTAGATGACTCGTATTCTTTGGACGATGTCGCAACGAGATCCCCATGGTCCCGTCATCGTGATTCGGGGGTGTAGATCAAGTCAAATATCAGAGACACGGCGAAGATAGATTCCCGGTAGTTTGTAATATTGAGATAGAATGGTGCTGAAGATAAGGATTTTTTTTTCTTTCGATCTTGACCTCAAAGGAGGCTGGTTAAAGTGTCTTTGTATTTTTGAGCGTGCGTCATTTAGGGGACTGCATGTGTTGAATCACTCCTGAACAGTACCGTGTTTATGAAAAGGCTTTGCGTCTGGTACTACTCCCCAGAAAAGATATATTGTTTTTATTGCATTACACGCAAAACTTTCCACATGTTAATAAGACGAATCACGCTGTAGACATACAAAATAACAGTAAGCATTGTATGTTCCTTTGTACAGGATGTGTCATTCTCAACTTTCTCATATACATAGACGAAAACATAATACCAAAACGAAGTCCGAGACAGCACCAAAAAGTGGCCTATTCTCTTTTGATTACTTTCCTCAAAAGGAGGGAAAAGAAAGGAGATATCCATCTGGAATTTCAAACAAACATGCTCAACAGCCTCGGACAAATAAACACAACATGTTACCATTATACCCTCAACTGAAATGATCCCAGAACATCACCCCTTTACAAGCTCTCCAAAGAAGGACCTACTCTAGATGCACACATCTAGACCAGATCTGCCCTGCCCTGATCGGACATCTTCACGAGCTCATGTCGGCTTCCCCGCAGAAGGTGGGGATGCAAGGGTATACCCGATCGAATGGCAGAACTGAAACCGAGATGCGCTCTGATACCACATATCTCATCATTGATAAGGACGCTATCAGCGGCGGAGGAAGAGGGGGCGGGATCTAGTTTCTTCGAGATAAAGCAATTACCCGTAACGTAGTCTCACCCCTCGTCTGGCGAGATCTGGATTTTCTGAGAAATCACATCCTTGTTCCATATGTACAGTGCGAACAACATTAAAATACCGTACTTCAAGTATGCTTCTTGCTGAACCACCGCGCGTTACTCTCAAAGGCACGTCTCGAGAGGTTAGTACTCAAAACCAGATCATTTACAGATCCACTCTGACGAAACGAACCCCCAGATCGGCCTTCATCATGGCCGCGCTCTCTCCTCGCAAATCAAAGCCCAAATCGCCATCTACACTGATATGTTCGCATACACATCCAAACTGTCATGGCCGTCTGTCCTCTCCCTTGCAGAGGAATTCCGTGTTTCGATCCAGAAACTCACTCCCGATATCTACACGGAGATGGAGGGGATTGCAGAAGGCGCAGGCGTCAACGTCCTGGACATCGTGGCTCTGAATTGCCGGAGCGAGATTGCACTAGGAAAGTTCTCGGATGGATGTACGAGTATTTCGTGGAAGAAGAGTGATGATGAAAGGATCTTAGCGCAGAACTGGGACTGGACAGCTCAGGTGAAGAGGAATTTGGCCATGATGGCGGTCGAGCAGGTGGGGAAGCCGACGATTTATATGGTTACGGAGGTAAAGTGCCAAAGTTCTGTTTGAGTTGGGATCTAGACATGGATGAAGCTGTGGGATGAGTGTGGTATTGGAGCTAAAACTGACGCTGTTCTTCTGAGCGATACAGGCAGGCATAGTGGGAAAAATTGGGTTCAACACTGCTGGTGTAGGTACCTGTCTCAATGCCATTCGCGCCCGTCCTACAGATAGCTCGAAACTACCCGTCCATGTTGCCCTCCGTCTCTGCTTAGAGAGCTCTTCAGTCGATGATGCCGTCAAAACCCTCGAATCTCTCGGCTCAGTGGCATCTAGCCAACACATCCTTATCGCGGATAGCAAGACCTCGCTGGGGATGGAAGTCTCGCCCCTAGGAAACGTCTACTTGAGAGAAAACGAGGCGGGAATAATAACACACACTAATCACTTCATTGAGAACAAATATGTCGACGAGGCTCCTTGGTTGAGCGGGTCGCCTATCCGACTTGAACGGGTTCGACAGCTTTCCAATGAGCTGGTGAAAGAAGGCGTTAAGGGAGACAAGATCGTCCCAGGCTTGCTCAGAGAGAAGGTCTTTTCAGATGGGTACAATGCGCCCCAGGCTATCTGCTGCCAAGAAGACCCCGGTAGCCATCAGTCCGTACGAAGCAGTACGTTGTTTAACATCATAATGAATCTGATCCCAGAGAATTCCTCTGCGGAAATCGTATGGGGTCAGCCGGGCTCAGGGAAGGAGGGCCCTGTCTTGAAAATGCCGTGGGCATGAATCTGAGTGTGCCTATCTTCAATGGTCTTCTTGATGTAGGTATGAGCTGAGATAGTCAGGGTGATGTGCTTCGGGGGTGAAAAACTCCTTCTCTAGATAGGAAAATCTGAAGCTGTTAGCACCGCCTGGCACTAATTGAAACTCCAATATCTGGGATTCCGATCTATAAATCCCGTTAGATTCGTCCAAGACCTATCAGTTCCCTTCAATTTTTGTACGGAGATTCTGAAACTCGACTCCTAGTAGAAGCCGCAAATCCATGCCGAACAAGTCAAAGATCTACGAGGATTCGGATAGGATAACAAGCAAAAAGAGTTGTAACGTATATCCCAGCATTCTGTTGCTCTGCCAGCCATTTTTCAGGCTTTCCCACAATAACCGCAGTCTCGTTCACAACGTCCACCTCTAGATTTGCAGTGAATTCTCGTGTTTAGTATGGAGAAAACAATGTTTTGACAATGAGACCAAACGCCCATGGACCTGTATAAAGTAGACTGGCTGCAAGCTTATCGTAGTTTTTCTTACAAAGCCGTAAGCCCTTCACGGTCTGGTCTAGGGAGTTTTATAGACTTTTTGACTTTCGGATACCTTTCGAATCACCATCTTCAGTGTCCTGCGAACTCGAATCCGAAATCCTTCGCAAATGAAGCCTATCCATCTCTTCTAGAAGATAAATCTCACGCTGAAAAAGCTGATTCGTATTGCCGTTGCCTTAGCCAATTTCCCAGCCATTCATAAATTCGTCGTTCGTCTCTTCTGAGCAAAAGACTTCTGAGACAGTAGGTCCATACAGCCAGCCATATAACATCCAAAAAGTTCTATAATGTCGAAGAGCCCCCATTTTGAATTACCTATAAAAAAGGAAAAGAAAAGAAAGAGGGAGAATAACAAACACATATTTCTTCTTTGCTTTTCTGCCAGAGTTGCTGTAAGAGACAGAGGTTCCGGTGCCAGCTAACTATAGGTAGCCTGGCGAAGCGAGGGCGTCGCCGTTCGTTCATATAGTCGTAGGTTAGGAGTAAAGGAGTCTTCAACTATAGCATAGAGTGGAAGTGATAGAGTAGATTAGAACAATTCATCAATCCTTCTCACTGTTAAAATAGAGGCGTCTCTATGTAACTATCTAGGAAATGCTTCCTCGCCGGTGTAGCTTACCCTTTCCGTCACGGTGGCCATCGAGGCCTGTCAGGACAGCTCCAGGCAGTTATCGTAGCTGGCAATGTATCTCGCCTGCTCCGTTGTATTTTCTCGCCTGAACGCTTCCTAGACAGTTAAGTTAGGAGACCCCTGATAGCTTTATTCCTTCCACGTCAAGACTGATCATAGGAAATATCAAAGAAGAACAAGAATAAAAAGAGCAATCGAACAGAAGAAAAGTCCTTTCGAACGATGTTATGCTTCAGCTCTGGAGTCACAGGTCTCACTTTCCCCTTGTTGAAATTGTAGAATATGGCCGATATGGCCGTGTTATCACTTTCTGCAGAATATATTCCACAAAGGAATGTATGGTTGTTGCAACAAGCCTGGCGCCAATCGTGCGCCGTCGAATATCAGCCACAGTGGGAGATATTGAATGAATGATCGATTTATCTCTCTCAATATGCTTTTCTGGGGGTGTTGCGGGCTGGCCCCGCACTCTTCTTGGATTCATCGCCCCAGGGAATCGCACCAACCAAGGAGGATAATAGTGGGCAGAATCGTGATTCAGCGAGCTGACTGCTCGTCATCAAAGAAGTCTCAACTTTTTAAGGTCCTTATCGGCCAATAATAACGCCTAGTTTTTGATCCTAATCAACCGTCTTTGTTCATCTGCACAACTCGAATGGAGATGATTACGCACCTTGGAAATTTCTGGATTCATTCTAAGCTCCCGGCGCTCTTGATAATCGTTCGCCTCCCTTCAAGTTTGTTTCTCATAGCCTCTGATTTTGCCTCCATATCGATGGCATTAACGCTTCCGACAAGTTGGATGAAGCCCTCATTGTCCAGGGCGAACAATGATTCCTTGACCCAGACACGGCAACTCATTTCCTCTTTATACCTGGAGGAATATCCCATAGGGATCTCCTGAAGCCTGCTGCGCAGAGCATCGTGCAGTTCAGTCTCGATCATGCCCACCTTCACTGCCGCCAAGAACCTCCAGTCTATCAGATTGATGTCTTGTCTGACTTCGTAGGCCCAGCTGTTCTTGTTCACCGTGTTGACGGCGTGGAAGAGGTCGCCGGTGCACGGCTTGGTCGCCAGATATAGTCCCCAGTGGAAGCGATACGTATCTCCCAGGTCACGCACCAGGATGTAGAGGCCATCGACATCGAACTCCAACGGCTCGATGGTCATACTGGGAGACCGGGGCGATGGATATCAGATCTCAGGCATGCATCCAGCGTCGTGTTGGGGTTCGACCAGCTGTGTGCGCCTGACAGCGATATCGGTGCCGGTGGTTACAGTGACCGGTGCCTGAACTAAGGTAACGGCCTCGAGCGAGTTCACTGCCCCCAGTTCTGGATAATGTTCAGCTGCACTCTAGGTAATTAATTATGCAGATGGCCGTGGCGGTTAGTTATGCGTTTATCACTTGGCTTAGCGAAGAGCCTAAGTAAAAGTTAGTATAGAACCGATTCAGGGTCTGGAACTGATCTGCGGCTCTCCGGGTCGGCGCGACAGGTCGACGCTTAAGAAATGTCGGTGTTAAGCGCCGGGTCTTTTCGCATCTTTAGTCTCATTGTGTGCGCTCCGATGAAGAGACCGAGGCTGCCACTATCTGGCGTAGTCTGCAGACTCCCCTCCAACGTTTGCACGCCCAGCTTTCCACGGCCGGAAGTCTGCGATGCAGAACAGAGATGGTTGGATGCAGCTGTGGCAGACATCCAGACACCACCCAGAAGCTGGGAAGGCCTGGATATGTTTCTGATATAGATGGAACCCCGCATTAGGACTCTAGAGGTGGTTCTGGAGTGCCCAGTGAGATGAGATGGACGAGACGAGACTTCTACCCCGCTGCCAAATGCGCCGGAGACGATTGGATGAGCGGGTGATTTGCAATCCAACTCCTCCGGCTCGCCATCAGAGCTGAGATCATCCGTACGATGTAGTTGAGAGCAAGCCTGTCTCGTCTCTCGTAATTGTCACTCTGGAATCTGTTAGTTTTGGATATTCCTCTCACTAGCTATCGCATTGTCCTAGTTTCGAGCTGGAGACGCCCTCTACCGGTGACATCATCTCATCATGGCCTCCGCAACAGGCATACCAGAACAACATCCCACAACAGTCGAGGCTCGAGAGGACGAGCCTTTGCTGGGAACTCCAGGAGCTGTCACTCAGAAGGAAGGAGTCGGAATCCATCATAATCTTATTACAGGTGCGTCTGCAGTGTCCGAATCCACAAATACAGTGGATGATGCTCCTTGATAGTTAGATCCTGGGGACTGTTACTGACCCCGGATTAGGAACAGCAACAGTTGCGCAGGCTGGCATATGGATTGTGAGTCTTTATCATGGCAGAAATTTTTCAGCCATAGATGTTCTGTTACTGACAGCTCAATCAATGCTTAGTTGGTTGCCCTCGTCTGGTCGGGCATCTTCTCTCACCCGTTGATCTTCTTCTCTGCCCATCCGGTACGTCGATCTCAGTATCTTTCGTTATCGTTTATTTCACCTCAGTCGATACTGACTCTGTCGAAGCTCCTTAACTCCTCCGCAATCCTCCTTCAGGTGCAGGCAATCCTTACCTTGCAACCAACAGCAACCCCCAAACAGAAGAGGATCGGAACGAGGGTGCATTTTAGCCTGCTGGCGATCAGCAATCTCTCCTTCATCGCAGCCCTCACCATAATTGAGATCAACAAGGGTGATCACCCGCGATTCACCTCGGTCCATGCCATCCTGGGCCTGGTGACATACATCCTCATTGCGCTACAAGCATCCGTCGGCATCATCCAGTATTTCTTCCCGTCTCAGATCCTCGGCAGCGTTGAACGGGGAAAGAAGATCTACAAATACCATCGCCTTTTCGGATATTTTCTGCTAGTTCTGGAGCTTGCGACGGTCGCAGCGGCGACGCAGACTACTTATAATCAGGCCGTCTTGGGCATCCAGCTCTGGGCCGTCCTAGTTGCTTCTGTGCTGGTGATTCTGGGCGTTGGAGCGCGCATCAAGAAGCACAAGCTGGGTTTCTAATTTCCGCGCGGTTCAACGCTGAGGTTGTGCTGGGCATGAGTATAAAACGGCCTGAATATGAATACAGCCCGATCGACAAGGGAATTTATGAGAAATGAATACGTGGTATTTCGGTTTGATGAATATGATATTGTTTGCACCTTCAATGCGCAATACGCAAGAAGCTTGTTTATTTGGTCATACTCTTCTCTCGCAAAACTTTGTTACATCTCGCTATAGTAATCTGTTAGCAAAATATGATTCATATTCAATCAAGGAGACAATCCATGAAGTGTCAGAAGGCGAATATAATAATAATTCGAATGCTATTCTACAGCTATACTGGTGTGAGTCCGGGTAAATAAATGCTTTCCTTCATAGTTCGGTTGGGAAGCTCCACCAGCATTGAAGTCGGAGGTTAAGCTTCAACTCCGACGAACTTCCTCCCGTACGACTCCCGGATTTCCTGTTCACCTCCTCCATACGACTCAGCATCGTCAATCAGACAGATCTCCAATGGCCGCCTCCCGGGCTCCATATATCTGTCTCCAATGCCAATCACGCCATGGCCTGAGCCGTTCTCTACGGCGCAATTTCACCTCCTCGTCGCGGCGGAGCGACGTGCCTCGACCGCCAACAGCACCGAAGCCAGTCCCAGACGTCAAGCACATTCGCCAGAACGCAGAACTGTATGCGAAGAATTGCATTGAGCGCAACTATGCGTCCCATGCAGAATACCCATCGCGGATTCAACGGCTCTCCGATGAAACACGACGACTCGATCACGATCTCCAAGCGCCCAGATCCCGAATCAAGCAGTTGGAAAAGTCAATAGCGAAGCTTGCCCGCACCATTGCGCAGGATGGAGAGAATAAAGATCCCAGTGCGAGCAAGGAGCTAGCAGCGCTTCGTCAAGAAGCGCAGAAGCTCAAGGAGGAATCCCAGACCATGACGACGCAGAAGGAGGACTATGTCGATGAGATCCAACGGCTGGCGCTATCTCTACCGAATCTGTCATCCAGCGAAACACCTGTCGGGGATGACCCGAAGCTGGTTTCTTATATTAACTATGACCCAGCATCTCCTCCATCGTGGGTGAACAAACGCGAATCGTCCCGTTCTCACGTCGATATCGGATCCGACCTTGGTCTTATTGATTTCACCAGCTCTGCGACTTCGACGGGCTGGGGATGGTACTTCCTCACGAACGAAGGCGCTCTGCTCGAACATGCATTGGTACAATACGCACTGAGTGTCGCTCGTCGTCGTGGCTGGCGAGTTGTGTCCCCACCATCCATCGTTTACTCCTACATCGCCGAAGCATGCGGATTCCAACCTCGCGACCAGAACAATGAGCAGCAGATCTGGGCTATCGAACAAAGTGAGAAGGACAAGAGCAAGCCGCAGCGTTCGCTCACTGCTACGGCGGAGATCCCTCTCGCGGCGATGTACGCTGGGCGTGACATTGACGCATCGGAATTGCCCATCAAGCTGGTAGGCGCGAGTCGATGCTATCGCGCTGAGGCTGGAGCCCGCGGTGTCGACACCAAGGGACTCTATCGCGTCCATGAGTTCACAAAAGTAGAACTCTTCGGTTGGGCAGACAACATCCCCGAGACTACAACTGCATCGTCCCCCACTGCTTCCTCCGAGACCCTCTTCTCCGAACTCCTCGACATCCAGACCGAGATCCTGACCTCCCTGGGCCTCCCCTGCCGCATTCTTGAGATGCCCAGCACCGACCTAGGCGCCAGCGCCAACCGCAAGCGCGATATTGAAGCACTCTTCCCATCTCGATTCCGGAACTCCGATCTCGAAACTGCCTGGGGAGAAGTGACATCTGCCTCTATCTGCACGGACTACCAGAGTCGACGACTGGGAACAAGAGCCCGGGGAGGCGCGATCAAGGAGGCGCGATTCCCGCACACGGTCAATGGAACTGCAATGGCGGTGCCGCGTGTGATTGCAGCTATTCTGGAGAATGGATGGGATGCGGAGAACGGAGTTGTCGTCATTCCAGAGGTTCTGAGGACATTCATGGGCGGAATTGAAACTATTGGAGGAACTAAGGCGTGAGAGGAATTATTCTTCTCGGTCTCTAGCCTTATGTACATACAAAGGAGAGCAAAAAGGAGATAATGAGTAGTGTTCTGTACCATAGCTAGATGATGTACAATATAAAAATTCAACTCAGCAATTGAAGTTACGCAAGTACAGGATCTGCCCTCTCACGGAGGCACTCCCAGCTCGGTCCATAAAATGGACAGTACCTGAGCTATATTCCTAATTTTGGTGCTTTCCTATCGCAGAAACATCTTCAACTATAACATATCCTTCAAAAAAGTCAAATAAAAAAAAATTGAGCGAAAAAAATACCCAGGAAACTCCCGTGAACAGAATGTTAGGGGCCGAATTCGGAGTGTTTATAGTTAAAATTATTTGAATATCCAACACATACTCTCACAGTTACCATTGTATATGTATAAGAATAGTAAATCACATTGATGACTCTTTCAAAGAGTATCATATCCAGGAAGATAAGATAAAGACATTAAGGGAGTAAGGGAATGGGAAGACAGGACAAAACAACCTGCCGGGCTCCGTTACGTACAGGTATATAGGTTTCCCCCTCCTTTTGCCTTGGGAGCGACATTTCCAAATAGAGAAAAATAGACATTCAACCCTGAAACAGAAAAAAGAAAAGGGCAACATATGCGATGAAATGAGACGGGATATCATAGCTTCGTGGACTCGTGATAATAAAAGCATTGCAGAGTATATAAATGCGCAGTGACGGGGGCGTGACGTTAAGCAATAAATCAAGTAGAGGGGAGAAAGCAGAAAGGAAGATATTCCCCTTGAAGAACTCTGCGTGCAGGTTCAGGTTAGAGGCTTGGAAGGAAGAAGCCCGTTGGCTCCTAGATGATTGTATACTAAAATTGGGTTAGGTGGGTGGTCCCCGCCCATCAGGTCATAAAAAGGTTATAAATTCGTATTGTCGGCCGTGTTCAATCAGTCCCATGGAAGGTCTTGGTCGTCAATTTTCGTGCAGGTCAAGTAGGGCAGTCCTCCCAACCCGCCATCACCGACACCGCTGCCTCCTGAACTCCCTCCGCCATCGTTGCCTCGGAGATCCAGCTCCAGGAAATTGCGCATGAGCGGCTTGACGATTTCTCTTGCCAGGCGTTTGATCTCCTCCATCTTCCGCTCAAAACGTTTGAGGTTGTCACGGGAATAGAATGAATCTGACGAAGAGGAGCCTGGGTGAAGCTTCAGAAATCGCTTGAGTTCGTCACGAGGGAGGTAAGCTTGGCTTGAAGATGAGCCTAAGAGACGGTAGACCCGGCCAGGGTTGAAAGGTGGCTGCGTCGGTGCGGATCTCGGTGCTGCAGCAGTGGTGTTTTGATTCGTACTATTGGCATTCCCTGCATTGGCATTTTGCGCAGAGTTCTTGAGGATGGGCGCTGGTGGCGGCGTCGTGTTTTCAACTAGCCATTGTCGAAACAAGGATACCGCAAGCCAGTCAAGGTAAGCATTAGCCGGGCTGACGCGCTCGCCTCGAGAGGTGGTCAAACTGAGGCGAAAGAGCTTCGACTCTACCCGCGCCTTCAGTTCCTCCAAGTCATCGACCTTATCTTCAATCAGGTCGAGCACTGAGTCCGGAATCGGGGAATAGGGCGCCTCTCGGAGGTGAGGGAGGGCTGCTGGCCACTGGCCCACGACGTGGATAAGAGCTTCGGAGAATATGATGCGACTTCGCGCCAGATATCCGAGCTTCAGATAACTAGGTGGATATTTGGCGATCTGCTTAAATAGTCGCGATCCGAAGCGCAGAAGATGATGGTCCACCCTAGATCCAGTAACCGGAAGGGCATCGTACATGTCAGCTAAACCCAATAGGGCCTTGCATTCTGCATATGCAGAAGCTATATTCATACTGTTCAACACCGGAGGGTAATTATAGAATATTCTGAAGAGATTGTCGTAGTCTCTAATGAGGGGATCAACCGGAGCTTCTTCGACAGCATTGTTAGGAAGGCGTAAAGTGGACTGCATGCCTGCCAGGTTGGCCATGGACCGAAAGAAACCTGCCTGCGGTGCTGATGGTTTGGTCGTTGAGGGAGGAGGAGGAGCAAAGTCACCTCCGAAGACGGTCGTAGAGCTTGGGGCCTGTATCGAGAAATGACGAGTCAGTCACATCTAGAGACTGTATCGGCAAATCCTTAACATACCTTCTGGACCAAGATCGGTTCTTCATCTTCCTCTCTATTTTCCCAGTCTAGCTCATATCTCCATCTCTTCTTTCCCGACACCCCAGACCCAGTTGCAGACCCTTGATTTGCATGCAATGGTGCTGCACTTTGTGGATCATCTTCGTCTATACAGGGCAGTTGCTGTTCTGTTCGCGATGATGTCTGGGTCACCGGCTGCGCCTGTGTGCGCGACCATTCTTCGCTGGTGCTGGCTTCGAAAAAGCCCGAACACTGAGCCAGTATCAAACGATGCAACAAATATCTCCGTTCCTGTCCACCGGCGCTGATGATGATTTCCACATCCCCCGTATGAGTGAAAATAGGAAATTCGTTCTGGGGCTGGTACGAGGATCCTCCGTGATGCGAACGGCCATAGCGATGGCGTCTAGTATGAGTATGACGGGACGACAGCGCCTGCGGAGGCATCGGGGTAGAGCGACCCAGAACCTGGGGATGGGAGACCATGGGTGAGATGGTGGCTTCGGTTGTCATAGCCAGTATGGCCCTGTCATCGTATCCCAACTGCTTCAATCAAGCCTCCTGTGAACCCAACAGCGCCTAGCAGATGGAGAGGTTGGGAGGATGTAGACCGTTCCCTGCGCCTGAACAGAATCGCCGCAGAGAGTCCCGGTGCGCACTAGGGTTGCGCGATTCGGAGGATTGTTTATATTATTATAACTGGCAGCGGGACGAAGTGGTTCCCCGCAAGCCTCCGGGATACGCTGGATTTAGGGTTATCGATAGGAACGGAAACGGCGAGATAAACAAAACCGCACCGCAAGCGAAACGAAGAGTCGACAACGACACCATGGATATCAGGAACTTTGTGCCTGCCGCGGTTTGAGCTTCAGGAGGGATAGACGACCTGACAGGCTTCTCTGCGCTCCACGGCTAAAGACGTGGTCCGTGGTCGAAGCGATGGGTCCGGTCTGCTTTACACTAGTCTAACTAGCATCCAGGCATGGGCGTTAATCCCCAGCAGCCACCAACTTGTCGCGCTTGACAATTCAACTGAGCGACCTACAGTCATGGTGGCTATCGACAGCCGTCCCAGTTCAGTCCGCCCGGCCTCTGTGCCAATGAACCCATGGAGCTTTCAAGCCAGTGCGGACCTCGCAGCAAGACGGATCTCTTGGTGTTGACCAGCGGGGCCATCGTGAGGACGAGAGTCGCCAATGACGCTGTTGCCGAGCAGCGTCTCCGCAACCTCGACAGCTGAAAAGGGCGCTGACTGCAACCAACATTGGCTGTTGGGTTCCCGACGGCGCAGCAGGGGATATCGGCCAGCATCAAGGAACAACGCCAACCGCGGCCCGACCGATGGAGTGGCGAGGAGTGGCTCAGGCAGCTTGGCTGCACTGAGAAGAGCATAGGAAGTCAGAGGCTGGTGGAAGTGGCTGGATCTTGGAAGGTCTTCGGGGACGGATCGAAGCCCATGTGGTCACTCAATCGGCTCGATCTCCGGCCGTCACTGATGCAGTATGAAGCTTAAACAAGAACTTCTACCCTCTCTGCCCTTTTGTCACCATCGGAATTGGCTTAGAATGTATGATATTTCTCGGGCTCGAAGGTCCGGGTTAATGGGTTCCATCAGATAGCTTAACCCACGGGTGGACCGTACAAAGCATCCGAAGCTTCCAGTACCGGTGATATTGGTCTACTGCAACGTAAGTAAGACGGAGTATATCCTTTCAATCTCAGCGCTAGAATCGGGCTGGGCCGGAGTCGGGACCCTGCGTCACGTTTCACCAGGGCGATTGCCGGTATCGAATAATGAGTTTAACGATCAAGAATACTGCATACTGATCAGAAAGAGCATGGGGAACTATCAAGAGATCAGAGCACGCTTCGTCATATGACCACGAGATTCTAGAATGAATGTCATACCGGCTTCATCCGTAAGGATGTTTTCAATGTAGTTGTGACAATGAGCATGGGAAAGATCTCAGATTCGGAGGATCCACCAAGATTATCATCTTGAAGAAGAGAAGTAATGATGTGATCGGGTAGAGCAGTAGAGGACCGTCAGAGATACATGTCCATGCTCCTACATCGTCCTTGTTTATCGCCCGTGAGATCCTGGAAGACGGCCCTTCTCATGAGCATCCACCGATCTGTGTATCTGCCAGGGCTCTCCATGAAACTGGCGACTTTCTCGACACCATGGAAGTGAAAATCAAAAGGGTCATCTCCTTTCCCCTGCCTTCTGTTCTAAATCGAATTCGCAGCTCAACGAGGAAGCCAGAAGCTGACATAATATGGGCGATAGTTAGTTAATAGGTTAACTTGACCTGTTACTTAGAGGAGGTTAGTTAGGCGGGACGAGATAGCTAAATATGTATTGGCGTCTCCCCGCTCCGATAGGCTTTTGTTAACTTATCGACAAGAGAAGATCTCCGATCCCGCTTTTCTTCCCATCTCGATGCTGTCGCTGTCAATCTGAACGCCTCCTTCGAACCGTGAATAGTGACTGTTTCTCAGGAGGTTTCATCCTCCAGACCCAGTGTGGGTAAGGATGGCGATTCCGCTGCCTGAGCCTCCAGCGTCGTCTTGATTCGAACGAAAATCTATCGCAAATTGGCCGTGCACTACCTTCGAACGAACAGCACGCTTGTCCGTGGATATGACCAAGGGCTGCTATACCTGTCGCCGCCGTCGTGTGGTTTGTGACAATGGCCTCCCGACATGTCGCAAATGTCGCACTGCAGGCAAAGAATGCTTGGGATATCAGAAACCGCTGGTATGGGTCAAAGGAGGAGTTGCCAGTCGTGGAAAGATGATGGGATTGAGTTTCGACGATGTCATAGATAGTCCCCGGAGCCGTGGCCATGACATCCAGCGGCTAGAAGAAGGGGCCGCTGGTTCTCCTGACCGTCAAGAATATCGTCTCGAAGCGGTATTGAATGATACATCACTCCCACAGACCTGCGCAAGCAAAATTGAATCCCAGACCGTTGGTCCCGAGCGTGGACGATCGCTAGTGACTGCAGACCCTTGGACGCCCACGGGTGACGAACATCAGCAATACATAGATGGAAACGATGAGACATCTATTGTGCATGTGCCGGCGAGGTCGCCGCAGTCTACACACATTCCTTCTCCGCGGGCAGCACTTGTCGATCCTCTTTTTCAGGACCTGGATAGGCTCTCGCGCCTCTACATCTCTCACTGTAAGCCAGTTAATTCTGAGATCTACCAATCAAATACAGTGCATGGTATGGTATACTGACGATATGATCGTTTTCTGCAGTCAACCAACGATGCGTGCACGATCTGGCACTATACGACAAAGTAAAGAACCCATATCGAGATCTGATTCCGCTGGTTGCTCAGTCGCGAGTCCTGTCAGACGTACTTGCTGCGGTTGGTGCAGTACATTATGCCTCCATTTCTCATGCAGAAGGATCCTTAATATTGGTGGCTTCAGGAATGCCAGTGATATCCGGTCCCGGTTTGCCTTTCCAGGACAACGAGACGAGTGCGACAGCTCTATCACAAGGTCCTTCGTCGCAAGCGTTTGAGCATTTCTTGAGGTTCAAGCATCGAGCTCTTCGTCAACTGTCATTAGACCTTCTCGATCCAATAACGCGCAACGATGATAAGACCGTGGCTGGCATTCTGGTGCTTGTACTTCTCGATGCTATGGAATCAGGGAGTGGCGCCTGGAAGTTCCATCTAGAAGGAGCGAAGAACCTTCTGAGGAGTCGTCAGGACAGTATGAGTGACAGTAACATGAGAAGAATAGTAGAGGGTCTCGATACCTTTGTTATCGATAGCTGTCTGATGTAAGTTCGCTGTCCTGGTAGCCCCGAGCAGAGTTTACATTGCTAACGCAGTCTGCAGCCTCGAAATCATGGGATCTACCCTGGCGCGGCCAGGTGCTCTCTCGAAGCCATTCTATTCACACAAAATGGGTCCTGGCATTCTTAAGCGCCTCGAACAGACGTCGTGGGTTGGCTGCCCAGCGTACCTCCTCGAGGTCATCTTCTTCGTCCACGCACAACGATACTCCGACACCGACCTCTACGACTCAGAATCCTCCCCTCTAAACCACTTGAGTTCTCCCGAATCCTTACTACATCATATCCAAAACTTTGATCCTTCGGCCTGGGCTCAAGAGATGCAAAATTTCTTCTTTCTTACCGACATATCAGCACGCCTTGCCTTGGCCTCTGCTTACAAGGCCGCTGTCTATCTTTACGCCAGCAGGGTCCTTTCGAAATCAAAGCCAAACTCCTCGTCCTCTGTAACGCCTGTCAAGTATTACCGCAGCAGAGAGCACAGCGAAGCCGCCGACGAATTGATCTATCAGCTGTCCCTCATTCGATCCCCAGATCCCCATTTCAAATGTCTCATCTGGCCCACCTTCATCGCAGGAGCCGAGAGCAAGAATGTTTCCCAGCGCACGTTTGCCCTCGACAGACTGCAGGCTCTCTGGACTGCCATATCATCCATCAATGTGCGTAATGCAGCGTGGGTTTTGGGAATCATGTGGCAACGACAAGACGAGAGACGTCTGCAGAGAGAGCAAGCCCTCACGTCGGATGAGTCAATAAATCTCAATCACGACGGCAATGACGACGACAATGATGATTTCGACTGGATCCAGGAACTGGATAATTCGCCAGCGGACTGGCTCTTTATCTAATATATACCCCTCCGTTTGGCCCCCTTCAGTGGCCATTCTTCCCTTTCAGAGGACACACATATCACGCGGTTTATGAGATTACGTCCCCGATATAACCGGTTCGTGTACATAATTGGCAACCACCCTATATTCCATGCGAGATGCCCTTTATTACGACATAATATTTTTTTTCCCGCTCTCGAAATTCTTAAATTCTTATTTCATATCTTACTTATTATTCTACATAATTAGATGCCATTAGTGAATAATACCGAAGAGGGGAAAAAACATTTCCAGGGATACGCTTACGAACCCATCATGCTAGAAGAAATTCAAGTAGAATTTTTCTAGATCTAGCACAAGACTTAAAGCGAAACTACCAGAGTCTCTAACAATAATGATAGAATAGAAAGGAAAAGAAGCCTACACATGATAAATACAACCCAAAACCAAAAAAAATAGATGTCCCCCAAAATAATAGAACGCCATGCATTCCAAACCCGTAATTATTTTCCGCAATGAAGAATTAAATTTAATATTAAAGACCCGCTTAAAGATAAGAATAAGCAAAAAAGAAAAGTAAAAAAAAGCCAAATAGAGATTCCTCCAACAAGAGAAGAAATTAGATTGGATTTCGAGTTTCTTCTTTCTTTCTTTCTTTTGTTTGTTGTCTACTCACAAAAGGAAAAGTTATGTCACGTCAAGGAATAGGAAAAAGAGGAATTATAAAGCGAAAAAAAGTAGTGGAATTCTCTTGTTGAGGAACCAACAGCAATCAATGGATGGTTTAGATTTCTCTCGCCTCGCTGTATTTCGTTGGAGGGGGAGGAAGATACACATGTGACTTTACAAAGGGAAAGGAATGGAGACACGACGTTTCAGACTACGTTCTTTCTCAAGGACGTTTTTTGTAGTAAGTGGAGAAGAGAAAGGAGAAGGGTAAAGAAGAAAAAGAATAAGAAGAATCAAAGGACACACAAAGGGGACCCAAGGTCGCTCGCTTATATGGAGATAGATATGATGGTTTGAAAGTAGGACAAGAAAACACGTCAATCAAAGTGGGAATTCAGAATGCTAAGCAAGGCAGGATGAAGAGAAAAGAAAAGATAAAGGCTAAGAAGGTAGGAAGTGAAAAGGGCCAAATGGAATATCAAGAAGCCAAGGGAATCAGAAAAGAAAAACAGTGGTCGGGCCAGAAAGATCGGATAGAAGAAAGAGAACCGCGCTGAAACAGAACCATGCATGTCATTCTGGGGTAAAAAGGACGAGCCCCAGCTCCCTTGCATACAGTAAGACGAAACTAGACGAGGCTCTCAGTACAATGCTCGACCCAAGAAGAGAACTAAAAGAGAATATATCGTCCTCAGAATTGAAAAAAAGGAGAAATACAGGCTCCTCCCGATCTAAATGCAGCAACGTCTGAATAAACGAACTTCTTCATCGCCGCGAAACAGCACTAGTCAAAAAGAAAAGGAGACGGAAGGATAATTGGAAACGCCTCGCCAAGCTTGCAGATGCAGTGGATTAGAAAGATTAAGAAGACCGTCAACCAACCTCTGCTGATAATCACGCCGTACTATGGTGAGAAGCAACTAGGACTAACGTCAAAATGCCAGCAGCCTCCCGGTTATAAAGTGAATACCGAATCAGTATCGGCGCTCTTTTAGCAGGGGCTGAAATGAGAACGCCGGAACTTCGGAAACGACGCCCCGAAGCAGTATATAAGGTGACCGTCGTAGGATGAATCGCGTCGGAACGGAGATGGGCCAAATCAAAACACTGCGGCGAGGCCGTTCTTTGAATGACGCCTGCTAAATCGCTTCTTCCCCTTCACGGAGTCTGAATCGGTACCCTGATGTTTGACAAGTGTGTTCCTTGTGGGAGCTGCGCCATCTGTCTGAAATTCGGAGGTTCGGTCGAGGGTGTTTGCATGGCTTGATAGTCCCGACGACAGCTCGCGGAAAGCATCATCCCCAGAATACCCACCTCCCCCTTGTTGCGAAAGTGCTATCTCCTTCGCCCGGTCGAGTGTATCGAGCCACTCCTGAGTCGCCAGGGCGCTAGTCGCCACGCTGCTGGATGACGGTTTCGGCTCTTCGAAGACGAAATGCTTCTCACGCTATAATGTAATTTGTCAGTCTCCATAACAAGAAATTAGCATGACGGGCTATCTAGACTCACCGTATCAACAACCCATGACGAGAAGCCTTTTGAGTCATTCGTGCTTCGATAGTGGGTTCCAGGCGCTAAGAGAGATATTTCCACCTTTGCTTTCTTTTCCTCACCACCGGCCGCGGCTATAACGATGCGGGCGGACGTAGTGATCATAACTAAGCGCTGACGCTTCTTTGTTGTGCTCCCACCAAAGAAACGGGAGAACTTCTTCGCCGCATCATTCTCACCATGTCCATTCTTAGATGAAGGACTGTGCGGAGCTGGTGATGAAGAGACGAAGAGGTTTCCTAACTTCAGTATCCTTTCGTTGCTTTTTGTTAGAACTGGTGACCACTCAATATCGAGTTGGGTCGGTGGAGGAAGTTCGGTGATCACCCTGGGCAAGGCTCGTGATGCAGGAGGGGCGGTGTTAATACTTGGCGGGAAACTATCATCATCACCGCCACCGTTGAGCTTTATGGGCTCTCGTGGTGGGGGAATATATGGCTTCAATCGGGGTGCTTTTTGTTTCCACAGCCCACGGCCCCAAGTGACACCGCGGAAGAATTCATGGTTCTTGATATGTTCCATCGGCAGTCGTCTTGCCGGGTCTAGCACCAGCAGCCTTTCGACGAGGTCGCGGCCCACGGCAGGAAATCCGCTCGGAAATTCGTATTCCAGATTGACAATTTTCTGGAACGTCAAGTATTCGTTTGCTGCCTTGAAAGGCGGTCTACCAGCCAGGAGTTGAAAAATGATACAGCCAAATGCCCATAGGTCACTTGCCTTGCAGGCGCTCTTGTCTGTGAGCAGTTCAGGACTGACATATTCCGCGGTTCCAACGAACGAGCTGGCGCGTTCTTCTCCTGCGACGTCACCCGCATCAATTGGGGGCATTCCATTTTGGCTGTCATCTGGTCTTCTCTTCCCCTTGAGGATCTTTGCTGTACCGAAGTCAGTGACTTTGGTGTGCATTTGGTCATCCAGGAGGATATTCTCCGGCTTCAAGTCGCGATGTATGACGCCGCGTTTGTGCATGTAGTCAACTGTATCAAGGATCTGCGCGCCGTAGAATCTCGTACATTCTTCATCGAACGTCGACATACGTTTAAGGACACCCAGGAGTTCCCCACCCTTGCAGAGATCCAACACGAAATAGAGAGATCGTTCATCTTGGAAGGTATAATATAGTCTGACAATGCCCGGGTGATCCGTGAGTCGGTTCAACGTATCCTTCTCGATATTGACATACTTGACCTTCTTCTCCTTGATGATGTGCCTTTTATCGAGGATCTTGATAGCGTACTCGTTCAATGTCTGACGATCCGTCGCCAGTACCACAGTACTGTAAGAGCCTTCCCCTAGAGTCTGGCCAAACGAGAAGTCTCGAACTCCTTTCTTTATATACCGCGTCACCGGCTTTCCGTCCGGGCCAGTCTCTTGCCTAACGCCAACAGCTGCCCCGCGATCCTGCCATTCTTCGCTGCTGGACAACGGACCGCCTTCCAGTCCATACGGTGAGCTGGAAACCTGTGGGGTTCCGGAATTGTAAGGGAAAGGCCTTGAGCCCTGCCGCGGGGGCAATGGCCCGTTACCGGAAAGATATTGCGCCTGCTTGTAAGACCTCTCGCTATGGGTGTTGTCTCTCGCAGGGACTCCCGCTTGGAGCGCTGCTCCGCTGGATCGAGAATCCGCGCGCGCCAGCTTGTCCGATACCGACGAAGCACCTGAATCCGTACGGATCCTATATGACCCTTCCCGGGCTGTTGCTGAAGACGATGATCCGTTGATGGAGGGCTGAGCGTAAAAGGAAGACATAGGGCGAGAGCTGGGCTGGGAGGAGGGATGTTGTGGTATCGAACTTTGATATTGCGATGGCTGGTACTGTTGCAATTCTTGCTGATTATAGAAAACGGACGACCTGTTCTGCAGGCGTTGGTCATAACTTCTAGCATCATCATTGGCTGGAGGGGAGGACTGAATATTGCCGGACGGCGGGGGTAATGAGACAGAGGAACCGTGATGCTGTTGGCTAGCGATGGTATCCGTATATGAACCAGTCTCTAGAGGATCCTGCGTGTCGAGTCCGGTCGTGACAGCATCGTCTGAAGAGTGTAGAGACGAATCGTCCGGGTTCGCGATCCGGAGTCCACCCAGGGACTGAGAGAGACTCAGATCCCCATCCATGATGGCCCGGGCCGATCCCTATCGAGTATCGAAGTACCAAACGCAGTGGACAATGCGGATCGGCTGGAAGGGAGTCGTGATACGCGCAGATAGTGACAGAGAAGAGGCGCCAACGTGGCGCCTGGAACCCGTTGCGGATAGCAGTTTCGGGGTACAAATAGAGTACCGATGGGAACTATTCCGGCGGTCGCATGAACAACGGATGCATGATATGGCCAAAAGAAAGAGAGACGGGAGGGAGAATCCTGCAATGTTGGACAGGGACCAGAGTGCAAACGGACGCGTGGACGAAGGAGGGGAGAAGGCGGGGGGAAGGCTCAGCGTTCAACAGGCGATGATGGTGTTGAGGTGAAGCTGCTGAGGTTCGTTGTCGATGGATTCGGCTTAGGCGCGTTCTGCGGCCCGCCCACGGGAGGTTCTTTAGGGAGACGGCAACACCACGTCGGCCTTCCATCGTGGCGGCGGTGCTCTGTTGCTGAGAAAAGGCATGTGGACTGGCTGGCAATTATTATTGCTCTGGTGGCTGTTAATTTTAAAATTATCTCCTGGTTGTGGTGGTGGGTTGTGGAGGGATTCCGTCATACAGCATGCTGCTCCTTTTGCCATGGTGATGGCACGAACATACCAGTCTATCTATCCTGAATGCTGATTGACAGTTACTTAAGGGGCTGCTAGAAGATCGGTTCAGCTCGTATTTAGCTGTAGATAGTCGATCATAGTCGTTCTTATATTCGATTCAGATCACCCTATTTCCCTAGTCTACATTCCATTTTCTGTCGAGTTTATTTTTAGATATCCATTTGATACTATGAACCACCCAGTTTATTTTTCACATCAGTATAAATTATAGCAATTCCTATGATATTTCTTCTGTCCTTATGCATCTCAGGCTTCCTTTCCTTACAAGCTCGTTATCTTTTTGCTTACTAGTCCCGCATTGTGATTCACAAAGATGGATGTGCTAGGCAGGCACAACTCACGTATCGTATCGTATCATTATTATTATTTCACGTCCCATGTAAACACGCCTGGGTAGCATTTTCTCTTTAGAAAATATCATCAGCAACTATCACCAGAGACTGGGGACGCTACTCACCATACTCTCCGAATAAACAAGGCTGTTGCCATCCTCAAAATCTAGTTCAAGCCTTCTGTTGACGCTCAGCCATGATCCGTTTACCTCCAACAAGGATAGAACTGACGGACAGCGATATCGACTTCCATCTCCAGGGGATTATGCTGCGCCGTGGCCTCGTTGCTGATTTTGGGAATCTTGATATAGGATCCGATGATGAGGACGAAGACGACGATGATTATACGCAGTTTCCAAGGATGTACCACAAATCAGACATATCGTCAAGTGCCGCTGCATCCACCTCTGATATCCTCCCTGATAGTGAGTCTAGTGGAGGGTCACAATCGAGCCAGGGATATCAAGCTACCTCGTATGGTAGGAGTGTGATCCCGCAAACCCCTTCTGCCGGTATATCCCAACTTGATGGAGTATCAGTTCTGGACTACACCGCCCTCCATGTTGAAAATGCATTCCAAGGCTTTCCAGCTGGTCTTTTTGATGATTATGGCCGGCAGTTCCCTGGAAATAACAAAGCTCTCACCGCTTTGCTCGCTTACTGCTTGTATCTCCAGCGCACTTATGGGTCTCCAAAACACAACAATGACAGAATTGGACAGAAGAGTCACTTCTCAGGGGCTCTCCAACAGATTCTGTCCATTCATCCTAGTCTATCCCAGTGCTTTGCTTCTGTTCCTAACCTGCTGCCCTACACTCGTCTTATAGCCTCCAGTGTTGGATCAAGCTCTTACTTGACAGCTATGGCTCGTGACAAACGGCCTCCCAGGGTGCCAGGGGCACAAAGACCAGCACGTCAGACACGCCCTCCTCGCACTATAGCACCTGGAACCAGAAAGATCGTGTCTGCTGGTGAGCCAGGTCAAGTTTCTAGGCCACCAACTAGCGCTCCGCATACTGATGCGTCCGTCATGAAGATTGGTATATATGCCTCTCTTTAACTATATCCAGGCTACATAGATACTAATGAATGTTTCATAAAAGCTACTCCTGCAAGGGTCAATAAAAGAGGACAGGAGGCAGTCACTAAAGCCAGTGTGACCAGTGCACTTCCTGCTCCAGCTCACCAAGACTTGGCTCTCAGACAGGGGCTAGAGGATCCATTTTATGTTGCCGTCCCAGGTAAGGAAGTGGGAGGTCACAGAACCAGCATCGGCGAATCTACTGCAATTGACGCGGGCAATATCTCTTCAAGCTCTCCCCATTCTGAGCTTGGATTAACTGCCGGGGGTCATCATACGACCCTACCCCCTATCTTACCTGGATCTCTATATGCGTTCCCGTATTTCCAAACGGCATACGACAGGACTATCTTGGGAACGAATACAGAACTGGGAAATAAAGATGCCCCGTCAGCCAAAGCCGGTTCCTACCAGCCCTCTTTCGGCCCTTTTTGCAGGACGGATGAGGGACCGACTAGGCATGCTGTAACGACCAGCGCTCGCACCGAGAAGCACTGGCCGATCGATACTGAAAATTATGCAGCTTTTGATCAGTCTTCTCCCCCATCCAAGAAGGGCGGTATGGGCAAGCGCGGCCAAAGCGTCATCGACGCCATCAACCTCGACGACGACTCGGACATCAGCATGTCGAACATCAAGACTCCCTTTCAGGTTGAGTCCGAGAAAGCTGAGTACGGCAGTTCCTTCACGGATAAACCGTTCACTTCTGCAGCATCTTCCAAGAAAGACAGTGTCCTATCCATTCGTCATCTCTTGGATCCCGAAAATGGCACAGAAAGTGCGGAACAGGCTCTGGCTTCTAATGCGCCCAACCATCCCAAACAGGATAATGACGTGATGGGTAAAAGCAAGACACCGAATCACCCCATTTATGGCCCATCACAGGTACACATAAGTGAGAATGAAGACGATGACCGGAAGGCCGCAGCTGAGGTTAGTTAAAGTATCATGTCTGCGTTTCTGAGATCCTTGTTCTGACTTTAACGGATACAGGCACTTGCTCAGCTTTCTACGGGTAAGCAGGCAGCCCTTCCTCCACAGGCTGTAGCTGCGTGCCATAGACACGACACATTTTTCCAGCATGACAGCCAGTCTCTCACATCGGACAGTCCCTTCCGTGGCTTGTCATCTGGTGCAGCCGCCGAAAGAGACAGTTCTCCAGCATTCGATAATGGGTGTCTTGCCAGTCCCAAACCGGAGTTGCAGGCCGCGCTGCTCCAGGAAATGGCGGAAAAGAGAAGAAAGGCTGAAGAAGCAAGGGGACCAAAATACACCAGAGAGAGCGTTGTAAGTCTTTATCTGCCGATGTAATGCCGTAAACTGACGCCTTGGATCCTAGGATGAGGCGACTTGGCAAAGTGTTCTTGAGGCCTCGTGGGATTTTCAGCGGAGAATCGACAAGATGCTTGCAGATATAGACAAAGACGACGATTCCGACGACTTTGGCTTGGCAGGCTACTTGAATCTTTTTGGCCCAAAAGATGACGGCGACTCCCACAATCACCCAACTCCGCCGGATTTTCAGTTCTAGGCGGACATTGACAGAAGTACATTTTACATGAAAAAGCGAGCTCAACTCGGGTAAGAAGAACATTCCATCTTCGCATCTTTGCCTGATGGCTACGATCGAGCTTCAAAAAAGACCAGAAAAAGAAAAAGAAAAAGAAAAAGAAAAAGAAAAAAAAAAGCTCATCTCTTATCTCTCGAGGATGTTTGCACAATTGAATCGGACAGACTCGATTTGGCCTCATGGATGAAAGGTCTATTTGTATCATTATTATCTTTTTTCAGAACCTTTCTCCTCGCCCTCCCCCCGTTGGCACTGGGTTGGTTGGCCTTCTATCCCACTTCATTGGCACATTCTTTGATGTTTCTAGTCAGAATTCATATTAATAGATACCAAACTCATTCCTTCAAAAAGAAAACTCCCGGTTCTTTTCAGATATCTTTAGTCCAATGTCTCTCCCCCCACTTCCTGAAACGAAGCGAAGTCGCGACCTTGTCCGACACTATACAGATGAGCTTGAGCTTGCGCACGAGGAGATACGTACGGAGCACTGTACTGAAGTGCGTTCATTTAGGGTATGCAAATAAAGTGGCGCGAGCACGTATATAGGTCATCGACCAATGATGTTTTCAGTTATTTTATCCACCATCGATATCTACCATAACTATGGTAGGTATACCATAGGTAGGTACATACCATACTGAGTTTACTCCACTTGCAGGAAGGCAAAAACCTGAAACCTGTAACTTAAGATAGCCGTGAGAAAAAAAAAAGAAAAAGAAAAAGAAAAAGAATTGGTATATTAAATACCCACATTATTTTAGATCCGCAAACGGGTGTAACCTGACCCTGACCTGACCCTGGAAACGTAGGTACTACAGTAAGTATGTACATAATATACAATGCGCGAAAACAAAGCTTACTTATTATGCGACACTCCGATCTTGATTCCGACTGGTAGGTTAGGTATCTAGAAGTGAAGCCACTACTAGTTAACTAACTACTTATCTATTCCATAGGTAGGTAGGTACTTGGTTTAAGTTAACTTTAGTTATCATCTTTTTACCCACTTCGCTGATACTAACTATATACTATACTCTATTCTGAACTTGCCACAGCGTCGTCATCTACGTGCAGATCAGGAACTTGCATCTGCATTTGCATCTGCATTTGCTCCTTCGAGAGTTGGGTTATCTAACATGTGAGGTTGGCAGATGGTTGTATGGTACGTATGCGTGTAGAGTAGGTTACTACATAGGTAGGGATTTTATTCTGTGGTGGGGGAGCAGGTAAAGACGTCATTCCGGAATGTGACTGTTGCTGATTCTTGTATGTAGGGTTATTTCGTATGAATTCATGCGCCGATGAAGTCGAGAGTAAAATTTTAGATAATGCATTGCGAGACCTGTCTCTATTCTCTGATGAATATAGAGTAGATAGATAGACTTGTTTTCGATTAGGGAGATGGAGAGAATCTATCAATTACTGCAGCACCTGGTGTTCGAGCGTCCTGAGGACAGCGTTTCGAGCCAATGTTAAGTCGTTAAAACGACCAAGAGTTAAGAAAATAGTCTAGGATAGGTATTTGATAAGGTAGTAGTAAATCGTAGCGAGGCGGACGCCTGCGCCAAATATTATCATTTCACTCTCGTTCCGACATAGTAGGGACACACGACAATGCAAACAAGTCAGGACGATGTAAGAACCGAAAATGATGTTTCCGGGGTTCACAGGTGGAAAGGAAATAAATGCATCAGGTAAGAATATATCATCGGGTCTAAAAATGTTTAATTCTTTGGATATGAAAAAAAAAAGTAACCGAGAAAAAGAAAATCGGTGATCCAGAAAGGTATGGAACCACCCCCCGGCAATGAATTATCTTCCAGCATGTTTCAGCTCCCATTCCCATCTATCTCGTTCGATAAATAAAAACGCCCTTTTCTAGTGCACAGAACTCCCTAGCACTTGGTTTTATATTCTTGAATCGTTTACTGCGAAGCCTTCTTGGCGAAGATCTGAGCTCCGTCAACCAGACGGCGCTCAGTGTTCTGTCGGCCGTTGACGAAGTCAGGGTAGTTGAGAGTAAGCTCGACAGCACCGTTGATGATGTTGTCTGCAGCCTCAACACCCAGCATGAAGGAGTGGTCCTGGTTACCGACCTCGTAGCGCCAGCTACCGAAGCGGCCACGGGACCAGATGCCCTTCTCCTGGAGCTTGGGCAGCAGCTTAGCGAGGGCACCCTCACGCTCCAGAGAGGGAGTGGGGTAACCGTGGTCGAAGCGACGGTGGTAGGTGGAAACGATCTCGTCGGTAGGCTTGAGCATACCGGTGTTGACGAGACCCTGGATGGAGTCAGCCAGGATCGTCTCCTGGTTGACAGGCTTCATAGAGGACTCGGAAACCTCCAGCATGATAGACCAGTAAGGACCGCCCTGAGGCTCAGTGCTCTTGGGCTTGGAGCCATCAGCGAGCTGCTGGGTGGGCAGCTTCTTGGAGGCATCCGGCTGGTTGTAGGGGGAGTAGTTGGAGAAGATGGTGGCACGGTAGAAGGGGCAGTTGTCCTCGGGGAAGTAGAGCTACAGAACGTGACTGTTAGCACCATGGGTTCCATTTTCGCGAGCGATTCTACGGCTGTCAACTTACCCAGCACTTGTCTCCAATTCTCTCGGGGCGCTCGCCACGGATACCAACACCGATAACGTGGGTGGAGGAGTAGAAGAGCTCCTTGCTAGCGTCGATGAGCTCCTTGTCGCCGATCTGCTCCACGAGCTGGTCGACAGCCATGGTGGAGATCAGCTTCTCATAGCCGACAGTGGTGCCATCAGCCAGAGTGACGGTCTTGTTGTTGGCGTTGACCTTGGCAACCTTGCCCTTCTCACCGAAGCGAGTCTTCTCCTTGGGGAGAGTGTTGGCAACGGCAATCCAGATACCACCGGTACCACCACGGGCGGGGAAACGGAAAGTAGCGTTAGGACCCCAGTTTCCGGCGGTCTTGTTGAGGATCACGTTCGTCGTCACGGCCTTGACGTTGGGAGCAGCGACACGCTCACCGAGCCAGGCGCATTGCATCTAGAAGCCGATCGAGTTAGTATCTGGTTGTTTCTTGGATTTGTTTATTCCACGTACCTTGGTGGTAGGCACAGCCCAGACCTTGAAGTTGTAGGGTCTCATGAAGAGGTCGGCCAGACCGACACCCATCTGGCGGAGAATCCACTCATCGAAAGTCTTGGGCTTGGTGGCCGCGACACGTGCCTCCAGGGCAGCATCGATCAGGCCGTCAATGCACTTCACCTGCTCCTCCTTAGGAAGCATGGAGATGTTGTTCTGGAAGGGGTAGGGAACCCATTGCTCCTTGCAACGGACGTAGGAGATACGCTGGTGGGTGTACCAGTCATCGGGCTTGGGAAGAGCCTCATCGATGCAGTCGTCGAAGTACTTGTAGTGGGAGAAAATGACGTGACCACCGACATCGTAGAGCTACAATCATAAACAATGGACCTGGTCAGTGTACCAATTCCGATTTGGGGTGGTTTGCGTCCAAGAGGGCAACGTACGAATCCTTCAGGGGTCACATCAGTCGAGGCGAGACCACCGGGAGTCTCGTTGGCATCAACAATCAACCACGAGGGGCCGTTCTGGAAGAACCGTTAATCATTCTCTGGTCCATGCGCAGGGTTTCAAAAAAGAGACACCATACGATCTGATTCAAACGCTTCGCAGCACCCAAACCAGTTGGGCCTGCACCAATGACGAGAACATCAACGGAACTGGAGCGAAACAGTCAGTTTCGAGTTGGCCAGCGCGGGGGGGTTGGGTTGGGTGAGCAAGTCTCCAGGACCAGCAGGGACAGCTTAACTTACATGTCGGGGTGCGTCATCCTGCCTTGTAGGATATCCTGGAAGCTGGGCACGCGGTTCAATGTTTTGCGGATGTTCAGCATAAAGAAAAGATCGGTGCAGGAAAGCTGCTTCACTTAAAGGGAAGGACGAGCTTTTGGTTTGAGATGCAGGAGAGAGAAGAAGGCGAAGAGGAGGAGGTATCTCGAAGATCGGGCAGCTTGCGCAGCTGTGGGGAGGGATGGTGCTGTTTCAAGTGCGTCCGCACGGTGCGTTGCCGGGCGTCCCCTGGAAAGGGGGTTGCGTTTAAAAAGGCGTTAAGCCAACAGGCGCACCCACGTAGCCCGAACGACTGGTCGATACGGATTTCCAGTCTACACCGCAACAGGAGAGCGCCTTCTGGACGCATTCTTCCTTCGGGATCATCTTGGTTTGGTGCGCCACGGGTAGCGCCGATTCCAGCTATCTTCGGGGCACTTATGGTAGTTATCGCTCGCGAAGCTCATTGCAAGCGGCTTGGCAGGCACCGCTCGTGCCCTTTGCGTTTGTGCAACGCTGGCGAGTAGTAAAGTAGTGGGCGGAGATGCGGCTAACTCCCCCCTATTTCGTTTCCGGCCTGTCTGTTATTTAATTATAATTATTATTATATTCGGTTTGGGTTGCTTTGAAATCCCCCGCCATCGAGCTGAATGGATGTGACAGATGTCATTGTCTCTCAGCTGCCGGATTTAGAGTATGTATGCAGTATGTATGTATGTAGTTACTACTGCTTACTTTCCTTTCCTACCACCTAGGTGGTTACTTTAGGGCCGTTCTCGTCCAGACAATCATCTACCTAAGGTAGTTACTCTACCATACGTCCTTGATGGTCAATAATCAATTGGAGAGCAACCGATCCGTCGATCGACACAGCAACTCGGAATAACATCCGTCTTGCGAGCATCTCCCCCAAAAGAGCCATCCAAAACCCTGAAAGATGGATGCATGGACGGATGGGGTGACCCAGGTCGGTTCCACTGATTGCCATCTGCGGGAGAAAAAAAGGGGAAGAGGATCGTCCGGTGAGGGACAATCACCGTCTGTTGTGCTCTCGTTGGACTGGATGTGCTCCATCGATATCAAATGTGGCACACAGGTAAATCATCTGCGGCTCGTAGACGTAACTATCTACCATAAGCATCTCGCACAAGGGCAAAAGAGAGAAGAAGAAGAAGAAAAAAAGGTCTGATGCTGGTTGATTACCATTATTTTCTACACCACCACCCCGGTTCTCTCCCCCCCTGTTTACCTTGTTTTCGCGGGTAACCTCCCTTTTTTTTTCTTCATTTCTATCTTCTTATTATTATTATAAGTATGGTACGTATCTGTTTCATTTTAGCCGACCGGGGCTTTCCCATGAACCACAGATCGGAGCAGAAATCTCATCTCATCTACCCCCTCTGGTACGCCTCCGACGTAGCGCTCGTGCGCGTGTTGACAGGCCCAAAAGGACACGTTCCACGCGTGGAGAGGCCAGCAATCCTCTTGACCATAGAATACATAGTAATAGAACCACCGGCGGGACTCCACGCGGTATGGAGGAAGCTAGACAGAATCCTGTACGAGTGGGCCGTCCCTGATCGGGCGTCTGGCGAACCAGCGCGCCGGATGCACGACTGACGGCTGGAGATCGCCGCCTTCCCTCCCCGCCGGCCAGGGCACGATAACCTGCTTTGGGAAGGCGCCCGTTCCAAACAGGTAGGTGGAGGCTTGGCAGCTTGCGTAATGGGCAGTGCGCAGTAATTTCGATCAGCGCGGGATGCGGCCAGCTTGCTCAGTCCGGCGGTAGGATCGTCGAGGTCCCCTCCGCTGCCACCCTGGATGGTACAGATAATAATCATGGTATGGTGTTATTATGATTAGTTGGTAGGACAGAGTAGAAAAGACTTGAAGTTGAACCCTGAGAGAGATTCATCATCCTGGGCTTGAAGGGGCTCAAGAGTACATAGTTACTTGACTCTATAACGTGCCTGAGTCTAGACGCTGGTAGCGGGAAGCTTAACAGCTTAACACGCGTAGCAAGCGGCTAACAGCGGTGGATAGCAATATACTGTACAATGTACCTACTACCTATAATAATATTATTATAATAGTTAATAATAACAATGCTTGTTAAGCGCGGGGAGTGGAACGCTTACTTGCTCGCGGCAAAAAAGACCATGGATTAATGTACAATTTCCCTGATATCCTTTAACCACAGAAATAATCAAACGAGCAGCCCCGAGCTCAACCCGAACCGGGAACAACTCCACCGCCGGATGGATCCGTCGCAGCCACCCATCGTGTTTCAACTTGCCTTTCCTCATTCCGGGACCCTCTGACCCTCCCCCTTTCTGCTGGATCGTCTTCTGTTCGCGGTGCGATGGGGAAAATCACTGGGCGCGCCACTCAGATACTAGATAGATACTCTCTTATGGTGCTCTGTATCCCGCCCGCGATACCATAGCACACCTGGGCGACACATCAGCTTCTCTCTGGCTCTTTTGGCTCTCCAACAATACCATAATAATAATAACCTTTTTTTTTCTCGCGGTCCCCTAATCCACACCAGCACCAGCAACCCGTCCACAACTCCGATCCACCCCATTCCATCCCTGCGATAAAAATAAGGTAGACTTCCGTCCATGCCCGTCATCGCGGCCCTGTGAAACGGAAGCGATTCCTCGAACTGCCCTTTTGTTCTCTTTTTTCGCCTTGCCTTGCTTTGTCTTGACCAACCTTCGCTCGTTCAACAATCCAACTACTACGACTTTTTTCTTTTCTGCTCTTTGCCTCAATTCGGCCTTTTTTTTTTTTCTTCTCTCTTCATCGACTTCTTCCTCTTCCTCTACCTACCTTACCTACCGTGCGTAATTTATTCCCAGCACTTCCTTCCTCGTGGCCTCCGCAGCGTTTGGCCAGAGCAGCCTTTTACGGCCGCGTCCTTTCGATCTTCAACGGTTTCTCGCTGAGCAAGCTCGCTCCATCACGTCCACGATGAGTTCTTCCGAAGCTGCTGAAAAGCTGCGCACGTCCGCAGAGGTCTCCCGCAATGAGGCCACCTTGCCTACCGTCAACCCGGCCCTGGACAAGCAGGAGCCTCCCAAGCCCGCTCTGCACCCGGCCTTCTACGTGATGTGAGTGTGTCCCGAACGGGGTGGATGAAATGAAATGAAAGCGGGGAGATGAGAGATCTGACTGGGGTGCAGTGCCTGGATTACTCTGAGTTCCAGTGTTATCCTGTTCAACAAGCACATCCTGGACTATGCCCACTTCCGTAAGTTTCCTTGCAGAGCTGCCTCGAGCAACGGTTAGAGAGACTCGACGCTAACAACGATCAAAATAGGTTTCCGTATGTGTACCTCCCGTATCGACCGACCCATTGATGAAATCACCGTGTTAACCTGTCTCCAGCGATTATTCTTACAACATGGCACTTGGCATTTGCAACCTTCATGACCCAGATTCTCGCCCGCACCACCACCCTGCTCGATGGCCGCAAGACCGTCAAGATGACTGGCCGTGTCTATCTGCGTGCCATCGTCCCCATCGGTCTCTTCTTCAGTCTGAGTTTGATCTGCGGCAACGTTACGTATCTCTACCTGAGTGTTGCTTTCATTCAGATGCTCAAGGTACGCTGGGAACCAAAACAACAATACGGCAACTCGTCGAAGGAACGGCAGCAAGGCTAACATGACTACTAGGCCACCATGCCCGTCGCTGTGCTCTCGGCCACCTGGGCTATGGGAATTGCTCCCGTGAACCTCAAGGTCCTGATGAACGTCTCCGCCATCGTCATCGGTGTCATCATCGCCTCGTTCGGTGAGATCAGGTTCGTCTTGATCGGCTTCCTCTTCCAGCTCGGTGGTATCGTCTTCGAGGCCGTCCGTCTGGTCATGGTTCAGCGTCTGCTGAGCTCTGCGGAGTTCAAGATGGACCCTCTGGTTTCCCTGTACTACTTCGCTCCCGTCTGCGCTGTCATGAACGGTATCACTGCTCTGTTCCTCGAGGTTCCCAACCTCACCATGGACCACGTGTACAACGTCGGTGTCTTCACGCTGCTGGCCAACGCCGTTGTTGCGTTCATGCTGAACGTGTCGGTTGTCTTCCTGGTATGTAGTCTCGGTCGTCCCGAGGTGATATCGGCCTACGCTAACACATGGATTACAGATTGGCAAGACTTCTTCTCTGGTCATGACCCTGTGCGGTGTCCTCAAGGATATTCTCCTGGTCGCCGCCTCTATGATGCTCTGGCACACCCCCGTCACTGGTCTCCAGTTCTTCGGTTACTCGATTGCCTTGATGGGTCTGGTCTACTACAAGCTCGGTGGTGACAAGATCAAGGACTACGCCGGCCAGGCCAACCGCTCGTGGGCCGAGTACGGTGCCAACCACCCGGCTCAGCGCAAGGGCATCGTCGTTGGTGCTGTCGTCCTCTTCTTCTTCCTGCTCTTCGGATCGATGGCTCCTAGCTACGCTCCTCAGTCTGTCGACCGCTTCAAGGGCATCCTCGGTGGTGCCACCGCTGGAAACGCGTAAACGCACACTTGAGTCGCCCAGGGGCTCTTGTCTCCCCCCTCTGTGGACCCCCGGCACATCTATAAACTATAATGGTCGGCAAGCAGACACAGGAAGAAGGCTATTCATGCATCAGCTGGATGCCCGTTCTGATTTCCGCCATTTTTTCTTCGATTTCTTTCCTTGTTGGAGGGATGAGTTAGGAGGCCTGTGAGACGATTATAGAGACTCTTGAGGAAGGTACATGTTTGCACGCATGGCCAAAGGTCTGTTTTGAGATTTTCTGACCTGGCCACGGCTGCGGCCGCTGGGAATACCGCCAGTGTCTTTTTGGGACAGGAGTTGATGCGTCGTGTGTTTGCATGGGTCCGGTCTTACTCGCGAAAAGCAACTTTTGACCATCCACTAATTCCCGACGCGGACTATGTGCCATTATTTCTGCCTGTGATCTCACGAATGTTCTATTATTTGACATGTTAGACTTAGCACGACACACTTCATCGTGGGGGTGTATTTCATTTTTCCTTGACAGGGTTCGAATAGAGAAATTGATTAATTGCTTCGGCAAGAAAGTGTCATTGCTGTTCTCGTCCATTCTCATTGCTTCTTTGTGATCTGTGTGATCTGTGGTTTTGGCGGGTGTGTTCTTTGTTCGCTGACTACGACACTCTGGTGGGCTTATTCTGGGAAGAAGGCTGCTGGACCCGAGGATCACCAGTGAGGCGGGCAGCTTGTCCGGGCAACGATTTTGTCTATGGTACCAGGTTGTTTCGACTCGGCCGACGATGATAACAGACAGACACCTTGCAGGATCAAGGTAGCCACAGACCCGCGGTTGCGAATTCATGCCCCGGGGGGAAGCTGGCTTCTGACTGGTGATAAACCGGTCCGGGCATGCAGTTCCAGCCAGTCCGGACACTCCGGGGCTCGCCAAAGATCTTCCGGGGGAGAGGGGGGTGCTGGCCACTCAGCATCTTCTTCATCGGTGCTCCTAGGTCGTCTGCCCCAGGCGAGCAAATCACGCGGCCTGCTCTACGGCTTCAACACGACCGAGATAGATAACGCGCTTCTCAAGTATCAGAGGATTCTCGAAGAATTATGGATGGCAAATCGAGGGCTTCACTGTTATTCTGGAGACCACTACGTCATGCCAGCGCACGTCGGAAGTAAAGGCGCAGCATACGTCATACGCTTTCGTTCCGTGTGTTTACAGTAGTTACCAACCTGACGGTGTGGAATACATACATAGTTATGTATCGAGTCTTATTGCTGCCACTAAGTTACTACGTACGATCATCAATGATCGACTCCGAAAGGCCAATGAAAAAAGAAGAAAAAACAACGCATGTTTTTGCGATAAACAAGTAAATAAACGAATAACGCGAAAGACCCAAGAAGACCTATCAGTACGCAAACCGGAAACTAGGATGATCATCGCCCAGATTCTCCAACTCTTCCCTAGGAAGACCATATCGATAATCCCTCTTCCCTTCCCTCCTAAGACGATTCTCACGAACCACATACAAAAAGAACACCACACAAGCAAAACCACTAACCCAAACCAACCCCAAACTAACCCCAAACCCCGTACGATACGTCGGCGCCTCCCCAGCCAGATAAACATTACTCGCAATCAACCCACCACAATTCCCAAACCCAATCTGAACCCCCGACGCAATAGACCGTTTATAATGCCCACTTACATTATTACTCAACCAACCCATCACAATAGGCTGAGTCATATACCCACCCGCCGTGATGGCGTAGATGGCAAAATAGCGAACTCCCACGGGAACAGATACTTGGCAGAGAAGAATACTGTATCCGATAGTGGCGATTATGCATCCGAGTATGGTGAAGAGGAAGCGGTGGTGGAGTTTATCTGATGCGAGGGCGCTGCAGAGGGATGTGATTGTGGCGGCGATGTAGATGGGGATGCTCATTACTTGGGCCCGGACGGATGTCCAGCCTAGTTGTTTGAGGATGGTGGGGGTGAAGAATGAGGTTGAGTAGCCGGTGTTGAGGACGCCGAGGTACATGATTGTTCTGGATAGAAAGTTAAGTTAGCAGAGGTAGTTAAGTAGTAAAAAAAAAAAAAAAGCCCTCGTCAGAGACCATCATAATGATAAACATCATTCGATAGATAATGATACTGTAATGAGGACATACCCCAGATAAATCTTCCCATCCAAAAAAACCCTCCTAGCAGCGCTCTTATCAAGTCGATTCATAATCGCTACTCCTCCACCATGATCAGAAGCCAAACGACGAATCAACAGAGCACGTTCATCACTGTCCAAGAACTTTGCACTCTCCGGCCAGTCGGGGATGAGAAATTTGGCAACTATAGCAATAACAACTGTAGCGAGACCTTCAATGATGAAGATCCAGCGCCAGCCATTATTGTATCCTCCTCCTCCTCCTCCTATTATTATTATTATTCCTGTCATGTTGTTTGCGATTGCGTAGGCTAGGAGCTGCGTTTGGAGTATTAGCTCAATCGGTTATGCTCAGCGAGAAAGCTCAGTATGTATGTATGTACTGTATGTACTGTACTTACTCCGCTAACCGCTCCAGCCATGATACTTGATGAGAAAAAGAGGTTCATTCGCCATTGTAGTTCGTAACGCTTGTAGTACATGGAGATGAAGTACATGCATCCTGTTTATTCTCCCCATATTAGTCAATTATAGAAGAATAACCAAAACAAAAATCAAATAATTAACTCCCAGGAAAATAAACAAACCTGGCACAAACCCAGCTTCAGAAACACCAAGTAAGAATCGACAAGCGACCAGACCACCAAAGCTTTTCGTAACACCCTGACAGATCGTAATGACACCTTCACCATACAAAATTAGCAATCAAATCTAAAAAAAAAAATCACCGAAAATTAAACATAACCACTTTCGAAAACAAAACCCATACATACCCCACGCGAACATAATACCACTAAGCCAACTCGACGGAGCCACCTTCTTCAGGATGAGATTACTAGGGACTTCGCACAGGATATACGGGATGAAAAATACGAATAATGCGATATTGTAATCGTTTCCGAACATGTTTAGATCCTTTTCGAGGCCTTGGAGTTTTGCGTTTCCGATCTTTTTTCAAATTATTAGGTAGTTATTCGCGATTTCAGCCACTATAAGGCATATATATATATATATATATATGTGTGTGTGTGTGTGTGTGTGTGTATGTGTATCTGCTCGGGGAGCGACGTACATTAATCCTATCCATAAACGACATCAAGTAAAGCAGCATCAGAACCGGTAAGATGTGTAGATCGCATTTCCGGAGGAGTTTCTTGTCTGCTGTGGGGTCTATGGAGGATAGCGATTCGTTGGATCTGATGATGTCTTGGATGGAATTGTTCTTTTCTTGATCGGACATTTTTTCGAAGGAGGGGTGTTTTGGGTCTCTGTGTTTTGATGATTTGGTAGAAGGCTGGCATATACGTTATATGTGTGTATGTCAAATGTAGGTCGGGGAGGGGGGAGGTTTCCAATACCAGAAAACGGATTAATCCTACTTGTGTTGTGGAAAGAGACTGCTTTGTTCTTTGTAAGAAAAGACAAGTCACATTCTAATCTTGGACCTTATAAGTCCAGGAAAAGAACCAGGAGAGAACGTTCTTTATATAACTCTGGAGACATCTCCTCCTACCTACCTACCTACGGAAACGAATGTCGGGGTATAAGAAGATCATCAATCAACCAATTCCGCCCTTCCCCTACCGGCTACAGCTTCTACTGTATGCGGAGTACCGGGCAACTAAGAAGAAGACGGAAAAAAAAAACACTTCCAGCAGATCAGTTGACCCTCACGAGACATCAGTGACTCCGAATCGTCAGGGACACTTCCCCGCAGGAAGAGAGCCGTGAAAGGGCCTTAGTGTCTGTAGCGTAGCAGACTGGGATACGATACGCCGTGTCACCCTCTTTGGTAGTGGTGGGGCCTACCTAGGACGCTCTCGAGGATTTGCCAATGCGAGAGCTGGGAATTGTGGCGTTATAAGAGTTTTCTCTTTTGGTGTTATAGAGGTTGTCTCGCTACAGTTTTGCCGATTTAGAATGGAGATCTTGGACTAGAAGTTTTATTTTCCCGCGGAGATTATACCTTTGTCTGAAGTTCACGATGTAGACTTGCTTAAGGGACTTCACCCAAGATAAGACGTTTCAAAGAGGAAAAAGTACTAGTTAGTTAGTAGCATGTTCGATTCTGCGACCAGATCCGTATCAAAGAAATTGGGCCAAGAGCATCTCCACTTGTTATTCGACGTATTTCAATACCATAAACCTCCAGAACTATACAATCACTTCATCGAAGCAGAAATAAAGCCTAGAGTCCATAGAATCCGCAACAGATATTCTGATTAATGACTTTGGGACCGTCGATTATAATTTATCAGGCAAGTTTGGGGAATATCCGGGGTAAATCCCCGCAATTCGGGGCCACTCTACTTCTAGGCTCTAGCTATGTATAAGGCTTAGCTGGTGCTGCCAAGGCTTCCCCGCAATTCCAAGACCGTTGGAGGTTCACTATTGTTGATTAGAGTGTTTTGCGTATATTCGTTGCGTTGCTGTTTCTATCTGTAACGGTCTCTTATAATGGAGTTGTGCGGGATTAATGTGAGTCCTAGTGTCTTCGAAGCTTCTCAGAATATCCACGACATCAAGACGGGAGTGCCTTGATCCACGCGATAATAACGCATTAGCCATCGGTCCAAAGCTATCAAGGGAAACCGGATGAACGTGCACATGGTAATTATTGGTCTATCAATGGAGTTTTCCGATTACTGATCATAAACAAGGCTTTTCGCTCCTAAACAATAGACTCCGAACCGTCACGTCTCATAATGCCATCAGTTGTCATCAATTCCCTTGCCATTGCCCTTGCCCTTGCTTCCCTGATGCCACATTCTAGGACGCTGAATATACGCCAACAGTACAAAAACACCGCAGATCCCGTTACCCTCAACCATAGACCCTATCAAATAGCCACGCATCGTTATGTACATATGAAAGCAGTGCATATTACATTCGTTTAGGAAATAAGCAAATCTCTCACGCTCATCCCCATCTTTCGGTTATTGTCCGAAGAGGGGGCCAACGAAGACGGAAGCACTTCTTTCGTTGAGTCCAAGGTGCCTCTCCTGTCCATGTTCAACATCAGCAGGGCAGCGGAGGCCTCATGATCGACGTCGCTGTCCCTGTAGGAGACGCTGCTCCGTTGGGGCTGAATGGCAGGGGACGCAGAGACGGAGGGGGCATTGGACACAATCCATGAATGCTCTGGGGAGCGTATTGAGTTCTCCCGTGACCGCGATGGACCCAGTGCAGGGCTCGGGAGCATGCCACCTCTCAGTTCAACGGGCAGTTGAGCTTGGTTGTGGTGACTGCGTGGGGACAGAGATGGCGACATGGTGCTAATCTGAGACCGATCCGGCATCAGCTCCGGCGACGCTGAAGCAGAAGGCACACTCTCTCCCGATTGATGCGACCCAGTAAAGAAATCCGGAGACGTTGGCGACGGCGGGCCTGGCGGCGGTCGAGTTGACCGGCCCATGTTGCGATTGTCCGCCGTCTTCATATCTGATATACACTGTTCGAGATAGTTGACATAGTCGATGCTCGCCTATAACTGTCAGCTAACGCTATTTTTTTCACTGGACCATGGGAACACTGACCTGCAGGATCGCAAGTTTGTGCATCTCCTGGCCTTTGCAGGCAGGAATCATGTCTTTTAATGTGGCGAACTCCTCGTTCATCTTCGACCTCCGCCTCCGCTCAATCAGGCTGTGTGCTGTCTTCCTTGCAATCTTCCTGCCTGCTGCACTGGTCGCACTAGGCTGCTTCTTTTTGGATGCATTATTGGTTTGCGAACTGCCGGTTGATTGCGTCTTGCCGGCATCCTTGGCTTTAGCTTCCGTCTCCGTCTTGGCCGGAGCCTGGGCCTTTGGCTTCATCTGAATGATTTTGCGAGTCCGAGTCGGAGGCGGTGGGAGGTCGAATCCTTCCAGCGGCCTCTTGGTGCTCGTTCTTCGTGGTGGATTGGCATTGCGTGCCGTGGAGGCTGCGTGTGGTGAAGTTGGGGAGGTCGGGCGATAAGCAGTTGCATCCATCTTGGATTCTCTGTCTCCTGTTCCTGCTGCAGCAGACGACGGCAATGCAGCTGGAGGCAGGGAAAAGAAAGATTCAGAACCCTCCGGGAACGGCTGATCCTTGATAATCAGCTCGCCCGACATTGACGGGGTCGGTGGCAGACGAGGGGGCGGCATCGCTAGGTCTTGACAGCTCCGGAGGTGATCTTGAGACTGGAGCACGAGCTGAAGGATGATGCCCCGCAGCTCAATGACAGGAAGGACAGCTTGTCAGCCAGCGGATGCGCAGCTTCAGGACAGAGATCTGGATGAGGAGAGTAAGTAGAGTAAGTAGCAGACTGGTCTTGCGCCCCCTCTGGGTGAACGGAGGGGGGTTGGAGCTTTTAAGCAGAGTGGCAGAGACATCTCCAGCTGGGCCGAGCACGATGATGGATATGGGGCCTTGCAGCGCAAAGATCGTCGGCTTGAGATGGAGGAGAATCGGAGTGTCGCGTGCTGTGTGTGATAGGCACGCCGTGACATGTGAGCCATCCCGGTGCGCTGATTGGCCCGCGCCGTCAACCTCTCAGGAGCAGCACGAGATGCCCGTGGACGATTCTTTTTGCCTGCAAGCGACGATAATATACTAATGGCTCACGAAAACAGCCCGGATTCATCTGGACTCTGGAATTTAAGATAAAAGATACGAGCAATTTACCCCACCACTAAGCTGGCACCGGATAGTAGACTAGAACTCTTTGTTCTCGACATTCATTCTCTACCTACAGGAGTCGAATCGTATCTCATAAAATCCCGAACAGTGTCCGTGTAGACCAAACCAGATAATAATAACCATCATTATTTTCCCATCACGCATCCAAAACACCCATTTTCCCAAAGCGCCCGTTACGTCCGAAAAAAAAAAGTCATAACCCATGTTTCATATCCATATCACGTGCTCATCTGTCAGATTCTCCCTATAATTCTCTCAGGTCCAATTCAAGAATTTTGGATCAAGTAGGTTGGTTCCTGAGCTCTCCAGTCAGTATTGCTCGTCAGGACAGGAATGCGTTCCGCGGGAACTTAATAATGAATTACCTCTTGGTTCAGTGGATCAAGGACGGGTCACACATCCTGCTGCAGTCCAGGTACGTGCCCCAGCTAAGTACCAACCCCAATCAGCTTTAGAATCATTCGAAGGACAAACTAAACTGTGCACACGCCACCTGCGAAAGAGGGGCGATTGAAAATCACTCACCAGTAGTCATCGTGCGTGGGGAGCGCCATGCTGCAAATCTGCGCCTGGAGAGAGCAGAGAGTCGTGCAGACGTCGTTATCCGAACTACTACTACCAGCTTGACTGGCCAACGTAGTGCTCTTCTGCTGCGCCGTTCGAGTCGTGTTCGAATTGGTCAAGTTGACCAGGTTGATCGCATGCACGTTCGTAACGGCATGAGTCTGGTTCCAGGAGACTGCTGGGATCTTGGGCAAGGCAGCAGCAGCGCCGGCCAGAGCGACGGTCAAGGTGAGGATGTTGAACTGCATGGTGGCTAAGTACTGAAACGAGAGTCTGTCTTGATATACTTCGCCTGCGAGGTATCTGGCAAGACAAGGTGATCTAGCGAGGGTATTTAAACTATTTAACGATCGTCTTCGAGCTTGAGAATCTGTGGCATCGAGATATTGAAGCCGTTTGGTAACTCTTATATACTTCAAGTACGGCGACACGTCGTCCCAATTGGGAAAATCCAGTTCTCTCCAGCCTCCCGTGTGCCAACATTCCACATGCCAGCCAGCCCCGCGTATCCCTAGAAGCGGCCCAGCACATACATACTATACCTATCAAATGTCACAATCATTGTCACCTAGAGTAGTCTTTCCAAGATAATCACGTCAACACTTCATTATTGCGCGCCGCCAAATACTATGGTATGCATACCTCGGGAAGTGAGTGCACTTGACACGTCCCATCATACACCACCGCTCAGCACACCATGAAACACAGATGCACATTCCTACCTGTCAGCCCTATACGTCAAGATCTTCAGTGATCGTCCCCTTCAATTTTCAAGAGAGGAAGGAACACGGGGGTAACCTTTCTGTGCGTTGCAGAATTGTTGATAACTTCAACTGGCCTATCTCACCCAATGAAGCCCAGGATCGGAATGGGTACATTCTATTACAACTCATGAATGCAGTTTAGAGGTATTCATTTCTCTAATTCTTTTATCTTTACATGCTGGGCACAATATGGCTTACCATTCAGACTCTCCTTTTCTCAATGTCTTTTAGACCTTTTTTCAATGCGCTTTCCCGGCTCAATATGTGATTTCCAGCGCAGAAAATAGGTGCAGGGGAAAAAAAATGCACTGTGTCTGAGTAGAATGACACGGGATTCCCGACATGTAGAGCCAAATGCAATGTCCTCGCGGTATAGGAGTATCTAGAGATATAGTCTTCCTCACAGAGTATATCTACAAAAAGCCATCTCCGCATATCTAGGCGCTAATAATTTGCTGATTGTTAAAAGTTGATCTCTACTGAAAGCATTTTATCTTCTTAAGGTGGAAGCCAGGAACTCATTGGTATTTTACTACTGCTTGTGACATTACTTCAGATATGATCCTACTGATGGAAGCAAGTGAAAATCCATTTCTATTTCATGGAAACTCTGCATCATATGTCCCGCCTTTATACGGCCTGGGAAAGATTGATAACCCGCCTTCATACGGCCTGGGAAAGATTGATAACCCGCCTTCATACGGCCTGGGAAATATGAGGAACCCGCCTTTATGCGGCCTGGGAGGAAGAACTAAGCTTCCATCAATGGACAACTCACAATCACACGCTGGAATACTTCCCACGGTGCAGTGTCCTTCCTTTCAAAACTGAAGAGACGAGATTGTCTAATCACCAAGGTTCCGCCATCCATGCAAGCGTAGAACATCCGGCCATGCTGAGGGCCCATGACAGAAACCATCAGGACAGGAAATCTCTTCTCTTTTTCGAATTCGAGCTGTCGTGGCTCCAGTTCTTGGTCATCTTCGTCGACCTTGGGCTGATTTGCACGACATCGCATCATTGTGATGATCGCTGACAGCTCTCCGAATTTCATAGAATCATCCTTGCCATTGCCAAAATGCAGCGTCATAAGGAAAACATGAGGGTAAACAGGCTTATCATCCTCCTTCCCATATTCTAATATCAGTTTACTTCTCCATCTCCGCCCATCTGTTCCTCCGTCTTCCAATAGAAGAGGGTTCGGGTAACTATAGCAGCTTTAGTAGTTGCATTAGAAGGAAGAGAAAGATCAGGATACTAACTGGACTGGACTCATTCCGTGGAATTCTGCGAGGCTGGGTAAATCGGGCTCACCAATCACTGGAAAGCCAAAGACCAGAGCCTTGAGATATCGGGAGATTTCCCCTGCACAATCGACAGGATCCCAATATCCACGACGTAGCTCTTCAGGATCTGTTGGAGGGTTATAGTCTCGAAAGTCCACCTCGTGTTCTTGTAGGTCCACTGGGTGGCTTCGAAGCTTTTCGAGGCTAAGTGGCCGGAAAAGAACAGGTGGTTCCAGACTCACATTAGTACTGTCGAATTTTTCAAAATCGCAGTTGATACGTACGATTTGATATTTTTCAAGGGTGGCTTCGGTTACCTCATCCTCCTGCAGGTCAACGTCTTTTTCCAGGACCACCTTCTCCCACAGGGTATTAAGCCTGCGGCGAGGTGTCTGTCGGGTAGATACAAATGGCATCTTCTTTTCTTTAAGATTTTTGATGAGTTGTCGGTGTGTATTTGGAACAGAGATTGTGATGCCAGTCAGGTAAATATTTTACCGAAAGGTCCCCTGGGTCGAACATTGAGTTCCCACGGGCCGAATTGTCTCATCGTCATGAAACCAGCTTTTGCTATGCTGCCACCCTTCAGATATCTCACTCAATTCCCATCATAATCAGGAAAAGTAATGTAGATATCACTCTTATCCTGGGATATACTTTCTTCGTTAGTTCCTATTACATATCTGATTCCAGGACACATCTATACTTACTGGGCATAATTCCAGGCTCCAGCCTCCGGGTACTCCTGTTACCATGCCGCTCTCTGGGAGACCTCTTGCATCTGCACCTGAGGGGAGCGTTTGTTTCTAGTGCCGACGTTACACTCGATGATAGTGTTTATTCTTCCGGAATTGAGATCTTGTAACTGACCATCGGTGTGGGCCACGTACTGCCTAGCGCTCCCAAATTTGGCAACTAGACAAATCCTAGTAGACGCTGATGTTGACTGGCTGGGAACTGGAAACAGTCTCATGGCTAACTACGTGAGACCTCTTGAACTGGAAATGTCCAGTGCGTTCGAGGAAAATAGTTTCCTCGTCGTACGTAGTTATGAAACCATATCTCGTCCCGTAGTCATCCATGTACCGGGCCGGTTGACCTCAAGTTGTGGCTAGGGTAGGGTCTATTGAGGTAATAGCTTGTAAGAGGTTGATTAAATTGCTATTAACGCCTGTTTAATCAATGTCAGCCAGCTTATATTTCCCGTGTAGATTGGGTGCATCTATACCTCCCGTTGTTGAAGTAATGGCACTGTAAACTCTGCTATGCTCTGAGATGTATTTGTCCCAATAGCAGCAAGATAATTCTGAAAGGCTAGAAAGTTACCCAGCATTTGGCGAGCTTGTTGGACTTCAGTAGCCAAATTGAACATAGTAGGATTAAAGGCTTGTGGAGGTTTTACCCCTGGCCAAATTGTTCGGAAAAGGATATACTGCACCTGGGAGATTCTCGATCCAGACCTCAATTGCCGACATGACTTCAACGATTTGTCCACAACATTGGCTGCAGTGACTGATGTAGTCCACTCAGCCTGATTTCTCGGCACTTTGTTGAAGTATTTTGTGTCAGATATTTTAGATATCGCTTAGAATGTGCTGGTTTAAAATGAGCACTGATGTGGATTGTAAGTAGATAGATGATGAGGGTAATCTTGCGCGTGCTCATAAATGGATCTCTTGAATTATTGAAGTGACTCAGTATCTGAGGAGACTAGGTAGGTAGGTGGGAGACATGCACATGACTTTGTGTTCTAACGCGTCGACGTAGGCGCTCGACGTCTCCTAAAAGTTCAATGTTTATCAGCGCGTAGTCTGCTGTCTGCTAAATCCTCATCTAAAGTTATCTCTCAGTATAAATTGTAAATCTACTCGTCTTCCAGGACCATAGTCGAGACTAAATAGAAGATACTAGCCCTGTTACAGCCATCGAGGTGAATGAAGCAAGTGAGCAAGTGAGCAAGTGAAGAAGTGAATGCTGTCCGGAAACTTCCTCTTCTTCCCTTTGTTTCCCTACTCTTTTAGTGTCTTAATCACTAGTCTCTTTCTCTTTTTTCTCTTCTCTTCTCTCCTCTTTCCCTTCACCAACCTCCTCACATCACACACTTTCTGCAAACCAGCAAGAAAAAGATAAGTCACCACTACACATTCACAAAGACATATTAACTCTACACAGATGGAGTCCGTTCGCGCTATTGCGAATCCTGTCGCTGCTGCCCCAGGTGGTGGCGATGATGGTCGTCGTGGTGGTGATCGTGGTCGCGGTGGACGCGGCGGCCCTAAGAAGGCTGTACGTATATACCTTATTCCCATCAACATAACTGGATATAAACTAATCTATATGTATAGAAACGAAACAGAAACCTCTGCACTTATTGCAAGAGACGCGGCCACGGATGGTGGCAGTGCGACTTCTACAACGGCCTGCGGGCGATGGTAAGGACTACTGATTGAGACACCCCAAGTTATTTAACAAGGCTAACAACAAGAAAGGGGCGCCAATTTTATGAACAGATGAACCGCGGACGCGGACGTGGATGTGGGCGCGGTTCTGCCCAGAGGGGACGAGGTCGTGGTGGTCTTCTCGCAAGAGGAGGCCACCAAGGCCAACTCCCTGGCGGTCAGAACGTAAGTACCTGCAGTTAATATTGGTTGACATGTATCGATTAAATGCTAATTCAAATAGCAACCTCTCTCCGCAGAAGCGAATGCGGGCCAGATTGAAGCTGCACCCGCACCCCAGCCTGAGCAAGCACAGGATCCCGTGGCTGATCTCCTGGCTGCCATATCCACCTTGTCCGAAGAAGAGCGGTAAGTTGCTGTCTACTAGTGATATAACTTATCAGAGAGACGTTACTAATATTATATATAGTGTGCGGTTTCTTATGCAGGCTCTTGCGGCCACCAATCAGTAAGATACAGCATCATTTTTTCAAGAGGAAAAAGTGTTAATGGGATATAGGCCTCTTCGCGGTCAAGACGAAGAGCCAAAGTAAGTGAACTCCCCACATATCTTTAGGAAAAGTTCATCCATTAATATGCCAAAACAGGGACGGGCAGAAGTAAGTCCCTGGATGATAATCTATGATCTTATGTCATAATACTAATTGCCATTTCTTGGTAGATGATGCCAACATGGGTAAGAGACCCTAAAGCTGCTTTCTTATTCCACAAGCTAACCTTTTACTTCAGCTGAATGAATCTCCTTTCTTCCAAGCGCTGAAGTTCGCAAGCCGTATAAAGGCGCGAAATTTTTTTTTTAATTGCCCAAGCCGTATAAAGGCGGGCTCATGAAATTACCCAAGCCGTACAAAGGCGGGTTTATGAAACTACCCAGGCCGTATAAAGGCGGGTCCAAAAAAATAAATAGCTAGAGAAATAAAATCTCATTGCTGCGCTGCCATTTGTATCTGTTTCCATGTAGTCCATTAAACAACATGTAGAACCCATAAAACAACTTCAGCTATATTTAGTAGGCTGTAGTTCCAGAGGCCAACTAATCCCTATCCTTTATTGTAAGGCAAAAGTGGGAATTGCGTGTGGGAATGTAAGATAAAGTTGAAGATAAAAAAAACCAGATTTTATAACCTTTTTTTCTGAAACGCTCCGATACTCTTGTGGGTATAGAGTTGGTATACTCGAGATTCAGACGCGCAGGATCTACAACAAGCCAGCGCGAAGACAAAGTTCCTCATGATATTATGTCCGAACTTTCTTCTACATATGGTAGTAATAGTATTGAATATTTCAAATTGGCGTATAGGAACCAGCCGAATCAGAGAAAGACAGAAAGAAGGCCTTTCATTCCCTGTCAATGCGCGGAGTTTTTTTCGAGTGGGTTTGCGGGGCTTGTTTGGTTTAGAGTAGAGTACGTGTCTTCGAAGTGAGATAAGATCTTCGGTTCTTGTCTCTATGTACAGGGGATAATCGTCGAGATGAGTTGGTCCACTGTAGGAATTACCGTTCGGCGGGATTCGCCTCGTAGCTAATCTGTCTATTTGATTCCATTGCGGGTTTCAGGTTTGATGATCGTCTATATGTCTTTTCCATGTTATATATGCATTTGCATGTTATATATGCATTTGCATGTTATATATGCATTTGCCTCCTGTACAGTTTCCTACTGCTTTTCCCGACACGTTCCATCCCCTAGCATGATCCAGGGCTCCCGTTCATCCAAAGATCCTCTCCATCAGCACATCTCCAAAGTCATGCTCCACAGGTGAACCGTCGATCCTCCAGATCCGATTTCCAGCTCGGACGCTCAGCCAGTGTCCGTGATCGTTCGTGCTCGCGACCTCGCTGTCAATGCGATGTCTGTTCCTCCTGTCGACGACACACATGCCCCGAGTCCATTGGCCGAGAGTCTCGACACGAATATCCTCCGGGGAAGTTGGCGATGGACTCCATCGCTTGTCGTCCGCGGTGAGGGCGTACCAAACGCACACGGGGTCGTGTAAGCTCAGCGACGCAGCATCTCCTTCATGGCCGACATGAAGCGTTTCCAAAGTACGGAAAGTGTGCGCCATGAAGGCAGACACCCACTCGGCCAGCGGAGAGCCCGCCTCCAAGAGCGGTTCCACTATCTGTCGGAATTGGCCCCGCGTCATGTTGTGGCGCAGGGTGATGTCCAAGGGAAATAGGCGAAGGGTGAGCTGCTTGCTGAGCTTAGACGGGTATGGTGGGAGTTTCTCAGAGCGAGTTGGAGGCAGTGTGCTTGCAGGCATGGGAGATGTAAGCGCGAAAACGCGTGCTGCAGCGACAGCATCGGCATAAGCATTGAATTCTCCCACTGGTGTGACCTGCGAGATGCTGTCAGTAAATCCGACTCAAGGAAAACATTAGGTAAACGGATTCCAGTTGACATGGAGAAACTTACATTGCCTGGTCGGTTCACCGTGCCACCCATTACCACCACCTCTTTCACTCTCAAAAATGTCTCTGCATCTTCCGCTGCCGCTAGAGCAAGGTTCGTCAACGGTCCTACCGCAACCAGCGTGACGGAGCCTGGGTCATTCTCTTTCAGAACACGAAGGATCTCCTGGTGTGCGGGCTTCTTCGAAGGGATGAAAGATTGATGAGCAGCAGACTCGTCCCCGCCGCACTGGACCGGGTCGACCTCGCTAGGATCAGCGGAGGGATCGAACAGGTGTTCCCAGGTTTGGCTTGGTGTCAGATGGGGGTGCTGTAGAGGAGTGTCAGTGCATGATAGATAAGGTGAAAAGAAGGGAAGGTAAGCGTATGACTTACGCTCGCGTGGATTCCTCCGAGTCCATCCGTGCCATCTGATCGAGTTGGGGATTAGTTACACGGACACGAAAGAAAGAGATGAGAAGGAACTGGTCAAGAACTCACGGAAATAATCAGCCAGCATCCTTTGGTCCTCGAGAGGCTCCTCCGCGCCCACGGCGACTACAGGCTTGGAGGCGCTTAGGGCACCAAACCCTTCCGGCTTTCCATGCTCCTTTCGCCAGCGCTTTTCGCGCTCGATGATATGGAACATGGAGACGACATTTCGGAGGCAGCTACATTGTCATTAGCCATGAGTATTCCATTTCGTACCAATAACCATAGCAAAGAGCAACCGGAGAGTAAGATATAGGATATGCATACCTGCGAACCTCGATATTACCAAACGTCAAGGAGATCAACAGAATCTCAACCTCCTCCGGCTTTGCCGACAACGCGAGCAACAGGCCCAGTATATCATCAATACCCTGGAATAAAACAGACGTATGAGCTTAAAATCACGATCTCCATATCTCAATTCGCCTCAAGGATGCTTAGATTCCATGTTTTGTCGTGCATCATGCGCTTCTTCACTGCTCACACGCGGGGGCGGGGCAGGGAACATTGCGGGACGCGTTTTCAGATTTTGATGTCATTACACCGGCGATCCAGGTACAGACAGAAAGATAGGAACGGGAAGCTTACTGGATCAGTATCAATGATGATTTTCTTTTTCTCAGGCATTGTGGTGGAAAAGAACTTTCAATTGTTGCGATATTATTCTTATTGTTTTGTTGTGTTTGTGGGGTATCTATCGCCAACGCAAAAGATAGATATAATAGTCTAATGGTGGCTGTAGTTCGCAGTAGAAAGATACCTTAGGTTTGCTATTTTCGTACTCCGTATGTCATTCCAAGAAAAGGCAGATCTGACCCACAGATAGTTCTTTTGTTATCGCAGAATTACTACTACGTACTACCAACTAACTAGTCGATGCTGGGCCTGATTACGTTGGGTGGATAACAACCATCGGTGCTACCGAGGAGGTGCGAGCAAATGCCATAAGTTAGTTTTCGACCGAAGTTCTTACAAGAACTGCGCTAACGGATGCTATATATCTGTACACTCGTATGCTCAGGCCATATTGCATCGATAAAAAAAAGCCCACCCACGACCCGGTCTATAAGATTTGACTAGGAGTGTCTTGGCGCATCAGTGATGGTTTCCAATAACCAAAGTATCCAGGCAACTGTAAACTTGTAAAGCAGAGTATTATATCTCATGCGCTGGAAGGATATGGACAGCAATTTTCATGCGACGAAAAATATACGCCTAGTATTTCCTTCTAAGGAAAAGAATGGTTTGAGAGACAACATAAATCAGTGGGTTTCAAGGAAGAACAGGAGCTATGAGCACGTATGTATGTGAAGACCCCAAGTAGTATACCATCCAAGAACTCCTGTCGGTCTTCTTCCCAAGTCGCAGATTACGAGGACAACGCATTTGTATATCACGAAGACCTGAATCGAATAGTTCTTAATTAGTATCCCTTATTGCTGTAGTCTGACAGAGATAATAAATATGTAAAAGGACACTGGGATGTTGGAACAACAGATGAACTATCATTAACCACTAGCTGAGTACCTGCATGCAGACTGCGTCCTTTAACCTAAAACGGAACCTATTCGTTGCAACAGCTGAGCCCAGACTTCAGATAATTTCAGTAGAGACTCTAGATTGGATACTTGCACAGTATGTGGCAACCGGGACCACTTATGTTTCACTCCTGCCATCTCGTCTGCATAGCACGCCGTCCCCGCGGAGGGCTGAGCATGTTGTTGATTCGTCTGGCTGGCCAACGTTATTCTCGGCGCCTAGATCTTCTGAGGTCCTCGCGCGAATACCAAGAGAGGGGGTCATAAAACTAAAGGTGGCCTAATCACATCTGCTGAGCTGAGACCACCGGTGGATCCAAAGAGTATGGTATGATGTTCTTCTGCTGCTATTTGATGGATAATTAAGTTATGCAACCTGACAGCAGTTGAAACCCTAAGAAAACAATCGATGAAATTGCAATGCTGCGCGAGAAAGGGGTTCGATAGTGTTTGTTCCTTGTCTTGGTTTAAGGGGGGGTGCAGTTGCAATATACTCGAGAACCATGCAGGTTGATGGTTGGACGGTATGGAAGCGAAGCGATCTGACCACGTTACACCAAAGGTGCGGAGGGAGCGAGTCCGTGAGGGTTTTAAACCAGATTCCGAGCTGGAACGGCGGCAGATCTAAGATAGCATTTGGATGGCGTCCTGCTTAAACGAGATTAGTGGCGAAGCAGCATCAAAGACACCAGCCAGGTAAAGCAGTAATAAAGAGGCTAGACTAGCTGTTCGAGAGACCGGTCAGAACGGCTGTGGACACGGAACGTAGTCAGTCCAGGCCATGAACAGGGAGGAAACAACAATAAATTAATATCATAATAATGGCTCCGATCATTCATTATTCCGATGCATCAGCGAGCCAGGGGAAGACGCAGCTCATTTCTTTCGACGGCGCTTCTGCGTGGTGGAGAGGGCAACGCAGCTAGCGTGCCAGTGAGAAGAAGCCAGTCGAGAGGCAAAATCCGGCACGCTCTCCACATGGCGAGGCTTTGAGGCTGGACGAAGCGACTATTGAGGATGGAGGTGGATGCTGGGAGGACGGGGGAAAAATAATGGCGATTTCGAGAGAAAGACGAGGATTATTCAACCAGCAACCCTGGCCCTCTCCCCCAAAGAAGGTCCAAGACCGCAAAGACCACCTCAACCCCCGAGTCCGAGCAAGTAACTAATTAGTTAACTAACTAACTATACTCTACTTACTCTACTCACCCCCTCCCCCTTCGCATCCCGTCTTGCCTTGCTGGCCTCTTCTTGCGCTTGCTGCCGTTCCATCCTCCTCGATCAGCCTGCCGTAGGATGGCCTTTGCTGCCATCGTCGCCATCCTCTGATCTCGTCCATCTCGTCTCCTGTGGTCGTCTGGACGGCTTCCCACGCGCAATCGAAACCTTTGATGCTCCAGCTTCCTCCACGTTGACCGTTGCGCTACGTAATCGACCCCAGCTTGCGACTACATTGTGGTGATCGCTTCGCTTGGAAGGCCATCTGTGAAAAGACGGAATCATCCTCACGGAGGTGACGGTTCCTGGAACAGGCTGCCGCACCCTAGCCTTTTTCACACAATCTCCAACCTGGCATTTTCAGCTGTTCCCGCTACTCCCCTGATGATTTGAAGCCCGTGTGAACACTCGCGAGAGAGCGCCTACGTGAGCTATCCGTCCGATCATTGACGGTTTTGAAGTCGGAGCTTATACTTCGAGCTCCCTCCGTGTTGCATTTTCCTCCACGGTGTCACCATCTCCGTTGCGGCAACGGTCTTCCCCGGCCGCTTGGAAAGCATCAGTGACCCGGATCCCCACCATCTCTGAACAATCTAATACAATTGAAGTATGTTCGCATTGTCTACCTTGCGCCTTCACCTGTCGATGGCACTAACATTTGTCTCTCAGGTCGGGCGAAAATGAATCCCTACATCAGCTGGGCCCTTGTGCTGGTCGTTGCCGGCAGTTTGGGCTGGTACTATACCAATGTCCCCCATCCAAAGGCCAAAACAGCCGCGAAAACCCTGACTGAGAAGGTCGAGAGCGTACAGGAGACCAAGAAGCCGAAGCGCAAAGCAAAGAAGACATCGTCTGCCCCTCCCGCCCCGGCCGCCAAGCCAAAGGAAAAGCCGTCGGTAAAGGCGACGGCGCCTGTTGCTGAGAAGGTGGAGGAAGATGACAACAAGGAATTCGCGAGACAGCTTGCTGCCGCGAGGGAGGGTGTTACCCCAGCCTCCAAAGGCAAGGCTTCTGGCAAGGAGAAACCGGCGAAGGAGCCCGTTGTCAACCACCTCGAGAGTGGAAGCAGCGAGGTCTCGGGATCTCGAGGCTCTACTCGTGCTTCATCCACCACCGGTGCTGACGCCGATGATGATCTCTCTCCGGCTGGGTCGCCCAAAGTCCCGGCTGCGGGAGGGGTATCTGACATGCTGGAACCACCTGCGCCTAGCGCCTCTGTCCTGAGACTTACAGGCTCTCTTGAGAGCGCACCTAAGAAACAGAAGCAACAGGCATTCAAGCCTGTGGAGACGAAGAAACAACGCCAGCAGAGGCTGAAGAATGAAGAAAGAAAGCGCCAAACTCAGGAAGCGGAACAGGAGAGGCGCAAGCTGCTGGAGAAGCAACTGCACACCGCGCGGGAGGCTGAACGTCGCGAGGCTGCGAGGTCCAAGAAGCCAGCTCCAGTTAACGCCTGGAATACCAACGCCGCTTCAACTGCGACTAACGGTGCTTCGAAGCCAGCTCCTATCCAGGATCCGGGTCTCCTCGATACCTTCGAGGTTAAGACACCCACGGCATCTACTGCCGCCCCATCTGCCTCCAACGACTCGAAGCAGGGGAAATGGGCCCAGGAATTGCCTTCAGAAGAGGAGCAGATGCGCATCCTTGGCGTTAGCGGCAGCGATGACTGGACGACCGTTTCATCTGGAAAGAAGGGAAAGAAGAAGGCAGACAAGGCCGATGAAGGTGTCAGTGATGCCAGTGTGCCTGAAACCCCTGCGCCCAGCAGCTTTGTTGAGCCCAAGCTCCCAAAGGTCGAGAAGACCTACCTTCCGGAGAGCTTCCGTACTGGTAAAAAGAACCACCCTCTCGACTCCGACTGGGCTGCTTGAGTGCCCTGACCGGTCTGCGATGCTGGTCTTCTGTATCATGGCCACCGGTGGTCTGTTATCAACACCTTAATCGCGCTGTATTATCTACTCTCATGGCTTTGGCGTTCAGGATGTTGTACCAAAAAGCCCATTGGGCGGGATATTATGTGACCCCCTTTATTGTATTGGGAAGCACATCCTCGCTGAGTCCTAAGTCGCTGATACCGTTCTTTGTCCGCGAAGGATGGCCGTGACGTCTCCCGATCATCCACGATTATTAAAAGCTGTTCTATACCATATTGTCTTCATATTGACAGGTCCTCAGCAGCTCAATAGTATTTTATTTTCCTTTTTCTTCTGGCTTTGATATCTATCATGTACTATATATGTTTAGTATCGTCGCTTTGCGAAGCTCTGCGCGATGATTCCTCTGTATCGAGGTTCTCATGCAGAACAAACCTATGGTCTATGCATCTGTCATGGCCGTTTATGCTATAGTCGAATCTAATGCAATAATCGGCGATGGTCTTCTCGGGATGCTCTTGTATCTGGTCTGTTTCTCTTGTGGCAGAATTGTTAGTTATCGGTCTCGTTGTCCTTCTGTAAGCAACGACTACTGGTACATGAGCACCTGACTACTAGGCAATAAAGAGAACGTAGGCTGCTTTAAAACCTACCCTTTTGCGGACGAATGTGAGCCGGGAACGTTCCAAGGATCCATGTTTACTTCAACTCACAAAGCCACGTCCTGGAGTCAGTGAATACCAAAATATCGATAGTGAACTATTCCTGATAGCCTGGATCCCAAGATCATCTGCCTAAATCATTCACCAGCATCTTTTCTGGAATACTTAATACCACTTGAACCCCCTTATCCGTTCTTCCTTCTTATCTTCTTAATGTACTTTCTCATTCCTTATGTATGTTTTTCATTTATAAGTACTATTCCTGTATTATATATACAATCCCTAAGAATATATTAAACTCTCTAGACTACACTAAGTCTGACAGAATATATAATGGCTGAACGCACGCCCTCGTTCCCACCCCCGAGCTCTCTGCCAACACCACCTGATTCACCCCGCAAACGGCGGCGCCATCTTCGTGAATCTAATGAGACCAAGGGGTGGATGTCGCTGGAGCAGTATCTTTATAGAACCGATCCCTATCGATCCACGACTGTTACACACCCGCTACCCTACCCGTTGTTGATCGAACCAGCAAATGATGCTATAAAAAGAAGAATATCAGAATACCATATATATATCGAAGCCATTCTTAGCGACCATGGTTTTCACGGACCACACGAAATCGACGTCAATATGGTTACGAAACCCGTCTTCGGCGAACAGAAGTCTCTTCCCACGCCGGAGGATGTTGAGGAGATTATCAAGTTTCCCATACCTCGCCTGAAGAGCGACATTGCCAAACTGTTTTACCCGGATCCGGAGGACTATGATTGCGTGCCGGAGTCAAAATGGCTATGCCGCTACGGTGTCATGGCAAAAGACTTCATCTACAACGAGGAAAGCGAAGAGCTCGAAGTATACTGGCCTCGGTTGAAAAAGCCGGTACTGCTGGAACAGTCCGTTGAGATGTGGTACTGCAGACTGAATTTCCTGGCAAGGTTCAGTGATGACCAATATGAGCAATGCTTTAAGCGGCTCACAGGAGCGATGGCGAAGGAACCATTCCCAGACTTCGGTTTATTCGCTAATATGTGCCGTAGGCATGGGCCTATCGTGAAAAACTTGCTGATTCATGTTCTTTTCTAGTTTAATATAGAGTTCAAAATGTCTAAAACCCACAACAATGAATTGCAGAGTTTTCAATTCTTGTCCCACGTGGTTGGATTTGTCGTCCATGTTCGCAGAGACGAAGACGAAGAAATGAAAGCAATGGGGTTTATCAACGAGGTGTTTGCACATGTGGTCAAGCACCACGGCTAGGTATCCAGGCGGAGATCAACCGGTTCTTACCCTTAGGATTAACTATTGGCGTGATGCGGTGATCCCCCGTGTCCTTGGAGAGGCTCGAGATCGTATCCGTGAATTGCTAGCGCGGAATGGTATATCTATGGATATTGAAATCGTTGATTCACAAAATTGTTTGAGACCATCGCTTTTTGCTATCAAGCCGGATGATCAAGCTGTTGCTCCCTTTGAGCAAGCTAGAGGACGACTGGCCGACCTTCTGACTCGCGAACTGCGTGAAAGGTGGCGCAGTATCTGTCTATTCAACGTGGGTTCTTTCAAGGAAAAAGCGACGGCATCAATTGTAGTTATGGTCGATCCTGGGACAAACTGCGACTGGTCGGATCTCCGATTTACAATGCTGCGTGAGGTTGGACATGACCCGAACATCTCTCTCCAGGTCGAGTTCCTGCCTGGAGAAGCGTCCCCGTTGCTTGCGAGCATCCCCCGATCTCTGCAGCCGGAGCAGAACGCTAATGAATGTGCACCCCCGTTGTCACAGCTTGATAAGATGGACAGAATTGGCAGATTACAACGGGGAATGTCTATCGGCCTGAGCGGCGTGGAGGGAGGGGGAACCATGGGTGGTTTTGTCACCTTAGCGAGAGGGAGGGTCATTCACCAAGGCCTCTTGACTAGTTACGATGTCGTGAGGCCTCCTACACCTGCTTCCACAGTCATCGAGGCCGATAGGCAGGGTATCTCAATCGATCGTCCAAATTGCCCTAAGATCGAGATCATCTACCCAGCCACGAAGGACGCCAGGGCAACGAAGGACGAGGCCGAGTTAGTGTTGGAGGAAACAAAGACAAGACTCGACGGACTAATCCAGCGCAAGAACAACTACAAGCTTATTGGCAAGGAAGTGAAAACTGCAGAGCTCAAACACATTAAGGATGTCGAAAGAGCGTACGACCATCGTCAACAGACTCTAAAGGCAGTGCAGAACATGCCCACTAAGATAGGAGAAGTGGCATTTGCTTCGGGCATGGGCGTCAGCGGAGCAACCCTTCTCGATTGGGCCTTTGTGGAAATCACTGAGCCCGAAGCGCAGAAATTCTTCAGGTGTGACCAGGTGCCACAAGTCCCTGTCAGAATGAGGCCCTATATCGACACCTCCAAGCAAGTCCATTTCAGTTTTCAAGAAGAACCGTTGAACGGCATTGGTGTGATGGAGAAAGGAGAGTATTACGTGATGGTTGGTCCGACCTCGGGGACGCAAACGGGAATTTGCAATGGTACCCAGGCCTCGTGTCACTGGAGGAAGAATCAGATTCGTTATGGCGAGTTCGGGAAAGCTGTTGATACTGCTCGGGTCACCCAAGAATACGTTATCATAAACGAGGTGCTGAAGGGAAACAAAACCTTCCAGGACCCTTTTTGCTATCCCGGAGATTCGGGAGCTTTCATGATCAACACAAAAGGCGAGGTGTGTGGTCTCTTGTACGGGTATCTCGATGTCTATGTATCGCTATCTGACTATATTTATTCCGGCCTGGCTACGTGTATGGGAAGTATTAAGCTGTCAATACAGGCCCTGACGACTCCTCGCGATGCTCAAGGTAGACCGACAGGAATCCTTGCCGAGCTTGGTCTTTTCTAAGTGGGAGTAGCGACTGCTAATAACGTTTGCCTGTTTACTTGTACTTCGTGTTCTTACAAGATCATCTTGTTTGTAGTCATATAACTGTGATTGTATCGTAAACTCCATGTTTGGTTAACAACGACTTGAAAAACTCATAGGATGACATGATGAACATCATCCAGCCCTAACGTACTACCGACTCAATAGTACTGTCTCCAGTCTATAATCGAAATAATAATTATCTGCACGTCCCATGGTGGTGCGCTGAGATCATGTTGAGACGTGATGTATAGAGACCGCAAGAACCAGTAGACAGTGGATATTGTTTACTCTATTCACTTGGAAAAGGAAGACGTATGGTACCCTATGACGATGATCTGCACCGCCCGTGTCCACATCTTGGTCTTAGCTCGTCAGCCTCTTGGTAGATATCACTAGTTGACAGTTTCTTACTCTATTTTTAACTGCTGCACAGAAGGTTCGCCATGACTTTCCTTTGCCTGAGACAGGAACTTGACTGAAACCAAGCAGTTGATGATTATTATTAACTAGCCTTGAATCAGTTTCTGACACACGTTCCTGTCTCGCTTTGTCGATTGCGTTCCTGTTGTCCCTTGCCTTACCCATACTGCCCTGGCATAACTAACCAAGCGTCCGCCGAGGCCTTGGCAACCAAACTCGACTGGGCGGTCAGCCGAGTTACGGTCATCGTGGCCTGTACTGACTGACTTACTGAGCCACCTGGTCCGGAAGCTCTCGCGTCTATAACCTTCCCAGATCTCCAGGCCCCGCCCGTTCTCTCTTTCTCTCATCTCTTCGGTTATATGACCGCTTGCTGTCGGGTGGCTTTCATTTGAGGTGACTATCTGTCTTCCAGCTTTGCTGTTCGAATCGTCCGTCATGGCGCAAATCCGCGGCACCGCGGGCTACAATCTCGGCCACCAGAACCCCTTTGGCGGACCAGGCAGGGCAGATGCAACAAATGATCCAAGTCCGTTAGACGCCATTCGGGAGCAGACGAGCAAGATCGAGGATCTGCTGGACACGCTTTCGGATCCTATTAAACCGTACGTTGGAAGAGGCCCTTGCTGACCCCGTGTGTCTTTGTTTGTTTCCCGCAGGACTGGATGAGAGAGCTTGCGGAACGATTATCCTGACGTGATCATTATTCGTGAGCAGATACCTACCAGCAATTGGCCGTTTCCTGATCGTCGTCACCTTTCTCGAAGATGCGTTGCGTATTATTACACAATGGAGCGATCAATTGCTATACCTCCATGATTACCGACATAGTAAGCTCGCGCCTGCAACATTGCGATCTATCCCTTTCCCATGCGGATCATAACCCGTACTGCGCTATTATCAAGAAGAAAACGTGAGAAGCTGACTTGGCCGGCATCTTGCAGTCCCATGGGGCATCACGCATCTTTTCCTGATTGCCAACGTCATTGCCATGACCACTTGCTCGGTCCTCGTTATCGCACGGAAGCACAGCGAATATGCCGTTGGAGGACTCTTGGGAGTTGTCGTGACTCAGGCCCTTGGCTATGGACTGATCTTTGACCTAAACTTCTTCCTGCGCAACCTGAGTGTGATCGGTGGTCTTCTCATGGTCCTTTCGGATTCCTGGGTTCGCAAGAGGTTTGTTCCTGCCGGTCTCCCTCAGCTGGACGAGAAGGACCGCAAGATGTACTTCCAGTTCGCTGGTCGCGTTCTTCTTATCTTCCTGTTCATCGGATTCGTCTTCGCGGGCGAGTGGTCCTTCTGGCGCGTCGTAGTCAGCTTGTTCGGATTCGTTGCCTGCATCATGGTGGTCGTTGGATTCAAGGCCAAGTGGAGCGCTGTCATTCTCGTCGTGCTTCTCAGCGTGTTCAACATTCTCGTGAACAACTTCTGGACTGTAAGTTCTATACTCCTTGGAACTACAGATTACTAGCCACGCATGGTATACTGACAATTCCTTAGCTGCACGCTTACCACCCACACAAGGACTTCGCCAAGTACGACTTCTTCCAGATTCTGTCCATTGTGTAAGTGAACCACCGTTTCATTCTTCGAAATTGGTCAATGAAACCCAGCTAACACTTGTCATAGCGGAGGTCTCCTCCTTCTGGTCAACATGGGACCCGGCCAACTGAGTGTCGACGAGAAGAAGAAGGTGTATTAGGGGCAACCAAAGCTTAAGGCAAGATTTTACGAATCTTACGTCTCAAGTCTCTTACAAAAAGAAGAGATCATATTATTAGTACGGCAGAGGAAACTCATCTTGACGTAAAAAAAAATCAAAATGGCCGTCCTTTTCCTTACAACTCATGGTTTATTGGCGTCTTATCATCACAACTCGTTGTTTCCCTGCATAGCCAGCTCACTACGCGATCTCCAAGATCGCATTTTCTATAGCTTTATCAACCATCAAACCCTTTCTTGGAATACTAACCTGACTCTCTATGGCATCGTGATTTCATAGTATCCAGAAAGATCCTGATATTGATATTCTTAGCAAGCACCCAAAGAAATAAAATTTCTATCGTTACATCTTCTCTCGATTCTAGCTATGCGAGAATACCTGCAGGTCAATCAGCAAGTAGACATTCCGTTGAGCAATCTAGAGCAAAGGGTCGGGAATATCAGCCCAATAGCCCCCACGGTCATTCTTGGCCGATGGGCTTCGGATAGGCTAATTACAGGATATATGTAGTTGCTTAGCATTTGGCTCGTTACGGTTGGCCCCCAAAATCAACCAGCGCGATTGGCGTTCTTGGCAATTGCTATAGATAGATCTGACCTCGTGTTGGATCTAGAATATATGCCAGATGATATAATAATAGAATAAAAAATAAGAAGGGAAAGACAGAGAGAGAGAGAGAGATGGAAGAGAAAAGGCAAATGTCAGTTAAAGCTCTGCATATCCCAAAGAGAGACGCAAGAAAATGTTTCTTGTGAATCTAGATGTCCGGAGTGATATCTCTTGCCATGACTTGGCTCTTGGTTGTTAGAGCTTCATAAGTTGGGCTACACATCCCTAGGCTAGATCTGCGGGCTCTTGATATTCTCTCGTGCCTTATAGAACGATGGCGTTTGGGATTGCCCATGCCAGTGTGACGGCTAGGACTAAATGTACATTTGGAACCATGGACTTGGGCGAGAGGACAGGATCGCTTCAATATGTACATACATCTTTGAGAAATCCAAACTGTCTATCCATCTATCTATCTGTCTGTCTATCTTGATGCCTGCATGCAAGTACAGTATATACACTCTATAATTGAACCACCGTTACCCCCTGAGGATCACCCGGGGAGCTCGTCTCGAGTTCTATCGAGAGATCGGCAGACTCTTTTTCACTACCAATATTTACACTTCCCTTCGGCATGAGCCGACATACCTGCGAATTAATCGCCATTCTTCGCCGCAGAGCATCGCGGAACTGCAGACGACGGTGCGTATTGGTCATATTGTGCGTTTGGATCAACACCAACAACAGAAAGCCCTCGATAATCATCGTCGGCGTGTTGCAGAGGAGCTGGCCTGTTTCCGACCAGCGTAGACCGGAAGCAATGATTATCAACGCCAGCACGATCACGAAAGAGCTCAGCACGACGCCCGAGCGCGAACACCACTCGCCGACTTTATCGGCGATGCGAGCCTGCAGGGAGTCGATCTCGACCGTGTCCTGAGGCACTGTCGACATTCCAAGCAAGGTGCTTAGTCGGGCGTCTTCCTCGGCCAGCACGCCAAACTGTCCGTCCACGGCGCGAGAACCGCGGAAGTAAATATTCCGCAACACAAAGCCGTCGACGAAACCCACGAGCCCTGTATAGGTGCCGATAATCAACCACCAGTTCGAATTCCACTGCATCAACGACCCTACGCCGATCCACACGGCGAACACCATCGCCGACAGAAACAATCCGACTCCCGTACCGACGACGGCAGCATAATAATCAATCATTCGCTGACCGCGCGTGGTTTCCTTCCTATAATCATACTCGAACGCCACAGTCGGGTTGGGGTCTATATCGCCCGTGATCTCACGGAGTCGGCGCTCCAGGCGCATATCCTCGTGTGTGATGGACTTGAAACACTCGTTGAGATAATTCATGTGGCGTTGTCTGGTATTTTGCAAGAAGACACTGACAAAAGTGAGTTCTACAGCCGTTGCACTATTGATATACAACTGCCAATTGTTGCCCCATTGTTGCTCGTGGCCGAACCCTAACCAGACAAAGATCCCGGCCCAGAAGATGATCCAGGCGTACAGAGAGCTGAATGCCCATACGATGGGATCGCAGATTCTATCGTATATGGAACTCGGCGGGAGATGGACGCCGTTATCGACTTGATGGACGTCCAGTTCGACCGGGTTCAGGTTCTTCTGGTCGATTTCCATCTCGGGCGGCGTCTGCGAGTCGAAGAAACTGGGATTCGTCCGACGCAGCTGTTCGACCATTCGCTGACAGGCTGTATTCCGCGAGCGGAGTTCACAGATCAAGCCCAGCAGGTCGCGGAAGTTGTTCCGTTGCTGCCGCATGAGGAGGGTATCCGAGGCATAGCACTGGATCGAGCTGACGTTCTGGATTGCAATCTGCCACGTTTGGGACGGGCCGAGGACAATTCCGACGATCATCCAGGCGATCAAGCCAGCAACCGTGAGGAAGAAAACGAGAGGCGTACCCGCAAAGGCAACGACCCTATCGAAGACACTCACGGACGCAGCAGGTGTCTGGGCCTGCTTGGTATTGCTCTCCAGATCATGGTTCTTTCTGCGTACGGCGCCATCATCATCAGACGTCCATGACTCTTGAGACTGGCCGGGCAGTTGGATCGGGGCTATTCTCTGAATATCTGCGTAGGTATTGTTGGGGATAACCTTCCATGGTCTGCGCAATATACTCAGAGTCCACGAAAGGGGCCCCGATCCTTCAACTGCCGCCATAAACAGAAATCTGATTGAATGATTGATTTATCAATCAATCTAATCTGATGATCATGGCGATGAGATAGATAAAGAGTAATAAGTATTTTTCTTTGGTTCGGGACCCGTGCGCGATTTTTCGAGCCCTAAACAATAATAACCCGGGCTTTGATAATCACCGAGTAAGTGACTAACTACCAGAGGCGAATGCTTGCGCTAGTTCGAGCAGGATAGATTTGAGCATCGATTAGTTACCATCCCCAATGCTCCCCCCACTTTGCTTGTTTCGAGAGTGGAAACGTCTATCCGATTCTACCGAGACATTATTATTATTAACTCTGACCGTCGTCAACTAAGTCGAGTATGCCCGAGTCTTGGGTCACGGTAATCCCTCCTCGATTACCCTCCGCCATCGGGCATCAACGGAATAAAAAGAATGAAGAGGCGGGGTGAAAAAAAGAAATCAAAATCAAAATAACAGCACCCAACAACGTTACGTAAATCACGAATGTCAAATAATAATTAAAAGAGGGGATGAGGTGGATATACGGAGTAGATATCCTCTGCCGAGGTATACACATACATACATAAACCGCATTGGCCCTATTTTATTTCCTTTCTTTTTCTCCCAGAGTTCCATACAACCGAACCCAGTGACAGATCAGGTAGGAGATAATCTCCCCAACTAATCATTCATTATCATCATTTAATCTGATCATAATAATTCTTGATTAATTATTTCCCGCAGTTAGGTATTCTACTCTTTCCCGATGGCGCTAGTTAGTGGATCAAAAAGCTTGTCGTTCCATATTCACCTATCAAAATCGATCAGTGCCATTGCCTAGACGTGCGGGGTGAGACTAGGGGGGCGCTGATCGGAGTTTTGATAGGTGGAAGTTGAAAAACAAGCCTTTTTTAGATAGAACTATTATTAGCGCCATCGCGGAAGCGGCAGTTGAGGGATTTCCGACATCAAATAATAATAAACGGGTTCTACCCGAGTTTGTCTTATTTCCCTGGGCGTAGATAACGAGTTCGGATCAAGTCAGACTTGGTTGGATCGAGCTAGCCCAGGCGGAACCATCTCATCGTTGAAATTGCTTATAGAACTAGGATCCAAACTGTACAATGATCAATCCCAGATTAAGATCGCATGACCTCGTATGAGAGCGCCAACTGAAAGTAGCGAAACTAAACAGAACATGCCATTCACAGGTCCATTAGTTATATAGCAAATCTAAGCCGTGATTTAGGACACAGGACCACTTCAGCTGAATAGTCATTGATTTTCGGAATTTAGGAAATCTGGAGATCCTTTGCCTTCTCTGCAGACCTAGCAAGGAAAAATGCAACACACTTTCCACCAGCTATCAGACAGCCAGAAAGACAGCGCGCTGACCATTAAGCAAGATAGTCTTTTTATAGCAACAAACAATACGGACGATCCAGACGCAGAATGAAAAGAAAAAAGGCAAATGCGGCGATGCACGCTATGCTCTTTCATCCCACGATAGCGAAAAAGAACACGCATGTATGTCATTCACCAGGTAAGACTCCAACGCCGATAGCCAAGGAAAATGAAATGCTCACATAGGGGGACTAACGACAGACAGATATGCCAAGCAGACCAGGAGGGAAGAGCGAAGGTGGAATGAAAATGCAACGATCGGGACAGGCTAAGCAAAAATGAACAATCCTATTAAGAAGACATAATCTACAAGGTCGCTAGAAGAAGGGGAAAAGGTAATACGACACCGAGAATGGACAAAAAAAGGGTGAACGATGGAAATGGTCAAAGACCCGCGTCTGCATCAGCCTCAGCGGACGGTTCGCATATAGGAGGCTCAATGTCAAAGATGCCGGGCGCGCTGGTCCAGCCAGGCCCCAGACGCAAATCCTCAAGGCGGCCGTCCCGTCTCGAATGCGAGCGTACCCGCGAATGGAGGCGGGATCTTCATACGCTGTGCGTCGAGGCCCAGAAGAGGGGTGAGATAAGTTGTACGGATTTCTAGCACACTGGCTGGCTTATGTCCGATCATAGGTCCATGCTCCATCGAAAAGGACGCATTTGTTGGACCTGATCAGGCTCTTGCAGAATGTTGCCTTCTCCGTTGATTTCTAAATGCACGGTCTGGATATCCTTAAAATCCTGCCGCGTAATGGACATTGGGTTCGAGAATGCCTTGTCACTAAGACCGGTCTCCTTGGAACCTGGCCGTGACCGCGGCGTTTCAGGCGGACCGTATTGCAGGTAGGGCGATGATGCATCCGCAGAGTCAGCATGGGACGAGAGCAAAGAAGGTGATGATGATACGGAGTATATAGATGAGGAGGCAGTGTTGAGACGCTGAGACTCAGCACTCTTCCGACTTTGGGTAGGCACTCCTGTGTGAGTTGCTGAGGCAGCTAGTGGGGATCGAGTCGTAAGCTTGACACTCTCAGCAGCGTAATCTTTTATAGAAGACTGGTTTTCAGATGTCGTGAGTGGAGGTAGCCTGTAACTCTTGTCGGGAGAGGTCCTCTTAGAGTTGGCTGACCGGCTACGAAGCCAGCCAGGTCGTCCATCGGCAGGCGTCGAATGCTCGTCCTGGATATCGTCCTCATCGTCGCTGTCTGCGAGAGCCCCGGGGGGTCTCACATTCACGCGCTTCTTCTGACTGCCACCGTGGCTCCCACGAGTAGACGCATCTGAACCTGCCTTTCCAGCCATGACCTTTGCACTGGGAAGTGGCTGCAACATCCATCTCGTCTCTGCACGACTGGTAGGTCCGCTGACAATTGGAGGGTGAAGATCATTCACGGGAGGAGCTCGCGGCGCGTAGTATTTACCTGAAGCGTTTGTATCTGATCTACCTCGTCCCGATATACCAACGGATGAGCCCTTGGCCTCTTGCCCCCAAAGAGGCTCGTCTTCTCTCTGATGGTGCATCCAATTCCATCGCTCACCAATTCCTCCCCTCCTGTGCGGTGACTCGTACCCTAGACTTGTACTGGAGTCTGCCGCGGCGTCGTTAGACTCCCGCTCTGTTTGCCGACTGTGAGAACGGTTATTGCCAGCACGGTTCCCTCCCCTCCTGGCTGGTGGGCCGGGCCCCAGGGCAATCTCCTCCTTCCATCCTTCGTTCGTACTAAACGGCGTAGGTTGAGCAAATGGCCGCGGCTGGTCCGTCACTAGAGCAGCATCCTTCGCCTTCTGACGTCGGGATCGTACTGCATCCTTCTTCCGTTTTCGACGGTCGATGGCGCCCGCACAGGGAGTACAACTGGCATAATAGAAGACGGCCGACTGCACGCCTCTATACAGCCACATAGTGAGGCTGAGGCGACGTCGCCTATGTGAATCGAGATATGTACGGCTCCGAGACTACTCGCCTGAGAGACCACATCGGACACGCACTGGATCTGATAGTTGAACTGCGGAGAGAAGTGGCGGGGATGTCGCAGAGGACTTGGAGACGGGCAGTTTAAAGCGACGATGCACTCGATCTCCGAAGGCGGCGGTACCTCGAGTTCTTATTCTTGTTCTTGTATAGTGAGAGGCCGCCCAGCGACCTTAACAGGTGGATTGGAGTGTGGACGAGTGAGGTCTGGTCGGAAATGGATTGTATTATTCAGTAACAGGCAAGAAGGAGCGGCAAGAAGAGGAGAGAGGACGGCCGTTGCAGCAGGCCGGGTGGTGAGGGGAGAAACGACGTGAAAGATGAAGTCTGGGGGAACATTCAGGAGCAGCGAGGGGTCTCCGTGGCTGGACGGGCGACGCAAAGGGGAAGGCAGTGCCGCGCCGTCACATCCGCCGGTCTCGCGAAGAAACCAGCCGCTCCGTCGATTGGGGCCATCATTATCTCACTAACTACCAATTACTTCTTGCACTAGATTATTATTCTATCGTATTATTATTATTATGATTATTATTATTTCCTCCAGCTGTCTCTCTGTGCCCCGGGGGGCCAAGATGGACACCCGCTCAGTCTCAAGAGGTCTCGTGCGGATCCACGCAAGAAAACGTGAAGCCCTCGTAGTGGTTTGGCTTAGGCTAATGCTCTTTGAAAACAGATCGATCCTTAGCGAATATGTAGTTATCCTCTCTTTGCCCTATCCAGCAAGTCTCGCACGTGTATTGCCCCGTCCACTTGCCGCCCAGACGGGGATGACTGGCAGCGGGCGAGACGAGCCGTTCAATGGCGACAATTGCTGATGGAGACGGGCTGCGAGATGTTCGCAGATCTCTGACACAATGGAGCTAAAAAGCCTAGCCTTCCATCGCTGACACGGCAAAATCGTGACGCAAGGGGTCAGGTATCTCACCACGACTGGCACCAGGTGTATCGAGAGTAACGGTCAGATTCCAATTGTGGCTCAGCCATGCTTATGGTATACAACTTAAGCCGTTGACCTGTGCAAAAGCCTATTCTGTCCAGCGGGGAGAAAGACGTCTGTCGTCCGCTCGACTAGCACCACTACGACTACGGAGTATCTAGACTACTCGTAATTTACCCCAAATAGAGATCATCGTTGAGCGGAACATCCACTTCCCGACTGACGTGCAGACATCATTTCGCAACTCCCGACACGCCTTAAAACAATGGCGCTATATCTCCGGTTAGATACTGGAGAAGCTCAGAATAATAATACCTCGACAGTCTCCCGTCAACAGTTCTGACACTAAGCAGCCTTTGTCAACGTGGTGCCTATGGGATAATTGGGGGCTGGACTTTTGTGGTGTTTGGGCTGTGTTTGGGCCCTTTCCGCGATAGCTATATGCTATTCTTTATGCCGTCACGGTTCCTGGAGAAGATCGTCTGCTCTCCGCATACCGAGGACCAATTGGGCAATCCCGCGGGCGACGTTGGGTTCATATCTGATCGTGCGCAACATTATTAAAAAAGCAGCAGCAGCAACAACAACAACAATAGCCCGTAATCTGTACAACCCTCGGAATGAGCCAAGGCCGTCCAAGCCCTGTCCCCGGTAGAAGAGCGTCCAAGCGCCTGCTGCGAACAACCTGAACGAGGATATGGGACTTTTGATGTAATGGCATTGTTATTCATTTTGAAATTATTTCTCGTAATGCTAAGTGAAGGGCTATACTAGTACAGCATATCCACCCCCAAAGCGACCATTTCGCATTTGAATATAGAGTAGTATATCCCGTCCTCTCCGTCTCTAAAAGGGCCATGGCGAAATCCCCTCTCTGTCGAACTGCTGCTGGCCGTACGAATCAGGTTTCCTAGTACCCCAAGCTCTTCGATGATCCTAATTATAGGCACCAGACCCTAGTGCCTGGCATCATAAAGAATTATTCGGGGGCGCACAAGGGCAGCCCCTTCGCTGAAAAGAGCGCGCTCCTCACGTTGCTCGGTGGCTGGATGGGGGCCACGACGTCCAGCTTCGAGATGCATCTGAAAGCTGACATATCGTAACCCAGCGTCTCATCCGGTCAAGCGCATGTCGATATCCTCACTTTCTCCCGCATCCCCACGCGAGCCAGCAGGCCTTTTCTGTCGTTGAACCGGTTCATGCATTCTTCGTTCCTTTCACCACTTCACCCTTGACCTTCGTCCAGTCAATTTGCGCGTCAATTCCCTCGTCCACTTCTCCACAAATCACGACGTTGTCTCCACGGATGAGATACAGGCCATGCTCAACCTGAGAGCTCGGCTCAGGGTCGTCTGGGGTTCGAATTATACGTTCTACCGTATTGGAAAGCACGAGGTTTGTGAGCTGATCGGTCGAGAGAAGTGTCCCCAGAAGCGTACGCCCGTCGACGGTCAAAATGAGGACTTTCTCTGTGGACACAAGGACCAAGTTAGCATCGTCCGCGACTAAAAGCGCTCCGTAGAAGCAGTCAATGTGTAAATTATAGAAGCTCACTATTTATGTATGCCTGGAGAGACATGACGACAGATCCGCGGTCAGATCCGCGAAGTCATAAGCAGTTTGTTGCTGTCCTTCGAGCCAACGAGAAGCTCCGATGCACGAGACGAGAGCTGGCGTCTGCTTTGCCGCGCCGCACGCGGAGAGTGACGCAGCTGCAGGAGTCACGTAGCCAAAGCTGCGATTGTGGTTTTGTTCTGGACAGAGGGAGGCGTGATATAAAAGCAGAAGTGCCTGGCGTTTGGATAATATAGCGTTAGTGGTGGTTTTCGCTGTCCCGCGCCGTGGACTAAAGGCCAAGCTCTGGATAGGCTGCCCCATCCTTGGACCTCTCCGGCTTCCCCGCCTTGGATCAGTAACCCACGTTCAGCTTTCTCTCGTGCTGACAAAAGCCCATGATGCTCGTCTTCTTGCACGAATCTGTTCTCTCTATTGCTCTTCGAAGCTATTCTGATCGATGCTTACCCGTCTGAGCGTTGCTCGAATCGGTTCTATACTATCGACGCAATCCACGATAAGCTGCTAAGCTGCTTCCATGGGACTACTGCGGAGAGCAGTCAGGTCGAGGAAATTCGAGAGATTACTTGTCATGCCAGAGTGATAGGCTGCAGCTGTGATTGTGATTCTGCCTGCACTCTCTCCGGTCGAAGACTGGATCGTCCTGCGAAGCTCTCAACGAGAACCACCGGTGCCTCTGATTGAACTACTTTTCAACGACATCGCTACCAGTACAGCCTACCTGCGAATGACCTATGTGCGGGCTGCTGGATATACTTTATCCCTGGCCGGTAGTTTCCAACCTCGTCTCCTATTTAGGAGTGGGTGATCTGCTGAACCTTTCACGGTCGAATTCCAGCTGCAGAGCCGCTCTGCATGGCTTTCCTCCTCCTCTCCACGCCTCGTCTTCAGGTGGCACTAGTTTCGGGGGTTCTGTACGACCGGATATCTATGTTGGGGAACATCAGACAGCATACTGGTCTGGTCTGAAGTCGCTCGCGCAGATGACATGTTCCGAGCCTCAGCACACGAAAGGAAATTTCTCCCATATGTGTAAATTCTGTTCGATGCCTGTTTGCGACGCATGCATTGTCAAAGTTAGTCTCTATATACCTCGATATATCTCTCATCATTAGTTGCTAACTCCGCACAGGAGTCCTTTGCAAAGAAAAACAATGCATATAGAACGCGCACACGATACCTCTGTGTACAATGTTGGGCTAATGGAACCCCGCATAGAGGTCGTAATTTCACTAGCTCACCACCGAAGGTGACACCTTATACTTTTGCCCCCGGAGAAGGGGACTTTTGCCGTTGCACCGCCAAGGATGGTTGGCTCTGTTCCGCGTGTCGGGCTCAACAGTGTACGGACGTGGATTTGCAAAGGCAGTGCTGTATCGGCGAGGGATGTTCCAATCACCCGGGAACTGACGGTGATCGACGTCGTATCTGCTTGTGGTGCGATCTCCCCTTGTTCGGTGGCCAGACCATGATCGAGAGATGGCAAGGCTATGGAGAGCGTTATATGAACAGCACAATCAATATCCCGGACGAGATCCGCACTGCGCTTGAGGAAACCAGCAAGCTGAGTCCGGTCGAAGAAGCAGCATGAGCTGGTAAGGGAAGTACGAGCTTTATTTCAGCTTTATTTCCGGGAAGTAAGAAGCATCATCGTTACTGCATAGCGAGGTGTTCATATATTATATATTGATGAGCCTTTGTGTTCAGCCATACTCCAAAAATCACATCAGCGCTTATTTTTATACAATATCTGGAGGCTTTCATCTGCTGGCTTTAATAGTCCCATATAAGCCCATAATCAATCCAGTTTCAAACAGCAATAGCCAATGCCTGCATCACAAATAACACATCAATCACTATCACCCAACTTAGAACCCCCCCCCCCCCCCAAAAAACCCCTCCAACCACCCTACAACCTCCTCCTAACCCTCACCCCCTTCCTCCCAAACCCTCCCTCCTTCATCCTCTCCATAATCTCCTCTAACCCACTCGGCTCCAACACCTCCCACACCGTATCCTCGATCTCACTCCAAAAGAAATACTTCTCTCCAGACCGAAACATATACTCCGGCACCCCGTTATCCGGCGTCGTGCGCATGATCAGATGCGGATCTTCGAATTGGCGAGACATGAGATAGAACCCGGGTGTGCCTGCGTCGTCTTGGGCCCAGAAGGACTCGTCGTCCTCGAGTTCAGGTGGGTTTGCTGTCCAGCCGGGTGGTGGTGATAGTGATGGTGATAGTGATAGAGATAGGGATTGTGGATTGGTCTGTTTTGTTATTTTATTCGGTGGAGTTTGTGGTTAGCTACTTCGCTGGCTATTATCATTATTAGGGGATACTCGCGGAAAAAATAAACGACGCCATTAATAGTGAGTAGGGCGATGTTCATACTTCTCGTAGAATGGTTCCCATGATTATCTATCGGTGGCGTTGTTGTTTGTAGAGAATGCTATGTATATATAGCTAGGTTTTATGACAATAACGATCTAATGATAATTCGCATAGTGAGCAACAAAATGAAAGCTGGGAGAACCTTTGCGTTCCCTGGGCTTAAAAGAATGCCATCATCATTATCTGGCGATGGGATCATGTGATGGTGTCGAACTATATAGCTTTCCGCATTCTGCATCCTACTGAGGATGTGACATCCATGCTTTTCTCATGAGAACATTGGAAATAAGCCAACGACTGGAGACGATCAATGCGGGACGAAAAATTAGTCCTTTAGTTTGGAATTTATTAACACTACCCGAGTCCCTACGTACACCATGGAAAACCAATTGAAATGATCAGCATGCAGCTGAGACTAGAGAACCTTGCCATTTTTACAGCTTAGCTAGGTAGCTATAAGTATGGATACGGCGCGCAGAGGTATATCCATCAGACTCAATCCCATATTCAACCCAACGAATTCAAATCCAGCGGCACGCTGCTTCCCCTTCCAGCACGATACTTTCTGACCCCTCCTGAGAAAGGCCTGGGTTTCGGGAAGAGACTCTCGCTCTGAAATTTGAACCGGGTATCTTCTATCGTAATATGGCCCTGGCTTGAAGCGCTTCGAGGGCTTCCGATCGGGGATGATCCGCCATTCGTAAGAGTAAATGAGCTTGGGTCCAGCATCGATCGGAGAGGTTGGGAAGGAGGAGGTGGTGGTGCTGAAGGAGCCGATGGAGCAGCAACCGGAGGCGGTGGTGGAGGAGCTGGGGGAGCAGAAGGCGCTGATGATGGCGGAGGGGGAGGAGGGGCTGCGGGAGAATGGTTGTTTCCAAAAGCGTTTCGCGCGGCTTGTACTGCGATTGAGGCCGCCAGGCCTCCATTCACCGGCTGTGGTGGTGCTGATGGTGGCGGCGGTGGTGGTGTTGATCTTGCAGGAGGTCTAGGGGCAGATATAGCAGGCGGCGGCGGAGGCGCAGATGGAGGAGCCGGACTGGCACTCTTAGGAGGCGGAGGAGCGGGGGCGGAAGGCTTTCTGGAAGAAACCGGGGGAGGAGGCGGTTTCGCTGAAGATGGCACAGGTGGAGGTGCAGACTTTGTCGAGATCGTGGACGATGGTCTTGAGGCCGGTTTAGGAGGCGGCTTTCGTAACTGCGCAACCAACGGGTTGACAGGAGGGGCGGGTGGTGACTCGGTAGACGGAGGAGGTGGTGGAGGACGCGCACCAGGAGGCCTCGGTGCTCCTGGAGGTTTAGGAGCAGCCGCTGTCGACGTTGGTCGCGAGCTATCTGAGTCTGACAGATATGATGCATCTCGATTCGCCCCGGTATCAACCCCGCCTCGACTTCGCAGCTTGGGCATTCCCCCGGCAAACAAACCACCTAGTTGCGGTGGTGCTGCAATGCTGCTACCGCCATCGCCTCCTGCGCTGTCACTTCGTACGCGATTAGCTGCTCCTCCGCTAGGAACAGGAGGCGCCTGTCCTCCTGGAGGCTTCAGCATTCCCGGTACTGGCGGAGCACTAGCAATCGGCGCACCGCCCGAGCGACCCCCCTCCTTCTGAATCACAGGCGCTGATCGGTCATTTGTGACCGTCTTCTTTAATCGAGTACCCTTGCTGATATCTGTGAGAAGTTTGCTCTATCAAAGAGTTAGCCGCTATGCAGAAGCTAGCTTTGGGGAGACAATGACGACATGAGCAGTTGCCGGCCGCGTCTCGATCTTGAACCTACCCTATCTTGCACTACTGCCTTGGGAGGCCTCGATGGAGTATCTCCTGGAGGTGGTGGAGGAGGCGGGGGGCCTCCCATAGCCGGCGGTGGAGGGGGCGGAGGGGGTGGAGGAGGAGGCATATTGCTGGATGTCGAGCGAGTGTATTGGGCTTAGGACAAGACGTCGGGAAGTTGTTATTGTTGTAGAGGGCGCATAAGAAGGCTGAAGTTATAGCTAAATAATCAGCCTTCAGCAGGCACCCGCGCCTGCGAACAGGAAGAGATGGAGGCCCTGGCGATGTGTTGGAACGTGGACGTCAGGACAAGAGACGTTGCAGTTGAGATACGGAGGAGGGAATCATGGAGGTGGTGGCGGTGCTAAGCGCGGTGACTGCGTGCCCGGCGTCTCCGTCTTCGCCGTCCTTTCGGTAGATACCCCAACATTTGCACTGATCGGAGGTCTCACCACGGTTTTCTACCCAAGACCCTGCAGCCATGAAGGGTCTTACACTTCGAGCGCAACGACGCTCACAGCCTCAGGGACTCATCTGTCAATTCTGCCGATATTCTACCTCGCGATCGACTCATCGTGGCCCTGTCTTCCAACAGACGCGACTCTTGAATAACCGCGCAGATTTCTCGGGATGGAAAACGAAACGACCGCTGAAAGCGCCATTGACGACGTCCCAGTCCATCTTCAGACGATTCGCCTCGCATGAATCGAAGCTGGCGATCCCAACTGATCCGGATGTCGCTTTAAAGGAAGTGCAGCAGGAAGCCCGCACCATTTCCAACTCCGATGTCGTTCCCTCCGACGAGACGGTGGTGCAATTGCTACAGAAGTGTCTGAACATAGTGTCGCGCATTGTTCTAGGTGAACAGGGCCCCCAGAACCAGAATAAAGATGGAGGGAACGCGACCTCATCACTCTTGAATCTGGAAGAGAAGCCGACAGGCACTCAGCCGTCAAAAGTGAACCTGAGCACGAAACGGAGAATTACGGATTCGATATCGCAAGTCGCCAATGATCTCCTCAGAAATGAGAAGGTTTTCATTTCACCAGAAGCGCTGGAGTACTACACGAAGATTCAAACACTTCTGAAGAAGGCCGACCATTTCCCCGAAATCTTCACGCTCTATGCCAACAAGCCTGTCCCCGTGGAAAATAGCTCGCCAGTGCAGTACCGTAAGCCGAATCCCAAGAGTGTGAAGAATGCTGTTCCATCCGAATTGGCCAACATGGCTCTGGACGTTGCTATCGAACAAAAAAATCTACCTCTTGTGCTGGCCATCATTGATAGCACCTTCTGCGCTCCCGCCTTCTACAGGGCGAAGATCTTCAAGAAAGCGACTGTGCCAATGATAGGACTGGCTGCAGCCCCCGCTGCATCGTACGTCATTGCGTCTTGGGCCTCGACCTTACAAAATACGATGGATGAGAGTACGGCGAGGGGACTCATTTTCTCCGCGATCCTTGCCTACGTGGGCTTCACATCGTCCGTTGGAATTGTCGCTATCACGTCCTCTAATGACCAAATGGACCGAGTAGTCTGGATACCGGGTATACCACTGCGACAGCGCTGGCTTAGGGAGGAGGAGCGTGCGGCGCTGGATAAAGTTGCCGTCGCCTGGGGTTTCAAGGACCCTTCGATGCGGGGAGAGGAAGAGGGCGAGGAATGGGAAGCTCTACGGGAGTTTATTGGAATGAGAGGCATGATCCTGGACAAGACGGATTTGATGGAAGGCATGCAGTAAGAAACCGGTTGTGGTTGTATGAGTAACTGTCTAACAATGTATTATCTACATACAATTCGTGAGCTGCTATACCGTTGCGCTTACAATGTCTAATATAAAATACCCGGGGATACAAAGTATCGTACGCTTTACAATTAGCGGGAATATAAATTGAGGAATCGTAACATCGTGAGTCGTATTTATCTAGCTAAAGGCAAACACTATCTCACGGATGCACCAATGACCCCAGCGTGACACAGCACAGAGCCGCATCTAGTAGAGTCTCTTGGGAGGAGACATGGTAGCCTTGATGACAAGACTGCCAACGTTCTGCCAGCCCTTCTTCAGAAGGGAGACGAGGTAGTTGATGGACATCATGACGTTGGAGATGAGCTCCTCCTCGGTCATGCCAACGTTACCGACGGCAACACCCAGGCACAGAACCTTCTTCAGCTGGAACTTGATGGTGGACTTGACCTCGGTGATCTTGTTGCCCATGTCCTCAGCGTGGGAGATAGGGGTGGGGAATTTACCGGCTGGAAAATCACCAGTCAGTGGCTAGTTCAAGTGGCAATGTACGAGATCATTCTGTGGACATACCCTTGGACAGACCAGGACCCAGAAGACGGGGGATCTGCTTGATCAGAGAGTCGGAAGCCAAGAAAGCATCGTACTTGCGAGCGAGCTTCTTGATAAGCTTCTTGTTCTTGTTCAGCTTCTTCAGATCCTCGGTGGACATGGCATCAACACCAAGGTGCTTGGCACGGTCAATGTCGTGCTGGTCACCAAGGATACTATCATGCGAGAAGCAGTCAGCAAATATGGTCTTCCACGCAATATTTCCTCCCGGACGGCAAATGCTGTTCCTCCTCTAAGATCATGGGCTCGAAACGTACCAGATGGTCATTCCGGGACGGGGAACGCTGGGCAGCTTGATGGTACCCGAGAAACGCTTGTCACGCTGGGGGTCATAGTTCTTCAGACCGATCTGGAGCTCGACGGTCTCGAGGAAGTTCCTCTTCTTCTCATTGAGAGAGTAGTCCAGCAGCTGCTGGACATTCTGGCGCACTCCGGCTGTTCCACGAAGGTTCTGTTAGTCTCATGCATCGCATATTTCCAGGAGCACATCGAGGAGCAATCTTACCGACTGTGATCTTAGACATGGTTGTTACAGTCTTCCAGAAGAACTTTTTAGATTCTTATGGTGAGGCTCTGCGCACAAAATGTCGTTGAAGTCGAGAACGGGAGAAAGTTCGCGCGCTTTTAGAGATGGTGCGAAAACTTCTCCCCGCTTGTGGGTGCTGAACCGCGCTAACCATAACCGGACTAGCTATACCCTAATCGCGATCCAGTACCATGACTCAAAAAGCATCATCATAGTACTACGCAGACTAACCTGAGCTCTCTCAAGTCTCATGTTTTTGATGAGTTGACTCATTTTTCCTCGCATCCAAGCCTATGAAGTGGATATTTACTGTTCTTCGGCAGATGAAAAGTGTGTCGTCGTCTGCTCTGATGCCACTTTCGCGCATAGACAGCGGGGCGTGCTCTTCGAATCCACTGAGAATGAGCCTAAGATTCCCCTATCTAGTGATGTTCAAATCCGTGTTGATGGCTGCCTGTTTCTACGTGTTCCATAACCCTCCCTCGCATGAGAACATATCTTGCAGCATGTTTCGATCAGGATCATCAAATAGTTCGCGTTGAAGATATATGCTTTGCCTGATCTCTTTCTAGATATCAACCTGGACGTATACTATTGGCAAATGAGGCATTACTTCAGCATTGAGAAGCTAGTTCAATGCTCTCACTTAAACTAGGATGGTCTCTTTAGAGAACAACAATATTCAACAGCTCAGGGCTTTGATCAACTTTAATCTGTCCTTTAGATACCCTCGATATGATCACGCGAGTGCATGTGAAAAACAGAAACGGGGATTAAATACATAAACACTTTAACTTTGACTTGGAAGATTATAAGTTGATAAGTTAAGAGCCCCTTGAGTTCGATTGGCGAGACAAACAAAGGAAAAACGTTGATCTCAATTAATAATCCAAAGACAGCTAGTTATTGAGTTTACAGACCTCCAGTTCAGTAATACCCTCTGGGGGACCATGTTCCGAACACAGAAGGGCCATTGCTTCTTTTTGTTCTTTCGATTTGTCGAAGGTATACGTCCATAACAGGGATAGGGGGGCTTCCTTCAAGAAGAATGAGGCAGAGAGTAGAGATGCTGAAGGATATGTAGATCGGAGAATAATGCCTTAGATAGTGGCGTGATACTTACAACTTTAGTAACATGAACGACTTGTTAGCCTTTTTAAAACGAACGGTACTCCTATAGGTGAGCCGAGCTTGCAGTTGTTGAGGTTGTAATACTAAGCCGTGAGTATGAATGCTGTCAGCCATCTGTTGAGTTAATTAAGACCCAGACAGGATGGTCCTTGTACAGGAATTACCATACAAGTAAGAAAATGTGAAGCCGACAGTGACAGATCAGGTAGTATGCGTTTACATATTCGGAAGAGGAGATAAGGTAAAACATTAAGGGAAAGAAATACAGTCACAGATATGACCGACTGCAAAATTAGCTTTATCGTGTGTAAAAATTGTTGTATATTCGGACCCGTGAGTATTGCCCAGTACAATGCATGCTCATTGCGTGGCCCTCTTGCGACAAATTACGACGATATTTCCATAAAGATTACTGCGCTTAGCCACTGTATAATCCTTATTGATGAAATTTCCCCGGCCATTTCATAATAGGTCTTCTTGGGATAAGCGTACCATGACGATATAGTTAACAATATACATGGGGTCTCCGCCCTCCAAGAGCCTCAATTACGGGATAGTAATTAGTTGCTTTCCGTGCGAGAAATCTCCATATGATTTAACAAAAGCCTTTACCCGCCTCTAGACCAAAATTCCGTCATGAAGGTAATTTATCAATTATCGAGCAAGCGAAAGGACGGGCAAGCCTCTCCTTATAGATGTAAAACCACGACAGTTATTGATGAAAACAGTAGTACAACATGCCCCGTTGCTTCCCACACAGGCGTAAGCTGGATTCCAGCCTCGAAGATTGCTTTTGTTGTCACTTATTTCCCGGCTCTTCTAATTTAAGGCTTTTCAACATTTAAGAGAAGAGAATGTTGAGTTCTGGTTACTAGTAGGCAGCCATTGGCAATGATATAAAGTCGACTGTGGTCTGTTGACTTTCCCAGTTACTTGCGGATTCAGCATGGTGGAGTAGAATAAGGTTTATCTGGAGAACTATCCCCAGATTGCGGGCCATGCGATCTCTTAAGGATACGTCCTGACCATTTGTCCAGCTGCCGTATAGCACCAACAGAGAGAGAAAAAAAAAAGCTCCAATGCACGCTACCTCTAGGATCAGTTTTGCGACGGAATGTCATGGTTACAAGCCTCCATGAGTCGCCTGAATGCTTATTACCGTTAGCAGCCCCCCCCGAAACTAAGTAACCGATGATCGCGCGACCACACCAGGCCTCCAACATCGAGAGCTGAGACGCAGCTGAACGGAAGATCTACTTTCTGTACTAGAAGCTATGAGATCAAAGCCAACTTATGTGGAACGGAGTTTCCTGCATCGAGACGATCTCAGCTGCCTGGCTAGTCAGCTGGTCGCCTGAGCTCCTTACCAGCCTCATGACCGGAGTCACTCGAGCACCCAGCTAGCAAACAACGCGGGGCGCAGTGTCCAATGCATCTTCAAGAAAAGCCCTTCAGCACAGCTCTAGTTCAAGAACTGCCTTTTGTATTTAACACCAGAACTGCTTGGCTCTCGCGGAGTCGAGAAACACTGTTATTTGGCCCTCTTGATGCATACTGTTGATTAAGGGGGAAAATAGTAAACATGACCAGCGCTCCAATTTCTGACGCCTCACACAACGCTGCCGCCTACTACGCCAGCTTTTCTAGTAGACCGGGATTGGGTCAGAAATTCAACGACATTGATCAAGCAGCGCATTTTCGAGATTATCAACGGCGCCTCGAGGACATAAACACAGAAAACTTCGTCCTCGATTTTGGAAACGATGACGCTTGGTGCGCGGTCAACCTCGACACAGGAGATTTTGAGGCCTTGTTGGAAAAGCCTGTGAGCTCTCGTTTAGCGATATGAATAGAGCTTCTGCGTTAGCTTGTATGGATACTGATTATAGATCTACCCAGAAACCGAAATGTTTCGGGACCAGGTGGATGTTAGTCATTCTTCATCGTGACCAGATGCTCCCCTTACTGACATAACTGCATAGCAATATATGGGCACCAGAGAAACAGAAAGAATCGATTAGAGTCAGTATAACCCTTCATGTTATTACAAAACCCAAGCTCACCATAGTAATTAGTTGATCACCAACAAATATGGTGTCTCGGAGAGACTGCAAGGATTGATGTGCACAGAGCCTGCCAGCCAAACCCCGAGGCCTGCTCCAGGGTCAGAAGCTGCAGACAGTACTCGACACTGGACATTCAACCGCCAGTCCGATCGATCGCATCCAAAAGATCTCGAAGGCGCATACGCCCTGAAGGAGCTGGTTGACCCTGATACAATCAGGGAACAGGCAGCATCTTTGAACCTTACGTTTTCGGACATCATTAATCAGATCTGGCATTTCTCGTCTGTGGATTATGGGCCAAAATGTATGTCAGCCATCTATAGATGTCGAATATGCTGATTTGTGTGACAGATACTTGTGTCGGATATAATTCATTGTATACGATACCTGGAATTGACATTAAGAATGACAGAGGTCTGCCTTCCGGTAAGAGGTTGTGGACATGGATAATACTTTTCAGTGATGGTAATGCATCCTATTGATGATACCGTATCATAAAATACTCACTCTGTTAGGTACTGTCGTGTCGATTCAAGAAAACCCATTCCCAGGGACGTATATACCCAGTCCTGAGGAAATAAGCACCGTTCTGAGCACCATCCGCCGTAATTTTGGCTTTATCTTCTCCGGGGTGTCTAAGCAACACTCTATTGCATCCGCAAACGACTCTCTAGTGACGATACGTGTACGGCATTTCTCGAACAGCCAACCGGATGACGGTAGTATATCCCAGGAGGATGGCTCGAGCTTGTTGTTCTATTACATCTTTGACGACTGGGTAACAAGTTACCGACTCGTCGCCAGGAGAGAACATAAGTATGGCGCGTACCTCGATGATCTTGTAGGTTTCATTTCCCGTTCTGGACATATGCACGTATCTGACCGGGTATCCAGAGAGAACAGATGCTCGACAAGCCAGACGTGGATCTAGTTAGTGAACTACATTGGCTGGGCAGACGACTTGCTGTCTTGAAACGTCTCTATCAAAGTTACGAGACGATAATAACACGCATTTTGCAGAGACAACGTGTTTTGCGGGATGAGGCACACTCGCAGCCTAACGCGTTTCTCACGGGCAGCAATATCTCGGATGGAGATCCCCAAGATTGGCTGCATCCCCCTCCAGGAAACGCCCTCAACATAGCATCTGGGATTGACGCACCGCCAGGAGTGCTCCTGAGTTCTGCTGCTGTTGGCCGCTTCCAAAGGCTCATCGATCGCATAAGATTGTTCTGCCTAAGTGAGATAGACACGTGCCTGACCGAGAAGGAGTCTCTCACATTCCTGGTAGGTGTAGCGGTACTTGAGAGGATCGACCAGTAACTGACATGATTCAGAATTTCAATCTCATCGCTCTGAAGGATTCGCAAGCCGTTGAAAAGCTGACACGGATCACGATCGTGCTAGCCAAGGCAACCATGTTATTCATGCCCGTCAGTCTCATGACGGCCTATTTTTCGACGCAGATCGATGACCTGCAAGGCGTCTATACAGCCCGTACCTATTGGGTCTCGTTTGGAGTGATTATGGTCCTCACGATTATTGCTCTTGCCGTCTTTGGATTTGCCAGTGACACAGTCGAGGGCAAGACGATCTATCGCTCGTTGCTGAGAACGTTTGTGGACTCCTCTAGGAACAAGCTCTCTACCCAGAAGAAAGGGCGATATCGAGAATAGGCGTGAGCAGCTGGGAACAGGTTAATTAATTAGTCTTAGACTCTGAGGTATAATTGAGGGGGGAAAAAAGGGCCATGAACAAAGAACTCGAGAGTAGACCAATATATCATTAAAACAATCCATGATCTTTTGTGGGGCCCTCCGGCTAGAATGATAATAACTGTAGTACCTGCATGTACGCTATAGTCTAAGTCGATATTGTCACTCTTTATTCATCAAGGCACGAGAGTTTTTTCGAACACGTCGTGCTCCCAGGACGATCCACTTAATATACGGATTGCGATTATGCTTGTCTCCATCGAGGCGTAGTCTGCCCAATCCGCGGTGTGGGGATGGGGATTAGAGTAATCCCGGCGGCCTTTTTTTTCTGAGAGTTTGGAGAGCATGGCAAAGGCAATAATATCAAGAGATCCACAGGCACCAAAGAAATGCTATCTGGCAGCGATCTACCGAGGGATTGGCACGGTAGAGAATGCGGCCAAGCGGGCGAGAGAGTGGTACAAATGATGGAGCCTGGCGACTGCGCAGGGCCAGTAGTGAGTTCAGTCGCTGGATGTCGGCGGGATAGCGCCATCGCCCAGCCCAAACCTGGAACAGAAACACCGTGTCCTCTTTCGCGTAGGCAGAAGCGGCGCATAAGAAGTTGCAGCGAGAGGCTTCATGGGTATGATCGGCCCAGCAGTCCTTGCCTGAGCCGTCCGGAGCAGACCGTGCTTGTTCTTCCAGCGTGTTCCAGGGGCATTAAGAGTGATTATAACTCGTGCTGCTTTGTATCTTTCTCGTGTGGCTCAATTGGCCAGTGACGGAAGCTACGCTGACGGCCGCATTTCTTGACCTGGCGTTCGTTACACCCGAAAATTCACACGACAACATCGTCGCTCTACTACCAGACGTATCTCCCTCACGCCATCTGTATCCACCCCCTACCATCGCACGTTCACTTCGACTTCGTTTCTCTTGTAAGTGCTGCTTTTCCCAGAGTCCGGCTCGGTCGCGTACTCCCCCTTATTCGTCTGTGCACGTTGACACTGGCCGCTTCTCTTCCCCCCCCCACAAGCCTTCACCGTCAAATCGAGACCATCCACCCTTCCTACTGCACACCTCCCAGGGCGTCACCCATCCTTCCTGTTTTCTCTAAGTCGTGTTCTTGAACCCTCATCTTCAATCATTGCACGACAAGGTCCTCTGGCTCCTGACCACATCCATCTTACGATTATTCCAACTGACGTGTTGTTTCGCGAAGTGCCACCGTTTCTAGATCCCTTTCGACTCCCGCCACCATGGGTCTCACCTTCTCGAGATTGTTCGATAAGATATGGGGGAAGAAGGAGATGCGAATTCTGATGGTCGGACTTGACGCCGCAGGAAAGACCACCATTCTGTACAAGCTGAAGCTGGGTGAAATCGTCACCACCATCCCCACGATCGGTTAGTCTTCTCAGCACGTGTCCTTTGGGTTTAGGGGCGCTATCAGATCAGATGGGCGCAAATTTCTCTAGTCGAACGCCGTGGCTAACCAGGCCCCTTTTTGCGATTGTGAACAGGTTTCAACGTTGAGACGGTCGAGTACAAGAACATTCAGTTTACCGTGTGGGATGTCGGTGGTCAGGACAAGATCCGTCCTCTGTGGAGACACTATTTCCAGAACACCCAGGGTATCATCTTCGTGGTTGACAGCAACGACCGTGACCGTATCGTTGAGGCCCGGGAGGAGCTTCAGCGCATGCTGAACGAGGACGAGCTCCGGGATGCTCTGCTCCTCGTCTTCGCCAACAAGCAGGACTTGCCCGTAAGTACCTTCTGTTGCTACTATTGCGCCGCGAAACATCGAATGCTGATGTTTTATCCTTCCAGAACGCTATGAGCCCCGCCGAGATCACGCAGCAGCTTGGTCTGCAAAGCCTTACTCGCCGTGCCTGGGTAAGCCGATTATCCTTCCCTTGTGGACGTCATATCAGATCCTTTTTTTACTGACGTCGTACTAGTACATCCAATCCACTTGCGCTACTACTGGTGACGGTCTGTACGAAGGTCTCGAGTGGCTTGCGGAGACTCTCCGCAAGACCGGTCGCGACTGAACGGTTAGATGAATGTGTGACGTGGGGATTCCCAGATCATGTGCGGGGACTTTTTGCGTGTCATTGATGCTGGATGTTGTTGGCTCTCGAAACCGGGAGACTGGGGAGGCCGGGGCCGGCAAAGAACATCTCGCATAGGGAAGGGATTTGCTGCTTTGGTACATGTCTGTCCACTAAACTAACGGCTCTTCATTCCTCTATGCTATTAGCCTCACTTTTCTCTTTTCATCCTCCTGGCGTCGATCAAACGAATACTCCTTCTGTGCCTTAAAACCTTTTATTTTAACCCTTTAGTTTCGCTCTCACAAACCCATGGTCAATGCTCACATGAATATGCTATCATAAAACCTTGTTGCCTGTGTTACTATTTACCTTTTGCGAGCACCTAGTTGTCCTCTCCCCGCATAATCAAATGAAAATGTAGTTCGATAGGGTACTACCGCCTAATAGATAGCATGACCTCCAGACACGATCACATGGTCATGTGCCTTATTAGTACCCCATACCATTTTCCGCCCCAAACTAAAACCCAATTAAGTGGCCGAGGTTCGATCGAGTATCATGTCACCTGAATATATACCAAGCTTCGTCATAGGTCCTATTAGTTACTGGTATCGATACTGGTACTCAGTTACCATTCATCGATTAGGTAGCTAGGTATACCGTATGGATACGAAGTAAACTGGATTATTTCATTAACGGAAATAGATATTTGTTTGTTGATTTATTTATATTACTTCTCATTCAGTAAGGCGATAAAGCAACGGAAAATGGAACGGATTCGGTAAGATCGAGCCGTATGGACAGCAGGTACGGGTATTATTACCATTATTTGTTCTCTAGGGCCGTTTGCGGAAATTCTTCCTCCTCAAGGTTTTCTTAGTAAGATGTCTTGGGGTAACTAGTTAACTGAGTTATTGTATGTGTAGTGCTCTATGGAGGAGTTGTTTTCGCTATCATCAATTCTATTTGTGTATGGTATTCAATCTGTATAGGGTGTGACATCACGGGTCATGAAGCGTAATTTCAATGTGAGGGGGCAAGAAAGAGAAAGAAAACAAAAAGCAACAAGCAACAAGCAGTGCGTAGTAAACTTAAGCAAAAACGAGGCTAATTATCATTTAATGGACATAAGAAAAGAGAAAGAGAAAGCAAAGATAGTAGGTGTTAAGAGGAAACCCGAGATCTTTTCAATGGGGAAGATAATGTCGCTCTTGGTAACTCCTTTTATCTCCAGAAACTCCCCGCCAGATCTTTTCCCTTGGTATAGAATTTTTGGTGCGCAAGACAATAAACGTGAAACGGGAGACTGAGATTTAGAAAAAAAAGACGATCGAGGGCTGCGTCATCATCGTAATGCATGGAAGTGGTGGTGTACAACGTATGCGAATTTTGGGGTCGACTAGGATGTAGGCCAACATTGTCCTCTGTCGTCGAAGCGCTAAAGATCTCAATGCAGGCTTTGTGCGAGATATATAAGGAAAATACTCACTGCTGAATCTAGCTCCCAACGGTGCTGAAATAGCTGATGCCGATTCATATGACGAGTTCTAAGCAGCATAGTTAACCAGAACGGTGAGATGATGTAATCATTGGCAAGACCAGAGGATGCAGCTTCGAGCACTTGTGCTGGCCGCTTGTCTTCCACTGATTGAACATCTGAAATTGTAGTTTTTATGATCCCTTTCTGCGTGGATCTCAAAATGTCCTGAATAGGAAGGTGGCACAAGTCTGGAGTCCCAGTCCCGTCGTGACAGAGGATGAGATCAGCACTCAGGACACGGCTTCAATTCACCATGTCCGATTGATTTGAATTCCTGATTGACCTCGATGTCTCGCTTCAACTCTGTCCCAGTCACCCACCAGGCTGCAGCGCGGATGATTTCCATCACGTAGCGCAGGTCTTTCTCATCCCGCGGCGCATAGATCATGACGAAACCCGGCGGAACGATCTTAGCTCTCCACCACCAGCTCTCCCGCGCCAGAGGATGGCGTTCTCCCCAACCACGCTCAATGACCAGTTTTACATCGGCTGGATGGAGGGTGAGGTGCATGCTGGCGTCGCAAGGGTGGGCATGACAGACTTCGCCGTTGCAAGTGGGCCGGCTGCGGAAGGCAGCGTTTGCAAAGATACCGGTGCTATGCTTCTCGAAACACGAGGTCCCAAGGAAAAGACGGTCTTGGTGGCATTGGATGAGGTTTCTAATCGAAGAAGACAGAGCCTCATACATTATCTGACCTCCACGCTGGCTCATCTGGCGCTGAGGAGCAATCCCGGCGACTCTAGGACGGCGGCCTTGTCTCCTGGGGAGGTCCTTCAGAATACCCTGCTGCGGATGTAAAAAGGGAGGCAGCGACGGCGGTTCCAGGGGATTGCGGAGGCGGAAGAGTCGCAAGACGCATATACGCAAGTATCCTCTGGGAGTGGAAGGCGTTCCTCCTGGACCGAGTGCCAGGAAGGCATAATAGTCATTGCGAACCCGCCTCGCAACATAGATGGAAGACAGAATAAGGACTATCACGCCAAGAAGAGAGACAATTGGTGATTGGTACGCCAATGAGTTTCCAAGCTCTGAATACACTCGAGTTACATGTAATTTGTCCGCCTACTAGATTGTGAGCGACTAGACATGAAAGTGTTGTTCAATGGCGGACACTGCATACCATTTTGCCTTGTGAGACACGAGTCTTGTATACAATCTCAGTTTGTATTCTCAATAATGTAAAGACAGATGATGTTGTCAAGAGTCTATCCCATGCAAAGGGCGTAGGTTAGACGAGCCCCGGACAGAAGGAGCCAACCGGGGGTGTAGAGTAGATAGTTCTTTAGTACGATAGAATTAAGAGAACCAGAAAATGACAGGAAACAAGGTAACGGCAATTTAAACCTGATAAACACCGGACCTGTGGCTTGTAAGACCACGCTGGATGATCATGAGACATGCAAATTGTGCTGTGAGCCGACGCAGTAGCTGCCCGGGAATCACTTTCAACGACGACACGACAGACAGCGAACTATTGATGCAGAAGGTTAAGGACAAAGCTAGAAATGAAGCAAGTCGCATATGCAGTCTGCTTTTGAATTGGCTAGCTATTGTTTGACGCCTCCAGCTTGCCCCCATCGTGGCCCTGGAGAGCTAACTTGTCAAGGTTGCATCATAGGATCCGGAAATCTGGAAACTTCAGTGGCTGGGTTTAGTCGGGCGTCATTGAATACTCCGCCAATCCTTCGACATTATTTCTACTCATAAAGGGCGATGGAAGCTCTTCGATTACCAGAGTATTAAACGCCCCCTTGCGCAGTTACCTGCGGTGCAGAATTGAACGGCACACGAGACAGGGTGTTACTGGACCTGAATCTGGAGGAGCTACCATCGCGCACAACGTCTGGTCCGTAGACGCAGGACCACCACATAACATCCTAGCCAAACACCCTGTCTTTCAATCGGTACAACACCCTATTGAACCACGTTCTCGACCATCCGCTTCCTGGAATAGGCGAGCGCCTCTTCCGGTCCCTTGGGCACGGAACTGTTCAAGCGGTCAGGCTGAGGATCAAGTGATGTCCACGATCATTGGCCTGTGCGCGCGTCTGGATGCAGATGGAATGTGAGCACCTGAGGTGAATTGGCCGAACAACTCTTTCTTTCGACCGTACTGAGTACTCAACCCCCTCTCTGTCGCTTCTTCTGGTTAACTACTGCACGAGACAGCAAGATCCCACCGGTAATTGAGCTCTGGGGTCTCTCCGGAACCATGTCCACCGATTGACCATGATCACCCCATTCAAATCGGCCGCTGTTCACATCACAGCTTCCATGAACAAGAACCCAGAGAATCCTCCTGGGGCATTGATAATTTCAACAGGTAGTTGCGATCCGAAACTACTATCGTGCCAATAACGAAGCAGGCGGTTTCTCGGGTTCATTCATGCTTGCGATCTCTCGTATCGGAGAATCTCCGGGATGCGACATGTACGTAGTTAACAGCTCGAGAAAATCAACGTTCAGGCTGAATCATAGCAGGAGCAAGAAGACAATTGGCCCTCAGCATGTCACATCTTGTATGCTTTCAGAGCAGAAGCAATTTACAGTACGGGAGAAGTTGATATGGACGAGTTAAAACAGCAACTGCAGGCGGTCGTCATTTTTCTTCGTGAGACATCGAGAGCTCGATGCGGCTGCGGACGGACCAAGGTTGATCTGTCGATCGATGACTATCAACTTTCAAGTCTCCTTTAATAAATGGCACTGTTGCGCACGTCATGCTCCATCTGGCGCTGCAAAGGATTAGTTCTGTCAATCGGCTCAATCCACAATGATAATAACAATAGATAGACCTCGAAAAGTATGAACGATCACCGCCATGCGGCCATGGAGACCTGCGCGTTCTTGTGGCTGGACGTCCAAGCTTTCTTATCCGGCATCTGGAAAACAGCTCTAGACTAGACTATCTAGTCCTTATTACTCGAGTACTCACGGGAAGCCGCGTGGGCGACGCGGAGGATCTTTTTAGACGGCCGTCTCCCTTATAGAACCTTGATTGTCCTTTTGCTTCCTCTCAATCTACTCTCAGATAGGGGGGAGGCTATAAATATGAATCCTCTGTGCAGATCAAGTCGGGGTTAAAAATATCTACCATAGACTATCTCCCTGAGGCACGCTCTCCATAGCCCGACTGGGACAGGCGAGGGGACGAGACGCTAGGCTATAAGCGGCCTGGAGCCTGATTCGGCCGGCCACGCAGCTTCCCTCGCGCCTTCCATCATCCATGGCGCCTTCTCCATCGGCCGTCGTTCCTGCCCCACTGAGGAAGCCACCGTCGCCCCTCCCGCCCGCCGTCAGTGGCCATTCCGCTCCGTTCCTTCCTTGTTTGCGGCAACCAACACGTCGCTCCTTCCTGCCCCTCCCGCGTGCTGGCGTTGCCAAGACAGTCTGGGCCTGGGGTACGCAATCGCTTCGGCAACCATCCAGACGGCCTCAGGTTTCCTCGTGAGCTCTCCTCTCCACGCCACGTCCCCTTTCCCCTTTTTTCTTCCCGTTGTATACACAAAAGCTCTCGATTCCATCGCAGGCCCGGTCCTTCGTGGCTCCTTCGTGTCTGTTGCAGAGCTACTCTGTGCTGGCGGCGCTGGATAGCAACCGTTGCTGCGCTCTTCTGCCCGTTTCAATTTCGGGACATTGTGTTTATTTCTCTGCGGAGCAGGACGCCGGGGAGCAGCAAGGACACCACAAGAAAAAAAAAAGCCAAATCTATCCCATTCTGCGAGTCCAATTCCCCCAAGGGAAACTATCCTGTGTCACTACGAATCGATGCGGGCGCGGTAAACAAACCAGTACGGAATTGACCTCGACGGCGCAGTGCGCATCACTTGCACTCCGGCTGCAATGACCCGGCAGGCAAAGCCCTCGGCCGTCTACAATGCCGCCCCATTCCCGCGCAGGCACCATAAGGATTTAGACGTTGAGAAAGAAGCATACTATCGGGTCTCAGCTGAGTCGGATACCGACGACGACACACCTACAGTTTCGGATAGCTCCCACGTCACCGCGACGTCGCAACAGCCAATGTTGGGTGGTCCGTCACTACGACGGGGCAGACTGGGCATCGGCTTCTATCGAGTGCCCCATCGCATTATGAGATGGATGTGCCTCGCGCTGCTGTCTGCTCTGATCCTCTTTATTATCACGCTTTTCCGGTTTAGTTTGCCCTCGCCTGTGGAAAAGGTATCGCTGGAGTTGCCAAGACCTAAACCCAAACCGCCGCAGTGGGAGAGCTTCCCATTCTTGAAGAGATACCATGGTGGAATCAGGACCCTGGTGTCGCGGAAGGAGAACGTGCCCGAATACCCGGGAGATGGATACGATGGCGTGGATGGCCAAATCTTCGGCGAAGACGTCAATGGAACGCTCTCAGCTCGGGATCCCAATGCAATGAAGTCCATAAGCTCCGAGTATAATCCTTACCCCGACTACAAGTCTGAGGCGTATATCAAGAAGTATGGCGTCAAGCAGGACTGCTTTCTGGACGAAGAAGGTACGATTCGTGTGCCATATGTCCATTACTACAATGGTGTCCCCCGTGGGTTTCCCGATGCGGTGATGGGTTCCAACGAGATGCTGGGAATTGAGGATAATGTCTGCTTCGACCGCTTCGGCCGCCTGGGACCATACGGTCTGGGTTACGGAGTGAAAAGAGGAGGAATTGGCGCTGGTCTGGAGGGCCACAGAGAGGGCGCGAGCCGTGTCTGGGAGGACTACCCACCGGTTGATTTCCGGGGAATGGACTGGGCTGCGGCTCAGAATCGATGCGTTGCTGCCAACAATCACCGTTTCAAGGAACTGCCCCCGCCTCGGACCGATCGCTTTCTCTCCATGCAGGTCGGTGTACCTGCCCTGCCAACCGAACCAGAAGGCAAGACACAGGCCGCGAAGAAAGGAACCGACCGTCTACCGCGGACTGCAGTGCTCATTCGAACCTGGTGGGACTTCAAGTATACCCCGGAGGATATCCTATACCTGCGATCCTTGATTTCTGAGCTTACGCTGCAGTCGGGAGGAGAGTATGTTGTCCACTTCCTTGTCCATGTGAAGGATGATAATATGCAGATATGGTCTGATGACGAGACCTATCAGCGCGTTCTTGACAGAGCGCTTCCCGAGGAGTTTCGCGGTATGGGAGTGCTCTGGTCTGAACGACAGATGGGCTTGATGTACGGTGGGCTGGAAGAATCATTCATGCGCGGCCTACCTGTACATGGGGTCTACCGGAGCACCTTCATGCCGGTTCAATACTTTGCTTATCAGCACCCTGAATACGACTATTATTGGAATTGGGAAATGGACGTACGATACACGGGACACTGGTATCATTTCTTCGACAAGGTCGCGAACTGGGCCAAGGAGCAACCAAGAAAGGGACTGTGGGAGCGCAACGCGCGCTTCTATGTTCCCTCGGTGCATGGGCCATGGGAGGACTTCAGACAGATGGTCCGCGTTCAGACTGAGCACGGCACCAACAGCCCCAATAACATGTGGAGCGCCTTGAAAGAAGACAAGGACCAGGGCGTGAAGGCTATCGAACAGAGAGGCGACAAGCCTATCTGGGGACCGGAGAGACCAGCCGAAAGAGATGTCATGGAAGTTGAAGGGGAGGGTATCCCACCGACTACTTACGAAAAGGATAGGTATGAATGGGGTGTCGGCGAGGACGCCGATTTGATTGTCTTCAACCCATTGTACGATCCGGAAGGTACCACTTGGCTTCTGAGAGACGATGTGACTGGCTATGACACTTCGAACGGGATGCCGCCACGCCGCACCGCTATCATCACTGCCTCTCGTCTCTCTCGTAAGCTCTTGTTGACGATGCACCGCGAAACCAGCTTGAAGCGGCACACCATGTTTTCTGAGATGTGGCCCGCCAGCACTTGCCTCCAACACGGCTTCAAAGCCGTGTATGTGCCACACTCCGTCTATATTGACCGCCGCTGGCCAACGCGATACTTGGATTCCGTCTTCAATGCCGGCCGCAATGGTGCCTCCGGTGGTGCGCGAACGGCTGTCTTTGGTGACCGGGAGCACAATTTCCGCGGTACCACCTGGTTCTATTCTGCCGGCTTCTCGCCCAACCTTTGGAGACGGTGGCTGGGTTACCGGGTGGATAATGACGGCGGTGAGCAGGAAGAACTTGCGGGCGAGGGACGAATGTGCCTCCCGCCGATGCTGCTGCATCCTGTCAAGAACGTCGATATGGTGATCGATGACTGGGGCCAGGACGGCACCTAGGATGATATAGAAGGTTGACGCTGCTTTCTATTCTCATTTATGTTCTGACATCTTTCGTTGCATCGCATAGCTTAGTGTCACATCTTTTGGTATCTTTTTTTTGTATATGACAGCTGGTGTTGGCGTTCAAGAGTGGTGGACGGGGCGACATCCTTGATAGGTGCTCTCCTTTCCTTTCAATTGTTGATTCCCTGTTAGAGGGAACATGATGAGTCAATGATATATATTTTATGTTTATCTAATACAAACATGGCTATTAGCATCTTGCGCTGTTGATTGTTGATTGTTGATGTTGATGTTGACTTGTATTGTAGTTTGTAGGGTTCCGACTGTTATGGAGAACAGCCGGCTGTTCTCAGCTAGGAAAGTTAGCCAATTTGCAGGCAAGTGAAGAGAGGTGATGCAGAAAGGCTTTGATCGCGCTATCCTGTATGCCCCATTCGGTCCTTTTGAATTATACATGTGTTTATATGCGCTGTAGACCCAGAGATGGAAACTTGACCGAGAGAGCCTTGAACGATCTAATCTAGACTGAGATAACAGACTCAATACCCCGTGATGATTTAATGTTAGTATCACTTAATAACAATCTCCATAACGCTACTTCTTCCCACTCGGCACACTTCCCCCGCGCTCACAAAGTAATTACTTCCCCGCTCCGCGTCTCTTCCGGGGAAAGCACCGGCCTCGGGTTGCTTTACTCCGTTCTCTTGGGCTGAAGATGACTATTATTGCATAGAAGGAAGCACAGCAGCTAGTTAGTTGGCTCCAGCAGCCATTCAGGCCTGTCCACGCTCTTGTGTGAGCGAGATTGGAATACAGACGGAGAATATCCGAAAATGTCATCTGGACGGTCTATTTTGGGACTTCGGCCAAGTTTCCGGAGGGTTGATTCCTGGATTCTCTGTACGAGTATATATATATTGATGGATGAGGTCTGGTCTTTTGGTGGTACAACTTCGAAGTCTGATCAAATATATGGACGTCCAGTCTCTGGTTTAGCTATCTTTTTGTTAGACACGATTTCTTTTTCTTTTCTGCTTCCTTTTGTAAACCAAACAGATTCTCTTTGCTGTGACCACAATGTCACCCGTTCAATACGACCATGTCATCCAGCTTCCGACAACGCCCAAGGTCGATGATAGCACCGTTGACCCACGAGCGATAGCCCAGCAATGGATATCCTGTCTCGAGACCGTCCTCTCGCAAAATTCCATTTCCAGACTCGGAGACCTCTTCCATGAAGAATCATGGTGGCGCGACATGATCGCTCTTGAATGGAATTTTCACACCATTCACGGCCTCTCCCGCATCCAGGATTTCCTGACCCAGAATCAACCGCAAGCGCAACTATCCAGCTTTCGTCTGCAGGATAAAGGGAAGTATCAGCCAAGTCTGGCCAAGCCGGCCCCGGACATCCATTTGCAATGGGTGGCGTCGATGTTCTTCTTCGAAACGAAGATTGGTCGAGGTACTGGATTCTTGCGTCTCACGCCCAATGCGGAGGGGAAGTGGAAGGCGTATGCGGTTTATACCTCCCTGCAGGAGTTGAAGGGGTTTGATGAGCCATTGGGCCCGAAACGAGTGTATGGTACGCTTGATTCAATGCCGGATGGTCCCAGTGGAGGGACTTGGTTCGAGAGGCGGCAGAGACAGATGGAATTCCTGGATGAGGAGCCCCGGGTGTTGCTCATTGGTGCTGGTGAGTTCATATGCGCTTGACGGTATGGATGCTGGGTATGGGGGTTTTTTTTAACAAAGGCTGGATAGGTCAATCTGGATTGAACCTTGGAGCGAGGCTACAATCTCTTGGTTTGTCGTGTCTCATCGTGGATAAGAATGAAAGAGTAGGAGACAATTGGAGACAGAGATACAGAGTATGTGTTCGCATCTATTGTGATCATCTTCCCTGTTCTTCCAAGGAAGTGACTAACTGACGCTCTTCCTAGACTCTCGTTACTCATGACCCGGCGGAGTTTACGCACATGGCTTATCTTCCCTTCCCCAAGAACTGGCCCCAGTTCACACCAAAGGACAAGCTTGGAGACTGGTTTGAAGCCTACGCCAGCCTTATGGAACTCAATGCCTGGACAAAGACGACTATTAAGTCGGCGGTATATGACGATGCCAAGTCTGAGTGGACAGTCACTGTGGTCCGCGACGGACAGGAGAGGACTTTCCATCCTCATCACGTCGTCTGCTGTACCGGTCACTCTGGCGAGCCTAAGATTCCGACCTTTCCTGGGCAGCAAGACTTTCAGGGCCTTGTATATCACGGTAGTCAGCATACGGATGCGTCTCAACATGATGTTAAAGGCAAGAAGGTTATTGTGGTCGGCACAGGAAACAGTGGTCACGATATCGCAGAGAACTTTTATGAAAATGGGGCAGAGGTTACTATGCTCCAGCGGAGTGGGACATATGTTATATCCCTTGACAAGGGTGTCTTTATGATGCATGAGGGCGTTCACGATGAGTATGGGTGAGTATCTTCATCCTTTTTTCGAAATGCGCATTCAACAGCCTGACAAATGTTAAACAGACCACCCACCGAGGAAGCCGATATATTCACTGAGAGTCTACCGTGGCCTGTCCAATTTGCCCTCAATGTCTACGGGACGAAGCGCATCTCTGCCGCTGACTCTGATCTTCTTTCCGGCCTCACTGCTGCGGGATTCAAGCTCAACTTTGGAATCGATAATGCCGGCATTTCGCGTCTGTACTATACCCGAGGTGGCGGATATTACATCGATGTCGGATGCAGCAAGCTGATCATAGACAGAAAGATTAAGGTCAAGCAGAGTCCTGAAGGTATTAGCGGCTTCACCCACAACGCTCTCGTCTTAAAGGATGGGTCAGAACTTGAAGCTGATATCGTGGTCCTCGCCACGGGATATGACAACATGCGCACTTCAGTGCATAAGATCCTGGGATCTAAAGTTGCGGAAAGATGCAAAGATGTTTGGGACCTGGACGAGGAAGGAGAGCTTAACGCGGTATGTCATATCTTAGAAATATTCGAGAATTTGTCCGATCCTGCTATATCGATTACCAATACATGCTAACTTAGCCCAATGAACAGATGTGGCGGCCAAGCGGCCACCCCAATTTCTGGTACATGGGAGGAAACCTGGCGCTATGCCGAGTGTACTCAAAGTTCCTCGCTCTCCAGATCAAGGCAGCTGAAGAGGGGCTATCTTCCAAGTCGAAGGCCTTGGACTCGAAGCTGTAGGTTTGGGAGTTGCAGAGCTAAGTAGGGTCATTAGTTTCGATAAGGAAATATTAGACTTGGTATTCTTTAATAGTATTCGCAGTATTTGGTCATATTAAGTAGATTTTTTGGACAGTCAACTACAGTAGCACCAATCCTTTCCTATCTTCTGGATTGAGTTTTCAAGTAGGTATCTACATATCTCCATAAAATGCCCTATTTCGAATTGTGCCCGCATCATGGCCGTCGTTGCAAAGCCAGATCCACCGGCACACGCCCAAATACTACGTTGCGCCAGCAGTTGCCATGGAACAAAGCAATCCATCTTAGGTCCAGTACAGTACTAGCACTCTACATACCTACCTGGTAGTTTAAGCACTCTAGGCTGCCATTCTGCCATCCTATGCCGCTCTAATCATGACCCTTCTCCTCGTAGACAACATGTTTTTGATCTTCTCGCGTCACGACTACGTTGGTCACACCATCGAGAGAATATCCTGGAGTACTTCCCGCCTACATATACTGTACAACATTCGGCAAGTCCGCTGAAGAACTTGATGGAGACCCCCAATCTCATCTCCTGACTTTTTGTCAATCCATAAATCGCATTTGGCCATGTCTCGTCAATTCTCCAGGGATAAGGACGTCAATGGAGTGTTTACCCAGGAAGAGATTGAGTGCCTCGAAGATGAGGCTATATTAGAAACTGAACCGATAGCAGCAGCATCTACCACTGGCAAGAGGAAAGTGTCTGTAGTGTTGAATCCCCCCTCAGACTTTTCAACTTCCTCCTCGTCTAGTCCCTCAGCATCGATCAGCATGCGGGATTTTAGTCCCCCCAGAGTCTACAAGTTCGATTTGCCTATGACGGATGACAGCACTGCTACTTTAGAATGGGTTGGATTTATACCTTCCGCTGCGAAGGAAATTTTCAAACGCTACTGTGATCGCCCTGATCCCGGGCAGAATCCAGACAGCCTAATGGACTACGCCTTTGCACACGTGTCTGAGCTGACGACAAGCAGATTCAAGGATATGGACCTCAGGGAGGCCATAATGCGCGTTGGGCTTAATCAACAAATACTAGAAGCACTGACCGATCCTGAATTTTCCGATATATTTTGGACGAATGACCTCCATTTTTGGGTTAATGATACCCTCAACCTCAATTATGCCACCCTTCTCTCCCGGCAGGAACTACTTAAAAACCACGCCAGTCGAGGTATCGCTTATAGAAAAGATAATGAGCCAGCCACGATTAACATAACACCGCAAGATTTCCAATTCCCCGCCGCGCACGTGGCGATAGAGCCAAATAGTACTATCCTGCCAGAGCATGTCGTCCTCTACAAGGGAAAGGGCTTCTGCGATCTGAACGAGCCGAGACACATCGTCAGACATGACGGGAGCGTTTGTGCCCTCTTACTTGCAACACAGCCAGGCGGAGACTTCAATTGGAATGACTTCGCTGGTTACTGGACTCCAGAGAAGGAGACGGCTGAGCAGGACCGCAAATGGGCGGCCAGGAGAAATCCCCGTTGCGAGACCTGTATACTTGAAATCCAGATCTCCAAGGATTTTCTGGACGCTTTAAAACCAGCGGAGCTCTGGTACTCTGCCGATTGGAAAAGATACATCTGGTTTTGCAGAAATGCAGAAGTGCCAGATAATAGGTTTGAGTATCTCTGGGAGCCTGATCAGGTCGGTGTCGTCAAAGGCCATATTTGCACTGGCATCTCAAAGAATATCAGGTGTATTCGCGAACAGGACATTGAGACCGAAATCACAGAAGACAATGTACTATGGTGCCGCAGAACAAACCACAAAGCCATTCAATGGGCATTTTTGTCGCATACGCTCAAACAGCTGGTTACCGAGATTCGTGGCAAAATGCACATTGAAATAGTCGCACCTCTTGAGTCAACCCAGCAGAAGTAACACAGCTCTCTTTCCGGGCTGTAGAGCAGGAGCGTCAATCCTCACGGACCGCGAGGTCTTCCTAACCAACCTCTTTTCTTACCAAGTTTGTTTATTCTAATGCGTGAACCCCCTCAGCTGAAGTACCGTCATAGTTCGACGTGCTGCTTCCTGCCTTGGAGTTCAGTTTCGGTCCTTCCTCCTATGCATGTCACATACGATGAAGGGAAAGGGCAAAAGAAGTAAACATCTGAGAGACTCTCCTCCAAATAGTTCTTCTCAGCCAAAACATTCTGTCTTCTTTCAACTTCTACAGTAGGCTCTCTATTAGCCCATTACTCCGCATCTGCATCGCCATAGCCAGCAGTAATTATCTCAAGGGTACGCATACTGATTCTATCTACTCTGAATACAACTAAAGTGAACAGCTAGGATTCTCCCATCGGTCATGATGCATCTCGCCCTTATAAGCACCTTGATTCTGGGTGCTGCCCTCAATGTTGTTGGTCTCAAGATCAATACAACACGCCACGAAGCCCCTATTGTGAGAGGTAACCCTACCGACGTCTACTACGAGGTCTCCTTGCTGTACAAGACATCGACGAAAGTACGTGGATGGCTCATTGGTACTCCATCTAAGGATGGCGTTGGGGTCGAGATCCGTGCCAATTTCTGGGGTTTCCCAGATGAGGGCCCTTACCGTTCGTCTCCCCTTTGAATGATTGGTTTAGTTATTACTCATCACTCTGTTAGAATATCATATCCACGAAGCACCCATCCCAGCAAATGGAGATTGCGCTGCTGCCGGCCCTCACCTTGACCCCTACAAACGGGGCGAGACTCCACCGTGCGATATCGATGCACCTGAAAGTTGCCAGGTGGGAGATCTAAGTGGAAAGCACGGTCCTATCTGGATCGCTCCTGGCGAGGCATTCGTGGTCAAGTACACGGACTTCTTTCTATCGACCAGTCCCGCGAATCCTGCATACTTTGGGAACCGGTCCATCGTCCTTCATACTGCGAATGGCACCCGGCTCAATTGCGGAAACTTTAGGGAGGTTCGTCACAAGCACACCACCGTCCCTGATGCTGAGGAAAAACCGACGTATACGACTGCGAGAGGAGCATCTGATAGCACGACCAGGATCCTTCCAATTGCTGCCGAGGCAATCACTGAGACACCTAAACCTCCGACTGCTTCTATAACTTCACCAATGTCCTTTCTCAGCGCCGCTCCGACCCACGCTGTGGAATTCTCAACAAGTGTGATGTTGGCAACGATCGTTGCGTTCATGCTGTAGAAAGATGACATTCATTGTTGATATGCGACCTGAATTGGTATCTTCGAAGACACATTGCACTGCCGTGATGGATTTCCTACGGTGGTTCCGATTGAATCCTGTTCAATGTAATCACGCAAGAACCTTATTCTTTCGTTAATACCTGCTTAGTTCCACTGTACTGATAGCAAAGAATCAAATACTTATTCAGAACTCGGACCACATGCTACTCGTAGACTCCATACTTAATGGTGTGGGTGCTTCGAATGTAGTGTCATTTCCTGCAAACGTCAAATCTGATGTTTCTAGAGACTTTTCCGAGTATAAGTGGAATGAGTATTTCCCTCATGTTATTTGTTTGTTATATCTCGTGGAGTAAAGGATCCACTAGGGTCTGGTGGATTATACATAAGCCCAACCTTCTCACACCACAATCCACACTACAATACAACCAGCAAGAATGATTCCCACATATTATGAACGCCGGGAATAAAAAAGAGACCACCAAAAACTGACCCGATTGGGTTTACATCAAATAAGCAAAGACACGTACCAATGGGCCCTTGTCTACGTCGACTGCCCAGTGATCTCTTCGAGTCTCCACCGTATGGAGCGTGGACCATGTTGTGCTTCGTCGCCGCGATATTCTTTTAGAACGATAGTCCTCATTAGTCGTCGAGGAGCACGACGGCCTGTGAATAGTTCGAATTGCGCGAAGCCATGTTCCGGAAGGACGTCCAGACCATCGAGAGCGATCCAGCCGCGGTGGGAGAGGGCGCGCATCTGTTTCTGGAGAGGGGTATTGAGGGGTCTGTATGCTAGCTGTTTTTGTGGGAGGTTTTGTTAGTATTGTTTTCTTTTTCTTTTTTATCATGAGAAGATAAGACTAGACAGAGTTTAAATGGGAAGGAAGGGTAGATTTGAAGAAGGGGGGTTAACTTTACCTCTACCAATACGCCGCCTGTGGGGCTTTCGAGCCAGTGTTCAGGCATTGTGAAGTTCGGAGCTGGTTGATCTCCCATACTGTGCGCGGGTATACTGCAGACGATGATGGTTGGTTGTTTATAGTTTGCTGGCCAGGGATCATTGAGAGACTCGATGATGTGAACGGTCACTTTGACGTTCTGCATCACTGTACCTGTCCGTTTGATGTCCTGTTTATTGTAATGATGGGCGAGTTTCTGGGCATTGGCGATCGTGCGGTTGTATAAGAAGATATTCTCGACGCCGAGATGGATGAGAGAATAGATAGCTGCGCGTGCCATTCCGCCTGCCCCGATCACGAGTCCGGTCGTGGTTGGTCGGACTGCATTTGCGGGAGATAGGCCGCGACGGATGCAATTGCGGATTCCTATCCAGTCGGTGTTATCTCCATGTAGGGCTCTGACGGGGCCTGCTCTGTTCATTTCCATGTAGAGATCGGACTCTTGCGCGATGCTGCCGTCTTCCCGGATGGTTCTGATAGGGAGTATGGTGTTGATGGCACCAATAGCACGAGCGTGAGGCGACATTGAGTGTAGTAGTGGGATGGCTTCAGTCTTGTAAGGTAAGCTGATACTCGCGCCTCCGAAATTGTGGTCTTCGACGAGCTCGTTCAGGTTTCGTAGGGAGTCGGCCTGGTGCACTTTGCAGTGATGCGGCATGCCGCACTCTTTGTAAGCTGCATTGTGCATCGTTGGAGATAGACTGAACTCCACGTTGGCACCGAAAACGTAGAAGCGCATCGGATCGAGGACGAATGATGTGAAGAGGGCCTGTTGGGCATCGCGCGCCATAATGGACGGAGAGTTCCGTATATTATCTGGCGATATCAGAGAAGCGTGGGTCACAGGTGTTAGGGTTGGGTTGAAGCAGCAAGACAGACGCCCTAGGGCGCCGGTATTGTACGCAATTATAGGTGGATGTGGTTCGGGGAGTAATGAGATGCGGTGGCGGAACCTCTGAACTGCAAAGTTATCCTCCATTCTCAGTGCGGGTTGCGATATTCTGACAAGGTCGCAGCCTATCCTGGCAGCGCGTTCATAGATCTTCATGTATTCATCCCCATCCCAGTCTCGAATTTGCGTTCCGTCTGAAGAGAAATGACCGATGATTTTGGTAAAACCTTTGGCAGAGATGATCCGGGTCAGGATAGAATCATCGTATGACAAGTCCACTGTCAGGAATTGAGGGGCGAGTCTGAGGCCGTGCTCCACCAGATTCGAATAAGCTTGATCAGGCAATTTCGGCTTTGCAGCAGTCGCAACATTCGCGCTTTGTACAGATTGAACGTGATAGATGATGGGCACAATGATATTCCGTCGGACAGTTGCCATGGTCTGGCTGATCTTGTGTGCAAGTATAGATGATAATCCGTGATCATCAGAAGCGCCTTCCGAGAGGTCAATCACTATCTCAAACGCGTCGGTGGTTGCCTCTAATTCCTCGATATCCATATTTCTGTTCAAAAGCCCGGACAATGGTACTGAAACAGCATACGTGTATGACCTTGATTCGACTGGCAACAATGACAACGGAAAACCAGCTTGTAACTTCCTGAGATCTGCGGTATTTCCCGTTGTAAACGCTACAAAACGGAGAAAGTCCTGCTCCAGCTTTTTCAAGGTCAAGAAAGGAGGCGGCCGTTGATCCGATTCTGATTCGGATGTTTCATCTGTGCCAGTACGCGAATCCTGGGGTTCAGATCCAGTCTCTGAGACATTGAAGAACTCTAGGTTCGAACATGCCCGGTAAAGCGGTCCTGAGATTTCTAGAAAGCGGCTGACCTTGTCTGTGTCCCATGCCTTAAGGCACTTTTGAATGCTGACAGCGTCACGGAGTACGTGAATGACTGGGTTTGTCTTCGCATATTCCTCCAACAGCTTCTGTCCCCCGCGCTCCACTGATGCTGCTCCACACACGATCACACAGCCTTCTCGATGTTCTGCGAGCATCTGCGCCATAACCTTGGATTCTTGTTGACGATAGTCCGCTACATCGCGTTCCTTCTTGAAGGCTGCACGGGAGAGCCCTGTCACTTGCTGGAAATATCGATCCGCATCAACCAGGCGTCTTCCAGTTGCTGTGGACAATATCACAGCGAGACTCGACTTCCCAGTTCCTCGGATACCGATCAATACGATAGATGCATCTTTTCCAAAGACCCTGGACGTCTGTATGGGGGCCTTGACAGGCGCTGAAGAGGAGCTCATTGAGATAAGGCGGTCTGGAGCATGCGCAGCATTTGGCTGAGGCTTATCACTGATTGCGATGACTTGGGCGCCTGCGGTCCTTGGTCTTGTACCGTTGTTTCGCGCATCATAACCCACGACATGTTCGTCCTGAATGGCTCGAGGGGAGGAGTGTATGTGACGAACTGGAGGTTCGCTCGTATCCTCCAGCTTCCGTTTCGTGCCCCTAACGACGGTTGACATGGTGAGGTACGGCGTTGGAGACGGAGGATGTAGTGGTGTCAGTTGCGATTCAAGGCATTTCGGTCGTTTGGCGGACTCTCGAACAGCGCGTGTCCAGTGTAGACAGCCGTTTTCGGATGCTACCGTCGGCTCAAGGGAAGAGTATCCAGGAGATGTTCCATAAGCCGGCCAGACGAATACACGGGCTATGCGTGGTGCCAGACAGGCGATTTGGGGTATTATCAACGCACTTCTCGTTTCCCCAGCTCGTTCACGCACGGACTGCGGGGGAAGCACGGAGTTACGCTTAGCCGAGGGCTTCCGACTGCCTGTCCTGCGAAAGCAGAATCCCGCTGGACTTCTACCGTTCTGTCGTTGGCAAGGCGTTGCGGTTTTGAGAAGAATATTATTATTATTGCATTCATGAATTGCCTGCAGTCGCATTAGTCCGGGTCAACTGGTGTGCCTTTACCCCGAGTCATTTCCGCCTCCGCATCGCTCCAGTCTCAACGGCGTCTGGGGTTCGCGGAATCCCCGCGTGTTCAGAGAGAACTCGATCCCCCACACCAGTGCAAAAGAAAATACGGCGTTATGTGCGGGTATTACTTCTTGGTATTGTGATCTTCTCTTCTTTGTTGTACGGTGGAGTGGACTAAGGAGGTTGATCTCCAACGAGCCTTGGCCGGAAATACGTTCTTCATTATTGCATGCCTACCGACTGCAACCTGAATTATGCCAGCTGGAGAGCAATCACGGGTGAACGGTGCACGCGGGACTTCTGAAGGGACCGGTAGATCGAAACGAAGACGGGTCGATACTGAAAATAAAGGAAAGCAGGAAGGTGAACTGGACGGCACCCCGCAAAAGCGACAGCGAGTATCTCGAGCCTGTGATCAATGTCGCAGCAAGAAAGACAAATGCGACGGTGCACAGCCAGAATGCTCCACGTGTGTCTCCTTGCGTAGACCATGTACCTACAGGACGAATCCCAAGAAGCGTGGACTGCCGACAGGATACATCCGCACGCTCGAGTTGCTATGGGGCCTTGCTTTCTCCGAGATCGAGGGAAGTGAAGAAGTCGTCAGAGTACTTTTGAGGAAGGCAAACATACTGCGACATCTAGCGGCAATTGGAAAGGAAGGAGAAGCTGCTGATACCCCTCATGCTACGTGGAAAAACAGTGTCGTTCTTAAAGAGATTGAGAAGTTGCTTTCTGTCTTAGAACAGCATGAAGATGATGCCGGAACAACAAGTGTGGGGGATTCTTCGAACGCACCTCTCTCCGAACAAGACTCGCTTCAGTCTCATACTCTTGTATGGAATGTCCCGGATAAGTTTGCGTCCATGGGTGACGCTCCTGTCTCTCCTGGAGAAGAGCCAAAGCGACCTATTAAACCCAAACCGTCGATTCAATCATCACGACAAGAATCATCACGACAATGTGGAACACAAACGGATCTGCCAGAACTGCCAGCGGAATCAAATATATTTACTTCTTCGCTTGCTAGACCGCATAATCCCGCCCATTTAACGATAACCGATTCAGTGGCTTCGTCGGGTCTTCACCTTCCTTCGAATGCTTGGCAGCTGTTTGACATATACTTCTCCTACACGCAATGTTGGTTTCCTATAATCGAAAAGCACGATATGCTTAGAGCCGCGTTTTCCTATAGTGACCGTCCTATGAATATTTCAAGCTCTTCTCCAGACTCCGGGGAACACGCAGCCATGTGGGCTGCGATGGCGCTGGCGTCTGTACAAAATGAATCGTCTGCATCCTCGCAACGGATACCTTCACCTCACTTTGATCGACTTCAGTCGGAAAGAATTTATGCAATATCCAGAAATTTGATACCCCAGGAGAGCGAAAACTACGGGCTAGGGCATATTCAGGCCTTATTACTCCTTTCGTTGGTTAAGCTTGGACAACGCAAGTGGCATGCTGCGTGGACCCTCATCGGTCATGCGGTCAGAATCTCTCTGTATCTCAGACTAGACCAGCCCTCATTATCCAGTCCGAGAGATGTCTCTGATGGAAAAGCAAACGGCAGGCGAAAACACATTTTTCTAGCTTGTTTTGCTCTGGAGACACTTGTTGCAAGCCAGACTGGCAATCTTCCGTACTTGAGTAGAAACGAAGCAATGGCAGTTGGACCACTCGATGAAGATGGCTTGGAAGAATGGCATCCGTGGGAAGATATGAGCACCATACGCCCTGAACGAACATCCTCCGAGTTGCCTCGTCGTGAACCTCTCCACGCCCTAAGCACATTCAATCATCTCATCTCGCTTCTATGTATTCTGAACGATCTATGTCGTCGAAAGCGAGATAAACTAACAACACTCGCGCAATTGGAGCTCATTGTGCATGACCTGCAGCGCTGGCTGGCTGATCTCCCTGCAAAATATCATGTGCAGCCTCAAGCAGATTCGTCTTATCAACTCCCACCGCACCTGCTGTGCCTTCACATAGCTTATCAAAGCATAGTCACGGCACTATACATTGAAGCTCTCCAAAAGGGACCAGTTTCCCTTGTACAAGCATTCAGAATCCGTCTAGTTGACAGTGCGAGAAGAGTGGCTCGGCTGATGGAGGCATACATAAGCGCCTATGGCGTATCTGCAACTATGCCTATCTTCGAAATATTTTTGAAGTTAACTGGATGGGAACCGTGGAGCCGGGAGACGCCTTCTCCTATCCTCAGTGTTAGTCCGGATCTTTTACCAGTATTTCGGTCCTTATCTTCTCAGATAAGCCGTGTCTGGGCAGCAACTGTCACTCCTCTGCTAGAGGTAGCTTCTGTTGCGGATATTGCCCTAAGGCCCATTGGCGATGCCAGTCGTTCATCACCCAGTGCGGTCTCGGATAGGACTACGTTATCATCTCATAAGCGATATCATTCAAACGATATGAACAGCCGAAGAGATATAGCGGAAATTGCACGGCCTTCTGATCTCAGCTTTGATGCAACGGTAGCTCCGTCGTGGACAAGGACGCTATCAGATGTCACCATGAGTGCGGTGCCACAACAATCCCCCAGCTTGGCTGTCCCCGATGAAACATTTGAGTCTTCACCTGATATACACCGAGGCAGTATTATTATTCCAAATGATGATGTCGATCGTAATACTGCCGGGATTACCGCAAAGGTAGATCCTCCCATGTTGCCTGAATTTTCTTCGGCACTACAGCCTGCACGAGGACCGTATCATCAAACGAATACCGGCACCGACCCGTCTCTAGGACCAGTACTAGATATCGATGGCTACGGTCCAGCACAAAAGTCTAGGATAGCCCCGGACTTGGACACCCTGTTTGACGAATTGGCTTCATTAGACGGTGGTGATAAGTAAGTTTACCTTAATCAGTAGAGATCACGCATTTACTTATTCTAGTAGCAGGACCGATAATCAGCCTGAGTTCATGCAGAACCTTGGGTTCGCTCCAGACTCTGGAGTTTCAGAACTCTACTCTTATTACAGTCAGCTGGATCCGTTGTTGCCTCCTTAAAAGGTAGCACCCCATCCGAGCTCCCTAATAATCGACCCCGGGAAGCAAAATTCGCCGGACTTTGTCTCTTTCAAGCACTGGGATGGCATTCATAGTGGCTTCGAAGTCTCCCATGGCGAAAATTCTTTTCTTTGAGTTTTATATTTCAAATGGCTTTACGGTGCCTATATGACGTTCATTTTTTTAGACATTAATTAACCAGGGGTTAGCGGAGCCATTCGCACCTAACGTGCAGCTTATTTCGAACGGGAAAATCAACGACCTAGTCTCATTACAGTTGACAGAAAGGCACATGTATATAGATTCGAAAAAATAAAACTTCGGGTGACGATCGAGGCGCGGACATATGTACAGTACAGTACATACATTGTTCAATTACCTCGTAAACTACATACGGAGCCTTGATGGCGTGCTCGGCTGCGAATTAGGGTACATTACTTTGAAGAGCAAAGTATCACATATCTCCAGCATGATTGGGACCAGTTTGAATTTTATTCAACTTGTTCGTGGAGAGATGTATGTCGTTGAAGAAATCGAATCCGATCGCTGGTCGAAGATAGCGTTGAGATCACAGCTCTCGCCAAAGAAAGTCCAACGGAGATGTACATGATGATATATAGTTCCACATACTGTTTATCCAACTGCCATATATTATTACAAGCTAGCCAAACCCCAGAAAAAGCTGCCCCAGCACGGGGTTATTTGGCGTTCCTGCGAGTCTGGTTTCTTTTGGGTAGTGCGGAGCAGCGGCATAATCCTTTGCCGTCGGAATAATCCTTTGGATTGTGGCTAAAAATGTTAAGATAACCTATTCTTGGTCCTCGGAGTTGATCCTTCTTCGGCTTCACGTGTTATTCCAGAATCCAGATTCGTTTTCTCATGTGGCTAATGATTCCTAACAGTGTGGCGCAAGCCGACAAGAGGTCAGGGCGCATTTCACATTTCATCCGGTCCTTTGTCCGCCTTGAGGCAAATGGATGATGTCTACAGAGAAGATGATATTTCCTCAATAGATTGTAACTTTGGATGATTGGATGACTTCTACGTTGGATTAAGGAGCATTCTTGGTGAGATCCTCCGAATTTCTCGCATGGTACAGGACAAGGGATAACAGATAATCGAAGAAAGGTATAGAATATTGATCCCGGACATGGAGAAGGAAATCATAGCACTAAGACTTCGACTGGTAGATGCTCATAGAAGACTTTTCGTCCGATCCCAGGACGACGGAGCGGACAAATTTGAACCGACGGCTTGCTCATGCAGGTCCCACTTTAGACCAATGCTTAATTCCGCAACCTCCAATGATGTGCGGCTCTGGGAGCGGGTAGGCGGACGCTAATGCACGATATCGGATTTAAGGCCCTGTCGGATCTGAGACTTCTGCATGCTGACAGAATTTCTATTCATTAGTGGAACCAGATATTGTAGATCCATCCTCGGAGATAAACGTCTGCTCAACCGAGTTTGTACGTACGTTTCTACATTCAGCATCACAGTGTGGAACATTGATGCCTCTGATAGAATATGGCGGATCGATTAATCCGTGGTTATCGCCTTTGCCATCGGGCACATATAGCTAGCTCACGAAGATATAAATGAAGAAGATCCCACGACTCCAATTTACGTACAGAGCAACAAGAGAAACAAGAGAAACAAGAACTAGTACTCAGGAATTCATTTCACTTCATCTATCTTTTCACTTCATCTATCTTCAGAACAATTTGACCATCTCGTTCAATATGTCGATCAGAAAGGATTTCACCAGCACAACGACCAGCAGTGAAGTGGTCAAGGCTTACGCAGACAATGTCAAGGGCCGTACTTGTGCGTATATTCTGCCTCCCTACTGCTTCCAGCTCTGCGGATAGGAGGTGTCGACTAATTGTATTGACGGTATAGTTCTCATAACTGGTGCTGGCACACAATCTCTTGGAGGAGAGACAGCTATTGCCCTTGCACGAGACGCTTCTCCCGCGCAGCTCATCCTTCCCGGCCGTTCTATCAATACAATCGGCCCAGTCATCGATGAGATAAAGGAAATCAACAAGAATGTGAAGGTGTACTACGTCCCGCTGGACCTTAGTGATCCCTCTTCGACCCGTCGTGCCGCGGAGGAGATCCTCAACAACCCGGAGATCGCAAAGATTGATGTTGTGATCAACTGCGCCGGTGTCATGGGCACTCCCTATACCCAGACTGCCTACAAAGACAAGGACGGAAAACCACTGGAACTGCAGTTCTCAGTCAATCACCTTGGTCACTTCCTATTTACCAGCATCATCTTCGAGAAAGTGCGGAAGGCAGCACCAGGCGCAAGGATCGTCAATGTCACCAGCTTTGGCCATCGGTTGAGCGGAGTCCAGTTCGATAATCTTGGGTTTTCGGTCAGTATTTCTTTTGACATATTCAGTACGATGTTATATACTCACTGGCTAATATGACTGTGAATAGGCTGGTACCAAATATGACACAGTTGACGCATATGGCCAGTCAAAGACAGCAAATATCTTGATGGCGAGATACCTCGCGGATAGAATCCCGTCTAAGGATATCGCAACCTTTTCTGTGCACCCCGGAGGTAAGTCATGATTACAAATTCTGTTGGTTCCATGGGCAGTTTGAGGCTAATCGAGAGCTTCAGGAATTTTGGAAACACGGCTTGCGCGCCACGAGTCTGATACGGGCTTTGTCGCACAGGCTCTAGAGAGGATTAAGCAGAGTAAGTAGAGTGATCGATTCAAACGAACTTTCAGCTATGATTCCCATGTCCGATGCTAATTATATCGAACCATACAGTGCCTGACGTCGATCTTGATCCCCTCCAGCACCTGAAGAACATTCCCCAAGGTGCTTCAACGATTCTTGTGGCTGCCCTCGATCCTTCCATTCAATGTAAGTCCAAACATGACATTATGAAATAGGAGCTTGAAGAGTGTCTAACGGTTGACTTAGCCCAATCTGGTGCGTATCTGGATGACTGCCAGATAGGTACCGCTGCGGAGTACGCACAGAACAAGGAGAATTCCGAGAAGCTTTGGAAGTTGAGTGAGGAGATTGTGGGACAGAAATTCCCCGTTTCCGCCTAAACGGTGTGTGGTAATGTGCATGTGTAAATAGTTTAGCTAGCCCTTACATGTCAAATAGCATATCTCATCTCATCCCAATCAATTCGTCATACAGGACCGTATTCTTTCATTGTACATTACAGTTGCGAGTACCTAAAATGATTACAACTAATTGTACGCTGGATGAAAATGATGGCAGTACTGATGTCTTTGGCAACACTTGACTGAGAATTTCATGAACACTATTTGAGAATTAAAAACAGTTCTATGTTCATACATATTCAGGTTCTAGAAGAGATTCTGCCCCCAGGGCTTCTGGATCCCTGTGGAAATATATGTAGCTACTAAACACATATGCCACCAACGCGCAAGACCCAAACAAGATCCGATCCTTGGTTTGTGGTACTTACATCACTCTTCCCAGAAAGCAGGGGCACACGAGTGCCATGCCCAGGGTCATCAGAATCTATGGCAGACATATTGATACGTTATGGATGCCATATACTAGCCCCAAGCATTCTCCGATGTTCGGGATACTATTACCCTCTAGACTCTTTTCCTCGTCACCGTCACCAACTGGACTTTCGTTCATCGTAACAGCTTCATAGGCGTGTGTTGTAAAGTAGCCAGATGACACTTCTGCACCAACAAACGCATACGGGATCCAGGCGGAAGCTGCCCAGCTGAAACCCACAAACCCGAAAAGCACGACAGTTCCTATCGAAGAGGAAACAAAGAATGTACCCAACATTGCAAGTCCAAGATGAAGCTCTTGTGGTAGGACTGCATCTGTGTATTTACCCATTGCGTGCCATGTAAATTGGCGGGTATAGTTCTAGCCACCACCATCGCAGACTAAAAAGAGATTATGAGGTGGTATTTCAAGGGCTGCGTACCAGACAATGAAGCTGATGAAATTGTGCCATTCCTTCAGGTGGTATCAAAACTTCAGGTTCTGGCGGAATATTAAAGGTTGTCATATCTGGCTACTACTTGTTCAACTCACGGTCCCATAGTCTGCTCTAGGTATCTCAAATGATCCTATCAAAAGCGCTGCTAGAGGTGTAACGGGAGGGGACAACCCACGTTGCAAAGAGGGGCAGGATCTCACTAGTATAGACCATGCTAAGAGGAATCCGGGGAATATCTACTGTAGCGCAGATGCGTCGGGAAATGATAAGTATATCTTACTGGGTTGAGATATTTGCCGTATGAGGACTTTGTTGCGGAGGATATTGCTCAAGAGCGCACTAAAGAAATTAGTGTACAGCCAAAGAAAGTGCTTCTGTCGCGTGAGAAGCTGGTCGTCATGCTCGGCCATGCCTATCTCGTTTTCTCGCTATTCTTCCTGTTCGCCCACCCGCTTCTAGAGGCCGCCTTCAATCAATACCTGCACAGAAGCCTTCCTTAACCCCGATGGTTTCTTATTGCCCCATGGGCACATACTAACTACACCCCAGCGGGGAGTCAGCTTAAGAACGCCAGTATTTAACCCTCGTGTAAGTCACAACATCACTGGAATTCAGCCCAAGTTGGCAACTGGTTTATGTACTCTGTATCCACAAGTTTAGTCATGGGGCCGGCCTACTGTCGATTAACGGTGGTTATACCATGAAAGTGCAAGGCAAATAGTGCCATAAAGAATCTATAGATAAGAATGTTCTTTGGAACAGCATAACTACATGAGAGAAAAACAAACTATCTTAAGAGTAATCCCTATAGATGAAGCAACATTATTGTGTCTCCGTTGAGATACTTCGATTGGTTGAGGACTGTTTCATAAAACATAAAAAAGCCTTTGTAAGCACATTCAAGCGTTGATGGTGTAGCGGTTCGCATACAACTCTTCCAAAGTTGTGATCCGGGTTCGACTCCCGGTCGACGCATTCAGAGAAATTTCTTTTTTGTACATCGCGTACCGATGACAATCTTTTTGTCTCCGGCGTGCAATGTTTTGCAATGTGTGAATTGTATTCAGTCATTTACTTTATCTCCCATGGAGATATTGTCGGAGTATTATATTATGATATAACTCGACTCATTTCCCGAGCGACTTTCGAGATATAAAGCTATCCCTTTGTCAACTATATATAGCTTGCCGTTATATATATTAGATAGCTATTTTTTTTTTTTTTCAGACCAATATTTTATTAACCTGCCCTTTGCCCGGTTATTTTAAAGTGCTTTAAGAAGCCGTCGCACAGTTAGCGCAATAGCTACTATCTCCCCCTGAATCTATCACTATTCGTTAATTTCCAATTATTGCATCGTTTTATCATATAAAGTCGTCAGCTCGCAGCAACTGCGCATATACCCAATACTAAAGCAACCATATGGGCGAGAAGCTAATTAAGGATATATTCGCAGCACTGATATTGCAACGGAAATTGCAACAGAAAATGATATCATATAATTCTTATTCCCGTGCCTTTTCGCGGTTATATAGGTCGCGAGGTCGCAAGGTAGCATCTTGTAAGGTAGCGAGGTTTTTGTTACCAGTAGGTTACTAGTAGTTTACTATTTTATATTAGGATTATATAATTATATACTAATAAAGATTAAAAACTAAACTTTTTAAATCTGGCGGGGTAGTAAATACAGGTAAATCTTATCTTGCAGGGTGGTAAGATTGTAATTGCTATATTTTATACTAGATATTACTAGATTTACTAATAGAATTAAAATAATTTAGTTATAAAATATAATTATACCGCCTCGCAAGACTAGGTAAATAACTATTAGATCTGTATTAAAATTAAGTAAATACAGGCTATTATTACTATTAAATAAATCTAGATTTACTAATAATATTTAATATTTTTTAATAAATATTAATTTTATAAATTATTAATATATTTTAAATATATTAGTATATATTAGTAATTATTTAATATATTAATATTTTATTAATAATATTTAATTATATTAAGTTATAATTAATAATAATTTTAAGATTAAATATATTCTCTCTCTTTTTCTATATATATATTATAAAAATATAAAATATAACTATAATTTTAAAATTAAAAAAATTAATATATTATAATTTATATTAATATAATTTAAACTATAAGTATTATAATATAAAATAATAAAATATAATATTACTAGTAAATACTAAAATAATTATAAATAAATATAAATTATATTAATAAAATTAAAATATATTAATATTTATTTATTAAGGTGCGGGCTCAGGGAGTAGGTTAGAATAAATAGAATAAGGTAGTTAATACTAGGACTAGCTATAAGATCTCTATTTAGCTAATTTAGACTAGAACGGGCTATTATAGGTAAGCTTAGTAAATAAGATATAACTTAAAAAGCTTAAATTTAGATTAAGCTATATACTAAAAATATCTTTATAAGATTATATAACTTTTTATATAATCTCCTATACTAATATTATAATAATACTTCTTTCTTTAAGATTAAGCTTTATTAAGACTATCTTTAGATTTTAGCTTATTTAGGTAGTAGTAATAAAAATTTATAATAATCTCCTAAGCATACTATAGATAATATATAGGCTTTTTAATTAGGTTATTATAATTTAACTATTTAATAATATATTATAATTAGAGGCCTTTATATTTATAATATTCTTATTAGGAGTTTAAGATATCTTTAATAACTTATTTTTTAAAGCTATTAATTTTAATAAGCAATAATAAAGATTATCTTTATTTAAGCATAAGATCTTTAATAATAGAGTAAAATAGGCTAATATTAAATATAAAATAAATATATATTAAAATAGGCAGATTAAGCTAATAAATATATAGGCTAATAACCTTAATAATATAAAATAAGCTAAGATTCTTCTAATTAAATTTCTTCTAAAGGCGCTAAATATAAATATTTTAAATATTTAATTAAATAAACTATTTTATATAATAATAATAGGCTAGAGTTTAGCAATAATTAATTTATTCTTTATAATAAACTTAAATAATATAAATCTAGATATAGATATAATTTATAATATCTTATATCTTTTTAATAAAGGCTTTAGCATCTCTAATAATAAGCTGGTTTATAAGCTAAATAGGCTTAAATCCTATATATAAATAGAACTTATAATTAGTAAAAAAAGGTAATATTTTAATAGTCTTAAAATAATAAGAGTTTAATATAAACTTAGTTAAAGATAGCTAATTAATTTAATTATCTTATAAATAGCTAATATAAATGCGCAGGTATTATTTTAAGATAATATTTATTCTTTTAGTTTAATTATTAGTCTTAGAATAATAAATAATAAATAATAAGTTTATAATATCTAAATATTAAATTAAGTATTTCTAGAAAATAGTAATAAATTAAAAGCCTTAATTAAATATTATAGTCTTTAATAGCCTATAAAGCTTCTATATATAGTAGATATATAATTGCGCTATTTTTTTAGTATTATAAATAGTTTAATAGGGAATAAAGTATTTTATTTTTATAAGTTAGTCTATAGTAATTAATATAATATTATAATCTTAATAAGGTATAAGTTTAATAATAAAATTTATTAAAATATTTTATTAAGAGTATTTAGAGATAAGGAGCTAGTATAAAACTTTTTAATAGCCTTTATTTAAGGGTATAATATAATAGTAGATATAATAATTCCGGGTTTAATAATTTATATATTAATATATATTTAGCTAATAATATTCTTATAAAATTAGGTTATAAAGCTTATATTTTTTAAGATATCTAAATATATATTTATTATAGTATTCTTATAATAGGCAGGCTTTTAGCTTATTATAATTAAGAATATATAAATAATCTTTATAATATAGATATCTTTTTCTTTATTAATAGTTAACTAATATAATCTTAGGGTAATAATTAGTTTTATAATCTAAGGCCTATAGAATAGACTATATTAAGTTATTAAATAAATAAGCTATATCTAATAAATCTTTAATATTAGATAAATATTTTAGTTTATTAGATATAGTAAGGGAATTTAACTAATTTTATTTAATAGGCTAGGCTATTTTTTTAATAAGCTAAATAGTCTCTTTAATAGATTAAATTATCTTTTTAATAGATTAAATAATCTTAATAAACTAATTAGGTAATAGGGTAGACTAAACAGATTCTCTAAGCTAAATAGGTTAATTTCTTAGAGTAAGTTAAGCAGGTATTCTTATAGGTTTAATAAGATTTTTATTTTTTAATTTCTTAAGCTATTAGATTAATAAAGTAAATATACTTTACTATTTAATTTTTAGTAATAGCTTCTAGTTTTAGAGATTTCTAAATCTATAGGTTAAGGTTCTTCTTTTTTAAAACTATCTAGCTCTAATATTATAGCTATTTATCCCTCTCTTTAAGGAGATTCTTTAACCTCCTAATTAGGATATTAGGCTTTATTTCTTATTTTTTAAGTTAGTATATAATTTAAAAGTTAAATTAAGATAGGAATTTAAACTAATAGGCCTATTATTAGTTTAATAGCTTAGTTAATATAAAGTATTTTAAATTATAGTAATCTATAATAACTTTAATTAGTAATAATATGCTTTTAAGCTTAAGGTATTATTTCTTAAAGTAATAGATAATTACTAGCAGCTCTTTATTATAAATCTTATAATTATATTTTATAATAGAGAGCTTCTTTAAGAAAAATATAACAGAATATAGGATTTCTTTATTATTATATTAAGATATAACTCTAGCTAATATATAATTAGATAAATTAGTTTTAATTATAATCTTACAGGTCTAGTTAAATAGCTTTAAAATTAGGGTTTAAATAAATATTTCTTTTAAGGCTTTAAAACTAGACTAATAGACAGTTATTTAATTAAAGAGAACTCTTTTTTAGGTTAAGTTTATAAGCAATATAATTATCTTAGAAAAATTATAAATAAATTAATAATAAAAATTACTAAACCTAATAAAGGCTTATATATTAATTATATAAATTAGGGTCCTCTATTTAATAATTATTTTTACCTTATCTAAGTCTATTTTAATATAGTCTTAGCTAATAATAATATCTAAAAACTTAGTCTTAGAGATAATAAACTTATATTTCTAGATCTTTATATATAGGCCTATTTTATATAGCTTTTATAAGATAGTATAAATATATTAAATATATTTAAAACAGGTTATACTATATATTAAGATATTATTAAGGTATATAATATAAAAGATATTAAAATAATCTTATAGAGTATTATTAATAAACTATTAGAATATTATTAGTATTTTTATTAAATTAAATAGTATTACTAATAATTTAAATAAGCTAAGTTAAATATAGAAGGCAGTTAAATATTCTTATTTTTTCTTAATATAAAGATTATTAAACATAGAAATAATATTAATCTTTATAAAGTACTTTATTTCTTTTAGATTATTTAAGGTCTTCTTAATTAAAAATAGAGAATATTAGTCTTTAATAATTATTATATTTAGGGTTTAATAATTTATATAAGTCTATATCTCTCTATTAAGCTTCTTAATAAATAGAATTAAAGATATAGCAGGCAATAAGCTTAAGCAAATAAATCTTTTTTTTAGGTTTTTTTTAATTTATTTTTTTAAGATCTTTAATTTATCTTAGAATATAATATATAGGGGTTTAAAGGGGAGCAATTTCCCCTTTAATAACTTAATATTATAGTTATAAAAATAATATAATAATAGGTATTTAGCCTTTTTAAAAAAAAAAGATATTAATATAATCTTTAAACTTTTTAGATAATAAATAGGCAAGGTCTTTTTTTTAAACTTATTTAATTTTTAAAGCAATATCTAGGTCCTTTAGAATAATTATAAATATTTAAATATTTTTTTAAGTATAAATAAAATAAGCAGCTAGAGAAATAAAGGCTATATTTCTTTTTTTTAATTTTTTAGGTCTTAGAAGTAA